TATTAATTAATTGTAAATATTTAATTAATAAATATTTAATTAATTATTAAAAAAAGGAATTATTATATTAAGGATTAGCGATTAATGGATAATTAATTAGATATAATAAAGGATAAATTAAGTAAAAAATTATGAATTTTTTAATCCGGATTTAATAAAAAAACTATTTAGTTTTTTTTAATATTATGGATATTTAATATAATATGGTTTTAGGAAAACCTTAATTAAAAGTTAATAATTTTAAAATAAATTAGTAGAAAAATATTATTAAGTGATTATTAATAGAGTTAAGTACGGAAAGTTATAAACTTAAGTATTAAAAAAAGGTTAATTTAAATAAATTTAATACAGTAATAAAAAAGCATATATTTACGGCTTTTAAAAAAGCTTATAAAATAATACCTTTATATATGTTATAACTTGTAAAATTAATTAAAGAAATAAAATAATAAAAAACGATAAAAGGAAAAATTAAAGTAATATATAATAGATTTATTAACGTATTTAAAAAATATTAAAAGAAATATTTAAAATTATTTACTGAAAAACCGAATACTAATATAAGAGTTTTAAATTATGGATTTTATAATTATAAAATAAATCTTAAAAAAGGATAATTACTTAAGTTAAATAAAGTATATTTATTAAGTGTAAATAAATAAAAGATATTAGTAAAAATTATTAAACGAAAATTTGAAAAAAGATATATATAAAAATTAAATTTATTAATAAAAAGTTTAATCTTTTTAATATTTAAGAAAAATAGAGATGGAATATTAAAATTAAATGATAATAAAAATATAATATATTAAAATATATACGATTATTAATATTTTAACTTTATTATTAAATAAAATAGTTATTTTTTACTTAATATTAACGGTTTAATAAAAATGATAAGGAATATAAAATAATTTATAACGTTAAACCTTAAAAAGGTATTTTATTTAATTTGGATAGTTAAAAGTGATAAATGGAAAATAGTAATACGAATCCCTTTTAGTTATTATAAATGTTTAATTATATTATTTGAATTTATAAATGCGTTAGTAACATTTTAAAGAATAATCGAAATTATATTATAGAAATTTTTAAGAAAAACGGTTTTTATTTACTTAAATAATATCTTAATTTTCTCTAAAACTTTTAATTAATACGAAAAATATGTAAATAAAATATTAAAAGCCTTAAATAAAGTTAATTTATTAATAAACTTAAAGAAAAGTAAATTTTATATGTAAAAGATCAATTATTTAAAATATATAATTACGCTTAAATAAATTAAAATATAAGATTTAAAAATTATAATAATATAAAATTAACTAATATTAAATAATATTATTATTATATGATAATTCCACGGATTTGTTAATTATAGTAAATAATTAATAAAAGATTTTAGTAAAATTATAAATTTTATTATAGTTATTATACGGGGAAAAGAAAGAACTTTTTAATAGACGTTAAAAATAAATAAGGCTTTTAAAGAAATATAAAAAGCTATTATTAATGATTTAGTAATGAAATTACCTAAGCCAAACCAGTTAAAACGAATTTATATAAATGGATTAAATGCAGTTATGGGTGCAATCTTGGAACAACTTAAAGACGATAGGATATGGCATTTAGTGGTATATTTATTTAAGATTTTTAAAGGAGTTCAGATACGATATTAAACTTACAATAAGGAATTACTTATTATTGTTATAATATTTAAAGAATGGAGATACTGGCTTAATAGAATTAAAAAATTAGTTATAATATTATCCAATTATAATAATTTTAAAACGCTAATAATTATTTAGAAACTGAGACTTAAGGTCCAAAAATAAGTAAAATACTTTAATAATTTCAACTTTAAAATAATTTATATTATAGGAAAAGTAAATATATAAGTAAATGTACTTAATAAACCTAATAACGTTAGCACGAAAAATATAATAAAGGAAAAAATAGTACTTATATTAAATAAATAAAAAGTACTTGTTTTATTAATATTATATTTTATAAAAAAGGATAATATTTAAATAATATATATTTAAAAGGTATTATTAGTAAAAGAATTACCTCCAGATATTAGAACAGGAAAAGAAATAGTTATTTATTTAAGTAAAATATATGTATTAAAAACCTTATAATATAAGTTCGTTAAAAAATATTACGAATATTTATTATATAAATATTAAGGAATTTTTTAAATTATATAACAAATTATAAGAAATTATAATTTCTTAGGATTATTTAAAGTAATTAAAAAAGTAATTAACGATTGTAATATGTGTAATAAAACGAAAGTAATTAGATATAAGTTATACAAGCTTATGTAACCTACGGAAATCCCGGACAAAGCTTGGAAAATTATTGTATAAAATTTTATTATTAAGTTATTATTATTAAAAAAACTTATAATTAATATATTATATAATAATATATAAGTAATAGTTAATAAATTAATAAAATATAAATATTTTATATTATATAAAGAATTTAATACAGTTAAAAACTTAATTTATACATTTTTTAAATACGTAATTAGTAAATACGGATTATTAAAATATATTATTTTAAATAAAAATAAGTTATTTATATTTAAATTTTAAATTAATTTAATAATAAAAATAAGTGTAAAATAGAAATTGTTAATAGTATACCACTTATAATCAAATAAATAAATAAAGCGTTTAAATTAAATATTAAAATAGTATTTTTATATATATATTAATAAAATATAAAATAATTAAATAAAATTATTATTATAAATAGAAATTGCATATAATAACTTTATAAATAAAGATATAAAAATGTTTCCATTTAAAGTAAATATTAGTTATAATTTTATTATTATAAAATTAATTAATATAAAAGAAATATTTGTCTTTAAAGTAAAAGTTATAACAAAATAAATTATTATTATGTAAAAATATCTAATAAATAAACTTAGATTTTTATAAATAAAAATAAAAAAATATAACAATTAATATAAAATCGAAGGACTAATCTTTAAGAAGGGAAATAAGGTTTATTTACTATAACGAAATATTAAAATTAAAAAATTAAATAATAAATTAAATTATAAAAAACTTAAACCGTTTAAAATTAAAAAAGTTATTTTAGAAATTAATTATAAATTATTATTATTAATAAAAACGAAATTATATTTAATATTTTATATTTCTTTATTAAAAAAAGTACCCGAAAATGTATTAATATAAATTATTTTAAACGTTAAAGCCGATTAAAAATATAAAGTTAAAAAAATATTAAACTTTAAACAATTTAAGAATTAAATTAAATATTTAATTAAATAAAAGGATTATTTATTAAAAGAAAATACGTAAGAATTAATTAAGTACTTTAAAAACGTCTAAAAGTTTATAAAGGTGTTTTATTAAAAAAATCCTAATTGTTTACAAATAATAACGGATTTATTCTTAAATTAAAATTATTCTAAAAAGTAGCGGCCCCGTTAAGGTTACCCCCAAAAGAATTAAAGGGCTTAAACGGATTAATTTAACCAACTTAATTAACTTAATTAATCTAATTAAAAGCACTTGGATCCGTAATTTCTTTTTTATATTTTAAATAATTTAACTTTTTTTTATATTAAAAGATATAAAAGGCTTTATCCTTAATAATATTTTTTTAATGCCTTAAATAATAAAGGAAATTTAAGTACTTATTAATTTTTTTTTAAAAAAATGACATCCTTTTCTAATATTTCCGGAACTCCTTATTTAACTTAATTAACTTATTTTTAACCTTATTACGTTCTTTTTTTAAACGAAGAAACTTAAAAGTAAAATAGTTAATAAAATTTGCTTTTATTACGTTACAATTAGTACGATTTATTTGTTAGATATAATAATTATAAGATAAAAAATTAATTATAAAGAAATATAATATTTTTTCAAAATAATTATAATTTAAATACGATATTTTAAAAAGATTAAAGGTTTTAATATAAATAGTATAAAATTTAAGAATTTAACATTAATTTAAGTAATAAGCTTTAATAAATAACTTAAAAATGCACTTTAATATTATTATAATTAATTAATTTAATAAAAATAAAAAAATAAAATAAGGGAACTTATTAAATTAAAATTTTCGAGGATAAAGAATATAAAAGAAAGAAAATAATATTACGAATTAATATCCATTAGAAAATGTATTAATTTAAGTAATAAAAGCGGGAATGTCCTAAAGGAACGGATAAATCCCAGTTATGGATTAACTTTTATATAATTTAATTAATTTAATTAATTTAACTAATTTAATTAAATTAATTAAATTATCTAAATTAACCATATTGCGATGCTTTTAAAATATTAGGTAAAAAAAAGGACTATAAGATATTTAAAAACTATTATATATTTAAACATTTATTTACATTTTTTTAATTATTAATCTAAATTTTATATTTAATTTATATAAGAAAAAAAACTTTAAACTTTTTTAATAAACATTTTTAACATTTTATTAACATTTGACTCATATTACTATTATTTACCTAAAATCAAAACCCTTATTACTATATTTTAACGGACTTAAGTGTAAGTTCGTCACACATAAATATTTTTTATTTAAGTTTTTTATATTAAAAAATAATAATAAATATATTAAAATTAATTAAATTTTATAATTTTAATTTTAATTAATTATTTAAATATTTATATTTTTAATTTTTAATTATTTTTCTTTTATTTTTTTTTATTATTAATTTTAATAATAATTTTAAAAGTAAAAATAATTATTTAAAAAAAATATAATTATTATTTTAAAAATAAAAAATTTTTTTATTATATAAAAATTATAAAATTTATATAAAATTAAAATTAAAACTTAAAAATATAAGTATCGTTATAACATTTTAAGTAATTACGATTACCACGAAGCAAATCTATTGGTCATATTATTTTAATTAGCCCTATTATCCCAGTCCAAAAAAAGAAATTAAACTCCAGCCCCATGCTCTATTTTGTCGGATGTTCCAGCAGCACCATTCTTTTATTGCTCAATCTGTCATCCAAATACACTGGAACCCGTCCCAAATAATCCACCATCTTTTGGGTATCTGAAGATTGTCTCTCGTTCAACAAACTCGATAATAAACTTGTCAAGTTTATGCTACACGCACACGCATACGCACACGCACACACACACACATACACATTCACATTCACCTACTGGCGTCTTACACTCGCTTGTTTTTACCTACTCACCTCATTTATTATTCAAACCCAATTTTCAATTCTTCTTCTTTCGCTAGTTAACTTAAAACCCCCCTATGTCTTGTATTCTTGTATCTCATCACTATCGCATCGTCTTGTACCCATACCCCCTTTAAACCTACCTAATCAACCTAATCAGCGACTACTTACTACTTTTTATTATCGATGCTATTTTGACGCAGAATCCAGAACGCGTAATTGAAACCAACCTTGAAACCAACCAAACCAACCATATCATACCATACCGCACTGTAATCATATCATTAGCCTCACGCCCTTTCGTCGCATTCAACTTACCTTACCTTACCTAACCAAGACATATTAGAGAGATATGCTTCGATATTGACGCTCCACAACTTTCACCAGCGCGACAAAAATATCGCATCCATTTGCGCATATACGAACATCTTGTCTTGAGCTTGCCTTCTTAATTCCCTTAGCTTCATCGTTATGGGGAAGAGATGTAAGCAACCCACTCCAACCTATTATACAATCCGCATCGCAACATTGCTGACGACAGTCGCTTCAAATTAGGGCGATGGGGTGTTATTCTGGACGCCGGTTCCTCCGGGACACGTTTACATATATATCGATGGCTAGATCCTACAAAAGCGCTCAAGGAAGCCTCTATTCAAGAATTACATAGCTTGCCTAATATCGTTACTAAAGACAAGTGGACAAAAAAGATAAGACCGGGAATTTCAACCTTTGGTGACCATCCAGAAGACGTCGGACCCGAACATCTCCAAGAACTAGTTGAACGAGCACTGGATGTTATCCCCGACGATAAACATGCTGATACACCGATATTCCTCATGGCCACCGCTGGCATGCGTTTATTACCTCCTACCCAACAGAGAGCTGTCGTAACGGAGACATGTTCCTACTTCCGCGCCAACACCCGATTCTTGCTTCCTGATTGCGATACCCATATTCAAGTTATCCCAGGCGAGACCGAAGGTTTATACGGTTGGATAGCGGCCAATTATCTATTGGGAGGCTTCGATGATCCTGAAGGGCATGCTCATGGGAAGAATCACCACACCTACGGCTTTCTAGACATGGGCGGTGCTTCGGCCCAGATTGCTTTCGCTCCAAATAGTACTGTAGCCGAAGAACACGGGAACGATCTCAAGTTATTACGGCTACGGAGTTTAAATGGCGATCCTAAGGAATATAAGGTGTTTACATCGACTTGGCTTGGGTTTGGTGTCAATCAGGCCCGCGAGCGCTACGTTAACGCTTTGGTCGACGAATTCTTGATCGATGGAGAGCATGAAGTACCCGACCCTTGTCTGCCTAGAGGATTGCGAACCAATGAAAAGGGCGAGATCATTAAGGGGAACTCAAAAGAGCTGGAGCTAGTTGGCACAGGCGAATTCGACGAGTGTTTACGGAGGACGAAACCGTTGCTAGGAAAGGACATGCCATGCGAAGACAAGCCTTGCTTATTCAACGGCCAGCACGTCCCGCCCATCGATTTCGATGTAAATCACTTCGTTGGGGTTTCTGAATATTGGCATACTACGCACGGCGTGTTCGCGAGTAAAGACGATGACACAGCTTACGATTTCAACACATACCAAAAGAAGGTATTGGAATTTTGCAGCCAACGTTGGGAAGATATAGAATCGAATATCGAGGCCCGAAAGAAGGATCATGGAAAGGAAGCGCAAGAAGCCTGTTTCAAGGCGTCTTGGCTTATTAGTGTCCTGCATGAGGGTATTGGCGTGCCGAGATATGGCATAGAGCACACACCGACTCCAGGGATCAATGTTACGAAAGCAATCGGGGAGGCTGCCAAAGAGAAGGGGTTCCTACACCCGTTCCAGGCCGCTGACGAAGTTGACAACATTGAGATCAGCTGGACGCTAGGAAAGATGGTACTCTATGCAGCTGGTCAAATTCCACCAAAAGACAACTATCGCCTCCCCGTTGGGTTCGGAAGCAACGTGAAAGGTATTCCTTCGGATTTCCAATACGCTGGATCTAGCTTTAATGTGTCTTCGGCAATCGATGAGGAGGAGGATTGGGGCGATACGGCGGAGGATCTGATAGACCATGCGAAATCGAAGTCGGCGTCTGGATTCTTTTTCTTCCTGCTGGTTTTCCTGTTTCTCGCATTTTTGCTTCGAAAGCGAGACAGACGGATGCGGCTCTATGGTAAAGTCAACAAGATACTACGCCGTCGTCGACGCCCAGGCAGCCCTCGCAAACTCAGCCTCGGTCTCTCAACTATCACTCACAAACTATTCGGCCATAAGCCTTATAACTATGAGAGGGTTCTCGAAGAAGGCGATGCTAGTCAGTTCGAACTAGGTGAAGCCTCGTCAGATGAAGGCGATAACTCCGATAGCAGTGTGGGAGGATCAAGAGTCGGCCGATCGTCGGGGCTGGCTACACCAAAGCTTAATGTCGAGTCCTTTGACGACATTAAAAAGCATCCGCATCCCGGAAGTGCGCTTGATCGGTCTGGACTGGTGGTCAGGACAGAAAGTCGCGAGAGGCTGTTTCCACAAATGCTAACAGCCGGGCGGAGAAGTCGAACGGGCAGTCCGACAAGGCTTAAGAGCCCACTAATGAGCCCGTTGACAGAGGATTGATAAAGCTGTATATTCTATTCTTTTTATCCTCCTTGGGCAATCAACTTTTGCATTGTTTAGGCTGTACACTCCTTATATGGCTTACAGGTTTCGGAGCTTACCAGGAATCGTGTTAACATAGGAAAGGAGTTCCGGGCGGTTGGGCGGATTTATGTATTATGCCTGAGACGGGCCTCGATTATACGTGTTGACGAGTGGACGCATCTTGGGTTCTTAGTAGATACCTTCATAGCAGCCCAGTACGTTTGTTGTTGTTGCATACGGCGGCGGTAGTTATCGCTATTCATACACAGCTAGGTAGCTAAGCTGTACGGATGGTCATGCGTGATCATGCCATTGATTTATATATATTGTTCATCTCACTTTATAGATGGAAATCTCGTGCATCGTGAACTTTCAATGTTATAGACTTTTAGTCCTCTAGGCCCCAGATGGTCCTATACAGGTAGCCCTACCTAATGCAATAGCTCCTTCTATTCCCAGATCATTCGTCTATATAACTTGGAGTTGGACATGCCATCGACCGCCCTTCTCTTTTGATAAACTCTGAGCTTTATTTTCAACACCCTGACTCGGCTTGGTCCTCCCAGAAGGCGAATAGGATTGTAGCAGACATCATGAGTGGCCCATATGCATAAGCTCGCTATCCGTTCCTCACTCTTTTTCTCCCCTGCTAATCTCCGTACTTCTCTCTCTTAACCTATATAGCAGAGCCCTGCCTTGTGCCAGGCAGTATGCATAATACCCAAATTCACCATTCCCAGAAACACTTTTCTTCTGTGGGTTTTAGTTTTCAACCAGCCCAGCAACCAAAATCCCTCAGAATAACCCAGACTTGCTTAGGTAGGGAGATACTTTTAAAAAATGGTATCGTGTATCAACCAAGCAATCAATCCTGCTCCCTCTCGAGAAACGTCGGGTCGTTCCGGACCTTGTTCTCGAACTTGCGCCACCACTCCTGGAAGGCCTTGAGGGGAACCACCTCGACGCCCTCGGCGCCTACTTTCCCGCTGTAGCTCGCGAGGAAGTTGAACGCGTTCTTGATTATGCGCTGCGCTAGCACCAGCGTCGACGTCTGTCCTTGCCCTTGCCCCTGCTGCGACGTGTCCCCGTTGCTGTTGTTGTTGTTGGAAGAATGTAGCTGTTGGATGCGCTCGGCTACCGAGGCGGCGTCTTCGACGCTGATGCCGATGACTACGCCATCCGGGGAATTGGGACCAGTAGTCGTAGTAGTAGTATTAGAAGCAGAAGTAGAAGAAGTAGAAGTAGAAGTAGTGGTAGTGGCATTAGGGGAGGGAGGAGACAGCTTAAACATGGCGCTCTCCTTGCCGGGCCCCACGCCGCCGAGGAACTTGAAGTTGGGCTCCTCGCGGCCGGTGGCGAGGGCGGTGGGGTTCAGGGCGGCGTAGATGGCGGCGGCGGTGCCTTCGGGGAGGGCGACGCCGGGGAGGAGGAAGACGGCGAGGTGGGCGAAGGGTTTGGGGGAGGGGTTCTCGGGGGAGGGGGCCGGGTGCGGGATCGCGTAGAGGAAGGACGTCGGGCTCGGCTGGGACGAGGGGATCGTTATGAGCGGTTGGCCTGCCGGGATGAGGCCGAAGAGCGGTTGGGTCGCTTGTTGTTGCGCCATTGCGTCTTTTTCTCTTTTTCTTCTTCTAATAATTCGTATTATGCTATGTTCTACTTTGCGTTCTACTATTTTCAGTTCTCCCCCCCCGGAGTCTTAGGTAGGTTAGGTAAGTAGGTATACCGGTAGCAATTCGATTTCGATTTCGATTTGAATCAAGGATGGATTTTAATACTTTTTTTTCCCCGATCAATTGTGTCGTTTTCGTACAATGGCTTTAATCCAGGGAGCTTTCGAAGCTGGGACTGGGACTGGGACTGGGACAGACCAGTAGCTTGTTTGGTGGAGAGAAGAACAAAAAAGAACTGGCGATATGGTACTGGAAGCTTCAAAAAGGTACTTTGGTACCTGCTAATTTCGACGTCATGGCGGCGTGTGGTGTGGAGGGGTAGAAGATTGGGAAAATGCGCTAAGACTTATGCGAAATGCACATACCTGGTATTACATTAGGTACGTGCCTTCCAGATCCAAGATGAGGGTGAGACCTACCTACCTAGACCTATAACGTACATGCAGATAGCGAAGTAGCGGCCCAAAGCATAAGCTAATCTACTCGGTTGTCACCGGCTGTCGCTGCTTGTTACTAGGTTTGCTATTCAAGACACGTTATTGGACCTCATTTATTTAAACAACCTCTCATTAGTTACCTAGCATCAAAGTCTTCAAAGACATGTTAAAGTGTCTGACTGGTCTCACAAGGCACCAGGCAGCAAGCAAATTTACCGCAAAGAAATCTAGATATCATCTGCAACTTGAATCTCTTATAAAAAGACCACGAGCGAATCATCGCTATTCTTTTCGTCCTTCTTTTCGGCGGAACAGAGCAGAGCATTTCTCACCACAACTTCGGAATACCTACAAATTCGAAGCTGCCAATATTCGACCCAGCTCTATCTTACATACAAAATACTCAAATATCCTCTCTAGAGCTCACAGCTCCGCCACATCCGTATCAAACATACACCAAACCCTCAGGAGGTTAAGGGGTTCTAAACCCATTCCTAGTGCAGCGAACGAGATGCCGGGCCCAATGAGTAACCTCGACATCATAAAGGAGGCTGATGCGTAAGTCGAAGCCTCTCTCTTATATAAAGATATAAAGAATGAGAGACTAGAACTGAGTGCCCAGTTTTCCTTACCCAGACAAGGAGCCTGACGCGTACAAGGCTCTTACCGAGACCTTATACACGTTGGTCTGGAAGGATGGACAGCCCCTTGGTTATATGCTCGATTCTGTTGTTAAGCAGCTTCTTGCTACGCCGGAGGAGATCCGTGGACCCATAACCGTCGATGAAACTCGGCGCACGGTGCGTGCTTTTGAGCTGCCAACAGAAGCCGAAAGAACTGCGCTTGTAGCTCGATTAATGCAGTATTGGCGGGAAAACCATACCTTTGATATACTCAGGGGATGGAGAGACGAGTTATGGCCTGTCTATGGCAGTAATGACGAAGTCTTATACAGCGCCGAGCGCAGTGGAACGGGCCTATTAGGAATCATGCGCTACGGAGTACATATGACAGCTTATGTCAAGGATGAGACAGCGAGCTACGGTATGAAGATTCTGGTGGCTCAACGGGCGGCTAATAAGTCTACGTATCCGAGCATGTTGGACAACTCCGTAGCAGGAGGTCTTATGACTGGTGAAGACCCGTTCGAGTGTATAATCCGAGAAGCGGACGAGGAAGCGGATTTACCCGAAACTCTTATGCGCGAGAGGGCCAAGTTTACCGGAATGGTCACATATATCTACATCACAGACGAACGGGCAGGTGGTGAAGCTGGTCAGATTTATCCCGAGACCCAGTGGGTCTACGATATCGAGCTACCTACAGACTTTGCCCCTACGCCCAAGGACGGTGAGGTAGCGGGCTTTTACATGTGGACGGTCGAAGAGGTACAAGAGAAACTCGCCCAAGGGAAGTTCAAGCCGAACTGCGCTCTCGTCCTGGTTGATTTCTTCATCCGCCACAAGATCCTGACGCCGGAGAACGAGCCTGATTATGACGAGATCGTTAAACGGTTACATCGCAAACTACCTTTCCCAGGCCCCCACCAAGTTGGTTCATCGATCGCATAAAAGCACTCCCTGATTGCGCCTCTCTAATTTTTTGAATACCCCACCAGCGATCTAAATATCGTCAAAGCAGCACGACTTACTACTAAAATAGATAGCCTTAGTTCATGAATTTGGCCGCAACCAGCGTCCATTGGTATCTCAAGCGTAGCTGTAATATGCTAACATCCATCTTCTCTGCATTTCGGCTTTTGAAGTATTACTCTTATTAACTCCTGAATCAGCCGTGGTCTCGCTAATGGGCGAGAAAAAAAGTTTCACGTAACGGTAGCTTATTTCTTGACCAGGAGGTAGGTGTTGTCGACGCGCAACGGCGTTAGCTTCTTGTATGGTCCCTCCAGCATCATTAATAGGCCGCCAAACGAGATGTACGCGCGACTATGGCCATATTAGTACCATTCGGGGCCAAGCAAAAAAAAAAGCAGCAAATACCAGAATCAAGTAGTAACAAAGGGAAAAAAAAAGGCAAGGCTGAAGAAATTAAAAGATTCAAATCGCATACATGGTCTGACCATCAACACCGTCCTCAAACTTGTAGATCTTGCCGTGGCACACGTAGTCGTACATATCGGCGAGGGAAGACTCGTTGCGAACGTGACGCCATCCCTTCTCTTCCTCCTCGTCCTTGGTGCCGTCGAGCGACAGGCTAGTAGCCAGCACGACCTCGATGTTACTGCCGACGCGGAGGGGGAACAGCTCGATGTTGATGTCGAGCTGCATGGTCGTCAGGTTGTCGGTCGACGTGCCGCTGATGCGCGCGACGCGGTCGTACTTGGACTGGTCGTAGGCCGTCACCGTGAAGGTATCTTCGAAGAGCTGCGCGTCGCCCGCTGCGAGGTTCGACATCTTGAAGGAGGAGGCTTCGGTGTTGTTGGGATATTGTTGGGATGTTGTCGTGTTGAACAATTAATTAAAATATGTCCAAGGTAGGTAGAGGTGCCTATCAAGTTTTCGGCGCGGCGCTGCTTTCTTTTTTTTCTTTTTCCCAAATGGGCTTTAAAGGTTGGAATTCCGCCGTTGACGTGGGGTGCCCACTGAAAGCGGTGAAAGGCTTTGATTTACAGGGGACTTCTTGCGGCTCTGCTTAGGCGCTAAAAGCAGTACATTAGGTTACCTTAGGTACCTAGAGGTACCTAAACCTAAGAGGGCGTTTGTGACGTAGTAACACTTTTTGTGACGCACGAAACTGATGGGATACCTTGTACATACTAAGAGGTACATATTCAACGAAAAAGAGCCTAGAAAATACTTTGAACCCTCAATCTTTTTCTCCAACTGAAGCCCAAATGCATATACCGATAACCTACACAATTTTCTCTTATTGTTTATCCCATCTTTATCACTTAACCCATACATAATTATTTAGGAAATTTCACAAACCCTATGCCATAACATAACCATGTCCTTTAGGAAAAGAAATGCTGTGATCAGCAGCCCAAATTCATCTCAGTCGACGCCATCCAAGATTGAGAATGCACCTATCCCTGGAGTTAGACCCTCTCTTGTCGATGGTCGACCAACTACTTCTACTGGAACTGCATCTCTAGATAGTCTACTCGCTGGACATGCTGGCTTACCCCTGGGCACATCGCTTCTGATCGGAGAGCACGGTACTACTGACTTCGCCGGTGTACTTCTCCGTTACTATGCCGCCGAGGGCATGGTTCAGGGACATCAGATCCATGTCCTTGGCTTACACGAAAGTTGGCGCTATGAGCTCCCCGGCCTTTCGACCGAGGACAAGAGGTCGTCAAGCAAGTCGGAAACTCCCTCAGATGACAAGATGAAGATAGCTTGGAGATATGAAAGCTTATCATCTGGGACAACCCCGAGGGATAGAAACGCACCGCTGAGGCGAAGTAATTTTACGACGGACCCTTCATCTAACTTTTGCCATTCTTTCGATCTTACCAAGAAACTTAGCCCGACAAATGTCAAGGGTCAAATTGGCTTTCACCCTTCAATGAGCATACCAGGGATACCTCCTCGTACGAAAGATACAGGGTCGCCTTTCCAGGCGTTTATTAAGACCGTAGCTTACAAGCTTGCGAATTCGCCGTCGTCGTGGATCCATCGTGTCATAGTACCGAGTCTCTTGTCCCCGACAGGATACGCTGGTTCGTCTGCTCGGCCCGAAGAGGTCTTGCAGTTTCTACACGCACTTAGAGGGTTGTTAAGACAGTACCCGGCCAAACTCACGGCTATTATTACCTTGCCGCTCTCGCTTTATCCCAGGACCACGGGACTTACACGTTGGATGGAGCTGTTGTCCGACGGCGTTTTTGAGCTCATCCCGCTCCAGTCTAGCGTTATCCACGCCCCTCCTCCGTCTTCGAAATCAGATTCCAAGTCAGACGAGCAGACTCAGGGTCTTGTTAAAATCCACAGTCTACCAATTTTCCACGAAAAAGGCGGGGGTTCTTCTGAGGGCCATGCTGCTCACGGGGATCTATCGTTCAGCCTAAGTCGGTCCAAGGGGCTTGTGATAAAACCATTCTATTTGCCTCCTGTTGGAGAGGATGAAGAAGAAGAGAAGAAGAAGAAGAAAGGAGATTCTGGTCAAGGGAGCATGGAATTTTAAAGTTTTTCCATCATACGAAGTACAACTCGAAAAGCACCTAGGTACCTAAACCCGATATTCAAATTGAGCTTGTACTGTGCGGATTTGTACAATTATAAGCTCATACTGTATTGACCCCACTTAGAGCTCTCCAAATTTTCGTCAACTTCTCCAAACGACGAAAAAAAAAGAGAGCTTTTAAATTTTTAACCATCTTCCACAACAACAACAGGTGAGTCGAGATTAATACCCCGTTTCTTTTTTACAACACTTCGTCGAAATGATTACAACAATGAATAATCTGTCAATCCACTGAAATCAAAATGTTGACAAACTTCTATCTGGAAAAGAAAATATGATGACCTAAATTCTTCCATATTTCGTATATGATAATTTCTCATCAGTACCAATGCTGACTCTGAAATAGACACAGATTTTCTGTCTTCCCGCGGAGATGACTTCCTCCACCATAAATCGTCCTCCCGTGAGGATATCCAAAGTCGCGGGGCGGTACCTACTCTTCGACATAGAGGACGTGATGCACTTGCGCAAGAACCACAACATCTGCTCCGTGTTCGTCGGCGCGATTCCCCAGAATCCCCAGCAGAACATATTCATGGGGCTGCCTATCGAGCTGATGCCCGAGGAGGCCCAGGTCCTCGTCGACAAGAGAGTAGGATACATCGTAGATGACGCCACGTTCCACCCCGCGCGTCTCGCCGCCTTGGATGACGACGCGCGCCGCAGATACCTGCAGGCTGTCAAGGCTGAGGGCAGGAAGGCCCAAATTGCAGCTGCGGAGAGCAAGCAGAACGCGAAGCCTAAGGTGACAGCAGGTACTACTAAGAAAGAAAAAGTCAAACCAAAGGCTTCAGAAAACGAGACTAGTACCGAAGCCCATGACGGCGAATCTCCCTTCAGCCCTCCCTCCCCGCCACCGTCAAGTGGCGTCCCTTTCTCCAGCTCCCAAGCGGAAAACCCCCCACCCGCCTTCGCCGTAACACCCACAACAAGCAGCCTTCTTTTTATACCTCCTTCCCCTCCTGACTCCCCTGACTCTCCTCCTCCTCCTTCTTCTCCTTCTCCCTCCGTCTCCCCCCTCCCGCTCTCGTACCCGCTGTACGCGCACCTCCAGGACCGCGGCTACTACATGATGCCCGGCCTGCGCTTCGGCTGCGACTACAACGTCTACCCCGGCGACCCCCTGCGCTTCCACAGCCACTTCCAGGCCGCCAGCTACGGCTGGGACGAGGAGATCGCCGTTCTGGATATCGTCGCCGGCGGGAGGCTCGGCACCAACGTCAAGAAGGGGTATTTGATCGGTGGGGCCGTGGTAGGTGACGATGGCGATGGTCATGATAATGCAAATACGGATGAGAAAAAGCAGGCAATAGATAAGAACCCTAACGCCCCGCGAGCTCGGGCTTTCTGTATAGAATGGGCGGCAATGTAGATATGCGTAATACTATGTACCGTGCTATCGTACCTAGCTTAGCCACACCTATTAATTAAGAGAATAATACTGTACCAACTCAAGACGCATAAGAATTAAGAGATTTGTGACATGAACGAGGTGAGGCGGTCCTCTTTCCCATCATACTTATGTAGAATTGAATGTACCTAAAAACCGGTTTACCTAGCATAACTGCCTAAGCTATGTACCTATGCATACCGCAACCGTGACATGACCCCTTCCTAATGAGACCAGAACTCCTTACATGTAATAATAAAAAGGAAGCGAAAAGCGAAAATAGATAAAACATCACATCGTCTAACCACTGTGCCCCCTTCGCTACAACACAACAAGAACCCCTCCCCCCCTTTCCATCGACTCATTCATATCCGTCGCATCCCTCATGAATATAATATCCCTGTCTCAACGATACGTCTTCCAACGAAAAGGATGGGGAGCGTCGGAGAGACTAAGCTAAAGAGCAACAACGAAAAAAAAAAAAAAAAAAAAAAAAAAGGAAGCTTGAAGACCAGGTTCGCCTCAACGCCACTAATGATGATGATGAATCGCCTTGCGTTTTTAAACCGAGGTCATCTATTGCGGAAGGAAATTCTAAGTGATGCCGATTTGTTGAACGAAGCATGCGGATTGACATTCGCTGCTCGGCAAAAGTCGTGGACAAAGAATCCGTAAGGGCCCGAAGTCAGCGGAGGGAAAATCGCACGTAGAGTTGGAACGAACGTATGACTGGAACTCAGTCGTCAGGGTACGTATATGCGGCTAAAGCTCACGACGTCTCTACGGCAGCAGACGCATTTATCAAAGTTGTTCATTGCCAAGGTGACGCGACACTCGTCACATAGGCTGAGACAGCGACACGGCCACACAATAATTTTGCGGGGAGATGAGTGGCATACAACGCACTGAGGCCCTCCCCTGTCGTCATCGCTACTATCTTGTTGGAAGTCGCTATCATGGGCCACCTCTATTCGCCTCGCGATAATCAAGTCCTCAAGGAGCTCGGATTCTTCCTCGTCCGAAAGCTTGTTTTTGCTAGCCCGCTGTGGGAAGAAAAGGCGCCCGCGTTGATTCTGTTGCATGCGCGCGTACTTAGAACGCGTAATAATCTGATCACTGCTTAGGTGGGCGGCGAGGGCGTGGGCTTCGCGGCGCTCCTCTGGGCTTCTTGGATGGAGTAGCCTGGCAAGATCGTTCATGGCCAGGGGTTGGTCGAAGGGAGTCGTTTCACGGGATAATGAGAAGTGCGGAGATGCTTGCGTGGGTGTTCTCTGGCCATCGTTTTCCTGGAAATCGTTCTCATCAATCCACTGACCCTGATCGTCTTCATCCCCCGCGATACTGTATATCGTACTCGTCGTATCCCAATTGCTATCATTTTCGTCCGGCTCCCAATCACCGCTGGTATCCACAGATCCCCATAAATCGCCGTACTTCCAAGAGTTGTACAGCCTTGAGTCCAGCTCCTCATCTGGCATATTAGCTGTCTCAGGGGCCATCTTAAGACGTCTTCGTATTTCAGCCTCAACATCGGCAGTCTCGTCATTATAGAGCCTACTGCTCCGCCTATTTCGACCCAATAGTAGGGAATGCGCTTCTGTAGGGGGTTTCCTTTCGTTTTTGTTGTCTTGTTTCGGCCAGCGAGAAAGCCAGACCAAGATGCGAGGCCGGGTTGTAATCCCAAGACGGCTAAGAGCCTTTAGAAGAAGTACTGCGCCCCATCGCAATAGAAGCCTGTTAATATTCATGATAAACTCGACGGCCAGAAGCCAACGCGAGCTACGCTCGGTAGCCCCTACTCCATCTCTAGCACGTTTTTCCCCGATGCGCGTTTTAGGGATTATCTGAGCCGCTCGTTCTCGCGCGTATCCGCTTGACGCACCAAGCTGTCCGTCTTTGATTGGCACTAACCCTATGGCTCCTACGGAGTCGTATTGCGAAGCGCTTAGACCCGATCCGACCCATTGCATACGTATGGACTCAAGCTCCTTAAGTCTCTCTTCTTCGAGCCACGTACGACTCTTCACGTTGATGCCCCTGTCCTCGTTCAGGTAAACGGCTTCACTCGCCATGGTAATGACACTAAAGCCAGTCCGGAGTAGCGCAGTATAGAAGTCCATTTCTCGCGATATGCGGATATCGGATAGCGAAATATTTGCTTGCATGTTCTCGTGCGCAAGCGCGAATCGTTCTCGGAAAGATAAGGCCTGTCCGTTAACATTCCACCGATCCGGAGGTTGCATCGCTGAAAGTACCAAAGCTATAGCATATATGGCAAGGCACACGAGCGTACCGGCAAATACCAAAAGATGTGGGATGAAACCTATGATGCAGACCGTAGGAAACCTAAAAAACCCCATGGTGGTTGGACTGTCGATAGAGAAATCTAAAGCTTCTATCACGATGCTGCCCATGAAACAAATCGCCCAGAAGCCGGTACTTACTAATCGATACCGGCTTTGTAAATTAAAAACGCCCAATACGTGGCTGGTAATATGGCTCATGGCAGAGAGGAAAGCGACTAGAAGAACTTCGGGGGGTGTGTTGACCCGCTTCATTATCATAGACCTCGATACTGCGATGCTAGCCCCGGAAGCTTGTTGGAATGTTATATTGGAACTACTGCCACTCGAAAATATACCCCAACCAAGTTGGTTGCTGATAGCGGCGTCGGCTTCGGCAAAAGCCAGCGAGTGCTCGAAAAGGGTCATACCGGTCTCGACAGCCACTTGACGTCCTTGCACTGCACATGAAATCGTTTCTAGGAAATGACTTAGGCACAATGTCCCGAAAAGAGGCCATAGCAGCGACAAGGATCCATGTAATTCGTTCGAGTAGTCGTAATTGCTCGGAGGGACCATCTCCACTGCGCGGCAGCTGTCGTAGTCGGTGGCTCCCAAAAGGAACACTGTGCTGAGCCCATGTAAATATGCGGAGGGTTGTGCAAACATGAGATCCGATGTCTTGCTAGCGTTGCCCCAGCGCATTTCGGCGAAGTCGGGAGATGTTTGACACTGGATGGATTGTAGAAGTTGCCGAGCTTGGTATGCGAAGAGAATGATAGGTATGAAGCGGAGAAACAGTCGTACAGGCCACGTCAGATGTAGTCTTCTCCGCGATGCTGCAAATATGTGTGTGCGGTTTAAGATGATGGCCTGCAATAATACCAGACGTCAGAAAATTTCTTTTTTAACGTCGGAAGAAGGTAACAAACCATAGCAATACAGCAGAGCGCCCACTTGCTTGTGGCATAGCTGAAAACGCTACCCAAACCCTTGCTGCCATCGGCGGAGAACTTGGAGACCAAAACGGCGGGGTCCTGATCTTCGTTCTCTAATACTTCTGCTGCATTAGCGGCAGCTTCGGATACTTGTGTAAGCATATCGGCGGCGGCGGTCGTGGAGAGAAAGAAGTCGGATGTCGTTGGGTCGGCAATGACTCGTTGCCCAAAACCGTCAACGGCATCGGGGAAGGATATGATGCCAAGCTTGGTCAACATCCTCGGCCCAGCCAGAATGAGATCCTCAAGCGAGGGTGCAAACCTGGTTACGTTGTTGACAGAATATCTGAGGTGCTGGGCCGTCCAGGAAGTGAAATTATACCAGATGCTTGAATTATCGAAGAGCGTAGGTGCCGGGCCGGCGGTCGCGCCTGGAGAAGCCATTTAGTATTTAGTAGCTGGGGACTTTTATCTGGGGTATGCGAGAGGCGACCAATGGCTACAAGTCGGCCGCGACGAGATCTGATTTAGGCACGGGTGCTTCCAATCAGAGAGTAACTACAATTAGGTCATTCAGAAGCTCCGAAACAATCGAATTATTAGCCAATGCATACTCGCTGCAAACACATGACGACTTCCCGTCACGCGTGCATTTGTTGCATTTGTTGAGAGGTGGAAATGTTGTGTGGGCTGCTTTCTAAAAGAATTACATATATATGAGGCAGGTGGGCATGTATGGAAATATATACCTTAGGTTAGGTAGGTAGAGGTAGGTAGGCATGTAAGATGTAGGAAGGCAAGTGGGCATTTAAAGCAGACGATGTCCGAACCAACTGTTAACTGTTCCAGAATCTAGACAAGGTTCAAGAACTTGATCAATACAGGTAGGAGGTACCTACCCTGACACCTTAACGTCAAGTAAATTAGCGGGTAGGTGCATAGCTCTGATAGCTTAAAAGTTGCAGGCGACCGGTCGCTAGGTATGTCCTAAAGATTAGGTCATTAGTAAGACTCAACGCAACAGCCCGTTCTAGAAACGCCAAAAATAGATTTTGGCACTGCTTTAATATATCTACCTAACCTTAGGTACCTACCTGCATTGATTTGCTACTCGATAGGTACCAGGTAGATGGGAGCTAAGGTTCTTGGAGTGTTTATTGTGTATCTGCATGTTTGCACATATTAGTTCCTGAATAGCTCTACATCATTGCGACTCTGTTTTTACTTGGGTATATTTAAATTGCTAAGTCCGTAAGTGAGAGACATTTTAAGTCCTCACCAAGTTTAATTACTCACACTCACATCCGTAGTTTCGAAAAGAGATGCATCATCCCCAAAGAATCGCAACCGCGGGTGATGGACCACCTCTATCAACGTCTTCAACATTTGCCTTCAGTCATCATGGTACATGACACATGGCATGCCCTTTCCCTCCAGCAGACCTCATCTCATATTGGCTGTTTATTAACGTCGAGCCTAATACGAGGTATTCGGCTTTCTTAAATACCGTACGAATCCATGTCATAAATGGAGCATGGCTCACGTTCAGAGAGGAGTTGGACTCCGAACTCGATATGCCATCAATGCCTGTCCAGGCTTTCCGCATACGAGTTTTTCTACTTGCCCCCAGAACCGCATCTACCAATGACTAGATGTCCATCTTATAAGCCTGTTAGGTTTAAGAAACATCTTGCCCTGGTTTGACCGTTTCATTCAACGCCTGGATGAGCACACGGTTTGCATTGCGGCAGGCTACAAGGCTTCTCTCTACCAGCTTGTTGTAAAGCATAGCGTCGGCGCCGGGTAGCTGACCCTTAAACCAAACATTGGTCACCTCATCCCTCGTCGGTAGGTATGCGACGCAACACGCCGCGAATATTTTATGATATGAGGCAACATCCGGATCGAGGACGATGCTCGGCTGACTCTTCTCGTCCTGGGCAGCTAGGGCCGCAACGCCTCCGGCGACAGTATCGACGCAGTCGATGCCAGCGTCCGCAATGGCCGCAGAGGCAACAGTAATGCACCCACTTAAGACGTTCATCATATCCCAGCCTTCATCTCTATCGTAATCTGGTGAGTCACGGTTCTGATCTCCTTCAATTATAGTGACGATGATGTCAACACCACTTTTAGGCCAACGATCCGCGATAATTGCGCCCCGTAGTGCCGTTTCCAGATGAACTCCGAGATCCCTCTCACTCGAGTCGCGTAAGTAGCTTCGTCTTTGTCTCGTCGCAAAAGGTGCATATTTGACGTGCGTCGAAAGAATGATATGAGGAGAGAAAGGCGCGGATCGCGGAAGTGCTCGAGGGCCATGAACGGTGCAGGTCAGCTTCAAGCTCGTGCCTGAAGGACGAGTCGCAAATGGGTCTTCGATTTCAAGATATGCGGATCCCGAAGCTGAGGGAGTAACTCCTGTTTTGAGAACTATACATAATTCATCATATTAGACAACTTAACTTGGGTACCTAGTATGCGCATGAAAACCATGACGACTTACAGATCTTTCGGACAACATTATCGCCCGGACGCTTTGCTATTATTTTCTCTCGAGGAGCATCGTATATGGGAGGAATTGTTTGGCCAACAGGGCCATTTATTCGTCTTCTATCCGCCATTGCGCAAAAGTGTATGGCGTTCCAGAATGTTGTGTTGGTAAGAACCGTTCAGATGCCGCGATCAATGAGCTTGCAGGCTTGTAAGGAAGCTTGAAAATTCCATGCAACCTTGAGCGTAAAAGCTGTCCCACTTAGGTATGCCCACCATTAGGTACCCACTAACCTGGTGAACCCCTCAGCCCCTGCACCTTGCGTTCTCTGCCAGCACACTAGCCAATCGGTCATCAACTTTTCCGTTCTCCGAAGAATTTTTTTTTTGAACTGGACCTCAAAACCGAAATTTCTTTCTTCGCACTCTCTTAAACAATGCAAGTCAGGACTGGATGCTTAACCACTCAACATCTATGAGCATCTGCAGCCATGGACTTTGTGGGATTAAGGGCTGGTCTGAAGAAGTTGTCCTAACGTCATTTTTCATATTCTACCTAGATATGAAACAGGATGACTCTTCCTTGTGACGCATTAAATAGATCGTCGCCGACGGTTGGAATGTCGAACCTGACTGACCTTCATGAATACTTTGGTAAGTTATCTACCTCTCCTTTCGATCCCCAAACAGACCCTTCTTTCCTAGTAGGTCCTTCTGCTACTGATGAACCCAATTCCACTGTTCTTCGCGATTACCTGAGCGCCTGAACAAACATGCACTACCATCTGAAGCACAAATCAGTTACTACTTTTGCCGTGTCATATTTTGGTTCATCGACTAACCGTCATCTTAGGATCATAAGTGTCCAGAGTCAATATACCTAACGGCGATTGCAACCAGCAATATACAGTTAAGGTAAGCAAACATTGCAACTTGCTTTCCTTGTCGTTATTCGTGTCCATGATGAATCCTTTCTTATCAGTTCTGCTTCTGAAGCGCTGTGAAGATACCCATATACCAAAAATTTTATTCTGATTGTTTACCTCTATCTTCTTATCACTTGAGTCCTGAAAATAGCGCAAGCTAACGTGGAAAAAAGTAAAATTTTAGCAATATCTTAAGCCTGATTTACGGCACAACCCAGGCTACCCACAATCATAGCTTCGATAAAGTTGTAAGTTGAAATCTACTCTGTTACGTGGCGCTTTTTGTCATGATGAAAACTGTTTATCCATTCAACTATCTCACATCGGGTCGAGCCTCCCTCCCGCACCATAACTATCCTCTTGGGTGGTGATGATTGGTTGTGGAGTTGTCGGCAGGCATGGCTTTCAGCTAGGCTTGCCTCGATGTCATGAAGGCTTCCGTGCTTTTGATTTTTGTGCTTCGTCTTGAGGCACACATTTCGAAGGCCGATTCGAGTGAATGAGTAAACTGGTTTGTCTGAATTCATCTACAGCCGAATTGTTTTATCTAGGGTATTGCCTATGATCTTTGCTGACACCTAGCAATAGGCATTATTGAGCACAGTGAAGCTCAAGAAACCAGGAGCCATGACTCTTGTCCATCTTGTAGGATTTAACTACGCAACAAGGTAAGAGACATATAATTTGGGTTAATAGTGCACATATATGATATATTCGCCCTTGGCATTGCCTCGTAATCTTCATATAGCTCTTGTTGACGAAATATAAAGTCTTTGCGATATCTAAATTTCTATGACTTCTTGTGAATAACAAAAGGACTGGCTTGATGGTTAGGGAAGATGAGGGTGTCTGCTATTATGACATTTTCTCTCCTACCAGCGGCGAATACGATGACTTCAGCAATGTCATCAGGCGTGAGAGGCTCCCCTCCGCTGAATCTAATATGAGTATATGCGGTCGCTCAAAGAAGTAGAGTGGGCGGGTGTACTTACGCATAGACAGCATCCGCCTTGCTCTTGTCGCCGTAGAACCGTACAAGAGAGAATTCCTAGAAAATGATCATATTAGCTCTTAATACCCCACGTACATCGTACCATCCATCATTTGGTAGGAAGAACGTAGGGTTTAAAAACAAAACATACCGTCTCGACTTGGCCTGGATCGATCTCAATGACGCGGACTCGCGAGGCAACAAGCTCCTTGCGCAGGGCGTCAGTGAAGCTGCGGACGGCGGCCTTGGTTGCGCAGTAGATGCTGCCGCCGGGGTAAGGCTCGCGCCCGGCGATGCTGCCGACGTTGATGATGTCGCCGTGGCCGCCGTCGGGTCGCTTGAGGAAGATGGGGAGCACGGCCTGGGTCAGGTTGATCAGGCCGGTGACGTTCGTCGCGAACATGACGTTGAGGTCCTCCTCGGCAATCTCAGGGGCGCGGGCTACGCCTTTGACGAGGCCGCTGGTTATGCATGTCAGTTAGGTAGTAAATTCGGGGCCAATTTCATATATATCAAAGATGTATGTATATCAGGTAGGTATATTTATCTTATTCCTATGCTCAAATCTGATTATACTCTCGCTCCAATCTCCCTCGGAGCCTTTTGCCGCTCAAAAAAATGAAAACTATATTTGTACCTAACCTAGGCAGCTTTGGTTGGGAAGTACTTACGCATTATTCACCAGGACATCGATTTCCCGGAACTCCTCGGGAAGACTACCCACAAAGCCGCGGACCTCGTCGGGGTTGCTGACGTCGAGCTTGACGGGCAAGACGCGGACGCCGGGGCCGACCTCCTTCGCGATGTCGTCGGCGAGCTGGCGCAAGTTCTCGACGCGGCGTGCCGTGACCACGAGCTTCAGGTTCTTGGGTGAAGTTCGCGCGAACTCGAGCGCCGTGCTGCGTCCGATGCCCGAGGACGCTCCCGTGATTACGATGGTCTTGCCCTCGAGGCGCTTGGCTACGGCGGAAGACATGGCGCTTCTGCCGATGAGGTTTATATGGTGGAGGGGTTGGAGGGGTTGGAAGAGAGATGCTCTTGGACGAGATGCTGAAAGTGCGAAGCGTCCGAGGTGCCGAAGCGTAGAGAAGAAGAGGCTTCCTGTTTGCAGGATGGGCATAAGGTATGTATACAAGGAGAAAACGGGAAGGGGAATAGAAAAAGATGCGAAGGCTTTATTAATGAAGAGGACTAGTTTAGGTACCTCTAAGGTATAAGAAAATACGACGGGTGTGTGTAAGTGCGCGATGATGTGCTCAACCCCGCCATAGCTAGCTACCGCTAACCACCACAAAAGGTACCTGCGCAATCTCGCTGCCCCGCCGTTACGACTTCCGTATCGGAACTCCTCGGCTTATACCTGCTATGAGAATTATGAGTCTCATCTTGTTTCGGGCTATAAATAAACAATCTCAATACCCGATAATGTTTATCTGACAAAAAAGTATAATCAGTTTCAAGTCACAGAAGTTTATTAGTAAAAAGGGAACTTCTGATGTCATTTTATCAAAATGATGAGAAAAAAAAAAAAGAAAAGCTTATGTTGAGGAAGGCCCCGCCGAGGATTGAACTCAGGTCTCAGGAAGTTTGTACGAATCAAAATCCTGCGTGCTAACCACTACACTACGCGGCCGTTGAAAATCGTCTTATAAAACGCGAATATGTAATAAGCACACAACCTTACGTAAAACTTCGGGTGTCTTTCTACCAACTAGCGTTGCTTTAGTCCAAACGGCTCCACCTCGGCTCCACCTCAAGACATGGAGCTCAACTTTCAAACGGCTTTGCTGTCACTCATCTTACTCTACTACCTCTTACTATAGTCTCTTTTTTTTTTTTTTTTTTCTATATTACTATTGGTAGCATTACTACATACCCCTTACCTCGATACTCTCTATATGAAATCCGAGGGAAATGTAATGCATTATTCTTTTCGAGCTAGACTCATAATGCTCGATCGATCGACTATGAAGAACTATATCACAATCGACTAATTACTAGGTACCTAACCTAAGGTAAAAGGCGGCTGGGCAAAGAAAACTCAATGATGAGGATGAGGATGAGGAAGATGATATCTAGATTAATCTACAGATGTAGCCGTACCTATATAGGTACGTTAAGAATGGAAATGGAAAACAAATCAATCCACCATAACCGCTGAAGCTGGTAATTATTTACACGATGATGACGACACAGCCAAGACTCGCAACTTGCTTTGGAACATCAAGAAATCGGCAACATGCGGAAATACTTGTTAATGAGTCCCACTATCTTAAAGTATTCTTATCGAATATTTGCCCTGGCTCTTTCAATTGTAATAAATGATGTACATCCAAGTCAGCTCACCATTATATTATCAACAACTACATCATGTCAACCCCACTGTACAGCGAGATAGCCCACGCCGCACATAATATTACCGCCCCTTTTCAGTCGAAGAAGCGTGAGAACGAAATTGATGTCTCCGAAAAGGGGAAGTCGACACAACGTAGTGAGGCTAAGCGACAAAAAAAGCTTGAGAAAGCAGAGAAACGCCAGCAGGAACAAGAAGAGTTAGAAGAGCGTTACCAACAGGAAGATGAGGTAGCGGAGCAGGAAGAAGACGAGGAAACTAAAGTGCGTTATGGCGAAAATGTTCATCCTCACGAGCTATTCTCGATCGCGCAGGTTGTCAGTCTGCCAATAGGGTCTGAAGTCAATTTCCGTGCTAGAATACACACCCAGAGACGGGTGTCTCGAGCTTTAGACTTCTTACTATTTCGGAATCAGACAGATTCCATCCAGGGAGTCCTCTCGCACGCTTCACCACATATGATACGATGGGTGCAGAGACTCAACCCCGAATCCCTTGTCCATGTCACCGGAACGCTACAGAAGCCGGAACAGCCCGTCACATCTGCGACGTTTCCGGATGTGGAAGTCAAGATTTACTCCATACATCTTATTAACTCGGCCAACGAACTACCCTTTGATAACTATGAACCCCCTGAAGCACTTCGTCAACGCCTATCCGGTCGTGTAGTAGACCTCCGGCACCCGAGTAATCAGGCCGTCTTCCGAGTCCGCTCTATGATCGTACGGAAGTTCCGTGAAGCTTTGGATGATCAGGGCTTTCTAGAAATTCAAACGCCCAAATTGCAACCTGCAGCTACCGAGAGCGGCTCGGAAGTCTTCAAAGTGCAGTACTTTGGCAGGACCGCGTTTCTAGCACAGAGTCCGCAACTTGCCAAGCAAATGGTCATATCAGGAGATTTTAAAAAGATCTACGAAGTAGGTCAAATGTGACTTTGAACTATTACAAAATGCTAACCTCTGGTCTCGAGATCGGTCCCGTGTTTCGTGCAGAAAACTCAAATACACACAGGCACTTAACAGAATATACTGGACTTGACATGGAAATGTCCCTGAGGGAGTCTTATAAAGAGCTCATTGAGACAGTTGATAAAGTTCTCAAAACCATATTTGCTGCCGTAAAATCCATGCCCGAATTACATAACGTTCGGGAGAGGTGGCCTAGTAAGGACCTAGTCTGGCTAGACGAGACTTTGATCATGCCATTTCGCGAGGGAATTCAGATGCTCCGGGAGGATGGGAGAGAAGTTGGGGAGGAAGACCTCTCTACAAAAGATGAAGTGCGTCTCGGCGAACTCGTAAAGGAAAAGTACCACACTGATTACTACATATTGGATAAATTTCCGGCGAACGCCAGACCATTTTATACGCATAAAGCCGAGGACCCGAAATGGACGAATTCGTTTGATATATTTCTGCGCGGCCAAGAGATATGCACGGGCGGACAGCGCATACACGATGCAAAAGAACTTCGGGCGAGCATGGCAGAGGCAAAGATCAGCGAGCAAGGCATGGAAGAGTACCTAGCTGCGTTTGATCACGGGCCGCCGCCTCACGGAGGAGCCGGTCTGGGTCTAGAGCGAATAGTGATGTTTCTCCTCGAACTAGACGACGTGAGAAACGCCTCGCTATTTCCCCGCGACCCTAGATCGCTCCCGGCACGTCCGCCAAGTCTCCCCCACCCAGGCGCGGATACCACGATGCCTCGCAATCCAAAGGACGAATACCCGCCCGTTGAAAACTTAATTGCTAACTACGGTGATGCAACGAACACCTCGTGGCTGGATGAGCGCTTTGAAATCTGGCGACACACCACCGGAGCCGCGGTCGGCTTCGTGAAACAAGCTGGGAAATTCGCCATGATAGCCGGCGACCCGCTTTGCGATATGAGCCAATACCGCGAGGTCATCACCTCCTTCGTGGACTTCGTGTGCAAGGACCTGGAGCTCACTCCTGTCTGGATGCTCGTGTCCGAAGACGTGCAGCAAGTTCTAGGCGAGAAGCTAGGCTGGCGAACGCTCAGCTGCGCCGAGGAACAACGCATCGACGCCGACGACCATCGTAACGCGGCTAAGCAGCAAGACGCGCGAAAGGTCCAGCGCGAGGGTATCGTGGTTCGCGAGGTCGTCGATCCGGACGAAAGCTTCGTGCGAAGGGCTGACGAGGCGATCCGCGAGTGGCAGGCCGCGCGCCGGGGAAAGGGGAAACAGATCCATTTGACGGAGGTACGACCGTGGGTAGACCGAGAGCACAGGCGATATTTCGCCGCCGAGAAAGACGGCGCGGTGCTCGGGCTCGTGGTGCTGGCGCAGCTCGCGCCGCGGCACGGATGGCAGGTGAAGTGGGCGTTCGACTTCCCGCGCGCGCCCAACGGCGTCATCGAGGTCCTGGTCGAGACGGCGCTGTCGGCTCTCCGCGGGCCGGTGACTTTCGGCGCCGGGGTCTCGGAGCGGTTGACGCCAAGGGCGCGGCTCGGCGGCGTGCGAGCCAAGTTCCTGGAGAGCGCTTACAACGTCATCGTCAGAAACCTCCGGCTTGGCGGCAAGGCGCAGTTCAGGGAGAAGTTCGGCGCGCTGGGCGAGCAGGTATTTATCTGCTACCCGCGGCGTGGGCTGGGGGTTACGGATCTCCAGCAGATTGTCAAGTTCTTCGAGGACTGAGTTATGCGGATTTAGGATATTATGTATGGTGCTTACGTCTAGGCCCTGACCTACAGCAGCAGCAAGCTAGATTTTTTTTATTATTAATTTTTTTTATGCAGCTTTGGCTTGGTGATTTTCGTTTCGGCTTAATTCCGCGACTCTATGCATTTATTGCCGCCTATCCGTCTTGATGTATATATGACCTACAGCATACTAGGTCTGAGCTTAACTCCGGTGCTTGTTTGTGATGGAGATATGAGATAGCATAGGATATCATGGCTAAAAATATGTATTCGTCTTATAATAGTTGATATTGGTAAAATAGGAACTTTGGACTAATAACCTATGTTCATGACACTGACGCCCTCCATCGAGGCCCGGTATAAATCGATTATTTCCGAATTATTCTAATCCAGGTAGTCCAAACTTGCTGGAGAAGAGGTCCGACTAAATGATTAACGAGGTTGGCATGTCGGTGTAGAGCATAGCTATATTCCCAGATATATTCCCGTCGGCATAAAATCTTACTGCTGACCGACTGGAGCTGAGGGTAGGCACGGGTAGGTAAGGTTTCACAACAGTGCAACCATGTCGCGATGATACCTGTTTTGTACATTATAATCTCCATTAAAAAGACGCCGAGATGCCGAGTTGATGCATGGATATATGTCAGCCAAAGCCAAAAATATGATATCTGAGCGTTCCTTTTCTCTGCCGCATTTCCGTGTGGTCCTCCATGTTCGTCAGATTCTAGAGTCTAGACTACCTACCTCCTACCTAACGTACCTAGCCTAGAGATACATGCAGTTAAACGAATCCAAAACCTGGTTCCATTCGGCAATCCTTCTCCGTCGGAGTCTTACAACAGGGTAGATTATGTAAGGTGACCAACCTCGGCGTCGCTCGGAATCGCATAGCAGACTGAGTCTGCCAGTTACGTAGACTGGTGACGAACTTTAAATGAGTTTTTCTACAGCGGGATACGTTCGGCATCCCCCAGAAACATGGCAAGGGCCTCACCGGCCGACCCGCAGCGTCTTTGAGAAGAAGGAAAAAAATTGGACTGAGCCACCACCGCTCGCGCGTCCTTGACGAACACTGGGCTGCTATATCGCTAAAACGGGAATAATCGTGCTCCAGGGGGCCAGACATAGCATCCCTGGTAAGCAAGCAAGTATGCGCTCGTCACATCTAGGTTAGTAGGTGATGGGGGTTTAGACTACCTATGCGGTGTCACAATCTCCAAGCCCATGGTGTTGTTACCACGGAAAGCTGCAATAGGGGGCGCTGAGGCACAATGCGGATCTGGTTAAGGGGATGTTGAATATAAAATAGTAAAGATCTCCCCTCCTCCTGGACCGAACTTTTGAATCATCGTCCATCAACGAGGAATCCCAGGCCAGCCAAAACCTCCTATTCATCTCTCAGTTGTATAATCCGTTTTTGGGCAGATTCATTGTATAGTTTCTCGAGATGAAGTACACAAGCGGTCTCGCGGGTGTCGGGTTATTCCACCTCGCCCTCGGCCTTCCACGGCCGCAGTGAGTAGCACCTAGGGCGTCTTATACAGAATAGCGCTGACAACTATTACAGGATGACATACGAGGAGAACCAAGGAAGTGTTGGTGGTGTTGACGCACCTATTCCCACCTACAGCGGTGCACCTGTAGGAGACCTTCGCGGCTCCACGGACCTTCAAGGGGGTATCGCATCCCGTCCTTCTGCGGATGGAGGTGACTCCGCCGTCGTGGAGGACCCGCAGTTTGTGAACGGGCAAGACGCAGACGGCAAACTTGGTCTGTACCTGGACTTCAACAGCGCCGAGTATCCCAACGGACCTCAGCCTATGCGTGGTGGCCAGGGAGGCACTGACCCCGGGCCGCGCACGTACGAGTACGAGAAGCTGAACCCCGATACCTACGCTCCGCCTGCGACGGATAAAGGCAGTGTACAGCAGGCCAAGTGGCCGCTAGGCCTTAGCCACAACCTGTTAGGATCCGGCAAGCAATCGGGTTGGGCCCGGCAACAAAACCAGGAGGTGTTGCCTGTAGCTACTGCGATGGCGGGTGTCGATATGCGCCTCGAGCCAGGTGCGTACCGAGAACTACACTGGCACACCTCTGGCGAATGGTAAGCAGGACTCGCTCCCTATAAGTCTCCTGACACTTATCTCAAACCTGGAAACTAACATCTCGACCTTCAAACTAGGGCTTTGGTCTTAAAAGGCTCGGTTCGCGTAGCGGCTATCGACACCGACGGAGCCTCTTTCGTCGACGATCTCACGGCGGGCGATGTCTGGTTTTTCCCGCAGGGTGTTCCTCACAGTTTGCAAGCCCTGCACCAAGGCGTCGAGTTCCTGCTGGTCTTCGACAGCGGCGACTTCTCCGAGTACAACACGTTCCTCGCTACCGAGATGCTCATGCGCACGCCTGTATCTGTCTGGGCCAAGGACCTCCAGACCGACGTTAGCGCGTTCGACTACATCCCCGACAAAGAGAAATATGTAAGTTGTGTACCTCTACCACCCTGAGCACAGGATATCCGAATTAACTAGGTGTTACCTAGATCTTCAACGGCACCCCGGCTCCATCCAACATCTCTGAGCAGAACATCACGTCTTCAGCCGGTGCTCTCTGGGGCCCTAGCGGATACACCTACCACTGGTCGCAGCAAGAATTCCACAACACCACGGGCGGAGCCGTCAAGATCCTCGACCCAGCGACCTTCCCCGTAGCGGACATGTTCTCCGCGGCACTCGTGGTCCTCGAGCCGGGCGCGATGCGGGAGATCCACTGGCACACGGAGAGCGACGAGTGGTCGTACTTCCTGCAGGGGTCCGCGCGCATCACCATCTACGAGGCGCCGTCGGCGTCGGGGACGTTCGACTTCACGGCGGGGGACGTGGGGTACATCCAGAAGTCGGCGCTGCACTACGTGGAGAACACGGGGACCGAGGACGTCATCTTCCTCGAGGTCCTCCAGGCCAAGAAGTTCTCCGACATCAGCGCCGCCCAGTGGCTCGCCCTGACCCCGCGCCAGGCCATCAAGGACACCCTCAACCTCACCGACGAGGTCCTCGACGCTATCCCAAAGGAGAAGACCCTCATCAAGCCTGGTAACCCCAACATGACTGCTATTGCGGTGGACGGGAAGCCTTAGATGGTTGGAAAGAGATCCTGAGAGAAGAAATGTATGGTTCGATGACGGTTACCTGTTTAATGACTAGACGTTGCGAAAGATGACGAGCTATCAGTTAATCATATAGACGCTGGAATTTTTTCTATAGTATATGGCCAACCTAAGTTAATGTTTTAGCCTATTTTCTTCCTGATAGAATACAAATTACCTTGATGCTTATCTCATAACTATATTCTAGAATGTACGATAATACTTGTTCCTCCTTAAATAAGCTACCTAAGGTATAGGACCATGCGTGAAACTGCTGTCGACTTGACAAGATTAAGACTAAGCTTGTTTGCCATCTTCGCTCTTTTTCTCCCTTCACCGCTCCCTGTCATTTTTTCCTTTCTCTGATTTGCCTTCTACTCCCGTTCCTTTACTTCACTGGGAGATTTTGCCCGAATGCTAGTTATACTAGCCTCGAATCTCGCCAAACCACCCAGCCAAAGTCGCAAACTTGATGCCAAGAGTGGTAATAGGATATATAGCAAGATTCCAGGCATCAGGCCCCCAATTAGTTGTGTCGAATACGGCTACCCAGCCGCGAGGATCGTTTTGAGCAATAGTCGAAAAAAGGCCGGCCCAGTGCGTGAGATCTGCAATTATCAAGACCCAGATGTGAAGCTGCAACAAGCGCTTGTTGGGCGGCGACGCGAGGAGAATGACTAGACCGTATAGCATCATGTTGAAAAGATAACCCGTCGCCATCGACGGAACGATTAAGGATGGGAGAGGCAGAGCATTATGCGCTTTGGATGAAAGCTCGAATATGGGGCGACGTGAGGCATATTGGGAAAACATACCGTATGCTCTGTATATGTTAACTGTGTGATTCTGGTAGAAAACATAAGGACCTAGGGGATATACATACATCGCAGCTGGTTCTAGATAAAGAAAGAATATGCGGGGAATGATGGGAAGAAGAGACGCTGTTGTTGCCATTCTAGGTACTTTACTAAAGGTTTGACCCGATTGAAGTATTTCTCGGTGGAATTGAGGATCGAGGACGAGTATAATGATATTTCAGGTAGATCATGTGTCACTTGATGATAATTTCTCGAGGAAAAACAAGAAGATATTCGAGATGAAGCCAAAAAACTAGGGGAAACACCTGAGGCTAAAAGGTGCTTCTTATAGACTTACCATAGAACATGGCTTGACAACTATTGATGGGATGAACTACAATGAGAATGGAGATATATGCGGATTACTGTCTGTATTATCGCGTTGCGGCATAGGATCTTCACCGAGCCCCGTCTCACGAACCAGTCTCGTACTCAGGTGACTCATTAGGGTTGAATAAAGTGGTATTCAAAAGGACTTCGGGGATCTTGGCTATCCGAGATGACCCACGCCCGCCAGTCATTCACGCTACCACACTACCAGCACTCAAAGACTTTTCAGCTCATCTTCCTGTTAGTCTTCACTCTCTTGGCTCAAAATGGCATAAGGGTTGATAGACGGTGATGTCTTGGCACCTCTTTGGCGTCCTTTACGCGGTAGCAACTCAGTATCTCGCTTCTGTCTTTTTCTCGGCTCTGAAGAATCCTCAGGAGGTTCCTCGGTTTCGATGCGGGGAATTCCAAGAATGTCTGTGATGATTCGAAGCCCCTCTACCTTACCGAACTCAGATAACTGATCAGACATCTGTTCGATAGTAGGCCATTCTCCAATAAGTGGAAGTAGTGCGAGACGGCTGTGCAATTGCCGTGCTGGCGCTGGGAGATCATGATTCATAAAGGAGACGACATCTAGGATCTGTTTTGTTATCCTTAGCGAGTATAAACAGGCTTGAACTTGGGCTGTGAAGTGTATCAAGTCCCACGAGTATTCCTCCAGAAGCTTTGGCCCACACATTGCTTTGCTGACGAGCGCTGCTGATAGAGAGGGGCGATGCTCTAATGTGGACCATTCAATGTCCTGGTATATAGCGAACGCCAACCATTGTAATGAAGATGGGAAGGCTGCATCCATTTTTTCCAGTATCGTTACGAGTTGAATGCAATTATCGATCGTCTCTTCTAGGTTAGGGATCTCAACTTGCCGCCCGGCTAATAACGTTGATGGATCCAAAGTACGATATTCAATAATTGTGCTATATCTTTGGCCAGTTAGACCCTGAAGAATACTGTACCCTATTTGTCTAGCGATTGTACTAGCTGTCCATGCGCTTTTTCTGTCGTGGTTTTCAATCATGATTGGAAGGAATATAGAGAGCGTTTCTGGACCTCTCAATGTCTTCGCATCTGCTTCCGAAGATTCTGCTTCTACCTCTTCTAAAAGTAAAATTTGAACGACGACTTCTGATATTCTGGGGTCTAGGTTAGAGAGTATACTAAGCACTGGATGGTGACTTGGTATATAATCTTTCACTTCAAGGCTTTCCAGAAAAGCCTGATATTCCGGTGAATGTAGAGTGTCCTCATGACAGTCGCGAGTTCTCTGCAAGGCCGCGTCAAAGCTCATTCTTGCCTTCTGCTTTTCAAAGGCGACACGAGGTAGACCGCCAATATTTGTCAAGCCTAGCCGGTCGTTGATATCATGAAGTGAAATCTTCATTGCCTGCATACCGGATTCTTTCGAGGTAGGATCGGCCGGAACAACATCCCAAAAGAATGATACACAACCCTTAAGGCCAAGGTTTTGAATGAGTAAGTCGGAATCGCTTGTGAGCAAAGTGCCGCCATTTTCTCGGATATCTTGCGCGCAAAAGATATCAGCTTCTCCGGGGACAACTACGACTATGGAGCCCCAGTCTTCGCTGCCCTTTAACGCCTCGAGAACTGCGGGGACCATGAAAGGGGGCTTGGGTGATGTATCTGAAGCAGACCGAGCAAGTTGCCGAGTTAAATTTGTATCAGCTCTCACGTCTTCGAAGGCACCTTCTGGTGTTATAGGTGACCCAAACGGCTGTGAAGACGCCAAGGCCTTCATACGCTGGGATTGGTTTAGGAGCCGTTCTCGTCTCACTTCCCATTTGCTTGGGGGCAGATATCCATCAAAATATATCTTCCTTCTATTCGTAAAATGTCAGTTACCAAGATATCTTGTCGAATGCCATTATCAACTCACATGACCACCCCGTGGCTCTTCAGGTTGTCAAGCCAGCCTATTACCATACGACTAAGAAGGGAATACGGGGGATGGCAAACGAATCCGCTTGAGGGTGGCCGTTGACGGCAGACTGCGTCAGAAATACGGTGAACAAGAGCTGGTCCATCGATAACGACGGTATCACCACTCAATGATGAGAAGAAGCCATATCGCTGTATAGCCTGGCTAAATCCACGAATACCCATGGTGAAGTAATAAGCTCTGGGCAGACTCTGTAATAAGGTAGGAGATTTTTAATAGTATCCCGAATCACCTATATCCCTTCATTTTCATAGATAGGTACCTCCTATGTTATTGTGGATGCACTGGGGACGTGGCCATTAAACCGGAACAAACACGGGTTACTGCAGGAATTGAGAAGCTTCAGCTCTTAATGCAAAGAGCTGGTGGAGGTACATACCTGAGTGACTACAATACATTAATTTAGTTAGGTGTATACACTCTAGAGGTACCTAATTAGATGCAGGACCAAGGTCGCAGAAAAAAAAAAGAAAAAACTTTAAACCAATTAGAGACTGCTAAAGTCAATTAAACACAGGTATTCGGCAATCCGCTTTCCAATAAGATTTAATCTTGTGTAGCACCTGATGTATACGGCGCCTCCCGCGTAAAGAGCGAATGATAAAATGGTAAGAGGTACATGTAGGTGTAATAAAGTGCTTGCCAATACCTATTTACATCCTATACCTTGAGGCTTGAGGTACCTAGGTAGGTGCTTGCTATTTAATACTTTCCCATGCACCCATTGTACCTCCCTCCCATTAGGTACCGGGTACCTACTATAGTAAGGGTAGGCAAGTGGAGGCTCCGATCAAGTTACATAGCACCCATGCGCTTTCTATCTCTGCCTCTTATCGGTCCTTGGACTACATAGTATGACCCACATAAAACAATCTTTCTTCACTTTTTCACCCAAAACTTTTCTTCCCTTTCCACCACCACACAGAATGCGAGGAACGTTGGTATTCTCGGGCACTTCGTGCCCAGCTCTCACGGGCAAAATATGTGAGAACTTGGGCATGACTCCGGCTGAGGCCGACCTATCTCAATTTTCAAATGTGTGTTATCCTTTTCTTCAACACGTCCACGTCCAACGGGCTAGAGCGGAAAAAAAATAGGCTTGGGCAACGTTGTAACAGCAGAGCTGCCCACTGACATTTTGATCACAATTTGCAGGGCGAGACGAGCGTCCGGATTCTGACCAGTGTCCGAGACAAGGATGTGTTCGTTGTGCAATCTGGAAGTCCCACCATCAATGACACCATCATGGAACTACTTATCATGATTTCCGCCTGCAAAGGTGGCTCTGCGAATAAGATCACTGGTGAGTTTTCTCAAAGCTGCCGCGAGTAAAATAGCCCTGGGGTCATATTATAGACACGGATAGGCATTATTCTACCTGCTAACTACCACACCTTCCTAGCTGTTCTGCCGTATTTCCCTTATAGCCGTCAATCTAAGAAGAAATCGCATCGGGGAGCCATAACCGCTCGAATGCTAGCAAATTTGCTTCACGTGGCTGGTGTGAAGCATGTCATCACGGTCGATTTGCACGCCTCCCAGATGCAAGGATTCTTCAAGTGTCCTGTTGACAACCTCCATGCCGAGCCCCTCATAGCACGCTGGATTCGAATGAATATTCCAAACTGGAAGGAAGCTGTCGTTGTATCCAAGAATGCTGGTGGCACAAAAAGAGTAACATCATTGGCTGATGCGTTGAAACTTAACTTCGGGTTGGTTACTACGGACCGCAAACGTGCCCCCGATATGTCTACGAGTATGATCATGAACCAGCTCGATGGTTGGGACAACCCCCCTGGCTATGTTAATGGCGTTCAGCGTTCGAGAGCCATCTCGGAAGATAGGGATTCGGATGGGAATGGCTCAGCAAGATCGTCGCGGGTTGCTGGCGAATCCCAAGGTTCCCCCAAGCGTGCAACTGCGCCTCCATTGCGGACTAACAGTCTAACACGGTCGCCGTATACGCGAGCATATACCCCCTCACAAACGTCTCCTATCGAGGAGCTGAAGGATGAGGATGAGAACCTTGATGAAGTCCAAGTTTATAACGACGAACGTGCCCAGGAAGTGACTCATGGAAGGTTAGTCCAAGGTCACGTTGTAGCAGACGATTTCCAGTCGGCACCCCAGTCAGATGGCAGTGCGGATGGGAGCCAGTCCTACCAAGGTGGCGACGATGATCCTATGGCAATGTCACATGCTTCGTCATTCTTCGCACCCGAACCGCATGCCCTTGGAGGCTCAGGCGATGTCGGAGCATCGTCTGACGAAGAGGAAGAAAAACTCCAGGATCCCAAGATTGAACACATGATCACACTGGTTGGCAATGTTAAGGACCGCCCAGTCCTGATCGTCGATGATATGATCGACAAGGCTGGTTCGTGGATTGCTGCAGCTGAGACAGTCGTTAAGCGAGGCAGAGCGAAGAAAGTATATTGCATGGCCACTCATGGAGTATTTGGGACAGACTGCCTCGAGCAGCTACAAGCTTGCGATTGTATCGACCAGATTATCGTAACTAACAGCTTCCCAATACCGGACCAGAGGGCCAAAAACGCAAGTAAGTTGGTGATCCTTGATCTCTCCTATTTATTGGCCGAAGCCATTCGAAGAAATCATTACGGCGAATCCATCTCGCCCTTGTTCCAGCATATGGCCGATTAGACAGCCTGGAATGTTACGATTGTTACGAATTAGACTGCCGTGTGCTCGCAGTGTTGTATTATTCATAAAAAGCTTGATAGGTGAGGCCGCGGGTTATTCGGTATGGCGTCTGGTTGGAGGCGGAACATGGCTCTATTATGACTTTTGGAATCACGGCTAGCGTTATGCGATTGAATCAGATACCACATTTTAAGATTGTCACGACAGGTATGTTGTTCAATGAAGTGAGTCTCATTTGTGTGCGCCAAAACTATGCTCTCCTAACGATTTCTTTCCCCTTGCACTTTTTCCCCAGCGATGCTATCCTTGGATAGCCAGGGCTTAACGTCCCTCTAGGACAAGCCTCTGAACGGAGCGTTGGTAGATCAAATCGTCCCTCTCGGGACTTCACGATTATAGAAGGCCAGTCACCCAGGTACTTTCTTTTTTACCAGGTCCGTTTCGGCGGATAGTGAGTGTTTGGCAAGAGAAATTTTCGGACATGTCAGAAAGTAGTATAGCTAAAGCAGTGTAGTGCAGTGAAATGCGACGCACACTCTTATACTTTAAGTAATTTGAGCATTATTAATATCACCTACTGTGGATGTAAGAGACGATTACTTTTACTTACCAGTTAAATGTTGACAAGGCGAGATGTACGAAGTATATGCTGAAAAAAAAAAAAAAAAAAAAAAAAGGAACCATGAATTGTAGCAATTCTTATTTGGCGCTGATGGTAGCAAGAAGGAGCTATTAGACAAGTAACTATACAGACATTATATTAACCTGAAGAACGAGACCACTTAATCACGCATTTGGTTTCCCTTCAACACGTCAACAGAGTTGTAGAAGCCAGCTCAGTCAGCTAAGACCACAAGTAGCAAGCGAGATCCGCCACTATGGAGCAGGGCTTACAGTTTCAAACATACACACTCGCGTGGGCAGCTAGTGAGACGAGAAGATACCCGGTCCATGTATCTCCTCTAATAGTTCTGTGAACTGCTTCCTCTCCGCCTTTTCGCTTTCCACTTGGATATCCTCCAGCAGGTTTTCCACAGCTTGTCCATTTTTACCGGCAGACTTGATAATTCTCCAGGCACGTCGAAATTCGTCTCGGATGGATACAATGCCGTTATGAGTCACAGTCCGAGCGACGTTGTGCTCAAGCTCAAACGGATCTTCGATAGCAAACAGGTATCGATGACGTACTTCCTTTAATTCCTTTGGCCTGGTCAGTGGTACAGGGGTGCCATCTTGCGACTTAATACCGTCCACTTGTCCGTTTGTTGTAGCTTGCTGTCTGATCGTGCCATCTGTGGGTGAATTTGCTTTGCTATTGAATCCCGCTTCGGCTGGGTTTGGGAGGGCGCCCGTCTCCAATTGCAAGACTGTTTTCGCTCCTGTCCAACCCTTTTCTTGTTTTGAGAGCCATCCACCGTGTGTTCGCAAGCTTAGTACGTCCCGGCCCCAGTCGAAGCCACGTTTACGAGTAGTGCTCATTACGTGACTCTGCGCATAGTATTCAAAAAATCCTCGGAGTAATGACCCGAGAGATTCCCTATTCTGGTTGAGCTGGCCTTGGTGTGCCAGTCTCTGAATCTCCTGTTCATCCCTCCAAAATCGAACGTTCCAGCCCCTGCATGTAGTGAGACCCTCAAGAGCTTCTGCCGGAAGGCTCGGATCAGGGGGAGCGAGCTGCTGAAGATTGGGGCATACGAAAGGCACCGCAACATTGACAAGATAGTGTAGTACCATAAGAACATAGCCATAGCTGCTCAGTGTTCCGCGGTATGGTGTATTGATTCCACGAGCCTTAGCCCAGTGTTTTACAAAGAGGACCATTGGCCTCACGCGGGGATCAGTGTAGGAATAGCAGCGTAGGAGTAAGGTATTCTGGAGGGCCAAATTGGCAGAGAAGTTGATATCGCACTGGACGCCAACGCCATCTTTAGGAAACTCCAGGCTATCGTGATATCGATCCCTTGGCTTATTTGGGGCGAGCTTGGATGGATCAGGAAGTTGCCTAATCTTTTCGATCAATGAAATTATTTTCTCGGTAGCTGGGACTATAAAATCGAACGCATCAGCTGTGGGCCTATCTGTGTCTGGTGTCTGATACAAGAAGTCCTCCTGGAGGATCTTCATGTACTCTCGAATGACTGGTAGATCCTCTTCGCGGTAGAGACCCTTCTCAATAGCCCTTTCGTATTCAACGACAAGATGAATAATTTTGTGTTTCTTAGCAAGTATCCTCAGATTCTGCACTCCAGTCGTATCTGCGAACTTTTGAACCTCATCCCTTATGTACTTGTCACGGATACCTGCTATATAGTGCTGGGAGGTTTCAGGAAGGGATGACTTATTTGATGATGGATGAGCGGGGAATAGACTATTCGTGATCTTGGTAGCCCTTGCGTGATATTGGGTAGGTGACTCGTGTTGGTCTTGTTTAAGCTGCATAAGCTGCACCAATGGGATCTGGCGAAGCTGTTCAAGAGCCAAATGAAGTTCCCGATTTAGTATAAGAGGTTCTGTACCGAAAGACTTATTACACAGGAGATTCTTCCAAGCTTCGACGACAGATTTAGAGCCTTGTCTCCATTTGATGTTCTTTTCTCTTATCTCTTGTGTTTCCCAAATGATCGCAAGTTGTTCGCCTTCCACGATCATGAAAACGCCCATGAGCGAGCGGCGATTAGGTGGCTCCGATGTGGCATTGGAAGAGAGTGATGGATATGTATGTATTCGTTGTTTTAGATCCTCATCATGAAGGCCGTCGACGAACGCATTGGAGACATCGTCAAGAACTTTGTAGTCCGTATCTTTGAAGCCTGCCGCATTTGATATAGTGATATCGCGGCCATTTAATCGACGTAGAAGCCGTTTAGCGTTACCATAATATGCTACCAGCGACTGAGAGTCGGCCTGCTTCAAAGAAGCAAGCTGCTCTTCATAGGTCCTCTCCGCGGGGCCAGACCGCGCTTGGGAGTCTCGTTGCTGGTTACTGGATGGCGAATGTTCGATTTCGGTGGTGGCAATGATAGCGGTAGTACCGTCAGCAGCACCGTCAGGATGCTCTTGATCATCTATAACGTCGTCTGTTGCTTCATGACTATCGTCTGTTATCCCCTTTTCCCACTTAGCTCGCGCATCCAACAAATCCAAACGGAGTTTTTCGCTAGGCTTTTCGCAGAGCTTGATGATTGGCACCCGGGTACGAGTAAGAAGACGAGCACCAAAGCCGTGCTCAAGTAATGCTTTCTCAATGAGGCGTGGGATGGGCGAGTCTGGTGATTCTGGCGAGGACCAAGACATAGGAGAGAGAAGACCAAGATCCATATCAGCCGCCTTCGTCGCAAACCCGGACGCGAGACTCCCGAAACATTTGAGTTCTACACTGTAAGGCTGGAAGTTCGGGTTTCTATTACTTTCAATCTCGTGACGACTGATAACATCGCGGCAAATCGCCTCTACCCGAGCACGGAAGTATTCTTTTTCAGCGATATCACTGGGCTCAATCTCCGCGCCTGTAACGACAAAGCGACAAAGTTCATCAAGAAGCGCTGATTGGTTCGCGAGCTGTTCTGAGCTGAAAATAGATTGGTGTTGCCCGCTGGGGTTGTAGAGGCAAGACTGCGAAGAGTTAGGAACAGGACCGCGAGCCGCGAATGAATCCGCCGATATCACGTTGACCCCTTTTGAAAAATTATTGTACGTATACGAAGGTTGCTGCCTCTGGGGTGGCTGATGCCCTAGGGTAGACGTCGGTACTTGGCCAAATCCGCCTCGATGACGTTTCTGATTTGAATAGGGAGGGTTGTTTGCTCCAGCACCTGGACCTTGGGGCTCACCATTGTATGAACTCACAGGAGGGCGAGATGTATTTTGCTCAGGGTTGCGCCATGTAGACCATTGGTTCTTGGTATGATGTGAATTTGCACGTGGGTTTCCATCAAAGGGAGCTGGAGCTCTGGTGTCGATAGGAATGGATAGCTGGGCGCGCATCTCGCGACGCTGGGCCTGGTTTGGACGTTTCTTGCTCGGCTTAGGAGGGGCTTGCGCCGAAGGAGATGATTGCTCTGCCTTTGGCTGTTCTTCTTTGACTCCAGGCGCATTATCTAACGAGATGCTCTCTGTTCTTGTAGTAGCTGAGCTTTGCAGGACATGTCCGGTCTTCCCATCTGCGTTGCTAATTATAAGACTGCGCAGGCGGTCCTCAAGCGGACCACCGTGATCTTGAGAGGTCTGCATAGCAGGAAAGAATGAAAGAATGTGAATATCGAGATTAGTATGATTGTAAGACTAGAAAGATAAAAGCGTCATGAAGAGGTATGCCGAATTATAATTAGGATATCCTGCTAAAATTTATAGGATATAGGATATGCTCTCAACAATAGGAATACTCGCCAGCAGTTGTATGTCAAAACCCCATGCTCGTGGCCATAATTGTCCAGGAGTGCTTTTCGCATAAGAATTGAAGTTGGTAATGAATGGCTTGTTAGAGAAATCTGGTGAAGGCCGTCCCTGATGGAGGCTAGAGAGGGTAAAAAGAGGTAAAGTTGGCATTCATAATACCTAAGGTTAATGAAGTACAAGATAAGAGCCTCGTCTTTCTCGAATATCAAATTAGGAAGATATTAGGAAGATTAATTGATTGGCTGCATTTGAGAGAATTGGCGGTATTGGATCCCGATCTCCTCAGAGCTTTTACGCTAGTACGTTAGGTACCTACTGTACCTAGGATTTGTGACTTGGATCGGAGAATAAGTACCTAGGTACTTGTGGAAGCCTGCTCAGGTTGTACTGGTTAGACCCTGTTAGCCTCTGTTCCTATGCTATATCTCACTTGCTCTACTTGGGTTCGCTACCAGGAAAAGTCACTTTGGTGACGTTATAAGTTACCTAGGTACCTACTCTTCGGCAGATCCCACAGGGACTCCACCTCACCCATCCTATCTTGGCAAGCGGCTCTCTAGGTCCTGGTTGCCTTTGTTCTAAAATTGCCTGTGCAGCTGCCCAGGTGCTGCGTTCGAATGACAAAAACAAAGCTGCACCTAACTGGTACTTACCTAATGTACCGAAAATTTACCTAAGGCAGAACCTGGAAGCAAGGCAACAACCAGAACTGGAACTGGCAGGCTCGACGATTCTGACTGGGCTACCTTAGGTACCTAACCAAGGACTAGGTAACTGCACTGCAGTGACTGCACACCTTCAACTCCTTCTATCCCGTCTAATTCATTCACTCCTTCAACTTTTTATCTCACTGATCCTCCATTTAATTGGCATTTCCTCCTGCCAATATTCGGCTTCCCTTTCCCTGAATATTTCTTCAGCTTGGAGCCCTAACTGAAGGTTGCGCACCTTTCTAGAATAATATCTCCTATCCACGTTTGTTTCCTTGACGTTCGATAAGGGCACAGTATTCGTCTACCAATATTTTAATCTAAACGAACCTTTGTCTCGCGACCGTCCCATCGCTTTTTCGAGATATTCTTTCTCCCATCTTTATATTCCTCGGTTACCGATTACCGATGCTCGTTTGCGAAACCATAACGCCTTAGGCTACAACTTTGGACGTTCTCGATATTTGTCGAGGCCCCCCCAGCTAGAGGGCGTTCAATTCTAACCTCGCCACCATGAGTGCAACGCCGTCGCCCTCTGCGGGCCCCAACGGCCAGAAACCAACTCCACCTCCTGGCGCGCCGCCGTTACGAAGACCGCGAAATACTGCGAATCCGCTCGTCCCCAGAAAGAGGCCCGTAAACCGACAACTCCCTTCAACCCTTGCCAGAGGTTCTACACCGAATGCTCCACCGCGACCTGGCAATAAGCCACAGCCATTCCAAACGCAGGGTAAACCGGGGCAGGTCAATTTTGACGCATTGCGTGCACAGAATGGCGGATGGTCCCAGCCTGCTCCGCCTGGAGCTCAAGATTATCCTCTTTATGTTACAAAAAAGTCTCTGAAGGAGGGATTGCGATTCCATGTTATGCGATTCGCCCCACATGGCGGAAGGCTCACAAGGCCTGATGGTCCTGGCGTTGACCCTACTAATCAAGAAGAGTTCACCCGACCTGTTACGCTGCACCGACGCGATCCCAGACAACCGCCACCCGGCCGCGAAGTGAAAGAAGAAGCTCCTGTTGAGGAAAACCCTGTCGATACTGCCGAAGCTGAGAGGCTTGCACAGCTGAAAGCTGAAAGAGAAGCACAGCGCGCTGCCGATAACGCCCAGAAAGCGCCCGTCGTTAAAGACGCAAATCCAAAGGCCAAGCAGCAGAAAGAGCAGAAGAAACCTGGCCTACAGATCCACTACGCACCTCGTACCGAAGAGCAGAAGAAGCAGGCGGAAATTCGATACGAGGAGGCCCTACCGTGGCATTTGGAAGATGCCGATGGCAAGAATGTTTGGGTGGGCCAGTATGAAGCACCTTTGTCCGACTGTAAAGTAGCTTTCAAGATTCACAACGGCGGATTTCGCATGATTCCTCTGGAAAAGTGGTACAAATTTCAGTCGAAGCGCGGGTCATTTAAAATAATGACTATTGAGGAGGCAGAGAAAGCCATGAACAAGAAGGTCGCTCTTGGTCGTTGGGCGGTAAGAGATAATCAGCGTCAGGAAGCAGAGAGAGCTATGGCAGAGTCTCGAGCCATTGTAAATGGTCGCGTGGCTGTCAAGCAGGAAAGCGGTACCTTTAAGCAGGCTTCACGTCAAGAGAAGATGGACCATGACGATATCGACGTTTCGGGAGACGAGTTTCAGGATGATGATGAAACTGCTGGATACGAACCTGACCGAGACGAAGACACTAAGCAGGCCAACAACCGAATTCGTCGTGACCAGCTAAATGCCAATCTTTTCGGCGAAGCAGATGAGGTCAAAGTTGAGAAAGAGGAAACTGAGGAGAAGAAAGAAGAGCTCGAGCGCAAGCTTTTTGGGAAATCTCTTAAGAAGGCTTTGAAGAAACGCGATAAGCAATTTCAGTACGAAAGCGACGACTCTTCCCATGAACGGGACCCCTTTGCCTCCACAGACGTAAGTGCTTATAATTCCCCTTAGCTTAGGTAGTCAAAATTAACCAAAACATGAAGGAGGATTCCGATTCCGATTCCGAGAACGAAAAGGATGACGAAGAGAAGAAAGCCGACAAAGATAAAGAGGCTGGAGGATCGTCCAAAGGAACCAATACCCCCCAGGGCAAGAAGGCAGCTGCCGAGGCAGCAAAGAAGGGCAAGTCTCTCAAGCGAGCCGGATCTCCATTAGGTTCGGATTCTAGTGGTACTGAATCTATCCGGAAGAAAAAGAAGACTGTGCATGATAGTCGGGGCAATACCCCTCTACCTCGCCGTGGAAAGCCCGGCGCCGGCTCTACCAGTGATGGCGAAGGCACGGCTGGTGAGATGTCAGACAGTGCGGGAGGCAAGAAGAAGCGGCTTAGCCCGTCAGTTAAAGGTGGAAAGCACAGCACAAAAGGCACTCCCGCGGGTTCTAGAGGCGGTAGTCCCTCCCCTGCCCTCGGAGCTGCCAACAAGGGAGCCTCGGATGGTCTTCGAGCTGGTTCTCCTAATACTGCTTCTCAAAGTTCAGCGCCAGGGGGAATCCTATACCCTATTACTGCTCAAGAGATTATCGACGCCCTGCCACCGCCCCCTCAGGGTATTACCATTGGTATACTCCTTAAGAAATTCCAGGACCGTGTTGACAAGCCTGGATGCATGCAGAGAAAGGACTGGCTCAAGCTGGTGAAGGAGAATGCCAACTTCAATACAGCGGAGAAGCTACTTCGCCGGAAGACTTAGATTGTACCCTAGAAATGGGTACTCTAAAACCATATGGAATGGTTTGTCTGCGAGGAGTGTTCTGCTGTGAACTGGATCGAATTTTGTGATCCTTGCAAGCCCTCGTATCATTATATTGAGGCTATAGAGCTGTGGAAGATGAGCCACTTTAGATGCGGTATCATGCCGATAGCAGATGAGAGGATGGAGGAGTATTATGTTCACTGGAGACAGGACCGCTCTGGAAGGGGGGATAGGGGTGGAAACTAATGTATGCCTCCTAGATTTCCTGCAATATGCCTAAGGATCTCTCGTATCGTTTCACTTCTGGACGAGGGCTGGCATACCGAGACAAAAAAAAAAAGGACTACAAACCAATCCGTAGAAGATTCGATTATACAATTTGCGTTATGCTATAATTTGCTGCGTTGACTGCCTTTAGACAGCTGGTATCTTACTAGGTTAATTCAACTCCTGATCGTAATCTCCTACTCGTGCAAAATTGTAGAATTGCCTGATAAATGCCCACTACTCACTCGTCCATCTGCCATGAGTATTCTAAGCCTTTGTTCCTCTCCCGTCTGTTAATAGCTTTGAATCTCTCCGCTTCGAACCCGTTCCCCCTATCAACACCATCCCACCGATACCCCGGCCGGATACCGTATCGATTCGGCGCCCACGCGCCCTGGTATATCGGCTTGCCCTTTAACTTCATCTTCTTCCGGCCCCCGTCTCCTCCTCCTCCTCCTCCCGCACCTTTCGGCTCTATGAACTGCGCCATGGTATCCCCCCACCTCACCTGCTCCTTCAGCTCGCGGTTCATATCCACGTCGTCCGCGTGCCGCGCCACCGTCATCACCTTGGCGTCCTCTAGCTCCTCGCGCCGCCGCCGCGCGGCTTCCATCTGCACCTCGCCCTTCAGCGCCTCCGTCTTCGCCGCCTCCCGCGCCGCCGCCTCCGCCGCCTCCCGCCGCAGCTCCGCACGCTTCATGCTCACGTCGACCCGCCGCCCCGTCGCGTCCCGGTATATCGTCTCCGCTTCCCCCGCCCCCCGGCCTTTCTTGCCCCGGCTTTCTCGCTCGTATTCCTCCCGCTCCGCTCGCCGCCGCGCTTCTAGCTGCGCGGACACCGCCGCCGCGCTCTGGAGGCCCGCGTGCGTCCCGTCGGACATCATCGTCATCACCGCCGGCGCGTCCGACGCGTCGGCTTCTGCGGCGGCGGCCGCGGTCTCGGCGGCTGCGGAGGCTAGGATGGCGTCTGCTTCCCTCGCCGCGTCCGCGTCTTGGTTTTGCGAAGAAGCTGCTGCGTTGTTAGGGGTGCCGCCGACGGTTTTCCACGCCGACTTCTTCGCGCGTCGGAACTCGGCGCTGGTGCCGGCTACCACGGCGGAGGCATCTTCGTCGTCGTCGTTATTGTTGTCGCGGCCGGGACGCGACCAGCCGGATTCCGTCTCGTCGGCGATGATGAGGCCCGAGGACGAGTCGTCTTTCTGCTTGCGCTTGCGCTTCTTGGAGGGCTTGGGGTCCGCGACGAGGTAGTGCGTTGCGAGGTAGTTGGATAGGTCGGATGGCATTGTGGCTGATTTGTTGGAGGGAGAGAAGGGTGAAGGAAAGGGAACGTAATGAATGTTGAAGCTGGACTTTTGGACGTTGCGATAAGAGATAACATAACGACTTGAGAGAGGTTAGAACGATTACCCGTTTAAAACAGTATTTGGTTTAGATTATTGCGGTTAAATACATATATACATAATTCATTTCCATCTCTTGAAATCATCTTTTCCGTCAAAGTGCTTTTGCCTCAATCGCTCTTTCACGAACGTTAGGTTAGGTAGGTACCTAACATAATCTTTCTACTTTTCTCAAGTCACTTTTCTAATTATTCAGTATTATGAACACAATAATATTGGCGATGAATATCCGCTCCCCTACTACTCCCGCACTTCACCAAGCGGATGGATTCTTGCACCATCAATTGCCTCATCGTCCAACCCTGTCCTTGGAGAATGTGATTCATTCCGTTTTTTCTTCAATGGCTCAATCTTCGTTTGACCGAGTCCTTCGGCCGTGCCAACTACCCCTTGGCTGTCGGCATGTGGAGCCGTGTGCTGGTGTTGACCTAATATCATGAAAAGCAGTTAGTTATCACAACGCCATTAACAGGTATATAAAGCTATTGGATCTATCATTCCTTACCTTTCCCTCCGAGGGGATCAATCCTAGATTGATCTATGGTGCGGTTGGTACCAGACGAGCCGCGGTCCTCCTGGTCGCGAGGTGTGTTGTACTTGACTTCCGACTTGAGAGGCTCAATCTTGGTACCGGAGATTTGTGCAGGGTCACCAGTGCTGTAAAGCATTAGCTTAGTTTTGTCCGATTGCAACTCGAGAAGCATTGAAGCATTGATCTATCGGCAACGGATTTAACTGCGGGAGCACCTACGAAGGCATTATGAGATATAGGCCAGTTGTTCAATTCAGGTTCGTATGCTATTTCCGATGCAGATGTATCTAATGAAACAAAACTTGGTCAACAACCGGCGGTAGCGAAGGTCGCAAGATCTTTATATTGGGGCCTCCTCGAAACTTATGCTACAAGAGTACAGCTCTTGTGTCATAAAAAGGGGGCGATGACGAGGGTGTGACTGTGAATCATAACCATCAAGAATCGATCGCATCATTCACTCATAACCCCTCTTCTCAATATGCTAGTTCTAGAAATGGCTTCTCTCTGATTGATACACATCTTTGCCACCTACATTGCTCTTATTGGTTTAGCATGTAGTTGACGGCTAGTTTTAAGGCGTGTTATTGAGTCTCTAAAAAGATTACCTGCCTGTTACCAAAATGCACAGACCATCAGGAATTCGTCTTTTCTAACATTGTAACTAATGTTTTTGTTATGGAGTGTTGTTGTTGATATCCAAACAGTATAACATAGAACCTACCCAATTAGTATGGAATCACAAAGAGCTATAAACAGCTATAAACAACTGGACTGATAATAGTCTCTTCAATACTTCTGGAAATCTACTACTCAAGAGATGCCAAGCTTGAAGTAAGTTGGTAACAGATAACTAGAAAAACTTATAGACTTTACGACTTTTGAATATGAGAGAACGAATACCTTTGCTAGGACGCAGTTGGTTCTTGGCTCCTGTGGGGTGCCGATTCTGGAAGTTAGAACACTTGTCTTAATGTTGATTCGGTAGACATTATGCCTGCCGGTGTATAATCTTTAGAACCCCGCCTCCGACCCTCCGAACGCCATGCTATAGAACCGGCGCTGGTGGGTGGGATCGGTCCAAATTTTAGGTACTATTTATTCACCCCGTACCCGTGTTGTATAACTCCCTTATACACACCAACTTGTCTTATAAGGTACCCCTTAGCAAATTCATCACCATGAGCTCTTCAGGTTACTCGGTGCCTCGGGAGGCCCAAAAGGTCTTTCAAGATGGCATTCTTAACAACCCCTTAATGAAAGACCTGCCTCAGGAGCTGCATTCCTTAGGTCAAGCCGTGAAGTTTGAAGGATCCGCCAAGCCCAATATCCCTATCAACTGGAGATTCGCTGAGAGTATCTCGGCCATGAAGGCTTTCGAAGCAACTATGCTCAACTACCTCATCACTAAGAAATACGGCGTTGCCCCCTCCAGCGTGAGTATAAATACGTAAGTAGCGTTTATTATCATAAATAAGAGGAAGCATCAAGATAACTAAAACTCGCCAACAGGGACCATGCTTCGCTGTTCATAATGTCTCCGCTCCTTACACGCGTTATCAAAGACGGCATCCCGGTGCAGATACATCCATCTTCGGAAGAAGCTTTGCAATGGTTCCCTAGTCGTGACCTGCACAGGTTCATGGCTTCTCAGCATAGGATTCTCGCCACGAATATTTATAAGACGAAAGATGGGCGGTTCTACCACATCCACGGTATAGATGTATTCCTTATGGCTTCTTCCCAATTCGACACACGAATTCACTTACTCACAGTGCAACCATGATCTACCTAGGTAGTATGAACCCCGACCCGACACTCACAGCGCTGGGACTGCCACTCGACGGCGAAGAAAACGACACATACGATACCGTCGTGGAAAGGATCCAGAACGCCGTTGCCCAGTTCGACGCCGCGGAGCTAGACGAGCTCATGAACGAGAAGTTCCGCCAAGCGGGCACCATGGCGTGGTCGTCCGGCGAGTACTTTATCAGCCAGCACGGCCAGGCATGCGGGAATACCGGTCTCTACGAGACGGCCAGAAACCCTGACTCCTCGCAGCCGGCGGCGTGGTGGCCCGACAACGCGAGCTACCCGTCCTCCCCAAAGCGGCCGCTCGCCGGCCTCAAAGTCGTCGACATGACGCGCGTGATTGCGGGGCCGGCGATCACGCGGTCGCTTGCGGAGATGGGCGCCAGTGTGATGCGGGTCACGTCGCCGCGGGTCACCGACCTTTCCGGCTTGCACCAGGACCTCAACTGGGGCAAGTGGAACTGCTTCCTGGACCTGAGGGACGAAGCGGACAAGGAGAAGCTCAGGGCGCTGGTCCGGGAGGCGGATGTTGTCGTCGACGGTTATCGCCCCGGCGTGATGGAGAAGCACGGCTTCGGACGCCGGGCCATCTTCGATCTGGTGAAGGATCGGTCCAGGGGTATTGTTGTGGTTCGGGAGAATTGCTACGGCTGGCATGGTCCCTGGGCGCATCGGAGTGGGTGGCAGCAGATTAGTGACGCGGTAAGTTGATTCGATCGAGCAGAATATGGTTCGTGGGTGGTGCTTATTTTTTCCGATCATCCATTTAGTGCTGCGGTGTTTCAATGTCGTACGGCAGAGCTATGGGCAATGGTGAACCAGTAACGCCCGTGTTCCCGAATTCAGACTTCTGGTAAGTAATGAACCTAACGTATGAATATCCCAGTCAAAGTTCTTGTACACATATCTCGTTCTAGTACCGGCCTCTGCGGAAGCACAGCAGTCTTAGACGCTCTCGTTCGCCGAGCCGAACATGGCGGTAGCTATGGTATTGACGTAAGTCGATTCTTCCCCCTATCTTCTACCTGCCGCGGGTACAAGATTGCTACTAACAAGTCCACCCCTCTATCAGGTAGCACTCAACTACTATTCGCAATGGCTAGTCCGTTCCGTGGGTACCTACGATGAAGAGACATGGAACGAAGTATGGAAAAGGCACGGGTCTCTAGTGTTCCGCCATTATCATGCGATGCCGCACCTGCTGCCAGTCATGCTGAAGTTACTATATCAGCATGATTCTCAGGTACTTTTCAACCCCGCATTCTTTCAAGAACAGGAAGCAAAAAGCATAGGGGCTACGTTTGTTCAAGTTAAACCCGTAGCACGATTTTCTGGCGGGACTGTTGATTTGGGATACCATATCGGCACGCGTGGAAATGGCGTAGACGAACCGCTCTGGCCTGATGACTTAACGGTTGAAGTTGTCCTTGATAAAAATTGAGATATCTGCGTGCAAGCCAGGCGAGTTCAGACAATTGTATTAGATATTGACAGATACACCGCTGAGCCAAAAGTGTATTTCTTAATAGCACAATTGCTATTACAGTCTATCTGACATGAGTGGTATTACCACTCATAGATATTTTCATGAGTACTAGGAGGAAGTTAAGATTAGGCTCCATAATGATGTGAATAGGACCGTATGGCAATGTTTATTAGCAACTAGCTACTTCGTATACACATATACGAAAACACTTCCGCGTAAGGTATAGGAAATCTAAGACAAGAGCTTTAATGACGAGCAGGGATTCGTAAGATAACAATCAACTGAGAATAGATGTGCACCATTGGTCAGACGCCAGCAATGTTAAGAGACAGGTAGCAAGGTGGGAGATGCTCCGCCATAAGTACAACCTGTTATCTCCAATACGGTCCGCACATCCACTCCCAAACAAGAGAAATATCGGCCATAACTTCTGCACTTACGTCGGCCCATGTTTCCCCCTTAGAAGAATAGCCCTTACTAATAGCCTTAGAGGTATAAGCCTGAGAAGAGAACTTGCGCTGATACGACTTGACTGGCACAGCAAGTAGGGCGAATAAGGGCATAGTGGATGTAAATTGGTGTTATTTAATTCAAGGAGAATGTTTGTCGAGCGTGATTTCAATGAGACAGAGATAGAGATCTTATATCAGGTAATGTGGTTTTCTGATTTGTTGTAAAGGAAAAACCGAAGTGACTTACCAAGTAGATTAAAGACGTGTGCCCTTAGCCAAAGATGAATACAGCTGTAGTACCTGCATACCTCTTTCCTGACTGCCTTTCTTGCTTTCTATAGCACCTTCATGTTTTACATGCCCTACCTGCCTTGAAGTTGGCATTGATATCATATATCGTCTCCCGTATAGAAGGGGGGGCATTTTTAAGGGGGTAGTACCTACCTCTTCCAATGATAGGTGACATAAGTTACACCTTTGCATGTAACACGTGCCTTTTGGAAATCAAGCACGGACCACAAAAACATACACACACACACAAATTTTTAACAATAATCAATTTCTCCCAAGTTAATACCTATCGTCGTAATGCTCACCCTTCACCTTCGTCCAAAGGCTCATCTTGCAGACTCCAAACATGCCTAACCCACAAAATTTCAGTCAAAAGAATATACATACTTCATATATATAAACGGCATATATTGATATTAAAAAGATATTTCATACAACGCATTGCACTCTGCATACTGAGAGAAAACAAACCGATCCGCCCATTGTACGTCTCATCGTGCGATAATTTCCATGAGCGACCCCATCTGTCTACAATATCTATATACTTGATGCATCGAGCCATCCTTCTCTCTCCATCACACACGATGGGTAGAGTTAAGCCCAACACCGTCTACCAAATGCCCAGGTAGGATGATTAGGTACCTAGGTATGCATGAAACAATGGTCCGTTACCATCTAAAATATGCATACTTGAGTAGCAACGAAGCCAATATTAGACATCTAATGCCACAGCTCCTTCGAGAAGAAAAAGAAAAGAATCGTATCGGTCATATTGAATATTACCAGAAAGCCTCCAACCACACGGTATATAGGGCCTGTGCCGTACTATTTGCCCCGAGCCGAGTATAGCTGAGATATTATTTATACGAGCTCGAAGCCGTCGTCCTCAATAATATCGGGTTCCTGTGCTGCTGACGCGTGGTTCCGTCGACGGAGATTCTGTCGGGCCTTTCGGCCTTTCAGAGCATCTCCATTTTGGTCGAGTATCTCGTACTCCTTCTCTACGAACTTCTCCGTCTCCTTAGGATTGGTCTTTACAAAGGCGTCTAGCGTTAACGGTCTGCCTGGACTGTCAACCCTGTCGAAGCTATAGAGAACATTATCCGAAACGATAGAACTTCGTCGGCTCTGAGGCGACGGTAGAAGATCGTAGAGGGATCGCGAAATGTTGGACGGGTCGTGCAACTCTTGTAACGTGTCTATTTTGACCCGCGAGTAGCTTGATCGGAGGTGGTATCGGTCCTTATCGCGAGGCTTGACGATATTCTGGTTTGCTAGACGGTTGGAGTGACTGATTTATTAGCATTGCTTTTCTAGGCTACACGATATATGATGCACCATCACTGGTTGCGACATACTGGTTGAGTCCCTCGGGTCGAAGTTTTTCACGTTGGCTTTGGCTTCCTGTGATGATCGTGTCGTCTGACCGGTTGTACTTGCATCCAGCCGAGGGCCGAGATCCCCGAGACCACTTTTCTACGTGCTGCTTGAAACGCTTCGAGTCCTGGGCGAAGCTTCGGAGATCTCGAGCTTGATCAAAAGCCATGATGAAAAGTGGGTTGGTCGACCGGATACGATGGTTCAAAACGATTGATAGTATATGAGGTTGGCTTTGATCGGACGTAGACTACGGTTTGGAGTAGATCTATTTCCAAGGAACAAGGAATACGGTTCGATAGGGACGTCTTCAAAAGAAAAGGAACACGGTATTTAAGGGTCGATGACGGTATCAACACGGATGGATTAAAGATATAAGGCGAAAAATAATGATGCAAGGACGAAGGCTGCTTGATGAACAATGAATACTGGACAGTAGAAGAATGGCTGTCCGTAGGTTCAAGAATAGGATGGAAATACGTGAAGGGAGAGGTCTGGAGAGGTGATTGAGTCACGTCGGACAGATGATGATTAGGTAAGATGATGGTAGGTCTTGTGTTTCTTCCTGATTTCGCTGTTTGCGAGTTGAGAGATTGCTTTGTCTCTGTATGACGGCACAGTGGTGAAAGAAGTACAGGACTTAGGAAAGTAAGCAGGTGGGCTAGGTACTTGTTCAAGTGACGGGAAAGCGTGGCTTATTCGTTTCTTGTTGTATCAGAGTCGGGAAAGGCTCGAACAAGACACAGACCGGGTGACTCAGATAGGATAAGGGGGCCGCAGCCAAAGAGGTACACCGCGATAATGATGTGATGCTAGGTAAGATTGCGATTGCGGGTTAGTCGTTATCGTTATCGATACCAACAGACTCCCAGGTACCTTGATGGGGACGGGACGATGACGCAGCCCGAAATTACCTACCTGAGGCAGCTAAGGGAGGTACTTATGCAAGTGCGAATATAAAAACTAGGTACGAGTTTTGTTTTGTTGGTACAAAATCGAAGTACAACTGGCCGAGAGAGTTCAGAAGAGAAGGTTTAAGAGATATCGAGAGCAAGATGAGAAAGAAAGATACTGGAAGTCATTAAATCAAGAGGGAATTATGAAGTTTAACAAGGAGGCCACCTCCTATAGGTTAGGTACTTTGTCATCCGTCTTCTTATCGTGGCCTCTAGTTAGTTAGACTTGGCGCGAGGTATGCAATTTACAGAGGTGCACTACCTCTCGGTAGATAATGGGTTACTTAGTGGGTACTACGGTCTACCTACTTGGGAGTACCTGATTTATCAGCTAGGTATTTCATTGATTCTGAACCTCCCTTGTTATTAGGTAGTCTGTTGACTGCTTTTGAAGCCTTGTCTGGCTTGTCTACTGTTAGATGACTCTTTCATGGGTTGAAGACGCGTGTGATGATGACGGGCTATGAGGTATGGGCCGGAGCTAGGTACCTAACTTACCGTGTACCTTAGGTACATGTAAGTACTGTATTCCGTACCTTAACTTAAATTGTACACGTGCTGGGTACTTCCTTACGTAATGGTAGTCCTCCGATCGCGTATCAGCATATCAACAATTTCTATTATTAGGGAAAGCTGATGACCTACCGGCATTTCGCAAAGAACGGATCTGATTGATTACAGTCCTTGTTGCTCTCACATTTCGTGCGTGACGAACCCAGGCGGTTATTCAAATTCGACTTCTTCCAATAGATTCTCTTAGTTCTTCACGTTGCCCGGTTATACCAAGGCACTCGCTATCCAACGTCGAGCTGCCCGAGGCCGGGCTATTAGCTGGAGATAAATACTGATCCTCTGTGGCATCATCGGATGACGGAAGTTCACTATGCTTCTCTTCAGTTCGTTTTCTCTTTCTAAAACGGTTCATAATTTGAAAAGCTTGAGATCAGATTATATATATATAGCCTTGGTTTAGGCGGAAAATATGTGTGACAGGTAGGTAGCTTATACGTCTTGTTCGCACCAAAGGTCTTTACGAATAGGAAATTTGTTCAACCAATCACCAAGCGCATCTCTGAGCTCTGCTATGCAATGAAGCGCGCCAACGAAATATCGAGACGGTGAAATGTAAGTGCCCGTTCGGAGCGGTGCCGTTCGGAGAACAGCGGGAAAGGAAAAGATAAGGTTTGGTTTAGGTACCTGGGTCCTGGTCCTGAAGCACTTCCTGGGGTAAGGCGCGGGGGGTACAATACAATACGATAATACAGAGATACCTCGTCGTTGATAGCATTTAATGATAAGCTCTGGGGTACCTGCAATTTTAGGTACTAGGTTAGGTACCTAGGTACCTACCGAGTATCAAGGTACCTAACATTAGCAAAGTCTTGTGGACGAGGTGAGCAGATGTGTTGACCTCATCCCGCTCATCCAACTTGGGGGGTCATATGGCCGATTAAGTTAGCGCTACTGAAGTCCGGTGACAGGATACCTCATTACGGCAGATGGAGTTATTGATGGGATCCTCCTAGAAAGAGGGAAGCCCCTGAAGCCACCGAAGCCCCTTGTTGTACGACATTGATCGTGAATTGCGCAGCATCAAGTACGTCATTCCTAACGGGAGCCTCTACATCCTTTTCTTTTCTTGTTTATTACAAGTATAAGTGAGTTTAATGCGACTACAGCATAAATCCGTCATTATGAACAAGGCCTAATTCCGGTTGCTACTCGGTGCTAGGTAAATCCTGCATGGAATGCCTACCTCCAACCGTGGTGTTGTTAATCAACTGCTGATAAGAGAAAAAGATATTAGATATAAATTGACGCTGATTTTGATTATGAGATATTTGTTAGAATATCATTGTCGTATGGATAAATTCCCACAAATGATATTCATACGATAGAGTATATTGGATTTACGTTGTTTCGAGGTTGTTGTTCTTCTTGTGTTGATGATGACAAAGCTTTATGGTCTTTGTCGACAGTTTCCCTGCCGCATTCAGCAGAAGTCTTTAATCCAGCTCTTAGGACAGAAAAGTCCGGTTTGAGCTATAGAGCTTTTGTCAAGCATCTTGACTCCTGGAGACATGGTAGCTCTTCAAATGCGTTTCTTATTTTACCTGTTAACTATAGCTCTGTCGTAATTAGCCAACTTCCATTTATAATTTATAATTACACTCTAACGGCTCTTCACTGAAATCGATTGGTTTTTTCCTTTGCTTGAAATCTAAAAATTACCTAACCTATACCAAAGTTGAAAATGACATTATTACAAACTGTCACAGGCCCTCTCAAGAACGAGAACTTTTCGTGGTGGGCTGTACGTACCTAAATACTGCTCCCCTTTCGAGATCGAATTAACACGAGAAAAAGGTTCCATTTGCTTTTTTTCTGGCATTATTTCCACGAGTATGCTTCACTATTTTGGGTCCTGGTAGCAACTATTTGGACCCTTATAATACTCGCATATTCGCGTTATCTATTAGAAGAGCGGTAGAACTAGATCCTATCGTACGTGTAGCCAACTCCAAAGGCCAAGATTCCCTGTGGCTATCGTAAATACACATGTTCGGTACTGACGATATTGCAGACCAGGGGGCGTATAGAGCGCTCCGAACATGCTATGAATAATGCGTTCGAAAATCTACCATTATTTACTATTGCCGTTCTTGCTGCCAACGTGGAAGAGCTGGATGTCGAAACTCGCAATCTACTCTCCCTCCTATATATTATATTTAGAATGATCTATACCTGGGTATATATTTGGGGACAAGACTACTATTCGATCCCTTTCTATACCCGAACTGTCGTCTGGTTTGCTGCAAATTTTACTCTTGGGTATTTGTATCTGTTGCCGGGACCACCATCTATTAATGAGCTGGAAGCAAAGCACAGCGTCTGGCTTACGCGAACTATTAAATTACAGGATGGTCCCGTGCTAGAGAGGTTGGCGCAACAATAAAGTACGTATTGTTCAAGTTTCTCTCACATTTCCTTGAAGCTTCTTTCTGGAGCTAGCATTTGCGTGTTGCTATGGTTAGAGAGTTCCTGCTTTAGAGGCGTGTCGTATCTTAGCTTCCAATTTTCTCACTGAACAATATTGACGCTCGTTATTTTAGATAGCGTATTATTAGGTAGTGCCCTCTGCCGGAATCACTATTCGAATATTATACGAGGAATGGCTTTTGGTCTCTAAAATGGGCTGACCTAGTAGCAATACCCCTGGAATTTTAAGATGTTCATATTGTTGTTATTAGAGACTACCTAAGTTATGGCAGTCAAACTCTTCAATTCATGGGCCTTGGGTTAGGAAGATAGTGTTCTAACATTATCCTGTCTGGTACTTACGTATCCTACTATTCTTGTGCTTCCCACTCATGTTTATTTCCCAATATGAAATGTGAGGATAACCCTTTCTAATAATCATATGCGACTAGCGAGTATCCGTTGACCTAGACGCGTATATTGGAAAATCCTGTCGGTATACGTCTAACCCAAAGCTCGTCTATACCTTGTCTATGTTGCAACTTCTTATTATTACTTACTAGGGTAACGCTTTGTTCCCGTTGGCACATTCAGAGAGTGTAAACATTCGTATAGCTTTCTCTAGAAATCTCTAGATATTTTGTAGCTTAATCCAATTGTGGTTACAATGTGGTTTGACACTTATTATACGAGCTTTGACGATATCAACCCCTGCGTTAACGCAACCTCTCGGCGGGGTTACTAGCAGTCAACCTTGCTCAACTTGGTAGTTGACCTGCTCTGCAGACCTTTCCGTCTTTTAAGCAGTGATGTTCACAGTGACATCGTCCCATCATACCAGGCAATATAGATACCCGGAATCCTACCAAAGCACCTTGCGGGGGCAAACCTCGTATTGTAATTGCGGTTACATATGTAGAAAACGAGCACCTTGCACTCGGTGCAGTTCGCTGCGAATAAAGCCGCAAGTTTATATAAAATTGGTATCATGGAGCGTAACCGACCATGTAGGAGATTTGGTTTAGTAGTGTCTTCTCGCGCCATTACTGAGGCAGAAGATGCGTTTCCTAAGCCTTGCTCTGGCCCTCTGCGGGGGTGCTGCGGCTCTAATAAACCGCAGGGCTGAGAATACTACGAATGCGGCCCCCGTCGCGAAAAGCTTCATTGTCGAATATGAACCTGTTAGTTGTCGCGCTAAGACTAGAATACTCTGTACCTTTAACACACTAGACTAACCATCCGCGAAGGGTCAAGCAAACAGACGTGATGGACTCGCTTCCGCCGAAGGCGTCAAGATTGTCAGATTTTTCAATAGTCCTATTTTCTCTGGTGCGAACATCGAAACAGACTCTTATAGCATTAGCAGGCTCGAGAATATACCTGGTGTGCTGCGCGTCTGGCCGAATGAGCGAGTCTACCTAAACCCAGCTGAGCTAGAAGTCCTTGACGGTCTTCCAACCAACTTCAACTATACTACTCATAGTGTTACTGGAGTCAGTAAGCTCCATGAGGCTGGTATCTACGGTGAAGGAGCGAAGGTTGGAATTGTTGACTCTGGAACATGGTGAGTACTTGCTTGGCTTGTTAACTAGAAACAATCACTAACCGTTTGATTTAGGTATGGTCATACGGCTGTAAGTCGATAGATCTGGTGTGTTTAGTATTAAGTTCGTCCGCATCTAATGCCTGTTTAGCTTGGAGGCGGGTTCGGCCCTGGCTTTAAGGTAGCTGGTGGATATGACTTCGTCGGCGATGGCGGTAAGAATCAGAGAACCTGGAGCATTCAGAGGTAGGAAATTAACATAAAACCTAGATTGGCCTTCAGGGGATAAGCAGCCTGACGATGATCCTCTTGACCACTTTGGCCATGGAACTCATGTCGCGGGAATTGTTGCGGCAAAAGCTGACACGTGAGTGCTCTTTCATTACAACTCGCTATAGGTACAGAGAATGTCCATTATTGACCTTATACGTCTCTAGATGGACGGGTGTTGCCCCTGAAGCCACTATCTATTCGTATAAGGTCTTTCCTGGTGCAACTGTAAGTTGTAGACACGGGCGCCATACTGCTGAGTTACATAGTCGAAGTTAACTTATGAGCGATCAGGACTATACCGATACTGCAACACTTATTGATGCATTCCTACGAGCGTACGATGATGACGTAGGTTAACTACGATTATTTCTCTTACCTAGTATTTTCCCTGATATCTGGTCTGTAGGTTGATATCATAACTGCCAGCATCGGCTCGCCTGGGCCGAAGTAGCCTCTCGTCTCGTAGATGAGGGTATTCTCGTCACAATTGCAGCCGGAAACGATGGGGACCACGGCCCTTTCTACGGCAGCACTGGTTCATCTGGCACCAATGTCATTGCAATTGCTTCTGTGGATACGGAGGTGTTCCCTGAATTCCCCTTTGGAGCTAATTTCACAGTTGACGGAGTTACTAGTATTACCACCTTTGGTTATTTTCCATCGACTTTTTACTTCCCCTCTGCAGTGGTGGGATGGCCCATTGTTCCACTCTCTTTCAACACATCCGATCCCGCGGAAGCCTGTGAACCTTACCCCGAAGGTACTCAGAACTTGACGGGAAAAATACCCATCGTCAGACGCGGTACTTGCCCGTTTGCTACCAAACAATGCCATCTGGCTGCTTTGGGGGCGGAATACATGTTATTTTATAATAACGAGGCCCCGTTAATTCAGCCCGGGACAACCGACGACTCAACACTTATCGCGCTGGTCATTGCGGAAATCGGAGAGGCTATCATCGACGCCGTCAAGAAAAACGGTACTGTAACAGCAGACTTTTCCGTAAACCCAGAGAATCCGATTGGTTATGCGAATCCTTTTGCTAACAAGCCCGACACTTTTACGCAATGGGGGCCGTCTTTTGATCTGGATCTCAAGCCGGATATCGCTGCCCCCGGCGGCAATATTTTCAGCACGTACCTCAACGGCGAGTACGCAATCATGAGCGGAACGTCCATGGCAACCCCGTATGTTGCTGGCATAGCGGCTCTTTACGTCGGCGCGACCGGCGGCCGTACCGTCCACGGTAAAGCCTTCGCGTACAGTCTCCGCAGGAGGATAATCTCCAGCGGAGCAGCTCTGCTGTGGTTCGACGGCACCGATCAAGACTATGGCTTCACTGCTAGTGTTGCGCAGGTCAGAAATGGTTTGGTTAATGGGTTCAAGGTCGTGAACTACACCACCGATGTCGAGTACGAGAAGTTCAACCTGAATGATACTGCCCACTTCAAAGGATCCCACCCGGTTACCGTGACGAATAACGGCGATCGCGACGTCAGTTACAGCTTCAAGACTAAGAGCGCTGCTGGGTCAAGGAGGGTGAAGAAGTTTGACGAGCTGGAGCCCATAGATCTCCCTGTCGAGGTGAACCTACCCGAGGACTTCACGCTCAAAGCTGGCGAGAGCAAGGACGTTTCGTAGGACCGCCAAATCCACCAAATGCATTCGAGATGATAACTAATACATACCTGTTATATACAGGATTGACTTCGTTAATCCCCAAGGTTCAGGCTGGAACTCGTCCGGACTTCCTCTATACAGTGGGAAGGTCATACTATCATCAAGCGCTGGAGAACAGCTTTCATTCCCTTACTTAGGTGAGTAGCATGCTATAAGACGCATTAGGTGTCACATACTAACGACTACCAGGACTTGGGGCCGACTTAAAGGCCGAGTTAAGTGACGTGTACTATCCTGGATATCCATTTTTGAATTCCGGTCCTCAGAATAAGGACATCTCGGTTAAATCATCGTATGTTATCATTACTGCTAATTGGACCTCGTATTTTCATTAACATGAGATAGTTATACCTTTAACGTCACGCGGTTCTATCAGGACTATCCAAAGATCTACACACAAGTTATCTGGGGGAGCAAGCAAGTCCGCTGGGATGTAAGTTACTAATACCCCCCACCCACCCCCTTGAAGCAAAGGCAATTACTATATACCAACTCACGGCGGTTTAGATATACGAGGCCGGCTGGAATGAGAGTCAATGGTCTTATCCGCCCGTGGAAGGCGAGAACGGCTACATCGGGCCAGCAGCGTCCTGGAACGGCGACGGAGCAAACTTCGACGACCGGTTTTACGACCCGAACAACACTTTCACCTACCCCCTGACCGACACCCTACGCGGAGGCGGGGATCGCACGTGGTTCGGGAAGCTGGGCAACGGTAGCCAGATTGCCAACGGGAACTATACGTAAGTCCCTCTGCGTGGAGATGCCCACGGCGCTAGCTGAATTATTTACTGATAATATTTCTTTCTCTTTAGGTGGCGCTTTGCGACACTGAGACCATTTGGAGACCCGACTGTTTCAGAAGACTGGGATATTTGGAAGACTCCCCAGATAACCGTCTTGGGACACTACTAAGCGAATGATCAGATGGTAACAGGATGATTCCAAGTTCCATATTGTTGGAGAACTGAGTGCTTTTTGCCTCTTATTTCGTAGAAATGTAGGTAGGTACCTAAGGTAGTGTCAATATTTAGAACAGTCTTAAACCATACATGATACTAGACATCCTTTGCCTGTTACACTATGACTTTATGTTGCGCCCCTTCAAGCTACAAGACATGACCTTTGAGAACTACCATGCAACGAGCTAAACTTGGTTACATCATGCTAGCTGGATATAGCTGAGAATTTAAACGAGACTTGAGTCTTTTCTCAGAGACCCACTTTATCCCCTATCTTTACTGTAATCCCCCTTTATACGAAATTACTGATTGCAGTTCAACTTCACAAAAGCCCCTTAGATAATTAGAAACGCACACGCTACTTAAAATTGAAAAATTGATGGAGGTTGCCAGTTGACATTATAGATAAGTCGGTTTCAATTGATCAACATAGAAACCTTAGGTAGAAGGTAGTTCACCATAAGATCTCACAGTCACCATTCATTCCCACCGCGATAGCTGTTTCATAACACACATACATATCTGTCAGGTAACCGATATGAAATTAAACATGGAAGACAAAGAAGATATTTGTATTTATAGCTCTGATTCCTAGAGCTACCTTACTTAAAGTCCTTTGCGGAACAACGAAGTTGTTTCTTTACTTCGTGTTGTGCCTCGTGACGGTATTAGAGCTGAAGTACTGATAAATTAGGTACTTACATATCTTGATCTCTTAATTTGGTATATATGGACACGGAATAGGTACCTATTAAAATGCCTGATCCAATCAAGGTCATTTACATCGTCTTTCGCAAGGACTTCGATGACTCTGATACAGAAGAAGACGGGAGATTAGCCCCTCCGATAGGCATATTTCGATCAGCCGATACCGCTAATGAAGCCGCAAAGCTGCACTGCAAAATGCAGGCTCGTAACAAATCCTACGACGGTAATGATACGGAGCACGAGTTGAGGGACGGCCTGTATGTGGGCTGGTGTTATACGCTCGAGCATTGGCGGGATTACTTCGAAGTCTGGGTTGAGATGAAGAAGTTTGACGATGCCGAAGAGACTCCGGAAACTAGGAAAAGGAATTTTCTAGAGGAGGCTGCGGAAAACTCGAGAAGGGCACAGAATGCGCCGAGGGCTAAATATTATTGGCGCAGCCAAACATGATGAGTTTCTCTTCGAATATAGGTATTAACATCCCATCTAACCCAACTACGATAACGGAATGTTCCTGTACATCATGCCCGACCTAATATCATCTAGGTAGATACCTAGAGTGATTATATTTTTGGTAGCTACCTGCGCTCTGTAGAACTTTGAGTCGATATGATTAGCATTATATTATATTTTGAGGGGTTGCCTAGCTCACACAAATGCCTCCATTTCCCTTCTTCCGACACTTAACAACAACTCCCGTAATAGACATACGCCAAGGTGGCTCCTCAACGGGGAGCTGGAAGTGTTCTTACGGACGCCAGAAACTCCGAGCAACAAGGCATAAGACTATGACAATAATGGATCATAGGTAAAATGAGTCATACTACCGCGATTCACCAATAATCAGAGGCTCGCTCGCTAGATTTATGTGACCAGGGCAAATGATCTGTCGCACCTCTCTTTAGGCTGCTTGACTTGCATCTGGCTGTTAGGGAGAAATCCTCGCTGACTGTGACGCGTTCGACGTAAGCTACCTTTGCGGCTGAAATGGTGCGCTTGTTTTCTCCCAGGTCTCATTACACACTCTTCGCATTAGTCTTCTAGGTGCTTGGCGACCGGTCATTAGTTCGAACGCCTCCATGGCCATTTCGCCCACAACCTCTAAGCCATCAACAATTACCCACGAGGTATTCCCTTCTTCGCGAATTTTACGGACTTGGACCACTAGCGGTGTTATGAGAGGTTCATACGCCAACTGCGAAAAAAGGTACTTAGGTTAGATATGAAAAGCTAACGATGAATAAGAGAATAGTAGTTACCTCGATTACTACACCACCAGTAGGACTTTTTAACCATTGTGGAGGCATTCGGAAGTCTACAGGTGGGTTGTCATCTGTGCCGGATGCCGGGATGCAAGATACGATCATAGTTGGCTGCTGATATGACTTTGGCCACGGATCGCTGGCTGACGGAATCACCCGACAAATTTTTTCTCCCTCATTTTGGCGGGATAGGAGTCCCTGCTCTATAGCATACATATTGAAATGCATCGCAACTTCTTCTGCTTTTATCCTGGTCCTATTATGGATGAAAATCATCCGACAACCTAATTTTATTAAAGCATAGATAGCTGCTCGAGCCATTCCACCTGCCCCTATCACCAGGGCCGTTGTCCGAGACGGCTGGGCTGAGTTGCGAGGGCTGATGGCTCTGCGTAAGCAAGTCATGATAGCACTCCAGTCAGTATTGTCTCCGTAAAACTTATTGGCATAACCAGACCTATTTCGAGCATTGGCATGGTCTATAATCGAGTTGGAATCTCCACGCAGAGGTAAAAGCGTGTTGACTGCGCCAATCGCGATGGCATGGGTGCTGAGGTGGTCAAGACGTGACATGATAGCAACTTTGAAGGGTGCTGCCAATGAAGCGCCGCCAAAGCCGGGTTCATGTCGAATACGATCAATCTCTTCGAGTGAAGTGCAACGTCTAGCATTAAAGGTGTGCGGCATCATGTAGTGCTCGTATGCTGCACGGTGCATCGAGGGCGACGCTGAATAGTAAACGTTCAACCCCAAAGTATAGAAATTGAGTGGCTGCAAAACTCCTTTTCGGAACAGGTCTCGTAGCGTACCTCGTGTTGTACTTACACCGATCATCTGTTCCCGTGAGGATTTCTCGAGAGAATCATGTCCGATGGGGTTCAAGATATCGCCTTGGAAAGGTAGCACAACCCCGAACACCGAAAAGTCGTAAGCAATCAGGCGAGGTTTAGGGTCCGGTAAGGCCTTTATTTTATCAACGAATATCTGGCGTAGATTGTCGTCTCTATCTACGGAACAGAAACGGGCCATGCGGACAATCTGGCAGCCAAGTTGCTGAGCCAGAATATACCGCTCCATAAAGGACTCATCATTCCATTGCGGAGCTCCAAACCCTTTCGTAATATAATTACCGATAATTTTTGTTCTTCCTCGCATGGCGAGAATATGGGAGATCAGCGCGGGGCTTCTTTGAAGGTCAAGACTCAGATACTCGACACCAAGACGAAGCCCATGAAGCATCAGTTCTAGATCCATCGCATCCCTTTCTTCAAGGGGTCTCTTTCGTTCTTCTCGAGGGTTCTCTTCGACGGAGTAAATGATTGGAAGGTCTAGTTTGCGGCGGATCAAAGCGACCTGGATTGCAATAAGATCCAGCATGTTCGTGGGCCAAGTGTCAATTATCAGCTCCACGGCCTCTCCAGGAGCTTCTAGCTCGGCTAGATCAATATTACTGCTGAGTATAGTTGAGAGTCGAAGGCAGAAGACGAAGGTGTGTGTTCGATACTCAGGGGGTATCGCCTTTATTGAGAATGGGTTCGCTATCCATGATCGTGTTAAACCATGGCCAAAGATGTGATCGAGGAAGTTTTTGAAATCTTGCTTTGCTTCTACAAGCTTAGCAGTGCTTGTAGACGCGGAGCGATAGGGGTATTCCTCTGTTACCTGGCCTTCGCCGCTGGGGTCAAAAATGTTGAAGTACTCCAAATTAGAGAAATTACGATGCTTTTGGTCAGTGGTGAGGAGATGCTCCGCATCGGCCGCCGAGAGTTTTAATAACTTGTATAGATCCTCTTTATCGCGATGGATGTAAATGATGGGGTTCGTCTCAATGTAGTCCTTGAGGATTTCCTCAATATCGGGCGACAAAATGCCAGTTCCGCATTCTATAACACAGTTGGCTTGGTTCAGCTCGAGCATTCGGGCAAGTACAATTGCCATCTGCTGATTGAAGGTTTCTCGCCCATATCTTTGCAGAAAAGTAGCCCTGGTACATCCAGTCGACTGTTCAAAAAAGTGATCCTCAGTAATAAGTCGACGGCCGAGATACTTGGCAGCAATAAACCCCAACGTCCGTTTTCCAGCACCGCGGCAACCCACAAGGATGACCGAAGAATCAGTAGGAAAGACCCTACGTTTTGTTCTAGATGTGGAGATTATGGGTTCATCGAGGATCATATTCGACCCCGTTGTCGCCATCCTAACAATCAAACTTCCAAATCCCCAACACACAATCTACTCGTGCTTGTCACTTTAGACCGATGGGCAGGGAGGGAGGAATAGGCGGTGTTGATAGATGATCATTAAAAATGGTAACTTCATATGAGATTTAAAGCGAACCTCAATGCTGTTTGACGAAAGCAGACACAATAAGAGTACCCGATACCATCTGCGATGAAATACCCTGCAAGTATGTGAGAAGTTAGAATTTTTATGTCCGATCTACTTGAGAAGTAAGTCATAAGAGAGCATCTCCAATGCTGAAGCAAGAATATTAAATGGGGTCGAGTCCATGAGGCAAGTTTTATACTTGCGCAAGTTGAAGGTTAACACGGCAAGGGTATCGGCATTAGAAACGGGAATTTAGCCCTGAACCTTCACCTAGCAAGCCTTAGCAAAGTCCCTAACTCAATTAGCCACAGGGAGAGCCACGTTACCTGAAAAAGCCACAAAAATTGAAGTTACTAGGGGTACCTGATAACCCCGCGGCGATAAGTCAAGTGTACCTCAGTGAGGTAGGTTGCGAGGTAGGTGGTCCCGACTCAAGCTGACAGCGCTTGCTTATCTGCATGTACTTGTATTCAAATCGCTGTACACGTACATAATTCTTATTTAACTTCACAATTACAACAAAAACATACCTAAATATATCGATAATTCTTTATTTACTTTCACTCCTCTTACTATTTTCGACCTTTATTCTTATACTCCTCCATATTTGCCTCATTGGCTTATAAGAGCTTTTATGCCGTCGCTTTAAAAGGGCGCATACGCGAACTTATCGTACCTCTTCGTTTTCTAAGAAGAAGAAGAAAAAAAAAAAAAATAAAAAAGGAAAAAAGGGAGGCCCTCTACTCCACGGAGAAGGAGGGTGACTTGACGCTGGTTTGGAACTAGCAGTATCTGCTTCGGGGCGTATGGTGGAGGCTATGAGTGATGGGGAGAGCGATGACGGCAAGCGAGCGTCAAAAAAGCGCAAGGCTAGCCGCGCTTGCGACCGCTGTAACTCTCAACATCAGCCATGCGACAATGCCGTCCCTAAGTGCAGCGTTTGTGTGCGCGCGGGCACCGATTGCACCTACAACAGACCTGTGCGCAAAAGAGGTCCTCGTAGTGGATATACCGGCCAAAATGGCGAGCGTCTATGGGCTATAGTCCTCCAGGCACGACCCGAACTTGAAGATGTCGTTTTGCAGGTCCTTCGCGGCGGTACATATGGAAACACTGGTATTCCTAACCTAGACTACTTCAAGAATAACGACAACCAAGCGGAATTGGTTAACAGGTTCAACGAGAGTCGACTGGGCCGATTCTTACAAAATGGAGAATCCCCTGATTTATTTTTACCTCCTTTGGACCGACGAGTTTCACCAATCATCTCAAAAGTGCGCAATGAGATGGGTTTTACTCAATCCTCAAATCCTCACCGCCAGACCGACGCGGCTAGGCATAGACCTGGCCTATCTAACAGATCGGTCTCATCTGTCTCAGGACCTCAACCCAGCTCAGTAAATCCTCATGGTGCTCCTCAAGATCCCAGCGATATTTACATACTGAGTGAGGACATTCGAAAACGAACTTTCCATCCCAATCAGAACCACATGCATAATTATAATTCGGGCTATTCTGAAGAAGGGCCTCATAATTTTAGCTTAGACCGGGCATCATCAGTCTTGGCGCCTCCCCAAGTTTCCACGCCTTTCGGTTCAAATGGCTCCACTGACGACTACGGGGAGAGCTCGCGGCAAACGAGCGAACGCTTAGTACCAGAAAGGCAGATAAGCGTTAACATACCAATGGGCCATTCTCAACATTCACAATCTATTGAACCAAGCAACCCACCAGCTTCAACACAAACTGATGGACTCCACTTAGACGAGACCTCTCGATGGTAATGATAACTGGCTCCCTTTATACCTACATATTCTTTAATCTAACTCCCTACAGGGTCGACTCGATACCATTTGACACATTACGAAACCTTGGATTCGCTCCTGGGGAGAGCATGGCGGAAGACTTCCTTGAGCTATGCGAGAACCCCGACCCTATTGATCGTACTCCGGCCACCTCAGCTGATCAGGATGAAGACGAAGAAGCCGTCTGGCGCCGACTAGTAATGCGCGGGAGATTCGTATAAAGAACCGTCTAGATTCGCACAGCGCATATAAGATATGAGATTAGTCCCAAAATTCTATTCACGGCACCAAGAGCCCCACGGCTGGTTGAGAATGGAGCGACTATAAATTCTACCCTGATATCAGGTTCTAGAGGTAGGTGTGGTGACGGTAATCACCATTGCTGCTAAGTTGGCAATATCAACTTGCAGGCTAACGCAGCGCTCAGACTCCGAGCCATGATGCTTTGGGGGTCCCTTTTTATTACCTAGGGCGTTATGTTTACTCCAAGATTTTTCAGCATAGGGCCCTCAGAGGTAGATATGCTATACGTACCTATCTATTGACATCATTAGAACGAGCATGCCAATCGCAGCTCATGCATGCACCTTGAAGAATATAAAAAAACTGTTATAATTGGATATTCAATGGTGGAAACGGTAGATCAGTTGAAGAGCAGCGGGTGCGCAAGGCACAGTTCAGTAAGCCTCGGTTCATATTCGCCTAGATTTAAACTATCGCAGGACGTACATATTAGTATATACCCCTTAATAGAGATAATACCCATTTACAAAGTTACCATGAGGTACCTAGGTAGTCTAACTTGTTGGGAGATGCTGATTTAGATGGCTGATGGTAGAGTATTCCCGTGGGTATGCGCCATGCTGGCGGACCATTACCCGCCCTACCGCGATCACGTCTAATCGTCAAACGTTCAACGCAACAATATGCTTCTCAGAGACTCCAATAAAAGTACATGTAAACCGAGAAATTTTGACTAGAAAAATGAAACGGTTGTCATTGTGCATTATCGGCATGCACGCGCTGATGAAACTACCTGCAACGACATGACTCAAATCTACACCATCCCACACACACTCTCCAATCGCTTTTTTTTTTAAAAAAAAATAGTTATTAATAACACCTAGGTTCCCATATGTGAGACTTAGGTAGACATCCCTTCCCTAAATAGTAAATGTAGCTTTCTATCTTGTAGTTATATTATTAGCGAAGCGCTTAAGTATCCGTCGTTGGTTAAAGTTACCCAGTGCTTTGGTATCAGGTATGGTTATAGAACGAACGGCAATGGGATACGGGCTAAAGTAGGTCTTAGTAGCATGTTCTACCTCTAGCGACCACTCAATTTATGAGACATGCATTGGAGCTCACCGACTTGTCCGAATATAAGGTATATGCTATAGTGACTCTCTGGTAGTAATAAGACTGTTATTGACGCGGTAACACAAGACACTACTCAACGATCCCCAAGCTTGGATAATTATAAGATACATTAAACTTAACATCGGGGAATATTCAGCATTAAAACTAATTTACGCCAGCTCATTCGGGACTGAAACCTGAAACTCTTGACACGTATTGAAACTAGTCCAAGAAATCGCCAGGGACATCGGGGCCTGGCATATCGATTAGTATTTCCACGCCAAACAAACTCAAACACTAGAGTCGGATACTCACCCCAGACGTGCAAACTCCCAGGGCCGGCCTGTGAGCGGTGTGTGGGCTCGGAGGCGGTCACCAAGTCTCCATCAACGTAGTGCTCCATGATGAAGCCGTGCGGGTCGTACCTGAAAACCAAGTCAGTTTGCCCTTCACATAAGAGAAAAAGAAGTCAACAAAGAAACGTTGGTAGGGTAGATTTATATACCAATAATCGAAGATCTGGCTGCCGAGGACGTGTCTCCCTACGCCCCAGCAGTTCTTGTAGCCCCTCTCCCTCAGCCAGTCGTGGCCTAGGACTTGGGTGTCAAAGTCGTGCGTCTCGAAGGACGAATGGTGCACTCTGTACGGTTGGCCTTCGGCGAAGAAGAACGAATGGTGGTCTACCGGCTCATCTCCTCTGTCCAACCGGTAGAACACCGTCCGGTCGATCTTCTCGGCATCGTGGATGAGCTACTCCTTTTGGTCAATTGCGAGTTCGCCAGGTAAGGATTTGGATGGGAGTCCATACATCACTAGCTAGGAAGTTGAAGTGGTCGCAGTAGAACTTATACGCCTTCGCGAAGTTCGTTGTTCTCACGCCGAAGTGGCCTAGCTTATGTACTGGAGCCGGTCGTTTCTCGAATCGCTGGAACCTGCCTGCAGGTCTGTTCTTCTCGTTAGGCTATATTACCGTTAGTATCGGAACCCAATGCTGGCTTGGTAAACCTGGCAAATTCTCACGTAGTTGACGGGCTCGTGGGGTAGAGGGATCTCCAGCATCTGAGCGGGCGTCTGACCGTATACGAGATGGAACGGAAACCCGTCGACCGGATCGTAGAAAGTGACGCCCTTACCCCCTCCGGGTGCATCCGTTAAATCGTATATCTTGGTAGCTTTCGGTAGTGTCTCAGATGCGATCTGTAAGTCCTCCTCCGATTCGACGACGAAACCTGCGCCGCCGAATTCGGCCTTATCGGCTTTGACAGCACATAACACCCATGGTTCTGTTCCATAACCTCTCCAGTAGATCTTGTCATCCGATACCCTCTTCTCCTCAGTGAAGCCAAAGTCTTTTAGAAATTGAATAGCCTTGTCCATGTCTGTATACTTGTAGTACACATGTGCTATTCGCACGAGCTGTATCTTTCTCGGGGCAGCCATGTTGAACAATTGTAGTCTTATCTCTTCTGTCTAGTTTTGGGTTTTGTTATCTTGCGGAGATGCTCTCGGAGTTAAAGTTCGATCTCGGATGAAGGGTATAGGTGAAAACAGCGGGAGGACATCTCCAAACAGCCATGATGGCTAGGTGAATATTATATACCTAATAACATAGAATACTTGAAACGGTTAAAGTCGGGGAGGAGGGTGGAGGAGTCCGTCCTTTGCGGATACAGTGGCGGGTCAATGTCCCTCCATTCGCGTACATTAAGCTCTCGTATAAGTCTAGAAACTACCTATGCTAAGGTGGACAGTAGAGGCACTTTGTGATTATCCGTCATGCGAAGTGACAATCCAAACAGTTAAGACTTATGTGATAGGGTTACCTCAGGTACCCTATGCTCAACCCGGTCGAGGTCCACAGCCGCGGCCCCGCATGAACGTTGGATGTTTCTGCCATGGAACATATTCGGCAGTTATAAGTCGCTGGGTGGTTGTGGGGTCGTTCACTTGGAAGATCCCGAGTTACGGATATAATGATACAGCTATAGGAGGTTTTAGTGTAAGAGATTCCAAGCTAACCCCCGCTTCGGCTGAGACTTAAGGGTTCATCCACGTAGCTTCGACGCTAAGGGTGAGCTACTAGCGTACCTGGTATGTATTAGGTTAGGAGGTAGGCTCACCTGGGCAGTTAGCTAAGGGGGTCTTCGTGCATTGATGCATAGGTACCTACCTTACCTAGGTCAGGTATACGTTACGCAGTTTGCTTTTGCTTATTATAGATTAGAAATAGAAAATAGACCGGCGAGACATATAATTAATGCTCATGTAATACTCCAAGCGGCTCGTTCGGTGTTAACAAGCCGCCGTTAACAATACGACGCTGCATATTGTTTTTTTAATATCCGGTACAAAAGTTGGGGACTTGGAGATGGGAGAGGCATGAAATTACAGAGTTGGAAAAGGGGGTGTGACCAAGCTGGCGAAAAAAGGAAAATGACGTTGTCAACGGGCTGGTGGGCCTACCCCCTTCAAAAGCATCCCCTGATCGCAGCTTAGTAGAAGATCTCTAATGACAGGAAACGAGATCTTGTTGTGCGACGGGAGACCAGTGAAGAAAAAAGAAAAAGGTCGGTAATAATTTTATAACCGAGTGCTAAGCCAAAGTGATAAGTACAGTTGCAACTTCTCGCTTTTCACTCTAATCTAATCTAATCTTATCGCCTTAAGACCGTTATACCGTCATTCGTATCATACACCAATTTTACACCATTTACCCGGTCCCTTAAACCTGTACCCAGTAATAGATGCAATAGATGCATACCTATATTAGACATAATATTAGATACCTACAACCATGATGATGCCCAAAAAACTCTCCAAACAACCCACCTTCCCCGACACCACCCCGACCGCCGTGCCGCCCATCCTCTCCGACGGCCAGCCGCTCCCCCGCGCCGTCGTCTTCGACCTCGACTACACCCTGTGGCCCTTCTGGGTCGACACGCACGTGTACCCGCCCCTGAAGCCGAACGCGGCGCACAGCGCCTGCACCGACAAGATCGGCGAGTCCTTCGCCTTCTACGACGACGTGCCCTCCGTCCTGCACGGCCTCGCCCGCGCCGGCGTCCGCCTCGCCGTCGCCAGCCGCACTCACGCCCCCGACCTCGGCCGCGAGATGCTCAAGCTCCTGCACATACCTCCCGCGAGCGCCGTGCTGGACGACAGCGGCAGCGGCGGCGGCGGCGATGGAGGTTCCGGGAGCGGGGGCGGGGGCGGGAGCGCCAACAACGCCACAGCCGGCAAAAAGGACAAGGTGAGGAAGGCCATCGAGTTCTTCGATGCCGGGCTCGAGATCTACCCCAGCAGCAAGATACAGCATTTCAAGGCGATCAACAAGAGGACCGGCATCCCGTTTACCGATATGCTGTTCTTCGACGACGAGAGCCGTAATAGGGACACGGAGTCCCTGGGCGTGACTATGTGGCTGGTTAGGGACGGTGTTACGTGGAACGAGGTCGTAGAGGGGATTAAGGAGTGGAGGAGACGAAAAGGCGTTCAATTGGCGTCCTGAGATTCAGTTATATACCTGGTATATAGTCGACATTTGTTTAGAGTACCCATTGGAATTACCGGAGGATAACGACATATAGATGATATATACCTAAGGCACCTAGAATTCCTTCACAGATTATATAGGACACCTGATAGAGAGGGGTTGCTGGCGTTAGGAGTTCACGACAATTCTATTTCTCATTGTCATCAAGAAGTACATATACAAGGTACCTATACAAACAATCCATGCCTAATCCCATAAAACAAAAGTGTTCCCTCTTTCAATAATTACAAAGGTTATGCGCCAACGACCGTTCCCAAGTCTTAGGAAATATCAGTACCTACAGGTAAGAGGTACTTAAGGTACCTGCATTTATACCTCTTATGTCTATATCTTCCAAGAAAATTATATCCAATTTCGAGATGGGTATTACCAATTGAGGATGAAAGTCCAACTCCGGTGTAATTGGTTGACTTCATAAGCTCCCTCTGTAACATAATTCTGTCTGAATTATGTCATAATTATTTTCCGTCAGAGATTGACAATGCCGCAATGTTCGCCGTCGGAACTTCGCCGTTAATAATGGCCTTCTCGGTGGGCGACACGGACGACTCATCAACTTCCGTCGCGTCGCCGGTTTGGGACCCCGCGGCAGAGACAAAAGTATCCTCGGCCGACTTGGGCGGGTAAGCCCTCGTGATAGTGCAGATGCGCTCTTTCCGGTCGACCCCGTTCTTAGTACCTACCGCGATGCATTCGAGTCGCTTGCCGTCGTCAATCGTATTCCAGTATACTGGGCCTCGAGGGAGGGTAGTATGTCCGTTCTCAAATTGGCATATCCGGTTCACTTCGTCATCCCAAGCAGGCTCATCAAAGAAGTCCCAATCGAGCTCACCGCCATACGCTTTCGGAATATTCTTTATGTCCATGAAAGTTGTGAGAACAGGTAACACATCTTGTTCCTGAAGAATAAAAATCTTGGATACGGTCACAGGATCGAACCAGCGCTTGATCCAGCCCCATACGGTGGAGAAGAACATGGGCGCACCGATTATGAAGATACCTGGGAATATATAATTAGCCATCTCCACCAACCTAAATCAATATGTGATAAAACTCGTAACCCAATTCGTAGACGTACGGTCAAGAGTTTCGGGATAGTGAGCAGTGGCCAACTGACTGGCCGCCTGCATGTGGGCTTTCAAGTTCCAGAACATGCGCAGACTGACGTGGGAGATGTCGACGATATTGGTGCTGAGGGTAATAGGAGTAGCGGGGTGCGGGCGGTCGGTACACTCGGACGAGAGAGGTTGGACAAATCTTGTCAGATGCTCGTACAGCGCAAATAATTGTAACAGCTTGGGCTGCGTCTTGCCGTCCGTCTTGGCCCTACTATACGTCGTTTCGGTAGACTTTTCATATTTGGCGACTGCGTGGGAATCGAGATGTCGGATTTGGAATACGTAGATTGGAATACCTCTAAAAAAAGAAGAACATAACAAGTAAATTAGTTCTATAGAAATCATGAAGCTTGTTAATAGTTGTTTGTAGACATTACGTACCGCTTATCGCGTCGACCGGTAAATCGAGGGTACTATATTAAGGTTCTCAAAGATCAGTGCTCTATTTCCATACCTGCCTAACCTATATTTTAAATATTTTAAAGTTTACGAAGTACAGGGATCTAGTATGGATAAGGATGGACCATGACGTACAAGCTTCCTAGTTGCCTCGAACGAGTCGATATCGATTGTATCGTAGAGAATTTCGACTTGATTTGCGTTACGAAATTTTTCTGTTTCGCTGAATTGCGCATACGCGTCTTCCGGGACGAACTTGCGTGCTCGAAGAAATCGACTAGATTCGAAGAAAAAAGAAAACAATATTAGTACCAGTGCTTAAACAAGCTTAACGCGATTCTCGACTTATACGAACAGTAGTGTAGGATCGTCATGAGATGGCGGATTCCCCGGCTTGTATAAACCCTTTTGCTCTACAAGTGTCTTGAATTCTACGAAGGCTTGTTCTTCGTGCTCGGTGAGGTGTCCGAGGTGTCCCTGCGGGTAGCCGTGTTCGACAGCCCCAGACGAGGGAACCCGATGCATAGAAGAGCCAGAATGCTTCGTCATTGGAGGTACTTAGAAAAATGTAAAGACAAACGGTGATAAATGAATATCTCAGAAGAGGACAGGCGGTATTCGCAACTAATAGTATTTACTATACTGAAAAAATGGTATTTGGTAATACCTTAGGTCCTATGTTCACTATCAAGGGCTGAGCTGAAGGGCTGGAAAAAGATACGAATAAGAAATACGAAATACGAAATACGTAAAATGAGAATCAGATCCCTGTCCCTTACCTTTAAAACCCTTACATAAGTGCATAGCAAGTGAGATCTTATTGGTGGGTCTATGATCTAGCTATGATCTTGGACATGGAATCTTAGAGATGGGATTTAAAGACTAACATCACCAACCTAATTTATAACAGCTGTCATAACAGGTACCTAACCTAAACTTTGTTCGGATACACTTTCTAAAGTTCACGTTCCATATAACCATAAAATGAATATGATCAGGTTTAATTTAAGTTGATTTCTCAAGATTATTAATAGAATATATTAATATTAGGTAGCTACCTACCTCTATGTCAACATATTTTAGGAGGTACGTAGTACGTTCCAGGGCCACTTTAATTAATTCTATATACAAGGTTACCTAGTACCTATTTTGGTACTTATATAGATCTATTATAATAAATACCTAATCTAACTTGACTTCACAACAGGAATTAACGTACAACCTTGAAAGGAGACAACTCCGATGGCTTTCTCATGTCCGATATGATATATTAAAGTACAAAAATAGAAATTCGCCCAGTTAATAGGTTGTACAGCTTTGGCTAATATTGGAGAATTGTGCAGATCTAGGTAAGCTTCGAAATCGACTTGTACGCCCCATCGTCTCCAAAAGTAAAGTACATACATCCTCACTTATACATAAGCCACTACAAAATGCCTGAGCCACTGCGAGTTGAGTTGCATTAGGTAGACGGGGTGGCTGCTACTTACCTACCTCTAGGTACTCAAGGTAGATATATGACTTAGGTAGGTTGATTGCTAAGCTAACTTGACGTCAACAATGGTGATAACCTCGGAGTCTCCTTCGGTACGTTGGCATAGCCCACCTGACTTACCCTCGGGGTATTACACGTAAACCCTCTTCTCTCGCGATCAGGATCCATGACTTGATGCGGGGTGATGAATGCACTCCTCAAACTCCCACAACATAAGTCCATACCCGATTCGCTGAGCCAAAGCGTCATCCAAATCGGAGAGTTGATGCGAACAATGCCTCGTGGATTATATCTACCATATACCGTGATGTGCGGGGTCTCTATTACCGTGAAATTGGGGATATATAGAGCTCCAAACCTTGGAGTTTCTTCTGCTTCAACTTGTTGATAACTAGGTCACCTACCTCCTATAACACTATCCCCAACTCCTAGGTATTTTTCCTATTCTATAAACTCTACTCGCCATGGCCACGCCAAACTCTCTTCCGCCAAGTCAACGTCTGGTACCCGGCTCTATAGACCTTCCTCTTGCACCATGGCCACAGACAATCAAGGACGAGAATGTCGATGCACTTGCAGTCAGCGTCAAACTCGTAAGCTCCTTCAATGAGCTGCTTTCGAAAAAGGACCACAAAGGTCTTGCGAACCTTTTCCTAGAAAGTAGCTATTGGAAAGATCACCTTGCTCTGACTTGGGATTTCCATACTTTGAAAGGAAGAGACAAGATTACGTCGTTCTTAGACAAGGGCCATCATTTAAAGGACATCGCTATCAGCAATGAAATTCCGGCCAAGAATAATGGCCCAGAAATAATCCCCTTCCGGATGGACGGTTCGGTCCGCGGCATACAGTTCTTCCTGCGGGCCAGCGCCGAACATGGTTTTGGCCCCGGGTATGCCCGCCTCCTCCAAGAAAACGGCGAATGGAAATTTTGGATGCTTTACACAACTGTGAACGAGCTCCATAATCACCCGGAGCCGATCGGTCCCTTACGACCAATTGGTGTCAAACATGGCGCAAATCCAGAGAGGGAAAACTGGCTCGAAAGAAGGCAGAATGAGATAAACTTCGTGCACGGCGATCCTGAAGTGCTTATCATTGGTAAGATCCTATTGTTCTACATGTATGTCGCGATATTTACCTCTTATATAAAAATAGGGTGCGGTCAAGCTGGACTCACGTTACAAGCCCGGCTGAAGATGATTAACGTCTCAGCACTCGCCATTGACGTCTGCGACAACGTCGGCGACAATTGGAGGAATAGATACCGGCATCTCGTCCTTCACGACGCGATATGGTACGACCATATGCCGTACATAAAGTTTCCGGACTTTTGGCCCATATTTACTCCGAAAGACAAGCTGGCCCAATTTCTGCAGTCCTACGCTGAACAACTTGAGCTTAATATATGGAACAACACGAGTCTCGAGTACAGCAGCTGGGACGAGAAAAAGAAGGAATGGGTCGCCGTCGTAAAGCGGAAGAAGAAGGACGGCACCGTCGAAGTCCGCGTGTTGCGTCCGAAGCACATTGTCCAGTGCACGGGTCACTCGGGGAAGAAGAACGCACCGCAGTTCAAAGGCATGGAGACCTTCAAGGGCGACGTGCTCTGCCACTCGTCGGAGTTCAAAGGCGCCAAGAGGGACGGTAAGGGGAGAAAAGCAGTCGTGATCGGCGCTTGCAACTCCGCCCTCGATATCTGCCAGGACTTCTACGAGAACGGGTACGACGTAACCATCGTCCAGCGGTCGTCGACGACCGTCATGAGCATCAAAGCGGTAATGGAACTGCTGCTCAAACCCGCGTTTTGCGAGGGCGGTCCCCCGACCGAGGAATCCGACCTTCTTACGTGGGGCAGGCCCGGGGAGATGTACAAGGCGGCGCAGGCGGACGTCAACGAGCGCCAGCAGGTGATCGACAAGGAGACGCTCGACGGGCTCAACAAGGCGGGGTTCAAGACGGACCGCGGGCCGATGAACTGCGGGCTGTGGATCAAGTACCTGCAGCGCGGCGGCGGGTACTACATCGACGTGGGCGCGTCGCAGCTGATCATCGAGGGCAAGGTCAAAGTCAAGCACGGCGTGGGCGTGAGCGAGATCCTGCCGCAGGGCGTCAAGTTCGACGACGGGTCCATCCTGGAAGCGGACGAGATCGTCTGCGCGACGGGCTACCAGAACATGCGGACGGCCACGGAGGCCATCTTCGGAGAGGAGGTCGCGAGCAAGGTGCCCAACGTGTTCGGCTACGACGACGAGGGCGAGATGCGCGTCATCTGGCGGCCTAGCGGTCACCCCGGCCTCTGGCTTCACGGAGGAAATCTCGCTCTGTGCCGATACTTTTCTAAACTTGTCGCTGTCCAGATCAAGGCACAGCTAGAAGGACTATCTAAGTAAAGGGTTTTAAGCTTGGGATGGAATATGTATTAGGTAGGTACTTAGGTAATGTATACCTAGGTAGTCGATGTAAGGTATGTATGTTAAGCTTTCCGTGGTACTTCAAATAACCTTATGTAGCTGATGTATTCTTCAAGTTATGTAGGAGGTATTTGAGGTAGTGGTATCGTATCAATACAAGTTTCGTATTATCAACCTACCTGTTAGGTGAAGCCTCACCTTAGACATATTGTCTTTTAAACCCGAGTATTTGCTAGGTGAATTATGGATCCACTTGCAGTGCATCATCTTGTAAAACTAGCTTGCCATAGAGCTGAGCCAATCACTTCATTATTTATGTGTGTTTCTGTCTCGTTTGGGAAGCATCATGGTTTTCTACCTAAGGCAGCTGGCTTGAAGTGGTAGGAAGAAAACCGGGGGTTCAGTCGAATACGAGAGCTCCGACACTGCTAGTTCATCACGCCATTCAATTGGCCAGGACACGTATTATTGACATTGCTGACAGCACTTTCTCAACATTGTAGCATCATGTTTTACCTCATTTGAAAGCGAATTTCATCTTCAACGATGGCTCTCTCCGAGGGCGCCACAGACGCGATTGCTCACTACTCGATAGCAGTATCAATCCTGTTTCTGGGTACGGCGCCATTCCGACTATGGAGTTTGCGCAGATCCCCTGTCGTCGTTAGCTTTAGCTTCCTGGGGCAAGTTAAGATGGTGGGTGAAGACTAAGATACCAACATAGTAGTATCAATAGACTAACATTCAGAGTAGCTTCTGTCGACTCTTCTTATTTTATCAAGCTTGGGGCGTTCTATCGCGTTAGGATACTTGACGTCTGACAGTAACTACTTCTGTGCTTCTCAAGGTCTTCAGATTGTTGCAGTTCTCATGCTCTGCGTCCTATCATTTCTAGAGCATCGACGAAGTATTCAGCCATCTAGCATTATCACTCTTTATTTAATTGCATGTATTATTCGAGATGCTCTTGAGATATCCAGAATGCTCCAGGGGGAGCATAATCGGTTCATACAAGACCCGATTCTCGCGCAGATAACCCTTGAAGCTGCTTTACTCGCGACGGAAAACCTTGGAAAGGAAGAAACCAAAGAGTCCTCGGGGCAATATGTGTCACCAGAAGAGAAATCAGGGCTACTTGGTAGAATATTCTTTTGGTGGATAAATCCGGTTCTTGTAGAAGGATACCATAATGTCCTTCTGAACTCTGCTCTCCCTGCTGTGGATTCAAAACTGCTATCAAGAACTATCCGTACTGCGGCCACACATGCATGGGAGCAAAGGCGTATGTGCCCTAGCTCATACCAAAGACTAAAAGGGGCTAATCCTAAAGGAACTACGTAGTAAGACCCGAGATTAAAATGACGCTTCCAAAAATCCTGTTCGCCACTCTCAAAAGGCCGTTCTTGTTAGCGATACCACCGCGACTTTTCCTCACCGTATTCCGATATTCACAGCCAATTATCATCCGTCGAAGTATCCAATTTGTCACCAGTGATGAGCCTTTAAATCAGATATGGACTGCGCAGAGCCTCGTTATGGCCGCAGTGATCGTCTACGTTGGCCTGGCTGTAAGTTCCCAGTATAGCCCACGAAACAATTTGACCATTAACCCGTATGCGCAGATTTCAACGACGGTTTATCAAGACCACCTGAATAAGCTGAGAGTAATGGTTCGTGCTGCTCTTATAGCCTTGATTCATGATAAAACCATGAACTCTTACGCCGAAACGGTGAGCGAAGGCAAAGTCCTGACACTCACAAGTACCGACGTGGACAACCTTGACACCATCGGTGAAATGTTTCACGAAACTTGGGGACAGGTTCTTGAGGTCTCCATCGGGATTGCGATGTTATCTTGGGAAGTTGGTTGGGTGTCCCCTGTACCACTTTTTATTATTTTCCGTAAGTTATCAAATTATTTCATCTGATGTTCTCAATTGCTGAAGTGTCCAACCAGTATGTTCTCGCATGAGCCAGTATGTCGCGAAGAACCTGCGATCGAGACAAGGCGGTTGGAACGAGGCTACTCAGAACCGTATTTCTACGACAAGTGCCACTATCGGTGCTATGAAAAATGTTAAGATGCTTGGCTTGCAAGATATGATCTCAGAACGTATTGAAAGGCTTCGGCAGGCCGAGCTTCACATGGCAAGCAGAGTGCGATGGATGATGGTTGCTTACAACGCGTCTGCGAATGCCAATGGGATGTTTACGCCCGTTATCACGCTCGTGCTCTATGCCATCCTAGCCATGTTGAGTGGCAGCAAACTTGATACTGAAACGGCATTCACAACGATTGCTATCTTAAGCATGGTAACGCACCCTGCGAACATGGTCATGACTATCGTGCCTAGGGTCATTGCGTCCTTCGCAAGTTTTGAAAGAATTCAGAGCTTCCTTCTCGAACCTCCTCGCCAGGATCACAGGACTGAAATCATCCATTCGCAAACGACCCCTGAATTCGGCAATTCCAGGGAGGACCTTCACGCCACTTCGCATCCAGCTCTTAGTGTGGCGGGGGTCACTTTTGGGGAACCTCGTTCTGTTCTGAGCAACATTAATTTGAATATACGTAAGGGGTCTATCGTCGTTTGTTCTGGTGCGACGGCCGCTGGGAAGACATGTTTAGTGCGCACTCTTCTGGGCGAGACCCCTTCGATAGGAACCATCACAGTGTCTTCCAAACGCATTGGCTATTGCTCTCAGCTGCCGTGGCTACCGAATGGAACGATTAGGCAGGTTATTCATGGATTCGAGGATAGTTCCTCGATTATCGACTTGGGATGGTATGAGACGGTAATCGCTGCTTGCTGTCTCACGAGAGACATTGAGGCGCTTCCCAACAGGGACGAAACCATCGTGGGCAGTCGAGGGGCCAATCTTTCAGGAGGTCAGCGACAGCGCCTAGTAAGTATGCCTTCTATTGCCCCCTGAAATTTTCTAACATAACATTGGCTCTCGCACGCGCAATATTTTCTCGTCCGGACATTCTCATTTTAGATGATCCATTTAGTGCGCTAGATGGGAGCACCGAGCGTCAAATCGTCGAAAGCCTCTTCGGATCAGAGGGGCTTCTTAAAAAGTTTGGAGTAACGGTGATTTTAATAAGCAATTCTAGTATGTATTTCTGAATTAGGCATTCTTACTGTGCGTTAACGTTTTGGCGAAGCCCAGTACTTCCCCTTGGCAGATGAAATTATTATCCTCGAAGACGGGCGAATTAAGGAACAGGGCAAATGGAACGAACTACTCTCCCGGGATCCGCAAGTATTGAAAATAACCCTCAACGAAGATCACATTCATAAGAGCAAAAAGGCCCCCGAAGACAGTGCCAACCATCTCTCGCGACAACAGCGATCCTACGATGATATTGCTATTGACTCGAAGCGGAAAACAGGCGACTCAGCGCTCTATAGTAAGTTCAAAGTCAATGTCTAGAAAGCATTAGGCACACCTAACGAGCTGTAGGCTATTATTTAAAAGCGACTGGACTGGGAAACTTTGCGTTCATGGTAACTTCTATCGCAACTTGCTCCTTTTTCGTCACTTTCCCGCAGTACTGGTTGAAGCTATGGACAGACTCAAAATCAAGCAACAACTGGATATTCATCGGAGGATATGTTGCTCTGTATCTCATCGCTTGGATTTCTACGAATGGAATTATGTGGTGCGTCTAGCTGAATTAGAAGCCCGCTTGAAGTGATAAGTTGAGACTGACATGGACATCTAGGTCTACCATAATTTTGGTAGCACCCCATTCGGGACTTGTTTTACACTCGAAACTCCTTAAGATAATTATGCGGTACCACTCACCGCCTCGTGAAGGTGATCAAGTTGCTAACATATACCAGTGCACCTTTGCTATACTTCTCTAAGACTGACAGCGGGTCAATCCTGAATCGGTATGCGCCACTTTGGAAAATACGAACAAGACACTAATAACCCATAGATTCAGTCAAGACATCCAACTTGTTGATAAGCAACTCGCATCTGCCATGTCATCATTATTCGTTCGTACGTAGAATCCATGGTTTAACTGCCAAGAGGATCACTAATATTATCATAGAGGTCTCTAAGCTTCTTGTTCAAGTCATCTTACTATTCGTTGCCCAAAAGTTGCTGACACTGACTCTCCCTATTTGTCTCGTATTCGTCTATCTAGTACAGAAGATATACCTTCGAACATCGCGCCAACTACGGCTTTTGGAACTTGAATCTAGATCTGCTGTGCTGATAAACTTCTTAGAGACGGTGGAAGGATTGCCTACAATACGTGCGTTTGCAGGCCAGTCCAAGGCGGAAAACCAACATATACGAAACCTCGACGAGTCACAAAAACCCTTCTACCTTCTTTTATGTCTCCAGTGCTGGCTCAGAATTGTCCTAGACCTACTCGTTGCGGGGATAGCCGTTGGGGTAATCGTTCTCGCAGTCTCTCTGCGGGACACCACTTCGGGTGGCCAAGTCGGTGTCGCGCTGAACATCGTGTTGATCGCAAATACCACGCTCCTTAAACTCGTTGAATCGTGGACCAGCCTAGAAATATCTCTTGGGGCCATCGCCAGGATCAAGAAACTGGAAGAGGAAGTGCTCCCTGAGGATCAACCATCCGAAACTAAGATACCTCCCGAAACGTGGCCGTCTTCCGGGTCTCTGGAAGTTCGGAGTCTTACAGCCTCTTATAATGAAGAATCTACTGCTCTTCGCGATGTATCACTACGGATTAACCCGGGACAGAAAGTGGTGGTATGCGGCCGAACGGGGAGGTAGGTGCTCATACACATATGGCTCGGCTCGGATTACGTGCTGACTTTATCTCGTTTAGTGGTAAGAGCTCTCTAATTCTCGCTCTTCTCAAGTTACTAGATAAAGGATTGGGATCAATCATCGTTGATGGTATAGATGTTGGCCACGTCCCTCGCTCAATAGTACGAGGACGCTGCTTCGTAACAGTACCCCAGGAGCCTTTGCTCCTCAACCAGCAAACCCTCCGATTTAACGTGGACCCGACAGAGACTCTCTCAAACGATACTATAATCGATACTCTCTTCAAGGCGCGCCTGTGGCAGCATTTCAGCTCTACTTTGAACTCTAGAGGGGTGCTCGACAGCCCCGCGAGCACTCACCCGATCCTAGATCAGACGCTTGCGTCGCTCCCATCTCTTTCAGTCGGACAGGGGCAATTGCTAGCCCTCGCACGTGCATTGCTACAAGTATATACCGTAGCTACTTGCGGTGCAAAACCAATAATTCTACTCGACGAAGCCACTTCTTCTCTAGACTTTTCGACTGAGGAATTAATACTCGATATTGTTCACGAAGAGCTCACCTGCAAAGGTCACACGGTAATTATGGTTGCACATAGAGTGGGTGCGGCCGTGACCCACCTCAGAAAAGGGGTAGACATCGTAGTCTGGATGAAGGACGGGAAGGTCGAAAAGGTAGGCGACGCAGATGAGATTATGAACATAACAGCGCAAGCCGTTATGCCTGAGATCCAGGGAGATGATCAGACAAGGGAATGATCAAAAGAGCTGGGCTATTGGAGAATACCATATATTCTGTCCGAAGATACATAGAGTGATATCACGCTTCTAGTTCCTCCCCGAAAACTGCAGTATTCGAACTGTTGATTCTCTATTAATGCTTGCTTCCCCTTTGGTATCTATCTCAATAGACCATTTCCGACTGGGAGTCACATAAGGTATCCGAGACAATATCTCGTAGCATGAATAATTAAAGCGGTTCAAATACCCAGCCGGTGCAGTGATACAAGATCTCCTACGCATGATGCTCGAGACACATGTTTCTTTCCTCGTTTCGATACCCAACTTAGAAAGACACACCTGGTCCCCGGCGCAGCGCCCGCGATGTAGTCCGCGATGTATTGCTATTCGTGTTATACGTGCAAGTCGACCAGTCGTCGATCCGCGTCTGTCCCCACGCGCTGGCCTCATTCGGGTTAGGAATGCATTCTTCCCAGACAAGTCCGAAGTCCAACGTCAGACCGCGGGTTAGATGGCCGGTGCCTTTACCGCTCTTGTCGCTTGTAGTTGCGCCAATATTAAACGAAAGCTTCGTCTTAACGTCGCCCGAACCCTCGCCGCCGTTCATACACGTCGACCACTCTAGATTCGCGGAACTGTTGCCGCTTGCTTCGAAGTCCTCGTCGAAATTCCCGACGCCCCCGATAGCTGTCTTGGAGGTGTTGTCAAACTATCGGTTCGCTAGTAAGCTACTGCACCTTACACCGGACTTTTTGTTCGCATCGGGGTGTAGACGATAAGTACCTACGTAAGGTAGGTAAACTTACCATGGTAGACATAGATACGTTCCAGACCTCAGGTGGTGCTCTCCCAGGGTTGATCTTGTGATTCTCGTACCTGAAAACCACATTGGATTCCAACTGGTATAGCTGGACGCCATCGGTCGCGTTAAGATGTCCTCGATACGTTACCTCTCGGATCGCGAAACGGTATTTGTACCACCAGGAGCTGAATTCTACAGTAAATTGGCAACTGGCGTATTCGTCTGTCCTGCCGTGGCCTGTAGTACCGAATTGCACACGGGGGAGGTCCAGTCGGAGGGTATTTGAGAAGAAGGTGATGTTCATGCTCTGTCCAGGGGCGCATTGGTAAGGAGATGCCGCGTTTATTTCCCGAATCAGCGGAAACTCGGGTGGTGGCGCATCTCCGTTCACAAGGGAGGAGATTGCCAAACAAATACCAGCGATAAAATTTATGACCCTCATGATAAAGTTTCTTTAGTTGCTGAAGTTTATCCCGGTTCCGTTTGTAAAGGGGTAGAGGGGTAGGCAAAGTAGTGCAAACGCAACACGCAAAAGCGGCCTCGGAGTATTTATAAACAACGTCTGGAGCCTCTTATCATACCTGTATCATGAACGTAACCTTCCGCCGGAGGGACGCTGAGTTGCATCTTACCAATCCAATTAACCCAGATATCTGCAGTTTCCCGGTCGCTGACCTTCTGGAACCGGATAATTGGTATCGAGGATAGGTACCGGGAAAATGACAAAGGCTCGAGTCGACAGCTCTCCTATTCGCCAACGATAAGATATCCGCAAATATCAATTGCTTAGGTGTCGTATCCATTGCCGGGAGTGACGTTCGATAATAACTAAATGTGCATTAAATGCGTCCCTGTGGACAATACGAGCAGCACGCAACAGTAGTTGATCACCAGTAGAGCCTGCAAGTGCAGATGCCTAGAACTTTTGTTATATAGCCGACTTTGAATCTCGAGGTTGTAACTAACCTTGAGACCACTTGTTCTAGTTCATATGGACTACTAGCACAATCTAATGCAGTCTGAAATGGATAGTCATACGAGGTTCTCCGGCTAAAGAGCTTCCCTTACTAATAATTGTCGTTACGGCCCAGCCCCTTTTGAGAGACGAAATTTAATAGACACCTGACGGCCTATTACTCCTGTGAGCAATTGCAATTTTCGAAGAATTGTAAGCTGTCTGCCACTGTCATTATGGCTCTAATGGATAGTTGATAGTTGCTACACACCGGGCTCATTCTCTTGCTTCCTTAAGGGTTTGTGGCTTCGTATGCTTAAAGCACACCGACCAACGATACTTGAATCAATACGGGCATAAATATATCTAGGAAAGATAACTGAGTAGTAATAGGCCATAGCTAGGATTGCTTTTTAGAAGATACAGGTACGCGTTACGCATAAGAAGTGAAGTTTCTACTTAGTAGTTGTATACGTTTGGGAGTAAGTAGGGAAATTTGCTTTTTCAACAACCCGAAGTTGGATGCGCTGACAGTTTCCTATACCTTTTTTTTGTAACTGCGATATATCTTGAAATATGCGAGGAATAAAGTATAGTCACGATTAAAGAAACAAATACTACCCGGAGTCCTAAAGAACATTTAATTAATATTCATTAAGAACGCGTGCTACAGGGTCGGTTTCAATTTGAAGACGTATGAACCGATCTATATTCCCACCACCCGACAAACAGGTACCGAATCTTCTCGTGCATATTATAAGAGTGCCACGACCCGCTAGAGCTGCGGTTGGATTAGGGAGACATAAAATCGGCAATCAAAATGACCTATTTCAACCAATAAGAATATACAATGACGTTGAAAGAGTACCAAAAAGGCAAACTTATATAGCTCGGGTACCTCCTAATCGTAGATATTTGAAAATGCGAGCAGAGACCCCGCGTAGTTCGAATTATCCTAGATCACCCCTTACGTCCATAGTCTCCATTCTAATATAGCGCAGTTCACAAAGGACACGAGATGCGAAGCTACTGCTACCAAATCAAATGCATGTAAGTTGAATGGACACCTGCGATTTTATACGATGTTGGCGCTCATAGGACGGACTAGCCCATTAGACCCCATCTTACCTCATCACATATATCAACCCAGAATCCGGTACCGAGATCAGACAATGGTTCTTGCACAAGTCATTGAGAGACAAGTATGGTTTGAATGTTGGAGCACCTCGTAGATCTAGGTACCTAAAACCTAGGAACAGTAAGACTCCCTACCAGGAAGAAATTCAAATTCGGCAGTTACTCAGTCACTCGGTCCTATTCTAGTAACATAACTAGCAGGATGCATTGCTTTGGGTAATCCCTTGAGTCATTTATTCCCATAATCCCGAACTTCTGATGCGCAGAAAGTCCCCTACGCCCCGGTACCACGAGGCCATGGATCGCGGCGTGGTGCGGAGAAAGGCTGCATAATCCAATCTCCACTTCCCCGGATTGGATCTTAGTAGGAGGTAGGGTTACATAGATAGTCGAACTCGTGCTGCAAGTGTTTTCACTAGTATGGTTTTTAGTACAACTGTTTTCAACATCCTCAGAACCCTACGCCTCGTGGTGGATTTTTCTTTTCTCTCTCACGCAGTCGGCAATACTATTACTGGACGTCATCGAACCTCAAAACTAAGCCGAGCAGCCGAGGATAACTTCAAGAATGGTACCTTGGGTAGCTACAATACTTTAGGTAGACTTGGCTTTCACGGACGAATAGAGCGAGTGAGTTCAGCTCCCCAACTAACAGACTAGAACGTCTCGTGCCGTAAGCCTCTCATCATTCTAGACCAACAACACGCCCGGATTCAGCAGGTAGAGATGAAAACTTCGAAGTTGGTTGAATTCTTTGACGTCATAGGTATTCAGATGTTTTGCAGAATCAGAGACAATGTTCTAGAGTATCTTCAACTATACAAAGAAATGCTGAAGAATGCTGTTGAATCGTAAGCCATTTTAAGTCTTACACCTGTATACGACTTCTGATTGGCCCCCTAAACTTGAAAGTAACATGCCGTCTTTAACTTGGCCTAGACTCATCTTGCATATAGCAACCCATGCTGGAGCCACCGCATAGCTGAATACTTGCCGCTACGGATGGAGCGGGTAGGTCAAGTGTTCGAACTGCCCAATGGTCCCTTACGTCAATGTCGTCTTGACGAATAATACAATGAATAGCATACGCATACATGGGGGGGTAGTATAAGCTTACAAAGAAGCTGTGTACCTAGGTCTTGTCATAGCACCCCATGATTCTAGATCTGTGTCATGCCGTCTGACTCTATAAGTATCTGCAAGCTGCTGCCAGCTATACTGAGTTACTGATCATCGGTAAGGCCACTTGAATTTTACCGGATTTACCCAAATGGTTTCTCTACTAGTTCCGGCCCTTTGGGTCCTGTTAAGCTTTTTTGCGTATCATGCTAACAGCACGCCGTATGCAGGGCGACCTCGCCAATCTGCAGGATGTACTGTAAACTATTTTCAAGGAATTGTCCCTTCCGGCATCTCGATACAGAGTGTTCAGCATGTCACTACCGGATCCTTCTCAGAGCGAGGAAATCTAGGCTATCCTACGTTTCCATCCGGGCTACCGTCGCTCTGCGCGATTATAGTCAAGAATGACACGGCAAACTACCGCTTCGGGATGTTCCTTCCAGATACCTGGAACTCGAAACTCCTCGTCATCGGGAGCTACGCGTTCCTCGGCGGCATCAACTGGCTCGACATGGGGGCCGGAGTCCAGTATGGAGTTGCTACTCTCGCTACCGACACTGGACATAACTCGGGCGCGGGAGATATGACATGGCCAACTACTAACCAGCTACGGGTCAACTGGGCCTACCAGGCATTGGAAGGTTCTATAACCCTGGGGAAGAAACTTATTCAGTCTTACTACAATGACCGGCAGATTGCGTATTCGTATTATAGCGGTTGCTCAACCGGAGGTAGACAAGGTCTCAAGCAAATCCGTAAGTAAAATTATAGCTATTCCACAATGTCAAGTCTACTTGTGGATATGGATATGTGCTTACTTATTGCTTTAGAGAGAGACCCTGACATGTTTGATGGGGCCTTAATTGGGGCCCCTGCATGGGACACGAAGAACTTGATGCCGTGGATCTCTAGGCTGGCGATGTGGAATCTCCCAGAAGATGCCGACGGGAGCATCAGTGACCAGGGCCTCTTGTCGCGGCTGCAGGCGGAGGTGTTGAAGCAATGCGACCCTCTAGATGGTATGCAAGACGGCATCGTTAGCTCGCTGTCAGCATGCAGGGAACAGTTCGACATTTCCCAGATAAGCTGTGACGTGTCGACCAACAAGACATCTTGCTGGACCCAAGCGCAGATAGAGACAGTCCAGAAGATGTACAGTGACTACATCACCGAAGATGGCGAGTTTGTGTATAAGGGATTAGACTACAGCTCCGAGGCGGAATGGGGGACGTTCCTCATGCCAGCAGCCCTGAACGACGCAAACAACGTACGAAGGAACTTCGATGCGCAATACGAACGAACGTTTATGAACTACGGGAGTCGCTGGCAGATCACTTCATATAACGACAGCGTTGTGGATGATTCCAGAGCCCGTGATAAGAAATCGGTGCAGGCCTCCGCGGATCAGTTCGACCTTGGCAGCTTCAGGGACAAAGGGAAAATCAGTACGTGTGGTCGCCTCCTCCTGAAAATGCTTGTGTCTCCTAAAATATTGGTGTGGTAATACTTACTTGTGATAACGCAGTTATGTACGGCGGGCTTGCAGACGCCACCGTGCCTGTGCAACACACGACGCTGTACTACGACAGTACGGTCGAAGCGATGGGAAACGTTGATGATTTCTTCCGATACTTCCAGATCCCAGGCATGGGTCACTGCTGGACGAGTCCCACCAGTTCCAAATACAACGTTCCGTGGATGATAGGTGGCGCCGGCCAAGCAGCGCAGGTGCCACCTTATACTGCCGGTTCTTCGGTCCCCGGCTTCAAGGACAAGGAGCATGACGCCCTGCTGGCCTTGATGGACTGGGTCGAGAACGGCAATGCTGTGTCCCAGATCATCGCGACGGGATTCAATTTCACCGATTCCACTGGGCAATCGGTTAGGGTGCATAGGCAGCGTCCCCTCTGTGCGTATCCGCGCGCAGCAACGTACGATGGCCAAGGTCTTCAGAATGACGCTTCTAGTTGGCAATGTACATGAACGCTCGCAGGCTTCAATAAAGGCACTATATCGTCCTCCTCGCAAACTGCCATCCCGGGATAAATGTGAGTTTAGGTAGGTACCTATGCTTATAAGAAGTATTATAAGCAGTATTTCAGTTTGTATCCGAGAAGGACAAGAGTATGTACATAGTATGAGGGAGGGCGAATTATATAATTACTTGAATAAGAAATAAATAGTGTAAGGAATGGTGATGAGGTAATTGAACTACCTGGTATTTTAGGTACTGTAACGTGTTATGGACGAGATGATTCAGGGGTACCAGGTATAAGATATACCGCCAACGTCACGTGACATGTGTATAAGGTAGGTAATTCGGGTATCCAGAATCCTCGGTAAGATTCTAATACGGTGTAGTTGCCTATGCCTTATCCCGAGGTTAGGAGGTACCTAGGTACCTAATATATTTCCACCTTCGAGCTGATTTTATCTCCAGCGGTGTTCTGCATCTTACGTGCTTCATCTGCCTAAATGAAATTTTTCGTATACATAGTGCGGTTATGATGCCTTCACACACGCGACTCACGGCTCAAGAACTTCTAAAGTTGGCGCCTCTTCCAGACGCGGTCGAGAATGGCCAGGTCGCAAAGCGGTATATGAGCCAACGGAGCGCGTGGTATCCAGAAGATGATATCGCGATCGCGAGCGAACTTGAGTATCCAGGATTGCAAAATAAACCTCGAAGCCGGAAAGTAGCGTACGGTGGACACGTGTACAGCCAAGCTGGAATGGCTGCATCAAAAGCCCTTGCAGATATGCAGACGTCGCAGGCCGGTGCTTCTCCAAAAGAAGTCGGCATTCATGTAAGTTGTACGAAGAAGTAGAGAGCCAGAGATTATTAGACGGATATTCAGGCCCAGCTACTCTTCACCGCCAGCCACATTAAGCCAAAAGAAAAAACCAAATTTTGCTGATAGACGTAGACTATTCATGGATACTTCTCGGAGGCCGGCCTCATAGATAGGCCTTTTATCTACACTGTAACTACTCTGGCGCCAAATCCTTCATTCCCAAACCTCCTCGTCACAGTGCGGCAGCCTCTGTCATCCAGCACCAATCCAGCCGGAGATCATTTCCCGCTCGCCGACGCCGAGCTGCCCCTCGGCCCAGCCTGCTTCAACGCCATAGTATCCTTTAGACCGGCTGTAGTCTCACAGCATGTAGCCCAGGAACTGCCAGTGCAGGCGCGGTTTGCAGACGTCCTGAGCTCGCGGGCCCCCTCGGCGTGGGACCCGGCACCGCATGTAGATATCGCCAAGACAGTAGACCTGTTTCCGATGCGAAACCCTGGCACATTCCCCGCCGTCGAGATGAGGAAGGTCGATCTCGCCTCCTTTAACGAGGGCAAGCCGCTCCACGAGCGCCGGGAGCTCATCCTATATCGGCTGCTCGCCCCTCTGCCCGCGGATAGTCCCGATTCGCACATCTGCACTCACGCGTACGAGGCGGATAGAAATGGGCTGCTTATGATAAGCAATCACGTCGGGTTCGGGTACGACTTCGGTCGTGCGGCTAGTCTGAGCTATTCGTTCGTGGTGCATGTCAATCCCGAGGACGCGGCAATGTCCTATGGCGAAAACGAGTGGTGGATCCAAGAAGCGTGCTTCCCTCGACTGGAAGCCGGGAGGGGCATCATTATGAGCAAGATCTGGAGCCCGAAAGGCGTGCACGTAGCTACGGAATATCAGGATGGCATATGCCAGCGCCAATGGAAACTAGGCGAGAGGAAGGGGAAACTATAGGTTACAACTCCTTTGGCGAAATGTCGCACAAGCTATGTATGATTCATGTACTTACGAGATTCACAGCGAGTATTGTCATTCGTATCAACCGAGAAGATAGGTATTTAATGCGTCTAGATATTATATAGGAATAGGCCAATAACAGAACGCTGCCCTAGAGCAGAGGTACATGTATAGGAGGTACCTGTCGGGCAGCAATATTTCTTCCATTAATCGCAGAATAGCTCATACCCCCATGGACTTTTACGCCCAAGAATGCTGCAGGTACTGATATAAAGTTTTAAGCCTTGAACCCAACACCACTGTCTACGCGACCCAAGCCCGAATCTTCCTCTTGTCCAATGAAGGGATTCTCGCCAACAGCCTTATCAACTTCCACATATGCGTCGTAACTAAACAACCACGATTGCGCCTGTGAGCAGCACATTCGAATTGGAAAAGGGGCATCTTTTACTTCGCTATCAATCTGCGATAATAGCAACTCATCTCGCGCGCGCTGTTTAGGGCCATCAATCATCTGGAATATTTCGCGCTAATAGTCGCCATTGTTGTTAGCGAATGTTCTTGCTAAGCTTCCCTATACTCGTAAAGGTCTGAGGAGACAATTCCGAAAGTCTTCATAGGTTTGATCGTCCTTTGAAAAGGCTGAACTCACTTGCTCTAAAGATGCCTTTGCGATGGCATCTCCTCGTGGCTTTCTAAGCTGCTCGTACATTCTCAGTGCTTTGCCGACCTGGTCCTTAGTCTGGATGTGCCCTAACAAGCGACCAAGAACAGCACCGTCCTCGATGGAGGAGTTAGCTCCTTGGCCTAGGTACGGTGCCATTGGGTGGCAAGCGTCGCCGCTTGAATAATAGGTTAGTCAGTTCCATAAGTGATATAACCGCGTGACTTCGACCGCTTTCTTGAATAAACACTCACACAAAAGCAAAGTTGGCATTGCGAGATTCATGGGTCCATCTTTGCATCTCCTTGCCTATGATTATACCATAATTAGATCCAGTACTAGAGAAAGTGTGACACGAAGCTTACGGTGCATTAACTTCCACTTCTGAACAGAACTAGTGAGCTCGAGGAACTTGTTTAAGATCGGGTCCCAGTTCTTAAAGAGAGCTCTCAATTCCTCCACCGAACCTGCGTCACGACTGACACCGCTTGGTAAGTCGTCCGGGGTTATCAGGATAAGGTTGAATTCCGTTCCTCCTCGAAGCGAGAATCCTACAACGTGCGACCTCGGGCCCATCCAGGTGTTCATATTCGGGTTGCTAACCCATTTCCTCAACTCAGGGTCCTCAATTCGATCCAGTTGTATCATTAGCCGATACGAGACATTACCAGTTGGCCTTGGGACACCCGCAAAGTCTTTGGGGAGAAATTGAGCCCGACAGAGAGACCATAGGCCGTCGGCGGCAACAACCAGATCCCCACGTATACCCGTACCGGAATGGCTTGTGATCGTTCCGGTCTCAAAGTCCACGTGTCCGTTCCTCTCTCCGAACCGAAACTGGACTCCAAGTTCCCTTGCGCGCTCATACAGTGCCTTTATGAAATCGATCCGGTGAAGCTCGACGTATGGAGCGCCGTATCTCGCTCGTATCTTCTCCTTCCAGCCATCCTCCACAACTAGAGCTTCGCCGGAATACCGACGGACGATAAAAGACGTAGGCTCCGCTGCTGAAGCCCACAGGTCGTTTGAAAGGCTCCAGCGTTGTAGGATCCGTGAAGCGTTTGGTGTAATTTGTATTCCTTGCCCTATCTATGATGGTGTAAGGGTATAAGAAAATTCTTATATAATTACCACTATATGGTTATCTCACCTCGTGAAGTCCTTCTTCTGCTTCGAATACAGTCACGTGGTGACCAGATAGTGTAGCTTCTATAGCAATTGACAGACCGCTTATGCCAGCGCCTACAACAAGGACATCTAGGCAAACAGTCGAACTAGGGGGCCCAGGCTGAAATACTCTCGTTAATAATCAATCTATCCATGCATAATTATATGTAACGTACCATTCTGAAATTGTTTCCGTGCTGCTGCCTATTGTGTGATAAAGGACTAACAATAATCATTAATGACTTCTCATAAGGGTACTTAGCCCGATACTATCGTGACACTTTAAGCATAACGACCGTAGACCAAATGGCAAGGAAAAGCTACTAAGCCAGTTACCCCAATATGCTACATTTATACCTACCTAGGGAAGATATACTTGGCCTGATCGGAGCTCCCTACTGCTATAATCCCCACCTCCCGGCTAATTAGCCCTCGGAATCTGGTGTAGTGCCGAATGCAGGCATATCCTCAGGCGCCACCTAATATCTAAAAGAATTTCACACAGGAAAGCAGATGTCCGAGTTCGTCTAAAGCCATCACGGAGAAACTCGCCTTATACAACGCTGACACTCACTCTATATACGGCATCCATCACCGGATATACCTGACATCAGATATGTATACAATAGCATATACTAATCTCCGATTTAGGTACTATTCTAGGATAGAGACCCATTAGCCTACCACGGTGGTGTAAGGGTAGAGCCGCATTACATTTTATTCCCCCGAACTGTCCTTTCAATTGAACTAGCTATGGCAGAACGAGGTTTAACATTATCCTCTCGTACGCCCGTCTTAAAAGCACTACCGCCACCATGCGTCTCTATCATAGTTGGCTCGTACTTAAGAATTAAATTGGGCTTGCCTTTCTCGGCGTGGGGACTCTCTCCATCAGTGCAAAGATCACGGCATAGGAATTACGGGCGCGGGCTTCGTGGTCTGCAAGGTCTTCTCTAACCCAGTATGATGATCTACGTAGTCCTTCGCCATGTTCCAAATTCATTAGTATAACAGGCACCTAGTAGGTACCTAGGTAGGTTTGACGTGGTATAACATTGAAGGACGCAACGATGTGAGAAAGGCTTCCATTACGGCTAGCCCGCGAAGCCTTCACGTATGCGTCAGAACCGTCTGTTGGCTGAGTCTGAGTAGCAAATATAATTCCCTAGGTACCTAGGTACAGTTTATTCGGTGTATCTCGTAGGTAAGCCCCTCGACTACTTGATAACATTCAAGGTGGAATCAGACTAGGATACCGATAAGTTGCGCGGTAGGAAAATGACTACACTCCTATAGTTATAGGGGTTCCAAGAACCTTGACAATGACAAGAACAAGAACGGAACCTTCTGCCTAGACGTTAAAACGCACCCATATCCTCTCAAGCCAAGGGGCTGGTATTAACGAATTACAGTAGCCCATTAGCAGCAGACGAGACAGAGTAAAGGAAATTGAGACGAGTTTGAATATCACGAGGAGGTGTATACGAGGAGATGTACGTAAGGTCTCATGTTAATCATTTATATACTACCCCATCATTCCCTTTGAGATAAAGCGCTCATTTGACACGGCGTATCTTATTTCATTCGTTACCTACTATCATCAAACATCATAGTGCAAAGCTGCCAACCTAGAGCTTCTTCCCCGGCAGACTATCGGTCTTCTCCTTCTTCCTGTTTATTATCTCTTCCTCCTCCCGTTGGATATCTGCGTCGGTTTTCGCGCCGCGCGAAGGCTTATGTCCGTGCATCGTGGCCTGCGGTTTCGTAAGTGTTAGCACTGATACACCAATTTAGGAGGTAGGTATCCATTTGATAGATTGTTGACGTACGCTGTATGTTGGATCATGCTTATAACGCTCTGCAACGCCATCTTGCATCTATACATACCACAGGTTAGCACCATACCAAGTAAGACAGAAGTTTATAAGTATAGGTTAGGTAGGTAGGTAGATAATTATCTAACTTACGTGTTCCTCAATCATGTTGGTCATTGCCTCGTTTTGATCCTCTACGCCCAACGTATTAGTCTCATAGGGTAGTATAAGCCGTTGATATAAGTCGAGACGTACTAGTTCTGAAGCCTTGGGCATTAATCTTATGGTGCTGTGCTTCGTTGGCAATGTCGTCTCGGCGATAGTTAGCCTGGTCGCCCTTTCCGTAGATACCAGAATACCCGATGTGGCGGCGAGACATAATGTAGATGGTTCTTTATTAGACTTAAGTTTGGGTACCTCCTTGCGATTTAGTCAATACCCCTTAAAATATTGTGAGTTAACAAGAAATCTGCGCTATGATGATATGAGCATCTCTGAACGGATCTATATAGGGGTTGTTTTGGCTGCACAGTCTGTCGTACTGTCATCCCCAGAATGTCTAACGTCATGATTGCGATACTCCTGGAGTAACCTCCCCATATAGCCTCTCGCTTAAGTCGATCTAGAAAGAAAGTTGATAAGGTAAAACCACTATTTAATGCTGATCTATCTAGACCTAGATGCTCAATTTCGAAATGTTGCAGGCGAATGATGTCATGCATCGAGATTCTGATCAAGACATAGACTCGTCTGACTCGTCGAACTTGTCAAAGTCCATCTCTAGATCCAGAAGAACTACTACCTTGATTAACAGAAACTTCACGACGATTCAGAAAAAATATAAATCGCCGTCTTTTTTTTTTAATTCACTACGAGATATTTTGCCTGCTTGCTAAATATGTGGTTACATCGGGCTTCCTCGACCGCAACCCCTTCCATTGCTCCTCTTTCCGCTCTGCTCCTATCGGTAGTTTCCATAAACGCTGCAAAACATAACGACTCAGTTCGTAATATTCATATACCTCAGATTGGGTTAGGCACTTGGCTCTCTGACAGAAAGAAGGTACCTAGAATCTATCGAAATAGAAAACACTAGGAACTTGGTTGTGAGCTCACATAATTTGATACATAGGTTTCCCATGCTGCCAAATACGCCTTGAACTCAGGATATCGCCACATTGATACCGCTCTCATCTACCGTAAGAACCATTTATACCATCCACCTTGTAGTTCATGCAATAATTAATGCGGCGCGTAGGAAATGAAGACGAAATTGGTAAAGGTATAGCTTCGGCGGGCGTTCCTCGAGACGATATTTGGGTCACAAGTAAGCTGTGGAACGAGCACCACCGCCCCAAGTATGTTGAGACGGCAATCAAGAAGTCACTATCAGACCTTGGCCTCGAGTACTTGGATCTCTATCTCATACACTGGCCAGTTGCCTTTGTCCCTGGCAAGGGTACCACGATAGACGAACAGACATCGATCATCGACACCTGGCGGGCCATGGAAGGCCTTGTGCGAGCCAACTTGACCAGGTACATCGGCATTTCCAATTTCGCCAAGAAGGACGTCGAGATGATCCTGGACATATGTACGATACGCCCATACGCCCACGAGTTTGAGACGCATCCTTACCTGCAGCAACAACAATTCGTCGATTATCACAAGGACAAGGACATAAAGGTGATCGCATACTCGCCGCTTGCAAACACGAATCCAATCTACCACAGCGGTCTCGCGCCAATCATGGAAGATCCGTTCTGGAAAGAGCTGGCTCTCAAGAAGCAGGCGACGGTCCCCCAAGTCGTGCTGGCCTGGGGCCTCCAGAGAGGCACCGTTGTGATCCCGAAGAGCGTCCACGAGGAATACATCAAGGAGAATCTCGACGCGCTGAAAATAGAGCTTACGCAGGCTGAGATGGATGCCATCCTCAAGCAAGATAAGAAGAAGAGGATGAACGACCCTGGCAAGAGCTGGGGCGTAAAGCTGTTCGTAGACTTGGACGATCCTACGGATCTGGATGAGGGCGAGAAAGGCAAGGAGCTGTGAGCGGGTTTTGATACTATGTTTCAAATAGTCTTTCAGGCCAGGTCGGCTCCAGTATCTTAGAAGCCTTTAATAACTCGTAGTAATCCTAAAAGTTTTCTCGTTGCGGTGCGTACAGTCTATTTTAGATGGCTACCCACCAATAGTACGCAATCGTCTCTGCATAAGACTCCGGGGAACAAGCCTGAGGTTAGGAGATACCCAAGTGATAGTCTACAAGAAACTGCTTGCCCAGGTGAGTACTAGGTATGAAATTAAGGCTTATTCGGGTAGCTGTCTATAGCAAATGCTCTCCTGGTAAGACTTTTTTATCGTGGCAAAGTTCTCAGATGTGATCGCATTCGTAGTACTATTCCATGGCCCCTTTTTCTTATACCTAGGAGGTACCTAAGGTAAGCAGTTGATTAAGCGCCCAGCCACTGTATACAGCAGGCGCCAGTGGTCCTTATAATTTCAATCTGTATGGGAATAATTACATTAACCGCGTCGCCATCTCTCTCTAGCATAAAAGTTGCAATCATATCCGCGTAACAGCCTCATTATCAATTACCTACATAGATAACATCCGCTGCCATCATTTGCTCTTCTGCTGAATCATACCGCTCGACCCATGTTGTTTCCCCCACTTGGTGACTTTAGTATCCATTTCCCACCTTATAAAAACCATCACCACAAGAACTATCCATCCCAACAGTGTATTCACTAATCCCTTCCAGAAGCCCCCGCGCGCAGAGCCACCCAGCACACTCGTCATCACAAGCCGAATGATGGTGCTCGTGGGCACCAGGTCCTCGCCGCTCTCGAGACCTCGGATTGCGCGGCGCGCAACCTCGTCTGGTTCGAGGATCTGGTCGCCCTCCTCGAGAGCTTTCGTCAGGTCCGTCTTGACGCGGTTTTCCTCGTCTAGTCCCTGAGTAGGCATGGTAGCGGGGAAGACGGTATGGACGCGGACGCGGGGGATATTGGGATGCGCTGCCGCGTAGAGGTTCATCTCCTGAGATAGGGAGTCCGAGAGCGCACGGATGGCGGCTTTCGAGGGGCTGTAAGGCGTAAAACCGGCAAAGCTGTAGAAGGACACAAACGAGCCGGTGAAGATGATATGACGCGCCGGTCGTGGACCCGCGTTCGGCTCCGCAGGTGTCTCGGGACTTGCCCCGTCCGGGTTAGATCGGAGCCAGGCGTTGAGTACGGCATGCGCCATGTATGCGCATGAGAAATAGTTGCTATCCATCATCGCCTGAAACTGCTCCGGCGGAGTATCGATGTATAGCGTTGGATACGCGCTACCGCTGCAACACCAGACAATATCGGGCGGCGAGCCATTGTTCCACGCGATAGCTTCAGCAACGACACGAGCGCACTCAGCGGAAGTGGTTACATCTGCAGCGATATGGTGGAAACGCTGACTTCCCGGCGTGCGAGCGCCTTGCTACACGAGAGAGTTAGCAATCCGTAAGGCAAACAAGGGAAGAGATAATGCCATACCGAAATAAAGGCGACGCCTTCTTGAAGCTTGGTTTCGTTACGTGCGACAATGATAACATTGGCGCCTTTTTCTGCCAATTGGCGGGCGGCGTTCAAGCCAAGGCCTCTAGAACCACCGGTGATAAGAATAGTCTGGGAACAATTGTTAGATGATGGCAAGTAATGAGGCAAGGAGTTTCGAGGAGAAAATCATACTCGTCCTTCGACGGGGAACTCATTCCGAGATAGAAACGAGCCCATCTTATTTTTTACTCACGGCTCTAGATTTATCTACATTAATTGATGACTTTGTAAATAATGTCGAAGTTGAAAGTGCCAATGTTTTCTTTTCTTTTATTTTTATTTTTTTTTGTATTAGAAAATTGCAGAAAGGGGGGACGATGAGCTTCAGTTGGATTTCTCCCTGGTGTTTGCTGATTCCATTTTTATTTGGGGTTATGGCCAATTAGGCTTGTCATTTCTAAATTAATCTCAGGTACAAAAGCCTGCACAGGGATTTCCCAACACCTACGATTTATTCCTCCAGCCGTCGATACTACCTTACCTATCTGTAACCTACCCACGTGTACATAGTAGTATTTGTTAAATACACTATCCCTTTCTGAAGACGCGTACCTAGTCAGTATCACAAAATCTCGTCAACCGACTCGCTATTCTATTCCAAACTCAGGATATTGTAATATGTTCCACGAGAAGGTTTTTTTTTTGAAAAAAATAAAAATAAAAATAAAAATAAGGAGGGGAATATCGAATATAGCATCGTACCACCCCGGCTTTTTGCTTTTTTTATCCATTGGGCAGCAGCTGTTAAAAGTTCGACATGGTACGTGATATTTGGGAGCGATGTGACGTTCTCGCTTACATCCCACAACTTGCTACCCCTCAGTCGCTCGCGATGGCGTTGAATGGGTCTAGCTTCGCAGCTGTGCCACAAACCCTGCCTTATCACTACTCTTGGAATTCTCGGTGTCCTACATATAAGTAGCATCTCAATTAAAAAGGGCTATACCTGTCGACGGTTGCGCCGGGTTCCCGGGTTCTTCTCGTCAATGTTGATCATAGCTTACGCCTACCGAGATCATGGCCCCTAACTTCGCGGCCATAGCAGCAGCGGAGCAAAGCACCCAAGATGCGACATTAGCTGTTAGCGGACTTGTTATCGCTCTGGCTGTTATATCGGTCGTCTTGCGATTCTACACCCGGAAGCTCACTCGCATAGGCTTGGGAGCAGATGACTGGTTAATTCTGGTCGCCGTCATTGCAACCCTTGTGACAGCCGCGCTTCTCCTCTATGGTATGAGATAGCTACCTTACCTATCTACTTAAGGTGTATTCTCTTAACAACTATAATAGGCAACAGCTTCGACCCCCTCGGCCTCTGGGTCTCGGAAAATACTGACCCGGACTACGTTTATACACCTGAAGACATTCTCTACCTCAAGGTTTCATTCGTTAGTTCCGTCCTGTATTTTACTATTGCCGGCGCCACGAAGCTAGGAATACTGCTCATGTACTATCGCATATTCTCTGTTAGTACGGCCTTTCGCTACCAACTATTCTTAGCTGTGTCGTTGGTCATCGGATGGTGGGTTGGCTGCACCGTAGCTACGTTGACGAACTGTATCCCCCTCGAATGGAGCTGGAACAACAGCTTGGCCGACCCAAGATACTGCTTTAACTACAATGTCTTCTGGATGGCCTCGGGAGCGTGCGAGATATTTCTTGATGTGTTAATTTTGACGTTACCTATCAGCACTGTCGTAAGAATGCGTCTATCAACCCAGCGAAAAATCACCATCTCGATTATCTTTCTACTGGGCGGGTTGTATGTTACTTCCCTGATGGTATTTATTTTATGAAACTCATACTAACATGTCTCATAGTACTATTATAACCGGTCTAGTTAAAGTTATTCTTGGATACCCACCTAATAGCCGTGTTCCTTCATACTCGAATACCGAAGTGTGGACGACTGTACACGCCGGCCTGGCCATCGTATGTGCTAGCTTACCTATATTCAGACCCTTGGTCAGGCGTATTTCCGAGTTATCGCTAGTCTCGAAGGCCTCGAACATATTTTCTCTCCGGCGCTCTTCGAGGCCACCAACCCCTCTGGATCTGGAGACGATCTCTGAATTGTCCAGCTATCAGAACACAACGACGAGAGACCAGTACCCAGGCCCGACGCATGAGGATGAGCAGCGGGTGTTCCTTAGTTTGCCCGAAATTGAGGCAATGCAGAACAGGTCGAGCTTTTATCCTCCTACCTGGCTTGAGCCGCTAGCTAAAGCAGATTTGTCGTCGACTAATAAATAATTATTAGCTTCTGCCTCACCTATTGCTGTTTCATATCTATTTGTAGTTGATTGTGCCATGCAGCGACGAACCTCTTCCAAGTATTAATTACGATTAGACATCAGATCCTCTTCGCGCTATTGGTCTCTTGCTTCGTAATGTTGACGCCACTACATGCGGTTCCACCAACGGTAATAGGCTTCCAAACCTCTTATACCGTGCATCCCGCTTTCAGAACTACGGAAATCGTGTATGGCATCGGAATATCATGGTAAGACAAGCTACTGTCTCCATACGGACTAATAGGCAAGCAAGCATCATCGCCATTCACGGTATTGGTTCCAACCCGGATAGCGCTTTTCTTGCGTCATGGCAATCCTGCTCGGCCTATTTTCACGCCCCATCGTTCGTCCTGCGCGCGCGCTCAAAGGGACATAGTGAAAATCTAGAAGAAAAAAGGGTCCGGCAAGAAAGTTTATGGCAAAGATGACAGAGATGAAGTAATTATAGAAGACTTACTGTCGATATTAAGGCCGATTAATGAGGAGGGTGATATGCGGCTCTCAACATTGCCCGATAAAAGGGTTTTGGGGGGTTTGGGGGGGTTGGAGGAGGGGTTGGATCATGGTTAAATATAAACGAAAATGGCTTTATGTCCTCGTGCCAACAGTATAGGCACAGTTGCATACCTCTCCACTTATACCAACGAACCAAAATCTCTGAAAGGCTAGGTGATTTTGAAGAATTGTAAATATTAAGTTTTAAAGACATACCTTAACGAATAGAACAGTTGGCACATCGTACGAGAAGAATCAAATGTTAGGTACCAGCTCAGTTGTTTTTACCTTCTACCCCTCACAGTGTGGGCTTGGTTCTTCATCTTCAAAGTATCCCTGCATGTTGGATCAGTAGTCACGTGTTCGCGTGATTACGTACGTTGGGGCTAAGGCCACTAGGGCCGTGCCCCACGTATAGAGATTTCTCCCACCTTATGTAATTATATAATAACACCAAGAAGTTACACAAATTAAGATCATCGGCTATTTCGTATTACATCGTTTCTCGTCTCTCGTATCGTTTCGTCTCGTTTTATTTCCTTACGTCATTTCCTTGTTATTTCATTTCTTATACCATTTCCGTACTAGTACCGAGTCTACCGACACTGTATCTACTGTGTTTATGCCAGGTAGGTGTATTCTTGAAGTTGATTGTTAAGAATCTGTATTAAATTTACTCTAGACTATGGTTACTTTAAGTATATAGGCAAGTACCTAATGTAGATCACTATAGTCTAGATTAATGTTCTAATATATAAGGCACCTTATATATAAATTTTTATTGTTATTAGTTACGCTTCGTTTCCATCATGTTTCCGTCAAATACGCCTTGCCCAGCACATAACCTCGAAACAGGGATTACAGCTGCTTCTTTAGTGTCAATTAACAACCTCCTCTTATAGCCAACGAGGTCGACCAGCGCAGTCCTACCGACAGTTTTACCTATAACGCATTTCATTAATCACGCTGTCGTGACGTAATGTATTGCCCAAATTCCCAACCTCATTCGGCACCTTTCGCCCTGTCAAAGCTTCAAAGGTCTTGGCGGCCAGATCTCTGGTGCATTAGCGCCCGGAACTTGCGGTGAAGTACACATTTCTAGGGCCTTAATAGGTCACTGACAGTCCTCCCCCTGCAGGCTCTAAAATCAAGAAATGGAGTCAGCGGCGGTTGACGTGTAAGTCGCATAACCTTACGGTTTAGGTCCAGGTCCAGGTCCAGGTAAAATATCAAAGACGCAATGCGAGCCAGCCTCGAGAAAGCCGTGATCCGATCTGACGAGACGGGCATATGAGGAGGTTTTGGCCAATATATATATTAAAGCCGCCCTGCTGCTCGTGTCCCTTTACCGCTAAATCTCTTGTTAATCCTCCAAGCTTTTCTCAGAAACCATCACCTCTTGGCTGCCCCGCGATCAAATCGTAGTACCCAGATCTACTTCTATCAAATAAAAGCTTAAGCGAACAACACAACGAATAATATTATCGGAAATGGCTCGAACAGACGGATCGCGTGCTTCGCTCCCTCCATTTTTCCTCATTAGCAATGCGCTGGTCTGGATATCCGCTGTCATTGTGATGGGTATTGTTTCCTACTTCATCTCCCAAAGCAACTATATCCCAGGCCGTATCATCTACGAGGAAGTTATTGTAAGTGCTACTTACCAACCTGACAAAAGCCCCAGATCCGAATTAGCTAACAAGAATTGTTTCCTAGTCCGTCCTTACTGTCGCATTCTTCCTGGTCTCTTTCGTCATTGGCTCTTATCCCGGCTCTCTCCTATTATTCAATGTTATATTCTCTTACCTCTGGTTGGTCGCGGTTGTCTTTACGGCTGAGGATTGGTCGTCCGAGTACGCTGGCGCCCTTGCCCATACCGTCGAGGCCTTCAGCTTTATCGCCTTGTAAGTACCTAATACATGCCATTTAAATTAAGTTACAGGATCGTCGCTAACTTATGGCCTAGCTTCTTCTCGTTCTTCAATGTAGTCTTCGACTGGCAGTACGGCTACCGTGGACACGTGCGCAGCGCTGTATAAGCCACTAATTCGAAACGGTTAATGAGACACGAGAGGCGGTTTTATGAATAATGTATGGGAATGATTGAATTGACAACTTTAATGAGTAAGGGTACACGGCTTAGGAAAGGAGAGTCGAAACGGGTGGATCTTAGTAAGAGTCGATTGTGCACACGAATTAACGACTTGACGACTATATTTACTTTAAAAAAATGAACTATATTACACTCAGCTACTCAGTTCTAATAGAAGCAGTTACGCTTTCCTCGAGTCGCAAATGAAATGGACTATGGTATGCAACATCTTACCAATGGTGATAAAAGACGAAAGAGGGCGATCAACTTGAACAATGGATACACCAAACATTGTCACTGGCTACCTAGGTAGATAACCAATATCATGTACGCGTTTAAAATCTATAGTATGACTGTTGAAATCGAATTATTGTACTCTTTACTTTCTACCATATCCATACCCCAAAACATAGGCACGTCCTTAAGCGGTGTGTAAACCATGCAGGCAAAAGGAGCAAACGCATCTATACTTGTAGTTTAGTAGGGGTTTTTTTTACTGCAGTCCTTACAACATTCTTGAGAAGATACTAGTGGTCATGAAAACTAGTTGAATCTATCTGCCGTCCGCGCATACTTCTAAGCTTTCTGGTCCCAGGGCTAGAGGGAACTAGTTCTTGAATCATAGCTTCGTAGCATGGAGTAGGTTGAACGGGTCTATGAGGAAACTCAGGTGCGTCGATACGAGGGGTTCTCCTGGCCTCCACCTTTTGGATAGGGGGGCAAGCATAATGGAAGTCGCTATTAGTCGGCTTCTCGTCATGGGAGTCATCAAGGCTTGGGATCCAACTATCAATGTCTGGAAAGTCCAAGTCGTAAGTCTCTGCCCACATACCACCTTTCCGTTTCTCATCTCGAACTTTCTGGTCTACCACCGCCGCAAAGGAAAGAGCTTGTTCCGAAGCCTTACGGTCAGCGGGCCCATTGCCGAGCGTCTTCGACGCGCGTCGGTACGCGTTTTGGGCCTCTTGGTATTTCTTCATGATCCATAGGACGTGGCCCTTGTAGAGGTAGCAGGTCGCAAGGGGGGGATACTCACAGACACCCGGGTCGCTAGCGATAATCAAGGCGTCCTGCACCGCAAAGAAAGCATCGTCCAGGTCAAACTCGGACGGGCTCTTCCGGTATTTGTCGAGCAGGGCGCGGCAAGTCCGAAGAAGCGATCTTACATGCTCCGTATTATCAGCTTTGTCACTCATCGAGAAGCCGATGTTTAACATCTTTACGTTAACCCCGGCCATGTCTCTAAGATCGTTAGGTTACCTGGTAATAATGTTTCCTGCTAGTATAAGACGCTTATACAGATGAGTTGAAGTAATAACCTAGGTACCTAATAAGTGTTTGCTTTACCCTTATATATCGGATTGATAGCATTGTTCTGCGGGTCTGCTTTATTCTATTGTCTCAATACCTCGTGATTGTTCCTTTCATAGCACGAAGGAAGACTACAATAGAATAAAGGCAAATAAAAATAAACAGAATTTTCCTCCCCTATACTGGTTTCCTTATTCTTCTAAATTCTATCCTTCATTTGAATACAATGCCATAGTGTCTCAATAGGGGGTGGGTTCATTGTAGGCAAACTGAAGAACACTTGGACATTCGGGCTTGAGACTGCGGGTGCTTGTATGGATATTTGTTTTTAGGACCTTTGTTCAGCGGTGATGGCGGGAAACTCGAATAGATGACGAATCCGATAACAACCTAACCCAAGTGGCGCATTACATCTGAAATTTCTAAAATCTAGAATGAAGATACCCGAGAGCTCGATCCGACCGCCAAGCAATCTGTGATACCCTCGTACGCACAGTAGTTTCGCACGTAAAGGGGATGCCAAGGCGGCGCGGATGGTTGGGGAATAGGTATGCTTGACTGTACTCAACGGAACGGTCCGCGTAACCGTCCTTTGCTCCCCATCTTTCCTAATAGGTAACCCTTCTGGGCAATCAGTTCCCTTGTTCGGTCGAGGAACGCCCCTAAACCACTAAAATTCCCCGTGGGAACCCTATACTCTGCTTGCCATAGTACCAATGGACGTATCTCCAATGATTAACTCCGCGCTCCGAGAGACCGGGTGGCCAAAGGGTTCAGATAACGAACTTGTGCGACATGCATAAGGGTACCTAAGGTAGGCATGGATGGTAGGATAATAACCCTGTGCGGCTTTTATAAGTCTAGACTGTATCTCATGCATCCAATAATGGCGCCCTTGGATACCAGGTACCTCAGACATCCAACCTAGATATCTACCACCCAAAGATTGGGGTTCCGGTACATACTTAGAAACTCAACAATCACAGAGCTGGTAAAATAAATAAACAATAAAGCATCTCTATTTCACTTCTTCCTTATCCAGCTAAATACCTGCATATCAGTTCTGATGGGTGACCAAATGACAGTTACCGCCCTGGCGGATATCATCAGGACGCAAGCTGAGATCCTCGAGACCAGCCTGCCGCGCCACGCTTACACGGACTATCATGGCGATAAAAGCCTCAGCATCGCGAGGTCGAAACTTCTCGAGGCCTGCGATAAGCTGAACCATCTGGTAACCGGTCCTATTGAATGGTTAGTGCATAGGAGGGAAAACTGCTAAATATTTCTTTAAATACCTAACATACCTTAGGTATCTAGAACCACATTACTGACTTATTCTTAGTACGTTCTCAACAAAAGTCCTACGGCTTCTCAAAGTCTGATATTTATTCCCTCAAGGGGGAATACACCCCTAAAAGAGAAAAAAGAAAAAGAAAAGAAACTAACCCTTCAGCAGATGTAATGGGCATCGCGCAGGGCCACCGCGTCCACGCCGCGCTGCAGTACGTCTGCCACTTCCGGCTAGCCTCCTTCGTGCCGGCGGACGGCACGCCCATCACGTACGCGGACCTGGCGCGGGCCGCGGGCGTCGACACCTCGCAGTGCACGCGGGTGCTGCAGCTGCTCATGACGTACCACATCTTCCGCGAGCCGGGCACCCGCATCGTCGCGCACAACCGCAACTCCCGCGTCCTGCTCGACGACGACACCGGCGCCGCCGTCGAGTGGCTCACCCAGGAGTCCCTACGCTCGAGCGCCTTCTTCACCGAGACCCGGGCCGTGAGCCGCCGGTGGTCGACCGGCACCGCCGGTAGTAACGACATGGCCGCCGCCGCTGCCGCCCCGGCTACGATCCAGGGCGTGATGAGCAGCGCTCAGCAGCGCACCGCGCTGGACCTCGCGTGCGCGGGCATCGAGCAGCCGGCGGTCGGGTTCCTCGCGCAGCAGCGCATGAACGCGGAGACGTCGATGAAGGCGGAGCGGTACGCGCGGGCGATGGCAGGGATGGCCAAGCGGCGACAGCTCAGCGTGGAGCACCTGGTGTCAGGGTACGAATGGGGCGAGCTTCCGGCGGGGACGACGGTGGTCGACGTGGGTGGGGGCAACGGGCACTGTTCCCGAGCGATCGCGGCGTGCAACCCCTCGCTGAGCTTCGTGGTGCAGGACTCGAACACGGCTCTGCTAAACTCAGAGGTGGACGCCGACGACAACGCCGACGATGACGACGACGACGACGACGAGTCAGGGGATCGCCTGAAGTTCATGGCATACGACTTCTTCAAGCCGCAGACCGTGGCCGGGGACGTGTATCTCCTGCGGCGCATATTGCACCACTACTCGGACCAGGACGCGGTGCGCATCTTGCAGGCGCAGCTGTGCGGCGCGAGGAGCAAGCCGGAGGCGCGGATCGTGGTTATGGATAACATCGCGATACACAGCGGGACGCTGAGCACGCTTGAGGAACGCAAAACCAGGTATGATCCCGTCTGGACCTTGGGTATTTTAACCCATTCATTCTACGACGTCCCCCTACTAATATTCATTCGCCCCTTCCTTAGGACCCTTGACATCGCGATGATGGCTCTGTTCAATAGCGTGGAGCGTAGTCTCGACGGCTGGAAAGAACTATTCAAGATGGCTGATCCCAAGCTGAAGCTCGTCAAAGTCACGAAGCCGCTTGGGAGCGCCCTGGCTGTGATGGAGCTCCGACTGGATCAGACTTGATCAGCCTGAACCTTTCATATAACCTTGCTTCCTTTATATTCACAAGTCTTCACGTGTTGTTTCAGCGTATCTGGCTATTGGTGGGAGTTATGGATGTCTACGTTCTCGAGGTCGGAAATGGGGGCAACAGAGAAGGTTCTTCGTACTCGATACTGGAGCGAACAATTATATATATATTGTCATTGGTAAGGCTCAGATTGGTTTTTGCTTTCTATTAATATCTACCCCTATGTTAACAGTTAAGTGACTAATGCTTGACTCTAATACACCTGAATGTCAACTACTGTAACCCCTACTTACCTAAGCTTGCTATTGACTATTGACACAGTCGAGTTTCCATGAAATGTCCTGGCATAGCTTATCCTACTTGCTCATTAATAACTGCATGCAAGATGTAGCTGCGTCACCACAATAGACACCTTATTGTGTACGTGCTTGATGTGAAAAGAACTCAGAATGTTATCCTAAGACTCTTGAACTTAGGGAATTAGATGCGAGTAGAATCGTTAGTCTCATTGCCCATGAGTTAAACCTTGTTAGGAATGTCGATTAGTCGGGCAACCGTATACGACTAAGAGAATAATCGGGCAATAGCATATAAACTACAATCTTCACCACATTATGACAACCAAGGTCGGTATAGCTGACCATGGGTTAGTAGCTAACGTTAGCATCGTCTCGGCTCGTACTATGCTATTGTACGATGTTTTCTCAGAGGCTCAGTCAATTTGGCTATTGAGCCCTCAAACCTCGGAATTCAAAGTGTTCATACGCACATATACGCAGAAAACTAGAAGGTCCTGCGACGGGAATGGTAGCTCGAGATCTGTAAATAGCATCGAATTCAGCGAGTAGTGCGAAAATTGAGATATGGCGCTACGTATGCAAGTTAGTTCAAGCGTACGGTGATGATCCTAAGTTTAAGAACTTACTTCTAGACAACATGCCCATTTCCTCCCACGACCAAAACACTCTTTTAACCTCGTTTGATTAATCTGCTGTACGATAGCATCAGTTCCTAGCGGAATCGCTCATTGGGGAGCAATTAAGTAATGAGATCCGCCACGTTCATTGGCATCTCATCAATTTGGGTCGAGTAGTACACTTGTCAACCGTTAGCATGGTACAATATTCGGTAGGGCGATACTCACATTCGATATCTCTTAAGATTCGAACGTCTTCGCTGGTGACGAAGTTGATTGCGACACCCTTCCTGCCAAAACGGCCGCTTCGACCAATACGGTGGATGTAGTTCTCTCGGTTGCTGGGCAAATCGTAGTTAATTACCAAACTGACTTGTTGGACGTCGATACCACGGGCCCAAACATCTGTCGATATCAAAACTCTGCTATTGCCTTGTCTGAAGTCTTGCATAATACTGTCTCGTTCCTTCTGGGGCATGTCTCCATGCATGCTGCTGACGGTAAAGTTGGCTTCGCGCATCTTGTCAGTCAGCCAATCCACCTTTCGCCGGGTATTACAGAAGATAACTGCTTGAGTAATGGTAAGAGTATCGTAAAGATCGCAGAGCGTATCGAACTTCCAGTCTTCTTTCTCGACAGCGATAAAGTACTGCTTGAGGCCTTCAAGCGTCAACTCGTCACGCTTAACAAGAATACGAACAGGGTCGGTCATAAACTTAGTCGTCATGTCTAGGACATCGTAAGGGAGGGTAGCTGAGACAACGACTACCTGAGTTGCCGGGGGTAGGTATCGATAAACATCGTAGATCTGCTCTCGGAAACCTTGGTTGAGTAATTCATCGGCCTCGTCGAGTACAAGCATCTTGATTTGGCGGGTTCGCAGGTGACGGCGGCGAATCATGTCGGCCACACGACCAGGGGTGCCGGAGACAATATGCTGACCATAGTCGAGTTTTCGAATATCCTCTCCAACGTTGGTCCCGCCGATACAAGCATGGCATTGGACATTCATATAGTCACCCAGTGCCATGACGACGGACTGGATCTGAGTAGCGAGTTCGCGGGTCGGTGAAAGGACGAGGGCTTGGGTCTCGCGAATCGCGGTATCGATGACCTGAAGCATAGAAATAGAAAATGTGGCAGTTTTTCCAGTACCAGATTGTGCCTGGGCGATGGTATCACGTCCTTTGCAGATCTGGACGATAGCTCGAGATTGGACGGCAGAGGGGGATTCGTAACCATATGCGTAGATACCACGAAGAAGGTTTTCTGCATTATATAGGACAGCGGTTAGTATATTTTTCGAAAGAATGATATGATGTCAAGTCAGATAGATAGATAATAGTCTTACCCTTCAATGACATAGACTCAAAGGTCGGGTGTACCGTGACCTCTTTGGAAGTGGAAAATTCCATCTTCTCGTCGGCGCGACGATCAATACCACCTCCTTCCGCCATGATGAATCCGGAGTGTGAAGTAAATCTAGTCGCGTCTTAAGTAATAATTAGATGATAACCGAGTCTCGTTGGATATTTGGGTTGAGTGGGATTCTGTGTGAGGAGAGGCAAAGATAATAGATGAATTTCGCGGTTGAAAAAGTTGGGTTTGAATTAAAGAGGTAGTTAACTAATTAGAGGTAACTAGGTACATGTATGCTAGAGAATTTTATGGAGCCTGGCGCGATCTGTGGCTAACCCACTAAAACCCGCTAACTTAATGTACCTAAGCTGCTAAGCTAGTACTGTGGCAACTCAGCCTCATCATTATTACTATCATTTTCCCATCTTCACTTTCAAATTACATTCTCGTCTTTTCTCTTAATATTTGTTTTCTTAATCTGAAGGGTCAGTCCAATTACAACAACACAACCTGTATTAAGTATAGCTGAGGTCTCCTGAGTTAAGATGCTATTAGAAGAGCAAAGGTTCTTACATGAAGACCTAGAACGTCTCGAACAGGGCATCGCGGATCGAATTGGCGATGAACCCAAACATGTTAGTTTCTTAGATCTACATATACCATATTTCTTGCTAACTATGAATTCCAGATACGGGATCGCCTAGCGCGAGACCATCAAATAGCACAATTTCTCGACCGCATATCGTCGCAGTCTACAAAGCTCTTGTCTATCTATCGCGATGCGGATGGATCGAGATCGCGCGAGATCCAACAGATTGGCAGCGGTGATCCGATGGAGGAGTTCTATAAGCAGCTGGCTGATATCAAGAGGTTCCATGCGAAGTATCCTAACGAGCCTGTCGAAAACCTTGAGCGCGCGTATCGACCTAAAAAGGGACCCGATGCCGAAGCCGAACCCAGCATCGTGGATACCATGTTCACCGGCGAGGAGGCGTTTGGCCGTTTCTTCGATCTACACGCCTGCCACGAGATGTACCTAAACCTTCCCAATGCGAAAAGATTAAATTACCTCCAATACCTGGACTCGTTCGACAACTTCGTTCCTGGTGCTGGCGGGGTGAAAAGATCTGAGAAGATGACTGACCAATATTTCAAGTATGTTGGTCACCTGGCTGTAGACCTCGAGACGTTTATGAGGAAGACAAGACCGCTAGAAAACGTTGATAAGGTGATTGCCGATTTCGACAAAGAATTTGATTCCGCATGGGAACGGGATGAAATTGCGGATTGGAAGAAGGAGGAGCAGAATGGAAAGTCCAACGGTGCTGCGAAGCAGGCGTCCACAGCCGAAGCAGTATGGTGTGACGACTGCGAAAGAGAGTTCAAGAATGAGAACGTATACAAAGGCCATCTTTCGGGCAAGAAACATGTCCGAGCAGCAGCGGAGCGCGCACAGAGACTTCAAAGCGCATCCCAAGAAAACGGAGACGAACCTAACCATGCCAACAAAGGAAATAATTCAACGCATCGACTAAAAGAGCGGGCCATTGCAGAAAGGGAATTCAGAGTTAAGCGTCTTGCTAGCGCAATGAGCACCGAACGAAGCGATACTAGAGTTAACGTGGAACGGAAGCAAGGCATGACGGAACGTGAGAGGCAACAAGAATTAGAGAACTTATTCAACACCATAACCACCGCGTCGAATAGCAGGGATGCTGAAGATGGAGAGGATAACGATGACGAGGACAAGATTTACAACCCACTCAAGCTGCCACTCGCTTGGGATGGTAAACCTATCCCATTCTGGCTATATAAGCTTCACGGTCTTGGTGTCGAGTTTCCCTGCGAGATCTGTGGTAACTTTGTGTATATGGGAAGGAGGGCTTTCGACAAGCACTTTAACGAGACACGCCATATCTATGGTCTAAAATGTTTAGGCATTACAAACACCAGCCTCTTCCGAGACATTACGGGAATTGACGAAGCATTAAGGTTATGGGAGAAGATACAGAAGGACAAGCGTAAGGATAAAGTGGATGACGGGAGCGTTGTCCAGATGGAAGATGCCGAAGGCAATGTTATGCCGGAGAAGGTCTACTATGATTTGCAAAAGCAGGGTCTGCTGTAAAGAGGCTTATGTACCTACTTACGTCGTATTGCGTACTGTATAATGAATAATACCAAACTGCTTTTCGAAATACTATGCGGCCGGGAGATATTGGTTGATATGTATGTATTATTTCATGATTTATCGATAACTAAATACATGGGATTTTAGGAGGCTCCTAATTCCACCTGGGCAACCCCACATAACACCCCACTACGTTAACGTTAAACCTTAACATTAGGTAAATCTACATAGTATAATACAGTACGCTTATGTTGCTTGTGACGTCTTACACGGTTCAATAATGTAAATAACACAGAACTAAAACAATCTTTGGAACAACACCTTGGTCAGTGTCAGTAGCGATGGGAGAGATAACTAAACACACCAAAATCATTTATTATTGAAACTCACCTCTCATATTAGAAATGGAATCGGCTTCTTGCAGCGGGTACATATCTCATCTCACTACTAGAAAATCTCAGACTTACTCTTAAGACGCGCCAAATCGTAAAGAAAATGTCCATCCTAGCGAAGCCCATCCCCCCATTATATACCGTATATATCCTACGATCGACCATCCGCAAAAGCTCATTATATATTGGTTCAACACCTAATCCACCTCGACGGCTTAAACAACACAACGGCGTAGTCAAAGGTGGCGCCGCACGCACATCAAGAAACAAGTTGAGGCCATGGGAGATGGTTGGCCTTGTATCAGGCTTCCCTGGAATGGTAACCGCTTTAAAATTTGAGTATGCCATCTCAGCTGACCAGTCGTTACATTTTCCTTATATGTACCTAGGTAAGCTGACTGTTCCATAGATGGGCCCTCAACAATCCCCACATGTCACTGCATATTCCATCCACATCTCGGATTACCACCGCAGCGGGTAGGAAACGAAACGGCCGTCCTAGACGCCCTCGGCATAACCTGACATCTATACTATCGAACCTACATCTTCTCCTTCGGGTCCCTAGTTTCGCAAGATTGCCTTTAAATGTCCACTTCTTTGTACTCGAGGCTTACGAAGTGTGGCAAGAATGGTGCAATACCGTAGATGAACCTCTCCGGGATACCATTGGGGTGCTAACTGATTTCGAGACGATGGGCACAAGTCCGGGAGATGGTGAAAGTGCCGATACCAAGGACGAGCCAGAGCAGCCTCGGGGTATTCATGCTCTCCCGCTTGACTACGCTCCGATGAAGGATTATGTGACCAAGACAAAGTCGATCTACAACTTTGAGAGAGAAGGTAATTGCATAATATGTCAGGAACACCTTGATCCTGGAAAGGGCCTCTATGCAACATGTTCAAACATAGATTGCGAGGGCACGGGGCATCTAACATGCTGGAGCAAACATATGCTTGAAAAGGAGGCCGGTGAAAACATCATACCTATATCTGGACACTGTCCAGAATGCAAAGGTGAAGTAGCATGGGGTGATCTCATGAAGGAGATGAGTTTAAGAATAAGAGGGTCAAAAGAGGTCGAGAAGTTGCTTAAGAAACCTAGAAAACGAAAAGCGCGAGCCGAGTCGGAAATATAAGCCTATAGTTTTTTTTGATTAGTTAGAAAGACTTCATTGGGTTTCTCAATTCTTATAGCAAGGTGCTTAATGTAGTATAATTACGTATGCCAGGTAGGTGATAGGTAGGTACCTACCTGGATCTAGGGTAAAACTCCGACTTCGTATTTCCTATCTCTTTTCATTTATTTACCAAGTGGCTAAAAATATTATTGATGCATATCATATACCTGATGTAACAAGTTTGAGTGCGTGCGTACGACATGAACAAGGTAATGAATAGATAACCTCTCCCCGATGGGTATCGATGTCATGTCGAGGCATGCTATCCCCCGCAAAAAAAAAAAAAAAAAAAAAAAAAAAAAAGCAGACCCCCCTTTTACCCTTTTTATAGTGACGAGACCCAAAACTGTCCGCTACTCGGCTACGCTGGACCTTTCCCATCTGTGAGTGCTCGCATGGTGTTCCCGTCATGCAGGGCAAGGATACGAAGCCCATTTTTTCAAACGTCACTCGTCTATTATTGGTTCGTTAGACGACTCATTGGTCCTGATCCCTGTAAGTTTGTCCGCGAATATCAATTCGATTTTTTTTTCTCTTTCTTTTTGGACTGGCGCAGGTTGACCAACCTCGCCGACCAATCTGCCAATTCTCCAACCACGAATCTAAATAGTTGCGACCGTTCGGACCATTGGACACGTCGGCTTGCGACTAGTACTTAGAATCCCCACATAACGGGCATTTATCAGATCTTTGAATACGGAAGACGTAAGCCGAATGATAAACACGGAGTTGTATCATAGGTTCATATATATATAGAAATGTATACGAATAACAAGATGAGAAGAGATTTTAAAAAACAAGCAGCCACAAAGCGGAGCCACCCAACATAGGTACGTGTATTATTCTACCTAACCTTAATAGTATTGTTAATAGCGTCGGCGTAATCCGCGCAGCCTCGCCCCAATTCATGGGGAAGCAGATGACATGCATTTGGTATTACTTACCTTCCACACTAGGATCCATCTTTTACTTTTTTAACCCGCTGGTCGTAATGGGTTCCATATAGAATTATCACCCGTCATGTTCGTTCTGCCTTGGCTTTGGGGAGACATTACCTATGTCGCAGATCTCCGGATTCGTCGAGGTCCAAGCGGCTCCCCGACAAATTGGATTCTTGTTTGTCTCCGATTTCTACGTTTGATTATAGATCTCACGATCCTAAGACGATGATATACACCGACTATCTTATATTATCAAGATTCAGGTTTTTTTTTTGTACAAACCTTTACCTATTTAGGCAATCTATATAAATGAACACGTCGGACTATGCGCATACCTGCTGTCAAGACCGTGTAGTTGTATAATTCATAGCGTGACCGCACGTTTGTAGTTTCGGTAAGTTGACCGTATAGCGTTTGCGCATCGTCCTAAAAGTGTCAGCCTGCATTCACTCTTTTGCACGTAAGCTATGTTGAGTAAGAGTGACAGAACTTGCACTTCCCTAGGAAAGGCGCCAATATTCAAGCTTTGGTACCTAACCTAATATAAAATTTGAAACAGCATCCCTTCGTTGTCAAAGTACCAGGACTGGGCTTGGTACCTGATAGGTATTTACATATCGACCTCTGAAGAGCATGAAGAGTATGAAGTCGCGAGTAAAAGAGCGTAGCAGAATTATATCACATGGTACTTTTAACCTCGTACTGGGCAGATTTATCCGACGAGAGAGGGAAATGGAACTGGAAATAGAGATGTGATATTAAATATCAAAACTTGAAAACGACGTTGGATCATGAATGGAATGGAACATGCAAAATCTTGCATCGAGTATATATACTTTATTCGCTTACGATTGTTCAACCCTTACGTATGTAGAGATACCTCTCATGTTTAGCTCATGGCAGCAGCGTTACCTAACCTAGAGTTGCGGCGGTATACCTGATGCGGAACCGTATTAGATGGAGTCTGAACTTACCTAGAGTTTTCGATTAGGTACATCCATCTATAGGTATTTTAGGTACGAAGGTCCGGGCCAAAAGTCTTGCACATCGAAGCTTAGGTAAGCTACCCACTTAGGTATGTGTCAATAAAAAAGGCTATACGGTGTCAGATCTACCAATAGCAGCTAGCTCCCCTGTAGCTATAGTGGTAAGCCCCCTAAAGTTTAGCGTACAAGCCACTAGCCACCCCTAAAATTAGTACTAAGCCAATACAGTGCTATTATAATCGTGCACGTTAAATTTCCTAGACTAAAAGCTTGGCATGTGCAAGACTTTTGGCCCGGACCTTCGTACCTAGGTATTTAAGTACTTATCTAGGCACATAATATAATGCATGTATATCCGTACCCTGCACAAAATGTACGTACCGGAGGTAGCTTTAGGGTCCACTTTGTTCTTTAAATGGGCCTGGGCATAAAATCCCGACAAGCTACAAGTCGCATCCACCCAAAAAATCATATCCACTTCCAACTGCCTCTTCTTTCTACTTTCCCAATCCCCAATTTCTTAGGTGGTACCTAGGTACTTTGTCAAGCCGCGCCTGCACTGCGTGACCCCGTTACCCGCGTACCTATTCTGTTTTAAACGGATGTTAAGAGGCTTTTCAGACTTGAGTGACCTGACCACCCACGTTCCACGGTCCCACCGTATCAAACAGTCGTTGAACTTACTTACCCATTCCGCTCTACCCAATCTACTAAGTACTAATCCGTTTTCCGTTCTACTTACACGACTTATTGTTCATACCTTCCACCCATATCTCCATACTTGACATCTCAAAACTAAACTTCCCTCTCCTCAATCTAACATGCAACATGCAACCCTCCTTGACTTGACCATCCCCTTCTAATTCACACATATTGGGGCACGACACTTCTCACTCGCCACCTCATTAAGTGTCATTTCTGTTCGGCTTTCATATTCGGTCACTAATGATTCTATTAATTCAGTAATTGGTGATATTCGAGGTTGCGTCGTGGTGGTTGAGGTGCGATACATACCAGGACACCGGATCGGCAATACTGTTTTTACCTAATTTGTCCGTTGGTCAAAGTAGTATCTCCTGGTCGTATATTCTAACCAGGTGCCATATTTATCTCACTTCTTAGTCCCATATCGCGGTTTTCCGCTGCATCTACACGGTACCGACACCCCACACGATTCGAACGACGATATTTGCTCCAACAGCATTTCGCCTCTTTCGACGCCAGCTGCCTCCTGCTATCTTCGGGGTTGGCTCCATCACGACCCCGGTAGGACATTCATGCGATGCACGTACAGCTTACCTTCCTTGTGACAGCCTCACACTTTGCACCACTTCGCGGTGGTCGGCATACGTAGCCTACTATTACTTACTTTGGGACTGCTGGAGAGGATCATTTAAGCCGCCTTCCAGCGTCATTGTACGTCGTGAATCATGGTTTCCACCCCCTCCGTCAGCCATAATGGCGGCGTTGGAGGTGTCAGTAGTACCAATGCTAGCGCAAGAGCTTCCCCGGCTGTTGGCGCCGCCAATTCTGCGGGCCATACCTCTTCATCCAATGGCGCGAAATCCAAGACGCAGGTCAACTCGAACGGCTACCACCCAACGAACCCTCCAGTCCCTCTCAGCTCGATGCGTAGTGCCCCGCTAGACCTTACTTCAGTTGAGAGAAGGGGCCAGCCCACAGCCAGCCGAGAGTCGTCTAAGCAAAATAGGTTGTTCGGGCTTGAAGAAGCACCAACCTACCGACCTACCGAAAACGAATGGAAAGACCCGCTTGAGTACGTTCGCAAGATTACGCCTGAGGCCCGCAAGTACGGTATTTGCAAGGTCATCCCTCCAGACTCATGGAATCCCGATTTCGCGATTGATACCGAGGTGAGTCCTTAAATCCCAATCAGACACAATTCAAGGATATTTGCAGTGGTTTTAGTTACGGAGTCTGTATTTCGATCATGTACTGACAATCTACAGAAATTCCACTTTAGAACACGAAAGCAAGAGTTAAACTCAGTCGACGGCCGTAAGTGATTCGTTGCGAAATGCTATATAGTCCTAATAACCGTCGTTTTGTTAACTTGTAAATGCCAGGCACACGAGCAAACCTGACCTATCTAGATGCCCTAGCTAAATACCATAAGCAGCAAGGAACCAACCTAAATCGATTACCATACGTGGACAAGAAGCCCCTCGACCTATACAAGCTTAAGAAGGCGGTTGAATCTCGTGGGGGGTTTGAAAAAGTTTGCAAGACAAAGAAATGGGCGGAAATCGGCAGAGATTTGGGCTACAGCGGGAAGATCATGTCGTCATTATCGACATCCCTTAAAAACTCGTATGATCGATGGCTTACTCCGTACGAGAACTACTTGCGCCAAGCAAAACCTGGAGTCTATCAGCAGTTAGAGTACGAATACGGCGGGCCATTAACTCCTAGTCCGGCACCTAGTCCGATAAAGAGGTCGACTGTAAACACTCCGTCCAGTTTACGAGCAGAGTCTCCTGCTCGACATGCAAGCGACATTCTTCAGCAGAGTTTGAATGTCCCGAAGCAAGAAAATGACCGTGATACTATCATGGCGGATGCGCCGGTGGCTACTTCGCACCCTTCATCCGGCGGGTTTACTGCCATCAACTCAGGTGGTTTCACTGCGGTCAATAGCGGGTTTACAAGTGTTAACCGACCTACTCCAACGGATCCTAAAGGCTTTACGCCGCCTCCGAAGCGCCATGGAAGCCCGCATCCATCCGGTAAAAATACTCCAGATTTTCGACCATCCGGACTAGGCCCTGGCACAGCCCTAAAGCGTCAACTCAGCTCCGACAGCTTAGATTCGGCTAAAAAGGACAACGGTACTGATAAAGACGATTCGGAAAGTGGTAGTAGGAGGAGTAAAAGGCTCAAGAAAGGTCCGTATTTCCTTCTAATAGTGACTCTCGCAATCATTCAGTTCTACTCATCATTTCAATTATTTCGCGTATGCTTTCCTTGATCTTTCTTTCCATTCATTAGTTTGATCCTCTATTGTTATGATATTATGGCGTTATTACTCTCTTCTTTATTTAATCCATTTTACCTGCGGCGATAGTAACATATCATTTCCTTTGTGGTGCGCTTCTCCTTAGTGGGGCCGCCAGTGTGCAGGGTCTCAATCATGCGCCTTGCCGTGCAGCAATGCACAACAGGAGCGGAGACCTTACAATGGATGTTCTGTCGTTCGAAGTCGATGATTGGTTCGATCGCTTGTGAAACTAATGCAGGTCGGTGTCCAGAAACCGTCCCTACAGTAGCTGGGTCGCATATGTCAGTCTTCCGACCTTCAGCTCCGAGAATACCAATACCCCGAGATGAATCGTCGAATCCGAGCGAGGTAGGAACTCCATATATATTTATCCTCTCTTTCCCTCTTTTTATAGCATCTTGATTAACTGTCTATAGAAATGCGAAGTATGCGGTAAAGGTGACGAGATTGGCCCTATAGCTCTGTGCGAGTCCTGCGACCATGGATACCATGGTGCTTGTTTAGACCCTCCTATCAAGCATAAACCTGATACCGAGTGGAATTGCCATCGATGCCTTGTTGGTGATGGTCAGTTCGGCTTCGAAGAAGGTGGGCTATATTCCCTCAAGCAGTTCCAGGAGAAGGCCGCAGACTTCAAACAGGCATACTTTGAGAACCGTATGCCTTACGACCCGGTACTTAAATGTCCAAGACCAGTCACAGAAGATGACGTGGAAAAGGAATTTTGGAGGCTTGTCACCAGTACTGAGGAAACAGTCGAGGTTGAATACGGCGCGGACATTCATTGCACGACTCACGGTTCCGGCTTCCCTACAGCAGAGCGTAACCCGTGCGACCCCTATTCCACCGATCCTTGGAATTTGACTGTAATGCCTTTGAACCCAGAGAGTCTTTTCCGCCACATCAAATCCGATATCTCAGGTATGACTGTTCCATGGGTATACGTTGGCATGATATTCTCGACATTTTGTTGGCATAATGAGGACCACTTTGCCTATTCGATTAATTACCAACACTTCGGAGCAACCAAAACGTGGTACGGCATTCCAGCCGAGGACACCGAAAAGTTTGAGAACGCTATGAAAGAAGCAGTACCGGAGCTTTTCGAAACCCAGCCGGACCTCTTGTTCCAGCTTGTCACGCTTCTTACTCCCGAGCAGCTTCAGAAGGCGGGTGTCCGTGTTTATGCTCTTGACCAGCGAGCTGGTCAGCTTGTACTGACATTTCCTCAAGCCTACCATGCTGGTTTCAACCATGGTTTCAATTTTAACGAGGCTGTCAATTTTGCGCCATCTGATTGGGAACCATATGGCCTTGCCGGTGTGGAACGGTTACAGCAGTTCCGGAGACAGCCTTGTTTCTCGCACGATGAGCTTCTATGGACAGCAGCAGAGGGAACCAGTTCAGGATTAACGATTCAGACTGCGAGGTGGCTCGCACCGGCACTCCAGAGGATCCACAAGCGGGAGCTTGAGCAGCGAAAGGAATTCATTGCAAAGCACCAAGAAGATGCTCACCGATCTTGTTCATTGAACGAGGAGTCTGATGGGCATTGTTCTCTCGCATTCGAAGTGTCCGCTGAAGACGTTCCGGAGGAAGAGTACCAATGCGCTTATTGCAAATGCTATGCTTACCTGTCAAGATTTAAGTGTCTCCAATCCGGCAAAGTCCTGTGTATTCAACATGCCGGCCAACACTCCTGTTGCGATGCCCCCGAACCCGAGCGTTACGCAGGCGACCACCATAAGTTATATTATCGGAAGACTAACGAGGAACTGAATGAGATGTATCAAAAGGTGGCAGATAAGGCTAATTTGCCTGAAGCGTGGGAAGAAAAGTACGAGAAGCTTCTCGACGAGGGAGGAAAGCCGGCGCTTAAAACGCTGCGAAACCTTCTTAGTGAGGGTGAACGAATACCGTACGACCTCCCCTCCTTGCCATCGCTCAGGGAATTCGTTGATCGTTGTAACGAATGGGTCGAAGAGGCGACTAATTATACGGTGCGAAAACAGCAGAACCGCCGTAAAAATGATAAAGTCTGGCAGAGCGGATTACGAAAGTCCATCGGCAGCTCTTCCCAGGAACAGAAAGAACGCGAACTCCGTCGAGTCGACAATATCTACCGCTTGATCGACGACGCGGAGCGCATCGGCTTCGACTGTCCCGAGATTCAACAGTTGCAAGAACGTGCCAATGCTATCAGAAGTTTCCAAAAGAATGCCGAACAGTTCTTAGAGCGTGGTTGTGGTCAAGAATCTATCGAGGAGCTGATAGAAGAAGGCCGTGCATTTAATGTGGATATGCCGGAACTCGACAAGCTGTCTGAGATTCTGGAACAAACCAAATGGAATGCCAAGGCGAAATCCAACAGAGGGGTTATACTAACACTTAAAGATGTTAGAGAACTCCTCGAAGAAGGCACTCGATTAGAGATTCCCCCGTATAATGATAATATGAGGTACTTCAGCGATAAATACCAGGCAGGTATGCAGTGGGAGACCAAAGCAAAGGAGCTTATAAATGCAGAGGTGGTTCATTATCCACAGCTGGAGGCGCTTTCGAATCAAGTTCAAGTCAACAACCTCCCTGTGACAACGGAGACTTTGGCTGCTGTTGATCAGATCCTACACAAGCAGCGAGAAGCTCATCGTCAGATTATTGATCTGACGGAGCGGTCTAAGAATCCCGACTGCAAGAAAAGACCTAAGTATGCGGAGGTGGTTGAAATTATGAAGAAGCTAGAAGATCTCAACTCGAAACCAACCGGAACTTTAGATCTCGAAAAGGAACAGAGACGTCATGAGGATTGGATGCGAAAGGGAAAGAAGCTTTTTGGCAAGACCAACGCGCCGTTACATATACTCAAATCCCACATGGACTATGTGCTAGAACGCAATTTGGCTTGCTTCGACATCCGCAATGACACTCCTCGGTTACCAGCCGAACCTGCTTCCAGAGCAGCCAGCGAAGAGAGAGGCGAGGGTAAGATCCAACGGACTTCATGGGACATCAATGATCCCGCTCTAGTGGAAGTGTTTTGCATCTGCCGTCGCATCGAAGCTGGTATGATGATCGAATGTGAGCTGTGCCACGAATGGTACCACGGGAAGTGTCTCAAAATTGCTAGAGGGAAAGTTAAAGAGGACGATAAGTACACCTGTCCTATCTGCGATTGGCGAGTGAAAATTCCCCGGGATGCTGCGCGACCGAAGCTAGAGGATCTTATTGCCTGGCAGGAGGAGATTCCCAACCTACCTTTTCAGCCTGAAGAAGAAGAGGTGCTGAAAAAGATAATCGACAACGCACAGAAGTTCCGGGACCACATCGCAGCTTTCTGCAATCCCGTCCTAACGACTGCAGCTGAAGCCGGTACCCAGAGATTCTATTTGCGGAAAATCGAAGGTGCTGAGATCCTCCTATCCTTCGAAACCAACTTCTTTCGACAAGAACTACATAAATGGAACCCGGTAGCACCCGACCCACCCCCCGTACTAGATGTTTCCAAGAGCACTCGTAAGCCACGGCCTACCAAATTACAGAAAATGCTAGCGCAATATGGGGTAGACGACCCCGATGATCTTCCGGAAAATATGAAGAGCAAGGCAAACAGCTTAAAGCGAAAGGCAATGAACGCTGAGGCTGCTGCCAAGGCCGCAGCATCTTCAAGCAACAGTATTGTCCCTCCGAACGCGACTAGTCCATCCTCCCACCCTTTTGGTTCTGGCAACCACATGTACTATTCTCGGGGTTCACAGCCGTCTACTCCAGCACTTAGTAGTACACCCCACACGCATCCGCCACAACGATCCAATTCAGTATCTTCCAGCCGGCCGGGATCGTCACTCCGGCCTGATAGCATGGACATGAATAATACTGCGGGTTTACACCCAGATTTCTTCCTATCCGCCAGCAGTGGCTCAGGTCCTCAGCTAATCGGACCGGATTCAACCTTAACATTAGAGGAACGTCTACAGCGTGGGCAAGACGATGGCTTGAATCTGAACACAGATGCTGGCAAGGGTAAGGCCCTTGAATATCTACGCCGCACTGAAACTGGGCGTAAGCGGGCCGAAGAAATTTTTGGGCCGGGCGTATGGAGTCACAACGGTGATGATACATTCACCAGTAGACAAAACATCGGTCACGGTCAAGAGGATGACAGGGATGTGGATAAGATGTTCTTAGACCTTACTAATGCGGATGACGACGAGGAAACTAAGAAGGAGAGGCAAAGAGAACGGGAACGATTAAGTGTCACGGCTGACAGTTTCGAAGCGGAGCGAAACGCGATGGATATGGAAGACTCTGACTAAACCCAGCCAGACTCTACAAAATTTCGGTATCACGAATAGTTCATAAGTTACTTGGGTATGGTGTGCATGCCTCTGGTATCAAATACAGGCGTCTACTAACAGGAGGTACTTTCAAATCTGCCATACTGGCCATAAAATTCACCAACGGCGTATCGGAAAGCATTTCTTCGTGCTATATTCGTTCTTAGCATACGAGGGGAGCCTGTGCGTCATCAGATATAGAGGCGTTGTTGCGGTTTGAGTCGCAGACGAAGATTTTCCTTTCCTCGTGTACTCTTAGAGGATTTTAGGGATTTAAAAGCCCGACTTCACACACTATTGCATTAGATAGGCGTTGCGTTCTAGGTTGTGGTTCGGTATACCTCTGGCACTCAGTCTCGACGGAATGGAGTTGGGGAGGAGGGCCGATACCTTGTTTTAGGTAGTTAGGCATATATCTATTTGTTGAAGTTATTTTTCTACATTATTCCTTTTCTCCCAACTTGATGGTGATTTGTTTATTGCTCTATTCACCCCTATTGGAGTGTCTTCTAAACTGTTAGCTGATTTGACATGGGCGACAGGGGAAGTGGTGTTGTCCCAAATCACACCTGATTTTTCTGTATGACTTCACCGTGCTACCTGAGGCAGCCAATGCCAAGGGGACGTGAATAGCTAGTGAGTTTACTTGTGTAACAGTAGTAGTCAATCCAGGCGATAAACTACTAAGTCTTTTCTTATGTTTATGTCGTAGCTAGTGATCAGGAGTAGAGGAGTTGTGCAGGTGACTTGATTGACAAACTAAGCTTTCCTCGCCCGTGAGGGAGAAAGCCTGACTTATACCTATATGTCCTTACAAAAATGCTTCCATACCGTACCTGACAGCAGTTTATTAGCCACTGATTTGAGTAGCGATATATATTTTCTATTAGGGTCACCCATTCTCGAAAGGTTACACCTATCTTTCAAGTCAACAATTCTATTACTTCCTCATGCATCTCATGGTTTTACTCACATACACACACATGTTGCTATCCGGCAGTCATGCCGTAAACACCAACTTCGAAGCTATGAGTGTTAGCTTCCTGTCGTGAGAAATGACTGCGGCATCGTGAAATGCCAACATGAATTGTAAACAGACCTCATACATTGTAGAACAACTCACTTCTGCGAGGACGAAGCAGTTTCCTCCCGACAGTCACGGCGTATCCAAATGTCTTCTATAAGTTCAGTTCAGATCTTCTCTTCCCATCTCTTCATCTTAAAGCGCGATCCCATCAATTTCCATCCATCAATAACCTTTTCATTCATTCATTCGGTATCTAAGATACGGGATAAGAAAAAAAACATATCGATTAAGTCTTAGGATTAAGTCAGAATTAACCATACGAAACCAATAATAAGGATAGATAATAGGAAATAGAGAGAGAGAGAGATAGCTATGGCGGACGTGAACCATAGCTGGGATAACGCAAATTTCGTGCCCGTCCTCGGAGAGGACATCCCAGGCATAACGTCCGCGTGCGAGAGGCTGGGCGACTTGTTAGGGATCCACGAAGAGACATGCAAGGAGGTAAAAGAGCACGTAGCAACGAACTACGAGTGCGCCGTCCTCGAGAGCCTCGGTATAACCATCGGCTTCCCGAGACAAGGCATAACACAGTACCTCGGGAGTAGGCCTGGCGGCCAGAGATTCCTCGCTCTTGTCTGCGCCTTGGGGACCGCCTTCGATCCGCCCGAAAGCGCGCAGGTGGTAGCGAGTCTGATGGGCAGCCACCTCAAGCTGGGAGCGATGCCACGTCCTACGGCCGAGAAGCTTTGCCCGCTACTCGACACCGTCAAGGCGCAATGCAACTTGTCCAACTTCGCCAACCTCGTCGCGGATTACGAGATAACGTTGACGCGCGAGCTCCGCAAACGACGCCTCGGTCCCGCCGCCTGTTCAGGTCGCCTAGACAAAACCCCCGACACGGACGCGGTGACCAAGCTAGCCCAGTTATTGTTGTCGAATAAATCCGCGGAGTCCGGCGAGAGAAGGCCGAAGGCGATAACGATCCAAGCGGGGAGCTGCGTGCCCTGGCTCGTCGCCTTCCTGCGCTGGTGGCTGCGCAAGACCCCTGTGGTCTACCTCGGAGAAGGCCAGCCAGCGAGCCAGCAGCAATGCGAAAAGATCATCCAAGGCGACACCAGCATCGGGATCAAGCTCGGGTTTCCCGCGACGCAGAAAGACGGCAGCGCGCCGGAACTCGTCCGGGTCAGGGCCGTGTACTCGCCGTCGCACTGGGAAGACTGGACCTTCCGCCACGGCCGGGCGGAGCGACGCTACGGCGGCCTCGTCTCGATCCCCACGTACTTCCGCCTCATGCTCAACGCCTTCCGGCTGGACCAGGGCCAGGCCAACCAGGCCGCCGTGGAGGTAATTCCGTACGCGCTGTCCGAGGCGCGGAAGAGCCTGACGATGTGCTCCGAGGGGTGCGTGTCCCGCGGCCGGTGGGGCGTGCCCTGCGCCACGACGACGGATCTCGCCGGCGCCAAGTCCAAGCTCTGGCTGCAGTCGCAGGAGGAAAAAGAGAAGGAGAAGGAGGGGGAGGAGGGGCACAACAAAGAGGCGGTCCTGGCAAGCGAGCTAGCGAAGATCCGCTCGGGCCGCTTCGAGCCGTTCCCGGAGCGGGCCGAGATCAACAGCATTCTGCGGCTGGTCGGCGGGTGCGAGGGGAAGCACATGCAGGACCTGCGCAGCAAGCAGATGGGGCTGCCGATCTACGGGCACAAGGAAGCCGCCGCGTTCCTGGGGCAGGCGAAGCACGAATCCGAGCGCGAGGCGTGGATGGCGGGGGGTTTGTTCCGGTCGCAGCTGCCGCTGGGCCAGCCCGGCGCGACGACGGTGTTCGTCGAGCAGATGGCGCACGTGGTGGCGACGATCCTGGCGCTCTCGCTGTTCCGCAACCCCGAGCCGCGGCAGCAGCAGCAGCAGCAGCAACGGCTCATGGTGCGGCCGGACCCGCTCGTCTGGCAGAGCGCGGAGGTAGCGCCGAGCACGGTGATCTCGGCGATATGCCGGGTGTTCCGGGGGCAGACGGCGTGCAGCGACGTGACGGAGTGGCACCGGGTGTGCCGGAAGCTCGCGGGCGAATCGGAGGAAGGACGGCCGGAGATCGAGCGGCGGAACGTGATCATATCGGGGGGCGCCGGGCAGGCGGTGTGGCCGGCAACGATAGTCGGGGCGGAGAAGCTGCCCGCGAGCGATGAGAGCTACCTGCGGCTGCGGTGGTGCCGGGGGAAGATCTTCAACAGCCAGGTCCAGCGGTCGTACCGCAGCGTCGTGGCCGCGAACTCGCACGTCACGCCGGACTGGGCACTATCCCAAAGCGCAACTGCAACTGCAACGGGGACGATGACGATGACGATGACAGCGGCCGCGGGACGACAACTCGCGGAAAATACCCGGTACGTGTTCAACTCGGTGTTCCACCCGCAGAGCAACCAGGTCCTCGAATGCAGCATGGTCCGGACGCTGGAGTACGAAGGCAACAAGATCACGAGCGCGGCTCTAGATCCCACAGGCGTAATCAAAGCCCTAGCCTCCGCGGAACGCATCGAGTCGTGCCCGCACGACGAGAAGGCGTCTGTGGACATGGACAGCACTACCACGAACGCTCGCGGCCACGATGGCACGATAGTTCCCGACATGTATCTCTGCACGCCCGAGAACCCGCTCCCCTGGCTGCGGGACTGGGCACGCAGGGCGGACGACGAGCAAGTAGCGCGGCAAGGTCTGAGCGAGCTGCTCCAGCGCGTGAGGAGCATGGGAGGCGGGCCAGCATCTGGCGCCGTGGCGGTGATCCCTACCGCGGGTGACGACCGACTGCGGATATTTACTCTGTCCAAACCTGTCGGAGCGCATGTAGCTATTAGGGGACACGCGTGTCTGGCCTGCTGTGTTAAGTTCTGCAAGCATTTTGGATTTAGCGTGCTTGTGCTATGATGGTCGAGTATGAGACCTTATAAACACTAGGGAAGTATGTTTGGTGGCTTTTGTATAGCACGTCTATTATGATGGGAAGAAGTCGGGATATTTAAGGATAAGCATTTTTTAACAGCGAACATCTGTTGGTATCAACATGGGTACGGATTACTTGGAGTATAATTAATACAAGTACGAAGGTCCGGGCCAAAAGTCTTGCACATGCCAAGCTTTTAGTCGCGGGAACATAACGTACACAATTATAATAGCACTGTATTGGCTTGGCACTAGTTTTGGGGGCGGATAGTGGCTTGTACGCTAAACTTTAGGGAGCTTACCACTATAGCTACAGGGGAGCTAGCTGCTATTGGTAGATCTGACACCGTATAGCCTTTTTTATTGACACATACCTAAGTAGGTAGCTTACTTAAGCTACAATGTGCAAGACTTTTGGCCTGGACCTTCGTAGACTCTTGAATATATTGAATTGGGTCGTAGCATTAGAAACGGCTTTAATAGTTGCAAAGTGCTGAGTTGTGAATCTAACCAGGTATTGACTAAGTATTGTAATTTAGTTGGAATTGAGTAAGAAGGCATAGCCCTCGTCAGGAGAGCCTGCGTAAGAGACCCTGGGTTGATTATAACCCGAGGAGGCGGCACCAAATGTGAGTCCGTGATAGGTACAAATTTTCAGGGGTATGTGGGTATAGCAGGGGTATACTACCTACCTCATACTAGTAGCTAAAATAGGCGAGGCGTTACTAGCTCAGCTCCATATACTGTATGTACGACCCTGACACTCACTTTGTATTGTATAGGTATGACAGCTATCGAGGGCATAAACCTCTCCTAACAGAAATTCTAAAGCTGTAGTAAGTACCTTAAGTACCTAGGTACCTACCTAGGTTAGGTACTTAGGTACTTATGAGAATCTTATGAGAATATTTGATTTCCCTCCGCTAGCTCAACGCCAAAAGCCCCTTGGTCAGGGTCTTTCCAGATTTGTCTCTCGACTGCGGTAATGATTTTATATTCAAGGTAAAACAGCTTTTCACCCACGTAACTATTACAGAACACAACAATAACCAAAGAGTTACCGAAGAGCCAGGAGACATTATTATAATAGATTGCAGTTGTATTAAGAATCAGCTTTTAAGGAAAAGGTATTATAACTGTCGGTATTGAAACGACTTGAGGGGTATCTCCATCCGTCCTATCTAGGTTGAGATCCGTCGACAAAAGAAATAGCTAAACATAATTCCCTTTCGCTATGATTTTTGAGGTCAAACTTAGAACCAATAATATAGCCAATAGGTAAACCAGAACCAGCAGAGAGCTCGATAAGAGAAAAGGCAAAGATGGACTCCCATCGCCTAGAAACTCCAGCGAAGCCCCTGAGGAGGTTTCGGGTACGAAGGCATGCCATGTTCCTGCTGATGTTGAAGCTGAGGATTCATGGAGAATGCATTTCCCCAGGGCATCTGGTTGCCTTGCCCGTACATGTGCTCCTGGCCGTAGGACATCTGGTAGTTTGAATTGTCCTGTCCCTGCGTTACCCTGCCGAAGGATTGCCCATGTGCTGGTAACAAATGCTGCTGAGATTGGTCGCTCTGGACGACTGGGCCAAGATAAGCATTCTGACAGTTGGGCTGTCCCGCGTTAAACTGGAACATCTCGGGTTGGTCGTTCCAGTTCTGCGATTCCTCCATATGGCGTCTCTTTGCCGCCCTGGAATTATCCATACTGCAGTGGCTCAAGTGACCCGAAGCGCTGGCGTCACTAAAGACATTCGTTAATTCCCCAGAACTCGTCGCGCTACCCGTGTCTGATGGTGTAACGACGAGGTATTCAGGTTTGCTCTGTGTTAGCTGCTTCTTCAGCTTCTCAATCTCAGCAGCCTGGGCGATTTCCAGGTCGCTAGCTTTGGTTCGAGCGGCCGTACGCTTCCGCTTGGTTAGGCTGGACATTTCGCCTTGCAGCCGGGCGTTGTGGTTGCGGACCGATTGCAGTTCTTCCCGAGCTGTTTGCATGCTTTCTTTCATAAACTCCATGTCCTCCTTGAAGCCTTCGAACATGGCCATAAATTCGGCGTTGCGACGAGCTAGATCCTCGTTGCAATTTTCGAGCTCTCTTAGCCGCGCGGTTTGTCGCTGGCTATCGACCGAGGGGTCTGAGGTTCCGACCATGTCGAGACCAGAGTAGTCGAATTCGAAGCCCGCCATCTGGTCCTTGGAGAAAGCCATTTTTAATGACGCCGAGTTTGGTTGATAGGTTTCGGCTGAGGACTTTTCGGAAGAGACACGAGGTACCTGTAATGAGTGTCATGTTAGTATATCGGTTCATCTCATCTTGGTATGTATCAATGAACTTACAAGTTGAGGTCGCTGAAGTGTTGTATCAAACCGACGACGCTTAGATACAGCAAGGTAGCAATAGGCTATATCAAAGAGCGCTTCCTAAGTCTTGACTATACTTGGTAGGGATCTTGTAATGCCAGAAGATAATCCAAAAGTTGAATTGGAGGATTATGCAGCTTGGAAGACTCTTTGGTAATGTCTGAACTGAATCTTCGTGTTTGAAAAGATCAGACGGACAGGGGGGAGAAGCCGTGTTTATATACTTTCTTGTGGTCGGTAAAATCAGCAACGAGCTTGGAGATAGCAACGACCAGCCGCCCCACAAAGGTATCTTAGGTACTTACTCACTGATGGTTGAAAAAAGTAGTTTGCTTCCAATTCACTATCGTAATAGATAGGAAACAAATATGATTGGTTAATATTTTAGAATAGTGACCTGTACGGCCGTTGCAATTGGTAGGTCTTAGGAAGTAGTGAGTTGTATGGTTAAGATAAGGGTTAGGCAGTAAGTCAACAACGCGCATTTTGCACTTAAACCTACGGTCCTAGTGCCAGCCAGTGCCAAACAGATGGTCAACGTAAGGAAGAAAGTGTTTAGATATTTCCCTAAAAGGCTTAAGCTTATCTAATGACGTGAGTAGTACAGTAGAAAACTTTTCTATCTCCATTTTACGTTCTCCCTCCGGGTCCTCGCACCTTCCCACGTTCGCTCTTTCCCTCTTTCCCTCTTCTCAATGGACCATTTTGAAAATTATGATCTTTCCCGCATTTAATATTCACTGAAGGTACCTACGTTAGGTACGTTAGGTACGTCATTCCACTAGTCCAATTCACTACCTACCTAGGTAGGTACGCCATTCGTACTGTTCCATTTAGAGGTCATTTCGTGGGGTTTAGTTTGGGACTTTCCCTAACGTAGCACACGACGTTGCGATCCAAAAAAGCGAGGTGTGGAGTTCGTTAGCGACGAAACATCTATCTAATACAGCAGATGGAGGTGTATGTTTACAATGCAATAATGTACAGACTGTACGTAATACTAGAGAACGGAAAGCATTTTCTTATGAGATTTCTTATGCGATACCGTAAAGTCCTAAACATCCTAGAGAGCTTTTAAGAAAAACGTTTTCGCTATGGGACGTAAGAATGTATTGAATCATCTCTCGTCATTAATACAACCGTCTTAAAAAATATGATTACTGTCCGCTCTACATTTGACTGTTGCTATCAAAGGAACTATAGTAGTTGTTATAGATGCGGAATATGTAAAAGGGGGGACTGATGTGGTACGGATGTATAAGCAGGACGTCGATCAAACCCCTGCAGCATACCGAAATAGGCAACAGCTAGACCAAAGTCGAGATCTGATTGGCTGTCCGGAACACAAGCTAATACTACTAATCATCCGAAGCTTGATAGAAAAAACTAACGAGTATTGTCCCGCGCTTGAGTATAACTTTAAGGAAATCTATCTACCTAATATAAGCCCTTATACTACATTCAAGGAAACACCGAATATGGTTCCAGACTTGTGTACTACTATAAACTTCGAAATTTACACACTACATTATATACTACGCGACGATCACTTATGAATATAAGAAAGATAAAACATTCACGAAGCAATCTCATAATGTAAAAAGCAAAAAATATATATATTCGAATTTAAAAAATCGTATAAAGTGTAAATACAAGAATCGAACTCCCGACCCGAAGCCATCAGCCAGGGCTTCTTCTTCTTCTCCTTTTTTCTTCTTTCTTCCACTTGTAACCTCGGTTAATCATACACAAGCTCGTATACGTTATCCTTCTCTCCTTATGCTCGCACATTAGACCGCGTTTCGTCTCTTCGCCGTCGTCAAGTCATTCCGACCGCACAATAGTTTGAACCAGCTTAGGCGGTGTTGACGCACTGGTAGTAGAAAGGGTTCCAGGACTTGCAGGTGCCCTCGGCGCAGGCGGTCGGGCCCGCGTAGCCGCTGCCACCGCAGCGGCCGTACAGGCTCTGGACGTCGACGGCGCCGGTGGGATTAGCCGCGGTGGTGGTGCTGGGGGTGGTAGCGACGCGGGTAGAGGTGGCGAGAGTGGTAGGGGTGGAGACGACAGCAGTGGAGGTCTTCTGGGTGCTGGAGACAGTGGTCTGGGCAGCCTTGGTGGTAGAAGCAGCCGTGGTGGTGGCAGCGGCGGCGCTAGTGGACGTCGCGCTGCTGCCGCTTCCGACGGTCGCGGTTCCCGTAGCGGTGACAGCGGACGAGGATTGGGCGACGGAGGAAGAGGCGCCAGAGATCAGGGTGGGGCCGGGGATGGTGTAGGTGAGGCCGGTGGTGTAGATGTTGACGACGATGCCGGGGTCAGCAGCAGAGTACAGCTTGGTACCCAAGACGCCGGCGGGGACCTCAGTACCGCTACCGGTGATCTCGAGGTTGAAGCACTGGGGGTAAGCCTGCGCGCCGTTGGCCTGGCCCGCGGAGTGCAGGGCGATGGTCTCGTGACGGAGAACGTAGTTGCCGGGCTTGATGTTGGACGGGATCTGGACTAGCCAGGTGTTGTTGTTCTTGATCAGGACATCAGAACCCCAGAAACCGTTCTGGACAGAGTCGTCGATCTTGCCGACCTCGTCGATCTTGAAGAACTCGAGGGTCTCCTTGTTGACGCTCTCGCAAGGACCGTTGCAGGCGGCGAGGTAGTCGATCATGGGGCCCTTGTGCGACTCAGGCCAGGTGTTCCAGGTGATGCTGATGCTGTCGCCAGCCTTGACCTGGGCGTGACCACCAGCCGGCTTAGCAGACTTGTGGCAGATGATGTCGGCGCTGCCGAAGCTGTTGGGCTCGACGAAGCCGTTGTCGGTCTGGGAGGTGGTCCACCCGACGACAGTGGGAGGGTTCTGCTGGTAAGGGAAGTTGGTCGGGTCGTAGCCCTGGTAGAAGAGACCGTCGATGACGACGTGGTCAACGTGGCCGTGGGCGGCGACAGTGGCAGCCGAGGCGAGGGCCGCAACAACAGGGGAGATTTTCTTGATACCCATTTTGTTGGTTGTGATAGTCGATGCAATATAGCTTTATTAAGTGAGCGAAAGGTAGAGACAACAAGTTCAGTTATATTATGAACGGCAGCTAAGAGGTATCGATCAAGATAGCTGTTCTCACCGGGAGGTAGAAAAGAATGACTTTGGTAAAAAGGATAGACAATAATGAATGGTTAAAGGAATCGACTTCGCAAACCGATGGTGATGAGAAAAAAAGACTGATGGAAGCGGCATCTCGACTCATGTTATATAGAGCTTCAAGGTCAAGTGCATGTCATAGTATATCCATGTCTTCGATCATAATTGCAGTTGTCTAAGATCCACTGATACTAGGGCCCCCCTGTGGAGGCGCCGAAGGAACGAAACCGCAGGATCCGACACAGATGATGGTCTCGACCTTCCTAAGGGCCTAATGCGAGACTCTATTGGTGCACTAGACTTCACAATGGGGACAAGCCATTATTTTATTATAGAAATTACTATGTACCTTGCACGTTACTTGAAAGATAAAGTATGGTACAATGGAGACGCTAACACGTACGATTCCGGTGGAGGTTTATTGCACATAGTAATACTGATGTCGAACCAGGTTTTTGGCGCCATGGGACTTACGCCAGCAAGCGTCGTTATCATGCCTTGGCGGTCAAGCGAGATTTGAGTTGACAACAGGAGATGGTGTTTTGACCTCCAAGGACGATAACAACGCCACGAGACTACCTACTCACCTAGGTACGTTAACGTTATAAGGTATAAGCAACTCGCTTGTGAATTAGGGAATAGCCTCAAGTTTCTGTTTGACCAAACCAATCTATCTCAAAGGAATAAGCATTCAACCTAACCTCGCACATTGTATGCTCTTTAGGTATTGTATTGTACTTGGTACACAAACACCAAGCCTGGGAGCCAAAGCTTAGGCACCATCTCCCACGAGGTTAGACTCTCGTTGGTGGGGAACCAAATCTCTAACACGGCTCAAGCCGTAGTTAAATTAAACGGTCAAGAGAGACGCATGTTTGGCCCAACCACACCATCGGTAGCCGCTCTTTGAGTCCCATGGTGGCGTGATACCCTGTAGAGTCGTGGCGGTAAGTCTGCTCTCTATTCGTAGGAATCCATCTGCGGGGAGGGGGCGCGGGAGGACTTTAGATGAGCCGCACTTTTACCTATGGACTTTGAAAAAAAGCGCTAGATACGTAAATTGCTACTGCGGTAGTCTTTGAAGGGGACTCCTATTTTGGAATGTCTTCGAGTAATAGTCAAGGTATCATCGCGAATCTTACATGTGATCCTATGCAGCTCGACGTCTCGTCGCAAGCGAAAAACAACTTCTCTTAGCGAATCTAGTGGGTAGAACCCATTTTTTTTTTTTGTTTCGTCATGCACATAAGGATGTCATGACGCGGCCATCATATAACACCTGGATTATTTATTATGCATACATGATCGAGATGGTAGACTAGGCTGATCCGGCTCGAGTTGCCGTTAGTATGGAAGCGCCTCACATCGAACCGAGTCAAGGGAAAAACAGAGTAGCAACCGCGCAGGGCGGACAGGGCGAATCAGCGGGGGATCAACGACGGGAATGGGGAAAAGCCAAGGGCAACTGCAGGGCTAGAAATCAACGGGATCCACGTATTGTCCCCGAGCCCCTGCGTAGATCTCAGACGATCCACAGCGCCGTTTCGCCTGACCGTAAACGGAAGTACTTCCGGACCGCTCCTATATCCATACCTCACATTACAACGCTAGGTTATAAAGAAAGGGGAACATAATTCTAGAAAAAAACCGCAACTTTCTTCCCCCCCCTTGCTGCTTTGGTCTTTTTTGTCTTGTTCCGAAACGCCACCGGTGTTATGGGTGTTATGAGCAGGGTGGGAATTAATAATCGCACATGTTTCTAAAGCCAAGTCGATTAGGGCGGGTCATTCAATCTTGAACAAGGTGATAGATGATAGGATGATATGTTATCCACTGCCCTAACGGCATGGTATTACTACCTTAGGTACCTATGGTAAACTATTTTACTTTTCCCCGTACCTATCGAAATACGGTATTTTCTTGATACTATTCAAGAAAAGGGGCTACTAGTTAACAAGCGCCTTGTTGACGCGAGTTACTATACGGCTCTCTATACACGGTGCTTGCAGATGCCAGCAGTCCTAGCTCGTACATATCCCGGCAGTGTACCCAATTTCCCGTAAAACTGTGCTGGAGAAAAGTTGACTTCCGTGCTGCTTTTGGCAATATTTCTTTCTTTTGTTTTCTTTTCTCTTCTCTGGGGGGTGTGTCTCGTTGGATTTCTGTTTCGTCTCAAGGCATTGTTTCTGACCAAGCTAGATTCATACATTCTTGTTCAGTCAAAGATAGTTTGTCCCCATCCTGCCTCTTACAAACAATGGATGCTCTCGTTTAGCATGACTTCTGCTCCTGGAGTGTATGATGTTGCTTGGGGATTTGGATAAGATGATACTTGCGCCTGTGGTTGGAGATAGCCGTAGTATGATTTTTCTTTAGACGACAGGGTGGCTATCAGTTCCATGATTTTATCTAGTTTCTCTTGGGTCTCGAGAATTCGTGCGTCAAATTTTGCTTCCAGATCTTTTATTCGTCTCTCTTGATCTTTCATAGCTTTGGCGATGTCGTCTGCTATCTTGTCTAAGCCAGCGCTGCCTTGACTGACGTTTATGATTAAGGGCGCTCCTTGATGGAGGTTATTGGGAAATGCTCCTTGTTGATGATTATCAGACATGATGATGTATGTCGATAAGGCGAATCGGACACGAGTAGATTTGCGTTTTTATCGGCGTTCTGCCTGCACAAATAGCTATCTGTACTTCTCGATATACACAGAAGTTCAGGATGCCGGATTGTTTACTGATGACTGAGAATGCTGTGAATCTTGTGGTGTAATTGTTATTGATGATCACCTGGAAAGTAACCAGAGCCTATTTCTATATAGACCTCAGGGCTGCTGCCTATAGGGATCGGGCTAAACAGCTCCGTGCACTGTTCCCCAGGCCAACAATATGCTGAATCATATTTTAGGCACCTTTTAAAACTAGCGTAAACGACAAAGGATATGGCAAATCAAGTCTAAATAAGCTGCCTAGGAGGTAGGTATATACTTATACCTGACTAGCAACTGAAATCATATTGAGCCTTTATTTCGAAAGACCAATATATGGTATAAGATACCTCCTAACCTAGGAATATTCTAGCAATTAGTTTCCATTGCACTCCATAATATACTAGAATAAAGGAAAAAAGAAGATTCCTGGTATCAAAGTTGAGAGTAGATAATATTAACTTTCTACAATCGAAAGAACGCCTATGTACAAGACCATGCGCAACCAATAAAGAATCAAGTCCATACGTTGCGTTATGTTGCGTTACGTTAGAGGTATAAAGGGGAATCATGCCATATCTCGTGAGGCGCTTTTGCTCTACTACTTTGTTTTTGTTTCTCTCCTCGAACATAAAAAAAATCAATGCAGAGTTGGAAAAAAGAGATATGGGAAATCCAGCATCGAATAACTCAGCTCCGCTCGACTCCCAGTTATTTTTCATCCGTTGCTGACGGATCGTCATATGATTGGAATTTCAAGGAGTTTCATACTAGAGTTGCTTAGAACTCTCCTTCTCCGCCACCTCCGGCCACTCCGGCCGTCCAGAGCCCTACGAGGCCCCACCAGCTGACTTTCCAGCCTCTCCAGAGGCCGTCTAGACCCTGGCCCTTCTTGTATACCACCTCGGCAGCAGTCTTGGGCGGTTGCTGCTTCGCTTTTCTGCCGCGGGACGAAGCCTTAGTTGGTACCGCGTACACTGCTCTTGAGCCCTCTTCGGTAGCAATCGAGTACATCGTACCGAATACCCCTCTATACGGCCCCGGGGTTACAATCGTTTCCAACTTGTCTGTTTGGTCGAGAGCTTCTAGATACGTGGGCTCCGACAGCACCGCCACCTGACCGCGGCGAAGTACCGTCTCCAACGGTAGTTTGATAAATAGAGACGCGGCCGAGGTGCAAAACTTGGCCACGGAGAAAGTCATAGGGGACTGCTCCCGATCAATTAGGAATTGGGTCCGTAGTACGAGGGGTGTAGATAGTGTGAGGAGCGGATGGACGAGAGAATTGAGAACAGTGGGTGCTATCAGAGACGATGGGCATAGCCACGAAGGTAAGGAGCGTAGGGTTGCTAGGGTCCGCCGCGGGGCGCGCCCGGTAGATGTGACGATCAATCTCGTCCGGACGAGATCAAGAGGGGATAGTATGAGGCCTGTTGCAACAGCGGCGGCAGCGGCAACGCATAACGAAACCCAAGGGTATGGCGAAGCAACGTCGACTAGCCTGTCAACGTCGTCCTTAAGTCCCAGGTCCGGAACGTTCAACAGCGCGCTCAGCAGGCTGCGCGACCAGTTCTCCAACAGTGACTGCAGTACAGTATAGAGGAATGTGGCATTTGTTCCTTTCCAGACCCCCCAGATCGACTCCTTGGACCATAATTGCGATAGCACGTCAAATATCGAGTCGGGTCGCTTCAGGGCAAGCTGATGTGGAAGGACTACGGGTCTAACAGGCGATTTGGCGGGTTCCGCCGGGGATGAATCTCTCCTTTTGGTTGACTTGGAGGAGGACGTAGGCGTATATGGGTTGTTAGTAGTGAAATATGAGGAACCTTCCGGGTCGGAGTCGGACTCGCCGCCCTGTAGTTATGTTAGCACCGCTAACCTCAAGAGCTAGACGATAGCTGTAGTAAATTTGTTGTTATACCTCGTCCCATACCGAACGCTTGGGAGCGATGATATTCGGGCTAGGAAGACTCAGACTAGAAAGATCTGGGCTGACAGGCCTCGGCGCGGGTTTCGAGGACGGTTTGGTATTTAATCCTCCCAGGTCATCTTGACTCCTCACTTGAAGAATTGTCTTGGCTACCTCGAAGGGTTGAGCCATCATTACCGACGTGTACTTCCATAATAACTCGTCTACTAAGCTCTTAACCGATTGTATGGTAGACGGCGATATGTCTTCAAGGTGATCCTTGTAGTCTATATCGGGGAAGATATCGCGGGCTCTGGATGCGTATTTGCTTGACGCCGAAGCTGTCGTCGTATTTGCTTGGGAGAAAGGATTCGGTTGTGATGGGAGCTTTCCAGTTTGCTCTCCTATGGAAGGTGGAATATAATAAGGACGGAGTGGGTTTACTCCTTCTTTCGTCGTGGTCATTTCGAGTGGAATAACTAATAGCCTTTCCTTTTTCTTTTTTTCTTATGTTTTTATGTTTTTTTTTTTTCGAATTTATACTCTTATACAGTCAAGTGATCGTATCTTTGTACGAGTGAAAGATACAAAGATAATCGTGGGGTTGGAGGGGACTGAGTTGTCTAAGCTATATTAGGTAAGCTAGGGGAACCAATCCAATGTGAGCTTCACTTTAAGCCAAGCTCGTGAGGTGGGATTATCTATGCGTGCCGGAGTGGTACGATAAGCCAGCCAATACATAGTAAATTTGTGTGCCAAAAATCCCATGCATTTTTTTCTCACTTTTCTCTGATCCGCGCTTATCGATAAGATAAACCTTAATCCACGATTGGCACCTCGGAGTTAAAGTGGTAAAAGGTCAGAGCTCCAACTTTTGGAAGTCGGTCATCGGCCGCTAACCTTTTTTATTCCTTGTACTCGGGCCGCCCAAGGCTTTTATCGGAGCTAATTGAATTCGCCTCTTTCTCATTCGTCGGAATTTCGTCGCATCGCATCGCTGAACATCGTCAACTTATCCCAGTTCGGTATTTTTTTTTCTTGTTAGACGCAAGCAACCTCCGATTCCCATGCTTGTTGGTAACTCTTCGGAATAGACTAAAGTTGCAATAAGAGCCTCATTTTCATAAATTCGATTATTTAACTGAGTCTTTATCCCGTCGACGATTTCTATCATCTATCAACTACTACTATTTCTGATGTTTTAGAGCTGAAATCCCTTTCTCTCTCCGTCCCGCTTTACCACCGAAATCCCCGAATCCGAGTCGCACCTCTTAAAACCTCATCTTGACACAATGGCGACTCCTAGAACCCTCGCTAGGGGTATACAGAAGCTTCAATTCTCCTCTTCCCAGTCTCTGTCCCGACCTGCCTTCTCCACATATAGCAAGATGAGATCTCGGATGCCTTCAATATGCCATACCCGAGCGACCACTTCCATTCTCCGACAATTTAGCACATCCCCTTTACGCCAGCACGGGCACATACATCCGCCGAAGCCAGGCGAGGAGTAAGACTTTGCTATGAGAACGGAAGATATTATTCATACACTAACCTCTCGCCAGGCTCTACGTGACCTTTGTCGACAAGGAAGGGAAGGAGCACAGGCTCGCGGTCTCCGCGGGAGATAACCTGCTGGACATTGCGCAAGCGCACGACCTGGAGATGGAGGGCGCATGCGGTGGCTCGTGTGCGTGTTCGACGTGCCACGTCATAGTCCTGGATGACGAATACTACGAGAAGATGCCCGAGCCCGAAGACGACGAGAACGACATGCTAGATCTGGCATTCGGTTTGACCGAGACGAGCCGGCTGGGTTGCCAGGTGGTTATGACCAAGGAGCTGGATGGACTGAGAGTAAAGCTACCCTCCATGACGAGGAATCTGCAAGCGAGCGATTTCAGCTCGAGGTGATAAAAATTATACGATCCGCTCAAAATCAAAAAAAAGGCGACGGATATACCAGAAAGCAAGCACTAGAGTGTACCAATACGATGACAGCTGAGGCATAGCATACCGGCGTGCTGGTGGCATAGCAGCAATTGGCGACCTGGATAAGACAGGCAGTCAGCCATTCGATATGATACGGATGTACTATACTCGCGGCAAGATAGCTATCTACCTCCTAATATAGCTTGGCTCGGAGATAGGGACGAAGCCCAACTCTTATTAAGGTCATGTTCATCAAGTAAATTTTTTGGTATCATTCCATAAAGGTGCGACGACTACAACAAATCCACATAAGTACGCGCGCGTATAAAGTAATAAAAAAAACTTAAGCTTCTTCCAGCGCCCCCTTCTTTAGTTTCCCACCACCCCCGGCGATAAGATCCAAGAAGCCCTGCCGACTCATCTCGTTAACCTTCTCCTGGCGCCTCTGAACACCCACGATACCATCTTTGCGCGTTTCCCTCTCGGCCTCGGCGGCCCTCTCTTGCGCCTCCCTGACGGCGCGGAATAACATGACGACGCCGCGGTGCGCCACCTTCTTCAGGCGCTTTTCCGTCTGCTGGATCTCCTGGGTGGACGTCTCGGGGCGGCCGTCCTCGTCGATAGCGCCGACCAATACGTCCTTCACGCGGCCCTTCTCCTGCGCCAGCCGCTTCTGTTCCCGCAAGTGCCGCCGCGCCTTGGCCTCGAGCGCGTTGTCGACGGCTTCCTTGGCGGCCTTGTGGGCTTCTACGCTGCGCGACAAGACCGGGTCGGCGCGCCGCGTGCTCGAAAGCTTTGTGGATAGAATCTTGGACATGGACGTCGCGAAGGCGTCGGGGTCGTTGCGTTTTGATTTTGATTTTTTGGATTGGCCGGCTGATGTGGGGTCATCCTCTCCGTCCGAGTCATCTCCTTCCTGGTCCCCATCATTATCATCATCATCGCTCTCCCCATCGTCCTCGTCTTTGCCCTCTTCGTCTTCTAATTCGTCTTCTGGACTCCTATCACGAGCGGCATCTTTAACGTGCTTCTTTGCTGGTTTATCCTGTCGTTTCGCAGGATGTTTTTTAGGCTTGCGCGCTGAGTCGCTATCCGAGTCTGAGTCCGAATTGGAGTCTGAACCAGAACCGGATGAGATGTCATCTACGGCGACATTGTCGAGATCTTCATCGTCGGAGTCGAGGAGGTTTACGGGCTTAAATTCGGTATTTGTGCCCTCTTCGTCCGAGTCGCTATGATATTCGGGAACCTTTCTTTGCTTCTTATTTGGTCTCTGAGACTTTGATTTAGCTCCGGAGTCTTGGTGGTTTCTCTTTTTGGAATTTGGACCGGCCATTGTGGAAGATATGCGATACGGTATGTTGGGGGACGTACTTGAATGCTGATGTCCAATTGATGCACCCCAGCTTCTCGACTTTTTTTTTTTCTTGGAAAACTTCAATTGCAATGTAAGGCCCCACTGAGTAGCTCGCTGATAAGCAAGATAAGAGGTCTAGGTTGACCGCCTACCAAAAACGTGTCTAATGTAGTACAGAAGCATCCTTGAATTTATAAGTCGTGTTTTAGTGTACTATGAGGTACCTTGTAGGTACTTCAAATCCTTTTTTCTTTTTTCATATTCCACTTACATGCACTTTCATATCTCCATCAAGGATAAGTGATTAAAATAAAATCATCGATGAAATCATTATTATAAAATTGAGCCACTCGACCAGCAAGTCGCTTACCAAGCAGCTGCAAAGACTGAGATGGATCAAGGTAAGCTTGACTTAAAAGCGGAAGTTGACTTCTTGGCCTTTCGCTCTCACTCCTATCTTTAACTCACTAGAGTTCCAATTCCTACATTTCCCTAAGCTATATCTTTCTGCACATTAAGGATGATATAATATATCACAATACTCGTCGTAGCCTCTTTTAACATAATATCCAAAGTTATAGACTTTGACCTATTAGGCATTTCTATCTTTCTTGGTATCGACCAAATAAAAAGGTTACCGGTTTAGATGAAGATCTACTCATCATGTACGTCTTTTGTTGACAACTGATATGCGGGGCAGGAATTTCCTCCCTTAAACAGGAAGTTCGATATGGGGGAACGTTGCAATCACATTCTTTAACCTACCTATATCTGCCGCTTGCCTTCTTTATAGATCTGCGATACGGTTTCGCACTTCGCGCATCTGTGTGAGCACAGCTTAAACTAATGCAGCTCCAGCGAGGGTGCAGGTGCGAATCCCAATAGGCCGACTCGACCACTTTTCAATCCTGACCTGGGACCGCTGTTTTGCACATAGACTTCCTGACATCAATAGCGACCATGAGACTACCTATATTTCTCAGCGGGTTAATCCTTGCTGCAGGTATAGCCCACGCCCAGTCTGAAGACGAAACCGGCGAACACCCAGGATGGCCGCGATGGTGTGGAAAAGTGTACGAGGCGGGATATCCGTCTTTCGAACCAGGCGGTCACACGACAGAGCCAGCTCCAATCAATCCGGATGGATCGCCGAACTTATACGTGCAGTTCAAGCCTCGACATAGCATCTACCTAGCCGGCGAGGGAAAGGGATCTTTTGTCGTCAAGGCTGAGTTGTCACCTTGGTTTGGTGAGGCGTGGGAGAATGCGACGAGTGGCGAAGAGTCGGCCGCGGAACCGTTCACGGATCTTCACTTCTCGATTAATCTGGCATCCGATGACGGTGATATCCATGTGCCTCTAGTTAAAGGCAGCGTGCCGATTAATACAACCAGTTCGGGGTTTGATTTTGATCTGTCTACTTTCGAACCGCGATTGGCACCGTATGAGGTCGTCTTAGTTGGCACGTCGGGGCTCAGTAGTCGCAATTACACAGCTAATAGCTCGTTTCGGTATCTTCCAGAAACAGCTCCTGGAGGGAGCGTGACCAAAATCGACAACCTGAACGGCGGGCTATTGTTTCGAAACGCGCAGACGGGCGACGCCTTCGTCCCCCTTCTGCCATACGGATTTTACGGCTTGTATAATGGATCCAATAGTACGGCTGAGAGTGACGAATTTGTTCATGGTTACTCAAGTGGCGGAAATGGTCTCAACGCTATCATTTCTTTGGCCGGATTTGCAGATACCAATCCGGTGTACGATAGCATGGACGCATCCACCATGCGCTTCATGTTCGATCTACGGGGTTCATACAAAAACTTAACCGAGGTTACCCAACGAGTGAATACTATTAAACATCATAGTTCACTGTTTGCCTATTGGACTGCCGACGAGTAGGCCCCCCCTGTGTTTATTCTCTTTTCTTTTTCTTCTTCTTCTTCAAAGATAAACGCATTCATCGTCGTCCTATCACTTAATAACCTCGTCAGCTAATGCTCACAATTACCAGGCCCGATGGTTGGCAGGTTCCTTTTGATGTAACGCCCGCAGCACAGGAACTGATCCACGATCTAGATCCGTATCATCCAGTAGCAGTGACTCTCAACTGCCAAGACTACTATTTCGGAAATTATTCAGCCGGCGGCGACATACTTATGCAAGACCCATATCCCATTGGGATTAATAGCACATTTTCCAAGTGGGGTACGGAATGCAACACCACGTTGGGGGACTGTGGATGTGATAATTGTGCCGGCAACCCTCAGGACGTGCCCCGCCGTCTCGACGGCTTGATCCAGTACGAGCGCTGGTTGGGCCGTTGGCCGCTTCCGAAGTTTCACAATCCACAGGCTTTCCACGGGGAGGACTACTGGTTTCGCGATCCGACACCAGCTGAAGCGTTCGTCATGAACGTGCTAGCCTTTAATCATGGCGCCACCGGTATTTTTGCGTGGACTTGGCCGACCAGCCAGACGCTATTCGAGGCGCACTCACAGATGGCAAGGGTAGTAACCAACCCTCCTGTGAGAGACTTCTTACTTGGTGGTCAACCCGACGGCAGTATCAGAATTGATAACGAAGAGCTAGTTGACATAGCCTATTGGGTTCGGGAGACTCAAATCATGATAAGCATAGTAAACGGGGCATATGGCGACATCAGCGGGCCGTTCTCAGTAAAGTTACCAGGATCTGGAAAGCGCATCGCAGATGTGCCATTTGGAGACCAGTCGTGGGACCTGGTAGGTGGCCAATTGGTAACTAACAAACTGCCGACAATGTCGACAAGTCTGGTAATTATTGATCGACTATGAGAGGGGATTGTGTGCAGTAGCGAACAGGAAGTCGAGTGAACACATCACCACCACTATAAAAACTGTTGTTAAGAGATAAAATGTGAAAAGAACCAATGACATTGTTACATTGTTCTCTGAGCTGTACTTGTGTAACCCCAAAGACTATAGGGGAGGCGTAGCATCAGTACTTTGCACCTACATGTACCTAAGGTACCGTGGTTATTCCCGGTCCTGGCAGTAATTAGCAAGAAAATTATACCTTGTCTACCTTACTACCTCAATTTTGCTCTATTATATCTAGTCCATCACCTCCATAAGATTTCTACGCCTATAAATATAGTATACCTGTTATAACTAGGTACCTAGTCGATGACTTATGTCTAATAGGTATTCCCTATTTTATACGCCCATGGTATCGGCCTACTTTTGTTTACCTTAGTTGCCAATACCTAACTTATCCCATGATGGATCACTTACACGCTATCTTTTCATATGGCCTTAACATGTGGCATGAAAACCGGCTTTCTCTACTCGCCGCTCTTGGCGCGCCTTTAGGTGTGCTTTTTCACCTTACTGTCGCCCAGATGGGGGACGTGGAAGACTTCATGTACACTCTGATCCCGACCATGGCGCTCATTGCGTTCGGCATCTTTTCGACCTTCGTCTACTTAGGATCTTCCATTCCAGGCGCCCTGACTGAATTAAGCCTTTTAGCAACTGCTTTTAACGCTGGCCTCTTTTCGAGCATGGTCATTTACAGATTGTTCTTCCATCGGCTGAGAAAGTTTCCCGGTCCTCTTAATCTCAAGGTCTCCCGGTTCTTCTCCGTATTCATGGTCGCAAAAGAAGTCAAGTTCCACAAAGACGTGGCCAGATTACACGAGAAGTATGGGGACTTCATTCGCGTGGGTGTGTACTTAATCTAGAAACAATCGTGTTCTTATTTGATCCTCGGCCACGAAGCAGCTAAGCGAAGACCAACAGGACCGCGTCATCTAGGTATCGTTAGAAAGTCCGCGATCCCAATCATATACGGCACAAATACATACTGTCACAAGTCGACCTGGTATGTGCTGGCGGACCCCGACCCTAATAATGCGTCACTCAACGCTTGTAGGTTAGTTTGGTTGAATTCGCTTTCGGGCATATATCTTAATTTTAGAAATCATGTCTAACTATTATAACCAGAGACCCTATTGAGCACAAGCGGAGGCATAAACCGTGGGATAAAGCGTTCGCGGTGAAATGTAGTTGATATCCTCCCCGTTTGTAAGAACCTTTCTTATACCTAATTCCGAAATCACAGCATTACAAACGTACGAACCACGGATACGAACACTGCCCAACAAATTTGTCCATCAAATCTCCGAAAGAGAAGTAATAAATGTGGCGGACTGGTCTAACTACCTTAATTTCGACATCATGGGTGAAGTTGGGTTTAGCGAAGACTTCAACTGCGTCTCAAGCGGGATCAAGAGCCCAGTAATCCAGGTCATCCAGAACCATATGTATTTCATAGGTCTCCTAAGTCATGTCCCCTGGTTGCTCAATATGTGCGCGAAAATACCGGCCGCCTCGAAGACATACTATCCCCTTTTGGACTATTGCCAATCCCAAATCAACAAGAAACGGGAGGTGAGTTGCTTGGAAAAACAAACAGCCTACCTACTAGGGACAATGCTCACGGGTCATTAGAGCCTTGCATTCGAAAAAGAGCCTAAAGACATCATGTCGTGGGTCATCAAAGCTGTCGTCGACAAAGATGTGTCTGCTTCGCCGACCGAATTGTCCCTCCGCGACGACGCCCGATTGACGATAGTCGCGGGGAGTGAGACGAGCGCAACGGTCTTGGCCAATACTCTATTTTTCCTGGCCAAGTATCCCCATGTCTTAAAAAAGCTGCAAGCTGAGATTGACAGCGTCATCCCGACCCCGGCGGACTGGACGTACGAGAAAGTGAAAACAATTAAGTACGTCGACAACGTCATTGATGAGTCCCAGCGCCTAAAGCCCGCTCTGCTCACCGGCGGTTATCGACAGACGCCGCCGGAGGGCATTCAAATCGACGAGCAGTTCATTCCGGGAAACGTATCCGTCTTCGTGCCTACACAGCTAATCCAGACTGATCCGCGCTACTGGAGACAGAATATGGAATTTATACCGGAACGGTTCGGAGAGCGGAGCGCTGAGATGGGTACCAATGGAGCCCCCTTTATGCCTTTTAGTTCAGGTGAGCGATGCTCTCCCCGCCCCCCGGATAACCCTTTGCAGTCCTAGTTAGTTTAGTTAAGTAACAGATCTATCGCAGGACCCTACGGGTGCATTGGCAAACATCTGGCTATGATGGTTTTGCGGATCTCAGTGTCCAGACTGGTGCAGCATTTCGATATCAGTTTTGCGGATGGCGAAACAGGGGAGGCGTTCGATACAGGGGCAAAAGACATATTCACTACTGCCCTACAACCTCTGGTCCTAAAATTCTCACCCAGGAAATGAGGCGCGGCGTCGGTTGTTACATCTAACATTCGACGTCCTGGGATTGGTGTCGAAATGATTTGGATACTACTTTATGATTATAATCCTTTTAAAATCCGACCTAAGCGAGAGAAGGACGAACCTATGATCTCAACTTTGGTTCTAAACTGCCATCGGATGAACTTCTCGTATGGGCGACAACAAGGAATGTAAATATAGAACTCTCCACTTGGCAAACGTCCAATGTTCGTACTGTTGGTTGTGATGTTCAGAACTGCGCCGCAAAGTTCGAAACAACAACAAATTATCGTCATCGTGAGACCTTTAAAGGCATTGTCCTCGTTACTAATATCGTACGTAGAGAGAAAATCAGATGTAAATCCATACCTCATTAGACGGCCCCTATGAAAAAATAAATAAGACAACACGGTAGCTTGTTAAAAAAAAAAAAAAAAAAAGGGGGGGGGGGGTAGTTAAGAGAGAAAATACATACCTAAGATGGGTATATGAAAATACCTCTGCTGCTCTTTGTGCACGGGGTCGTCAACCTCCCAATAGCGCACAACATTCTCCTGTTGCGGCAGCGCCGGCGCCCCGCTTTCGTATGCCACAGCCGTTCCACAAGTAAACGACCAAGCCGTTTGCCGTTAGCGCTGCGGCGCGAGTCGGTGGGTAGACGGAGCACGACCCGGCCCGGCCCGGCATGATAGACGGCCGAAGACTGCGTGGGGAATGGGGATCCCGAGAAAGGGGAGCGCGGACGCGATGCAAAGCGCGCCGAATGTAGACGAGGTAATTTTAGGCCAGGGATGTATACATCATGGGCATAGCTTTGGGCGTTCTGGCTAATACCAAAAGTGAGCATCGCCGCCAATGCTTTGTACTTGTTGGTGAAGAAGATGAAAATACCTGGCGTCAGATTTTCGGAGACAATTGTGATCCAAATTGCGCACGGGCCCTGTCTAATATCCCCCTGATTTGATTTAAAGGTTAAGGATGCTACCTGTAAGGACTCAGAAGTTAAAGTTACTTCGGGCTCTCTTCAAAGCGTGTATTTCCGGTAGTTCCGGAAATATCCATCATCGAACAACGTAGCATTAGATCGAATCAGATCGGGAGATAATTCACTATCTCAAGCTACTTATTTTATGTACCTAATCTTATTGTAATCTTCATAACCAAAGCCATTACAAAAGTATTGGATAGTTACAATATAGCTCCCATCTCATACTCCTTTATATTATGTAAATCACAGAGCGAAACAGCGGACTCCCGGTTCGCCCATTCCAGTAACTCCGACGGACCATCGTTGCCCGAGACGGAGCTGCGCCTTTGATCTCTCGGTAGAACTAGGGTCCCCTCCATTCAACCTCAACTTTCGCCGGAGTGAAAGCCAATATCTTCAATTCCCTTAGGTATACCAAAAGGAAAGAAAACGCCCTGGGCGCATACCAACCAACCTCTTTTTTATTTTTTATTTTTTTTTCGCACTCCATTAGGTGAAGAAGTAAGTATCCTTGGGGCGTTGCTTTGATGCCGATCTAATACATATATGGTATCAACGACCTATCTTCGGGCGCCGTTCCTAGCCTCCAAACCCTGATATCGCGATGCCATCCTCAGAGAGCACTGCTCGCGAGGGCGATAGTCTCCTCGGCCCCGAAGATCCCGTAAGCGATGAAGATTCCGTCCATCCTTCTTCCTCGTCGCTTCGAGGTCCTAGCAAATGGGCAATTCCCCTTCCCGGGAGTCGCTCGAGCCTCCTTCTCCTCCGGATTGCCGCGGCCATGTTCTCCTTCGTGGTCCTAGGCATGATGGTATCCACGCTAGGAGTCATGGTCCCGCAATTCGAGAGCTACTACGGCCTGACCGACTTCCACGTTTCCTTTGTCTTCCTCGTCTGGCCCGTCGGGTACTTGGTCGCCGCGTACCTCAACGACGTCATCCACGTACGGTTCGGCCAGCGGGGCATTGCTGCCATCGGGCCCTTATTCCACCTGATCTTCACCGTTGCCGCGGCATTTCGTCCGCCGTTCCCGGTGTTGCTCGTCGCATTGGCGATTGGGTCGCTTGGCACAGGGATCCTCGACGGCTCCTTTTGCGCCTGGGCCGGGGGCATGGAGAACGCGAATATCGTCCAAGGCTTTCTGCACGGCTCATACTCCGCAGGCGCGGCTCTTGGACCGTTTCTCGCCGGTACCATGCTGTCAGTCGGAAGCATGCCGTGGTACGCATGGTACTACGTTCTTGTAAGATACTTGCTTCTCTTCACATGCACACCGCCCAACTCACAAAGTCTTCTAGCTGGGTGCCTCCGTCCTCGAGGCTATGATATTGCTCTTCGCCTTTCGGTTCGAGGACTCAAGCAAGTATCAGAATGACCATCAACAAGCTCTACTGCCCCAGACGCGAGGCGAGACTGGCACAAACACCAAGACCGCTTTCTTCAAATATAATGTCACATGGATTTGCGCTGCTTATTTTCTAGCCTACATCGGCACCGAGAACGGGATCTCCGGCTGGATTGTAGTTTTTATGCAGCGAGTCAACCACGCATCCGATTACTTGGCCAGCCTCTCGTCTTCCGGTTTCTGGATAGGCCAAGCGGCTGGGCGCCTCCTGCTTGGGGTCGTCACCGATAGGGTCGGCGTAAGGGTCGCGACGATAGCCTACCTAGTAGCTGCTCTTATATTCGAACTCCTCTTTGCTGCAGTTCACATCCCCGCTATCTCAGCCGTTATGATAGCGTTATTAGGGTTCTGTATTGGTCCATTATTCCCAGCCGGTGTCGTTATGATGACTCGCCATCTACCACGAGAGTTACACGTGGGAGCCATCTCGTTTGTAGTGTTAATCGGCCAGGTTGGAGGCGCATTACTGCCTTTCGCTCTCGGTGCACTGGCCGATACTCTCGGGATCCAGGTCTTTCAAATAGTAGTCTTCGCCCAATTGGCCGTAACACTTCTGATATGGTTCACATTTCCAAAGCTATCACAGAACACGTCACGCAGGGAAAGATTAGAATAAGAGGTACCTTAGGAAAATAGCAAACTGCGTCAACCATTAACTACCCACTCAACTGCTAAGATAGTGAAATTTTCTGTGAAAAAGAGTAATAATGCTCTGCGTGCCTCTTTCTCCGTGCCCACTTTGTATAGATCGTTTCAAAGTTTCTAACGATTACTGACTTAGAGCGAAATTTTCATCTACAACATACCCCTTCCAGGAACCATATTGAGCCAAGACCTCAAGCTAGTTTTTGATATTACTTCCATCTTTCCTCAGCAGCTTTCGTTTTGTTCGATATCAACGGGTGCGACCCTATGTGAACGTCGACCACGATAAAGACCCCAGTCCGAAGGCAGATAACTACCTACAAACCCGCAATCTTGCACTGTTTTTAACCCGAGATTGTTTCCTCTCTAGCTATGCGTATTGCATTCTTGACTCGCGCTGTCTGCTGTTGCCACTCTGCATATGCCTGACTACGATGCTTAGACATGCATCTAGATCGGAAGTCTTCTGTCTTTTCGGATAATGCTTCGTATAGGGTCGCAAATTCCAAGCACCTTTTTTCTGCCATAGCTGAAATATTGTGCCATTCTTCTGCCTGATGTTTGGCTATATTTTCTGTGACTCTAGTGCCGTTACGTTTATACTCATTTACAATAGTAAAGATTTTTTGCTCTCGCGTCCTTAGATGTTCTAGGAGAGACTGCATTCGCATTAGCAAACTATATTATGTACCCTGATGTGAGGTAGAACGCTTACCATAGAAATGAAATGAAGAGTATCTATGACACTATCAGATGCGTCTTCAACTGCTTTCTTCCATCTCGTCTCGTTCTTAGATCCCAATGTTGGATTATTATGCTGCTTACTGTGCGCCCTTGGTCCTTTCCCATCGTAAACCCCCATGGAGCCGATAGGTTCAGGGAATGGGCGTTTTAAGCCATCCCGTGGGTCCATTGTGACTTTCGGGCGAGCCCATGAAAGCTGTTTCGCTGGCTGATGGTTAGTTTTCCTATCTACTGCTCTCCGCTCAACATTTCTATGAGGCTCTTCTCGTTCATAACCCTGAGCGACCCTTGAAGCAAAGTCTACAGATTTTGGATGAAGCTGTGGGGCCGGGGACATAAGACCATCCGTACTTTCAGCCAACGGTATTTCACTCGGGCTTGACTTTGAGGCCATTCGATACTTAGGATCGGGTATATATCGATGATTATCTGGATCATTTAGGGTATCTGACTGCGCTATACCTTCCGCCCGAGGTTTCGAATAATTAACTGACGGGAGAAAAGCTGGTGGTGGTTGTGGCTCAAGTTTTGGAGGTGCTCGTAGAGGCACAGATCGTTCATGACTGTATTGTACCTGGTGCACATCTGATGACGGGAATGTTTCTTCGTATTCGGCGAGCTCCTGTCTTCTCTGGAGTGGGTTATATCCGAGGACTCCTTCATTACCCGCAGTTCTACTCGAAAATTCCTTCCTAATATTTGAACACTGAATAGCTTCTCCTGGATTCATATTAACCTGGTAGTGGCCCTCTGATCCCACAAGAGGGGATTGTTTGCTTCCTGTTAGAGAAGTGGCCTTATTTCCATGGTCGACGGGTACGCCGAAGTCGCCTAGGCTCTTTTGAGTGTCTCTTCTGCGAATCTCTCTCTGGCTAGAATATCCACTTTGACCCGACGACAGTGACTTGGCTTCCTGATCCAGACTTGTTTTGAAGTCTGGTTTGCTCTCGAGTCCCTTCGAGTTCTTGTCTTGATTGGGAACTTCCTGCTTCCCTAATACTTTAGAATTGTCCCAGGAATTATTTGATAATCCTTGACTTGGTGAGCCACCCTGTTTGCCTGAATGGAGAGCATGACTACCCTGAACCTCGACCGAATATTTAAGCTCCTTATGAATTGCCGGAGATTCGAATGCCGTTTGTTCTGCCTCGTCCCCGGCAATACCCTCCGCAAATACCAGGGCATCTGAATTGTTTTCAGAGACTTTATGTGCACTAGGCACGCCAGGTCCTTCATATGTACCTCTTCGTGAAGAAACTGCATCTGCATCCATGCCTGGCTCTGGGTCATCCATTATAGCTTCGGCCTGTGATTTTTCCGAATTATTCGCGGTAACAGTGTTCCGTTCGGTGGATCCATTGCTTTCCACCTTCATAGGAGCGAAGGCAGGATTCCTGCTTGGCACAATATTTGGACCAGAGTCGGAAACATTAGGTTTCTGACTTTTAGGCTGTTTAGACTTGAATGGCATAGGTTGTGCCGTTTGTAGGGCTTCTTGGGACTTCTGCTCGTGAAAGTCCATAAATTTATCTATATTCTTATTGGATTTCTGTCCGTATGTTCGTGTAGTATTGCTTTTTGGATTCTTCAACTTCGGTTCAGGCTGTAACGGGCTTCTCTTCTTTTTTGAGTTAGCTCCCACATCTACTTCAAGCCCACTAAGTGAGGCTTTATTGAGGCCTGGACCTTTTAATGATGACCTCTCTTTTTCCTTTGCTGAGGACGGCAGTATATACTGAGCATCGCCACCTTCATCGCCGTCCTCTATTACGATCGGGGAAGCAGGGCGAACCTGTTTCTGACTGCCTGAACTCTGTTTACTCCCCGACTTCGGATCAAATACTGACTGGGGCTTGGTACTGGCATTGTCCCTTTGAGCTACTTGTGTCGGTATATCATCCTTTCGTCCTCCGTAGAATGACTTTTTCGGTAATCTGGCAGCAGACGGCTTTGGTTTCGCCTGTTTCTCGCTGGGAGATGATGGTGAATTCCGTACCACCTTATCGTGTTTTCCAAGTTCCTGGTCCTTATCGGCTTTCTGAAAATGACGTGATTTGAGATTCTGAGTTGTCAGGGGCTTGGCTTTGGTGTTCTGTGTATCCACAGGACTTGCAATCTGCTTAGTACGTTTCGGCGCTGTATTGGAAGCAGGCTCGGCTTTGCGTTGCCGACCTTTGGTGGAGTTTGCCTGATTTGATTCTTTGGCCACGGAAACATCTTTTTTATTACCCTTTTTATCAGGGGCCTTTTTCTTTCCACGTCGTGGGGTAGCTTCTGCGATATAAGTACTGTCTGACCCATCTCCATCGCTTTCAGGCATTTCGAAATCGCCGTCGCTCTCGTCCGAAACTGTGCTACAATCGCTCTGTCTACCTGCAATATCCCTGGAGCCCTCTCCAGGGGTTTGCGTAGCTTCGGCTTCGGTTTTACGGCGTAACTTAATATGATCGTCAAAATCAGACGCAAATGAACGGTGAGATGGAGAATCCGGAACAAGCATATCATAAGGATTGGGCATATAGTTATCTCGAGGGATAGGTTCCGTGTCCGCTAACGCGGCTTGGGAAAAGAGACTGCGGGTCATAGGCTGCCCTGACTCCCCCTGGGTTTGTTCGTTTTTTATGGCTGGCGATGACGAACGTTCATCTGGATTAGAACTTGTAGAAATAATAGGATCATTTGGGAGCTCAGAAGGTGGGTTGCTTTGTGTCATTTCCCAGTTGTCATGAGAATTTTGCCGCCACTGACAAGACATATTTCTCGTTTCTACTATAAGAATAGTTAGCACGCGAGTATGGTTACAGGTAGGTATATACATGGGCATTCAAAATCCATGAATATGCGAGCCAAAATCATAGATAGAAAAAACATGAGTTGATATGGCTTAGGAAGAGATATTTCTTCGAGAGAATGATAACTTACCATGCTATCCATAGCTTATATTTGTGACCCTTTATCATTTATCAAGGTAATCCCTTATAGATGCGCTGGGTAGGTAGGTTGGAAAAAAGATCCTTCTCAAGTCTTCGTTGACAATCCGTAGTCAACTCTAGCAAGACCGAACAGAAGGCTCGGCAGAAGAGAGATGATACCGGATACCTGCCCTAGACACCTACAGGTAGTAAGTTTACAGTAGAAGGAAAAAGGGTGGGCTAGATTGTAGCACACAATCAGTTGATATAATCGAGACTGAAGACAGGTAGATATGGTCAACCCACACTCAACGGCGGGACCTTACAGAGAAAACTTTTGGAAGATGTTAGGGAGAAAGTTGATGAATTTTTAGTCGTTAGGTAAAGGTTGAGATTTTTGAGTGAACTGATCAAGTAAAGAAGCCACAGTCGGACAATAAACAATAAGAGATGTCTTCGTACCTTCCCCCTTTAAACCCGCTATGACTAACACGCTGAAATGTATGTGCCGTACACATAAGCTGATAGGTTGTTAATAGGTAGCACCTGCTTACATTCGTACCTACCTACTTACTCTACCCAATGTATACTAGGTAGTAACAGTTTAATTAAGCCTGCGGTAGGCTATCACCTGCCTAGTACCTAACCTAGGCATATACAATGTATAACAGCCCGAGAGGTACGCTATATCAATAGACATCTAAGCCCAGAATAGTTGAGGTTAGGTAATTAACCACAGAATAGCCTTATAAGCAGATTGCAACTCACTAAAAGCAAATACACTTATACCATAAACCAGACTTATTTCAAAGCTATCAAGCAAGTACAGGTCTTGGTAAAGATAAAAACGTATAGGTAATATTTACCTTATTTACCTAGGTACTCATGATTGAAGACCGTATTTAACCTTCAACTCATCAACAATAGGCTAGAGCTCTGAAGGTCTTGGGATATCACGTAATTTTCATTAATGCATGGAAAGCCGGCGATGCGCCGGTCGGTCTCTGAGGCCGCAGCTGACTTAATTCAAGTCATGCTAGAATAGCGATGTCACTCGCTAGAATTCAGTAGATACATTTCCTCGACCTTGAGTCGTTTTTGTCCCTGGAATCCTCCTGAATCAATGCAACCAGCCAACGCCATGTAGTTTTCTTCCAATATCGTCTAGTGTCCGAGTATTTATCGGACAATGCCGTCGAAGCGCTGCTTGAACCATTTGACGGTCTCGTCGCGGTTGATGCGGTGGCTGGCACCGATTCTGCTCTTGGCTCGGCGACGGCGGGTGACACGCTCGCCAGGGCGGGTCATGCAGCAGTAGAAGTCCATACCGTAGATACCGATGGCGGGGTCGTACTTGATTCCAAGATCGATGTGCTCGCTGATACCGAAGCCAAAGTTCCCGGTCTCGCTGAAGTTGCGCTTGCGGAGTTCGTACTCCTTGACCTTGAGGCCACGCTCGAGAATTTCCTCGGCCTTGGGGCCACGGACGGTAACGTGGACAGCGATCTTTTCGTTACGTCGGATACCGAAAGTTCGGACGGTGTAGCGGGCCTTGCCTGTCGCGCAATTATTAGGAATGATTGAAATAGCAATCTTTAAGACCGTAATTCAACTTACTGTATACGGGGGTCTGACCGCTCAGCTGCTCCAAAACCTTCGCGGCACGAGTCAATCTGTCACCAGATTCACCAACGGAGATGTTGAGAACGAGCTTCTGGATGCGGAGCTCCCGCATGGGGTTCTGGGCCTTTTCCGACTGTTCACAGCAAGTATCAGTAACCGCATTATCCAAACGGAAAACAAGGAAATAAACATACCATGGTGACTGGGCTGGTGGTTAGTAACTATCGCGAAAAGGTTTGGAAGATATCGTTGTCTCTCGGCTCGAAGTTTTGGCGATAGTAAAGATACGAAAAATAAGCACCCACAAAATTTCGCAGTGGTAAAAAGGGTTTCTTTGCCCTACTGCAAAATGGAGCTTACTTGAGGCTTGTGCTTTTGCAAAGTCTGAAAGTGTGGCTAAAAAAGGACAACTTTGGTGGGGTCCGAGCTTCTTGAATCTGAACCTTACTCATCCAACGTTTTAGTGTTAGCGTCAAATATATGCGGGTCTATATTTTAATGGAGCTTTTAGTACTTCAGCCTTGAGAATGCCGCCTCGTCAATTTTCGACCATTGAGCTCCGCCTATCTATTACTATCATATCCGAAGCTCAGACTCTAAACCATCACCGATTAGACGCGACGGATAACCGCTAGAGACGCAACTGAAGTCTTTCTGACTTCGAATACGCAGACAGACAATCTTTACGACTAGTTGAGAAGCTCCTTTGGAGCTAATCATCGCAAAGATGTCGAACAAGCAGGGCAAAATGGTACGTCGTCTCCCTTAATCGGTTCATAGCTTCATCGTTGACATTACAGGCTGACCAAACGGATGTTCTCTAGGCCGGTTATGTACGTGCCCCTTTGTCGCGTCACTTCGTGCGGCACTCTGAGTTATACGCGTTTCATACCTACTAACTGTTCTAGATCAACTACCGGATGAGGGTTACGTTGATGGACGGCCGCCAGATGACGGGTCAGATGCTTGCTTTTGATAAGGTAAGCAGCATATATTCATGGTTTGAAGGATACCAGCTAATTGCTTGGTAGCATATGAACCTTGTCCTCGCCGATACTGAGGAGTTCCGACGCGTAAAACGAAAGCAAACAAAGCCTGCAGCTCCTGGCGCACCTGGCTCAGCGGCGACCCTGACGATTGAGACAGAAGAGAAGCGTACTTTGGGTTTGACGATTTTACGGGGTGCCCACATTGTTTCTCTGTCCGTCGAATCTGCGCCTCCGGCCGATCCTAGCACGCGACTTGGAAAGAGTACTCCTGGTGGTTTGCCTACTGGCTTAACTTCTGGTCCCGGTGTTGCGCGTCCTGCCGGTCGTGGTGCAGCTCCATCGTCTCTTGCTGTAAGTTAAACATTTGATGGTACTGCTGCTCTTGAAAATATTAACAATTGCTAGGGTCCGGCTGCTGGTGTTGGTGGCAGCGCCCCCCCTCCTTTCCCTCAGTTTGGTGGAGCCCCTGGATTTGGACCTGGACGAGGTGGTCGTAAGTATTTTGAATTCTGAATATCAAACAAGAATTTGTGCTAAATGTATTTACCAGCTCCCGCACCTGGATTTCCTCCGGGTGGATTCCCACCGCCAGGCTTCCCTCAGAACACTCAGTTCCCGCCTCCCGGATTTAATCCTGCAGGTGGCCCTCCTCCGGGATTTAATCCCCCACCAAGAAGATAATCGTAGAGCCAAAGTCCGGTTCTAAGTTCAAGCAGTCCTGCCGAGTCACAAGTGGAGATACCATTGGCGTTTGGGGTGATGGCCAAAAACTACGTAATGGATAGCACTGAAATGGTGGAATTGCGTTCTATACTCTACATTAGTTAAGAAGACCTCGATTTTAGCACCATGTTGGGTCTCGAGAATTCTAGGCCAATTCATTAGTTGCCCGTATGAAGGTTGATATCGGCAAACATATTACTGAGAGGATGAGGTAGTTATCTTGCGTAGGAATAAAAATGCATATTACGTACATACACCATGTTTTTTTGGTTACATAATCTAATGCATACCTAGGAGGTAGGTAATTACCTCCCTACCTTGAAAATGTAAGGTATGGAAGGATGTAATGTTTGCTACAATAAGCGGGACCGGCTGACGACAGCTGGGTGATTGATGGTTGGATCTAAGTTTAGCATGTACTTAGGTATCAGGTACGTAAACTTTAAAGGCTTATTTTTTTGATTGTCCAACAAATTTAGGCCCGCCAAACAGGGCGCCCCATTGGAAATTTTCCATGTGTTCCGAATCGGACACCCGACCATTTTCCCAAGCCGGCGCGCAATTTGAACGACATCACTTACATCACAAAAACATTCTCTCTTCGCCCTCCAAATTAATATCCCCGGTGATAGCTTCAATATGGCCGCCTTCGTCAAAGCACTCAACGCTAAGATTCGGTCGAACCCGACTCTAAGTTACTTCTGTTCGACGCGTATGTGAATCCCCCCCAACTACCTTTTTCCGGTATACGGACTTTACCCCCGTGAAGTCCGATGCTATTCGCGATGAAATAAAACTCGCACTCGCATGTTCGAACGGTGGTTTTCGAGTAGCGCATGAGGCTAGATATAGTGGATGGGCTCATGAGTTCCTTTGAAGCCCCGCATTCTAGACCTTTAGCATCGTTCTTTACTGGCGCAATATGCGATCATCTATGGCATGATGCGCTGCCGTCGACATGATAGACATTAGTTACTAACTTGGTTTGTAATTAGATTTCTGGGGTCCTGCATCGAACTTCGGTATTCCCGTCGCTGCTGTTCTCGATGCGCAGAAATCGCCTGACCTGTACGTTAATCCATTTACTTACCGTATTGTTCCGTGACGGAGTGTATGGGGTTAGCTTCGCAAGTCGATGAAGCAGCATTTCTTTCGTTTGTCCACATTTTATAAACGACTCCTTAAGCTAAATCGCTTCCCAACTACAGAATTTCCGGTCAAATGACCCTGGCTCTCTGCATCTATTCAGCCACCTTCATGCGATACGCCCTCGCCGTGACGCCCAAAAACTACCTCCTCTTCCTATGCCATTTTATCAACGAGGGTTCGCAATTAACACAGGGTTACCGATATCTCCAATGGCACCATTGGGGCGGCAAGGAGAAGGCTGGTGTCCTAGGCGCCGTAGAAGGAGCGAAAGAGAAGGCTGCCGCAGCTGGTAATCAGATCAAGGAGGTCGCTTCGAAATAAACATATTTCATATATCTGATGCGTTCGTGCCGTCAATTCTTATGGGAACCTGTCACTAGCGATATTATACATTCGACAAAAGAACCCGCATGTTTGCGTTTAGAGTGAACTTGACTCTTCGGCAGAAGGGTTAAGGAGGATTGAAACTGGTCTAGATCGGACCGGACCTTCGTTGGGGACGAGGTGCAATAACTGTATTTCAATTGCATTGAGAGGGTACTAAGATTATTCTCGCGGTAGTTCATTAGAATTGAAGTTCTGTTGATTCCAATATATTAGCGTGTACGTATGTCACTAATGAAGAATAATCGTATGTTTTTCAACTTCCTCTCTGCCTCAAAAAATGCTTCTCAACATCGGATTACGGCCGTTTCCGATACGTAAGTCTCTATCTTTATTCGATGCCTACTCTCAAGTTTCGGTTTATTCGTCTTGTGGTCGAAACGGAGCAAATGCCCGCGAGTGGAGATGGGCAAAACAAAGGCAAGACAAGCCAAGATTATTAAAATCGTTGATATGATCGTTGCTAGACTCTGTAGTGTATATTTTTATCTCACCCCAAACCTATGTCTACCGAAGCACCGAGCACCAATTAAGCTAACCGCGAAATTCCCTCCTCGGCACGTGAAACGCCCAATTGGTGCTCAGAGCTCATTTCCATATTTGGAAAGTATAGCAATGATATGGCTTTGGTTCGCTCGTTAAGGTAGGATTGGCTGCAATATACTTCAGGTCAAAGCAATATAAGCCATGAGCGAACAAGTAGTATCAACGAATTACCAACTTCAATTTGGTCCTATTTGCCCATATCCAATCCTGTCGACGTAACGGACACCCCCACGCTTAAAACATGGAGGTGCTAACCCATGATAGGTGGTCACATGTACGCTCTGACGACGCATCTCGTAAACTCTAGGTAGAGCTAAATTAGAGAGGGCGTGATGTACTGTACGTGACGTACTCTACTGTACATACCTCCTGTGCCCTGTAGGCATCAGAGTTTCGAGGATACTTTAACCCTCGTCATGCTCATCACCCTCATATCAATACCATGTACTTCAACTGCAGTAGGGGTGCTCATCTGACACCAGCCGGAACGAAACCTATCTTTCATGGGTATCGGATACACCTGCCTGTTGTGAGGCTTTATTGAGAAACGAGGAGACAAGAAGCCCGGGATATAAGAATAGGAATAGGGGTCTATAACTCGCTCAACGACGAGTGGGGTATTAGATGAAACGCCAACCCAACCACAAGTTCGCAGTCGTATTATATTGTCTACCTACTACTATGGATTATAACATAGCCAAGTAAGTTGCCAATGTATCGGTCGGAGATAATATAAGCCAGGCCCTTTATTCAGCCTCATACGAAGTCAAGCGACCATGTGACAGAAAGTATCAGTCAGGGCTAGAAACCAAACAAAACATCTTAGGCAGTATAAATAGACAGAAAAATCACGCATCTTTACTAAAATGGTTCCTTGGCGTTTCGTGCCGAGAGGAAAAAAAAAACAGTTGAGTCTACATAGTACGGAGCCAAGTACGGACAAGAAATATGATATAGCAGAAGCGCGGATGAATGCATGCATGAGATCCATAGCTTGGCAACAAGAGGTACAGCAGCAGAATGCCTCTAGTATTTACGTGATCGACGACCAAGTTATAACTCTAGTCGTCTCGCCAAGCGACTGGCGAGTAATTAATAGCGCAATCTAGATAAGATGTCAGATGGAGACACTACTAGTACCGAAGCCGCAGTGTTGGCGCGCAGCTGCGCAACCCTACCTCAAGGTACCCGTGGACCTTGCACATAAGGTTTTCTATTACCTCCGGGACTCGGGAGTACAAACCGGGGCGGTGGGAACTCCAAGGAGGCTATAAACGGTGTTAGTAATTTGTATTATTCTGTATTACGAGTTCAAATCCAGTCGAACGAAACAAGCCGAGGCACGATCTTGAGAGACAGAGGTAATTTGAGGCTTGCACAAAATATCAACCGTGAAGAAAGATATCTTCACCGCTGTCGTTTCCATAAGACAGGTATGTTACAAGTCCAAGGATGATCAAAGCTTGGCATTGTCGATAGCAATGAAACACGGATGTATCCAGAGAAACTGTGCTCTTCCCGGCAGGCCTAGGTCTATATATTAGGTATATTAGATATATTAGGTACGTTAGGTATATATTGGACTTTCGACTTATAAGGCAAGCTGCCGTAGAAGTACTAGGTACATATTATGATGTAATTGCTGCGAGCCATTAATAGGATTTTGCCCAATTAGGTAAATTATACTCTACCAACTACCAACCACACAGCGGCACCCTTATATTTATATGCATGTTCAACAATATCATAGAAAAAATGACCTCACAAACTAGGTAATAAGCCTCTCTTAGGTACCTAGGTATCTAGACAACTTGAGCTATTACAAACAAATATTCAGTAAAAAAATAAGCTAATTTATTTGCCTATCTGTCATAATTGGCTAGTTCAAAAGTGTACAACGGTACTTGCCTCTAGGCGTATAGACAACTTCCAAGGTTCCTTCCAAGCCGTCCTACATTATGGATCTAAGCAGCTAAAGTATCTCCGTGACCCTTGTGACCCTATGACTCTATCCTGTAGATGCGACCAGGGAAGGAGCCGCGGGACGCAACTTGCTTTATAACAGGGATACTGCAACAGTTGCCAGAAGTCGCGGCAAATTGCAGCAGTTAATACCTCAAAGCTCGTGCTTGAGGTGCATTTTCTGCAAACTACCATTTGGTCCCTCCCTTGGTTCCTCCCACCTCGACCCCGCCAAAACCCCGCCATGCATCTTCCTCCCCCTGTCATCTTCTCCCCCAAAACACAATAGAGGTACACTACCCTCCTTTGGGTTGGATATCGCCCGTTACTCTCGTTATTTTCAGTCCAGAAATGAATAGTAATGCTTCGGGGATTTATAATCAGAGTATAGTTCTAGATTTACGCGATTTACACAATTTACACAGGCCCCGGTTGGTGCCTAGTCTCTCTCTCTCTCTCTATGAACAACGCAAACACTTATAAGTCTAAAGCTCAGCTCGAGCCTCGAACCCCTTGTCGCCCTGTAATTGCCCCATCTAGTAGTCAATTCGGACTGGCTGAGGCAAGCCGTCTTGCTTGTTTCATCAAACCCAGCTGTTTCTTACAAGTTACGACTATAACAGCTCAAGAGCCAAGAGAGAGCAAAGCAACGATAGCCTCAATGGATGCTTGTCTAGTGGCACCTTGTAGGCTTGTCCCGGCGCTTGGCAAGGGGTGAAGGGGTGATACAAGCTGATCGTCTCTTGAGGGAAGGGAAACGGGGAAAGGAAAACGAGGAAGAGAGAAAAAAAAATAATCCCCTCATCAAATGTCCGTCTCAGCACCCATCCCGCTTGCCCGTCCGCGGCGTATGCAGAAGCGACTTGGGCATTGGCCTCCACTACCCGTGCTTTTCTATCCTATCTGTAGGTACTAGACTATATCGAGGGGTAGTGTACACAATAAGAATATCGAGCTAACGCTACCTAACCTTCTATAATGATTTCTTGGCCCGCAAAGCTGAGAGATAAAAAAAAACTTAAGAAGCCTTGCGTCTCCTCTCCGAGTCATAACCTTTCTTCTTTTCTACTCTCTCCATTTTTTCCCCATTATCTGTATGACAACACCTAACAGAGACAAAGGCGAACCTCCTTATCTACCTTATCTATCTGTCTGGGTGCGCGCTACCTAAACCTCTGCTTCTACTATAATTTACGCTGTACTTTTATATCACATTCACATATCCCGATCCTAGAGATCCTAGAGATTCCCTACCTACCTGGTATATACCTACGTCAGCGTGGACGAAGGGAGTAGAGCTCATACCATACCCCAATTGAGTTACACCCCACCAAAATCAATCTCGACGTCGAGCTCAACAAACCTTCCCCCCTTCCTGCGTCACACGTCGAACTTATATTAATTACCAATCTCCCTGAATAGAAGAAGACTGTTATTTCTTAACATCTTCGGCTATCCAAAATGGATTTTCAAGATATCCAGGATTTAGAGGCTGCGCGCAAGGCCGCTATCATCAACGATGACAACGAGGATGTCTTCGAAGAGGGCACCGCGCCGCCGCCGAAAGGAGCGAAGACCGCCCACCATATTCGCGCAAACAGTTCTATTATGCATCTGAAGAAGCTTTTGGGTTAGTCGTACTGGATATTCGCTGTCCGTACTTTGTCAGATTTACTAACCCGCATATCGCCTTGTAGTGGCTAACAGAGGAGAGATTCGTAAGTAGCACCACATATGCGAACAAGATATATAGATAGACATCGCTAACGTTCATAACTAGCTATTCGTGTATGGCCCCAAAATATAACCTTAGCGGTTTATTATATTTCACGATCGTCGGTAACTAACTATGACTTTTGTTTAATAGATCTTTAGGACAGTATGTAACCCCGCTATATCTTTCTTTTTGTGGTAAAGCTTCGTAGGAACTGACATACTAGCCAGGCTCACGAATTATCACTACACACCATCGCTGTTTTCAGGTGCGCAGCGTGTTCAGTCTAACTATTTTTTCCATGTGCTTGAAGCTAATTCCAGTAGTTATGAGGACCGACTCAGCATGCACAGGCAAAGTACGCTGATATCCAGTTATGACAATAGAGGAAATCTTACAGCGCTAACTTGACTTACAGAGGCCGACGAAGCCTACGTCATCGGAAAGCGAGGCCAATATACTCCGGTCGGCGCTTATCTCGCCGGCGACGAAATTATCAAAATTGCATTAGAACATGGCGCTCAAATGATTCATCCTGGTAAGTATTTTTATTATTCATTTGCATTTCAAATCTTTTTTTTTAAAAAAAAGAAAAAGGAAAGAAAACTAACAATCGCAGGGTATGGTTTCCTATCAGAAAACGCCGAGTTTGCCCGAAACGTAGAGAAAGCCGGTCTTATCGTAAGTCTAGTTGAATCTTGATCACGAGCTACATCCATCTAGTTATGACTAACATCCCACTCAATAGTTTGTCGGCCCGTCTCCTGAAGTTATTGACGCACTAGGTGACAAAGTATCTGCCCGGAAGTTGGCTATTGCTGCCAATGTACCCGTCGTACCGGGAACCGAGGGCGCAGTCGAGACATTTGAAGAGGTGAAGAAGTTTACTGACCAATATGGATTCCCTATCATTATCAAGGCTGCCTTTGGTGGTGGTGGCCGAGGTATGAGAGTGGTGCGGGAGCAATCTAGTCTCAAAGAATCTTTTGACAGAGCCACTTCCGAGGCAAAGACGGCTTTTGGAAATGGTACCGTCTTCGTTGAGCGCTTCTTAGACAAGCCGAAGCACATTGAGGTTCAATTGCTCGGAGATAACCACGGCAATATTGTGCACCTGTACGAACGAGACTGTTCGGTCCAGCGGAGACATCAAAAGGTGGTTGAAATCGCACCCGCCAAAGATCTTCCCGCGGAGACCCGAGATGCCATCCTGGCCGACGCTGTCAAACTGGCCAAGTCCGTGAATTACCGAAATGCGGGTACCGCAGAGTTCTTAGTTGACCAGCAGAACCGCTACTACTTCATCGAAATCAACCCCCGTATCCAAGTTGAGCATACCATTACCGAGGAAATCACCGGTATTGATATCGTTGCTGCTCAGATTCAAATTGCCGCTGGCGCTTCGCTCCAGCAGCTCGGGTTAACTCAGGACCGAATCTCTACTAGAGGCTTCGCGATCCAGTGTCGAATTACTACCGAAGACCCGGCAAAACAGTTCCAGCCTGATACTGGAAAGATTGAGGTGTATAGATCCGCTGGTGGTAACGGAGTACGTCTCGACGGTGGCAATGGGTTTGCCGGTGCAGTTATTACTCCGTACTACGACTCCATGTTAGTCAAGTGCACATGTCACGGTTCGACCTACGAGATCGCGCGTCGAAAGATCCTCCGAGCTCTTATTGAATTCCGTATCCGTGGTGTCAAGACCAACATTCCATTCCTTGCCTCGTTGCTGACGCATCCCACTTTCATCGATGGTAACTGCTGGACCACATTTATCGATGACACTCCTCAGCTGTTCGACCTCATCGGCAGTCAGAACCGTGCTCAGAAGCTACTAGCTTACCTTGGCGATATCGCAGTCAACGGAAGCAGCATCAAGGGCCAGATCGGAGAGCCCAAGTTCAAGGGCGATATCATCATTCCAGAACTCCTTGATGCCAATGGCTCCAAGATTGATACCTCGCAGCCTTGCACTCAGGGCTGGAGACAGATCCTTCTCGAGCAAGGCCCGAAGGGGTTCGCCAAGGCTGTTCGACAGTACAAGGGTTGTCTGTTGATGGACACGACCTGGCGTGATGCTCATCAGTCTCTATTGGCAACCCGTGTACGAACAATCGACCTCCTGGGAATCGCAAAGGAAACCAGCCATTCCCTACACAATCTATACAGCCTAGAATGCTGGGGTGGCGCTACCTTTGATGTTGCCATGCGTTTCCTCTATGAAGACCCATGGGACCGCCTTCGCAAGATGCGTAAGGCTGTCCCGAACATCCCCTTCCAGATGCTTCTTCGAGGAGCAAATGGTGTGGCTTATGCTTCGCTTCCCGACAATGCTATTGACCATTTCGTCGACCAGGCGAAGAAGAATGGTGTTGATATCTTCCGTGTTTTTGACGCCCTGAATGATATCGACCAGCTCGAGGTTGGAATTAGGGCTGTGCAAAAGGCCGGTGGTGTAGCTGAAGGCACTGTGTGCTACAGTGGAGATATGCTCAATCCCAAGAAGAAATACAACCTTGAGTACTACCTTGGCTTAGTCGACAAGCTAGTGGCACTGGATATCGATGTCCTTGGAATCAAGGATATGGCCGGTGTGTTGAAGCCTCGTGCTGCAACCCTTCTCATCGGATCCATCCGAAAGAAGTACCCTGACCTACCGATCCACGTACACACACACGATTCCGCTGGTACTGGTGTTGCCTCGATGGTCGCCTGTGCTCAAGCTGGTGCCGACGTTGTCGACGCCGCTACAGACAGTCTCTCGGGAATGACATCCCAACCGAGCATCAATGCCATCATTGCGTCGCTCGAGGGCAGTGAACTAGATCCTGGTCTAAACCCCGCACATGTTCGTGCTCTCGACTCCTACTGGTCGCAACTGCGCCTCCTGTACTCTCCTTTCGAGGCTCACCTAATTGGCCCCGACCCTGAAGTCTATGAGCACGAGATTCCTGGTGGTCAACTGACCAACATGATGTTCCAGGCTGCCCAACTTGGCCTTGGCTCTCAATGGGCCGAAACCAAGAAGGCGTATGAGCATGCGAATGACCTTCTCGGAGACATTGTGAAGGTCACCCCTACTTCCAAGGTCGTTGGTGATCTGGCGCAGTTCATGGTCTCGAACAAGCTATCGCCTAAGGATGTTGTTGATCGAGCTGGCGAGCTCGATTTCCCCGGATCGGTCCTTGAATTCCTCGAAGGCATGATGGGCCAGCCCTACGGCGGATTCCCCGAGCCTCTGCGTTCCAGAGCTCTTCGAGATCGCCGAAAGTTTGACAAGCGTCCCGGTCTTTACCTCGAGCCTGTCGATTTCAAGAGAACGCGCGCTGAGCTTACGCAGAAATGGGGCCAGATTAGCGAGACCGATGTCGCCTCTTACCTCATGTACCCCAAGGTCTACGACGACTACAAGAAGTTTGTTCAGAAGTTCGGTGACCTCTCGGTCCTACCGACTAAGTACTTCCTCTCTGCGCCGCAAATCGGCGAAGAATTCCACGTGGAATTAGAGAAGGGTAAGGTTCTTATTCTGAAGTTACTGGCTGTTGGTCCGTTGTCCGAGAACACAGGCCAGCGAGAAGTGTTCTACGAGATGAACGGTGAAGTCCGTCAAGTGACTGTTGACGACAAGAAGGCTAGCGTTGAGAATGTCAGCCGACCCAAGGCCAACCCTGGCGACTCCAGCCAGGTTGGTGCACCGATGGCTGGTGTCTTAGTGGAGTTGAGAGTCCACGAGGGCTCGGAAGTCAAGAAGGGAGATCCACTGGCCGTGCTCAGCGCCATGAAAATGGTAAGTTTACTATTGCCCTAACCTGATACGTGAACGACCTTGTTGCTAATACTTATGATAGGAAATGGTTATATCAGCCCCCCACAACGGTAAGGTATCTGATCTTCAGGTGCGAGAGGGCGATTCGGTCGACGGATCCGACTTGGTATGCAAGATTGTGAAGCCTTGAGCACAATCCCCTTGGGAAAAGGTAAACCACGGAAATATATAGCGGAGTAATGGTATAGGATACTTACGAGGCTTTGGGCTGGCGTGTGTTCCAGGGACGGAGGTAAGAGTACTCGGGGTTGGTGCGGACTACTTTCTCATATGTGCCCTTTTCCCTAAAATTTACACCAAACAAACGGTACAAAGTGTCTGCTTTTTTTTTTTTTTTTTTTTTTTTGCCCCTACGGATATGCGTTCAATATTTATATATTATTATCTTACGATCTTGGATGTGATTTCTTGGGTGTGATTTCTTTGTGATAGTAAAATACATATACATTAGGTACTGCTTTTTCTTTCTTTTTAATCCGATATATCGAAGTCAGGTACATCTTGCAGCTGAACGACAGGCAACAACGCCATGTGCAACTTACTCGAGCCGTAAGGCACAAAGCGGGCGTAAAACGGCTTCCCCTTAGGCTTCACCTCGAACGTGCCCGGGTCCGCCGCCGTGTCCCTGACGATCGGCCAATCGATCTCCACAGCGGCAACGCGCAGCTCGACAGGCGGCGCGCCTAGCTCCCAGATCGGGTTCTTCAGCTCGTCACTACCAACCTCGAGAACGTCATCCACATGCTCCTCGAAAGCACCCAAACCGGAATCGGAATCGGCCGCATCTGCATCCGCGCTTCTCCTCCTCCGCACGACCCGGATCCGCGTCGGATCGATCGCGACGTTCCACCTGCTCCCCGGCTTCGGCGTCAGCACGTAGTCGTGCGTATGTCCGTGCGGATCGGTCGTTGACGGCGGAAGCGGGTTGCCGCTGCGGTACTCGGCGGGGGCGCGGGGCGCGGCGTCGTGCTCGACGGCGAGGGCGTACAGCAGCGCGCCGTGGTATATGGCGGCGGTGTCATTGGCGCGGCGGACGGCGCGCGGGGTGGTGGAGAGGCGCAGGGTCGCGGTGCTGGTGCCCGCGGGGACGGGGATGCGCTGCAAGTTACTGCTGCTGGAGGAAGAGGAGGGGTCGGGGTCGGATGATAGTAGGGTCGTCGTGCGGGTTACGCCGGCGGTGGAGTTGGTGGTGATCGTGCTGCGGCTGGGGTCGGCCCAGCCGGGGATGCGGATGGAGAAGTCGAAAGGGGAAGAGGCGGTGATGGTGTATGTGAGGGTGTGGCCGAAGGGGTAGGTCGTGTTGACGGAGACGAAGACGGAGTTGTTGTTGTTGTTGTTGGAGCCGAGGGTTGTGGCGGCGGTGCCAGGGACGAGGAATACGTGGGCTAGGCCGCCGTCGGGGGTCGTGGCGAAGGAGTTGGCGAGGAATTTCGGGTAGGCTTGCGGGTGGTTGACGGTGCAGCTAGCGGGGAGTTGGGTTAGGTGGATGTGGTTTGGCACGGGGTGCTGGAGTGTGGTTTAAGGGGTTGGAATAGGTCTGTCTTACTTACCATGGCTATAGAGGTTTTGGTTTAGCTAACTATACCTAGGCAACTAAGAGAATAATAGTATAGTATAGCATAGTATAGTATAGTATAGTATGGCGGAGAAAGAAGGACTAAAAAGGGGAGAAGGGGGCAGACTTACATAGTTTGGTTCGAGGCCGAAGACGTTAGCGTACGAGTTCACGTCCCACCAGAGGTCGTCGGTACTTAAGTTTCGAGACCACGGCTATTTACGAGAATTGATTAGCTGACACACGTATGCATACCTATCTAGATAGGTACCTAGGTAGAATCAAGATTTCTCCAAAAGATTAGGTCTCGGCCCAAGCACGCTGCGTACCTGATTCTCCTGCTGCACATACTGGTGCGACCACCAGTCGCCCGAGACCGAGACGGGAAAGGCGTTGAAAGCAATCTGCTCGGCCCAGTCGGCGATGTCGTTGTCGCCCAGGTACTGGTAGATGTACGCCGAGGAGAACATGACCTCGGCGGCGATGCACAGCTCGGCGCCCCTGCTCGGGTTCAGGTCGGAGATGTACTCGTCGGCGGTGATCGTGCCCGCGAGCGAGCGGTGGTACTTCGCCAGCAGGTCGACGGCCTTGCGCGTCTGCTGCTTGAGGGTTTCGTCCTTGCTGTTGCGGTAGAGCGAGAGGGGGTATCGTAGTCCTTCAAGGCAGAATGTATATATGTGAGAAATAGTAATCCACGCATGGGATGTTATTTGGTTTTGTTGATTAGGTATCTACCTTAGACGGGTGTATAATATTCTTACCTTGCGCCATATTCACTCCGTGGATGAAGACCCAACTTAGGTTATAAGGAGTTGTTTCGTACAGGACGTGCGGGTATGCTTCGTCCGTCCAAAATGTTCTCCAGTCTGCTCCCCACTGCAAGTGTTGTAAGTTAGCGACGTCTCTTTTGCTTTTCTTCTCTCTCTCACACACACGTAAATATGAGACCACATATCACATACCAGTACGCCTCCCTGGATCATGAGTTCCATGGTCTCCCAGATAATCTCGGAGTTGTTCCGAGGGTAGCGCTCGAGGAGCCACTGCAGTGGGATGTGCATCTCGTGAGTCCGACCTACTCCAAAGCCGGCCGTGTCGAATGTGTCGTTTCCATGCACAAGGAGGCCGGTGTAGTTGTTCTGAAGCACTATGATAAGAAGTCAGCTCATGTATAACGAATTCTCCCAGCATTGAGACCTCATTGCTTTTCAGCATTTATTTATTTACCACAGACCAAACATCAAATACTTGTTAACTTACTACTATGCGCAAGAACAACGTAGCGATGCATAGCGTCGACGATACGTTCCGTCTGAGTCGGATCCGCTTCCGCGTATTGTATAAGTCCCAGCAGGACCAGACACCGCGCCCAGAGCCCTCTCGTAGCTTGCGTCGTCTCCCACCCGATCCACCCGTCCTCCTGCTGGTGGTCGAGGATGTAGTCCAGATAGTACCTCACCTGGCCGATGATCCTCTCGTCTCCCAGCCCGAAAGCCAGCGGGACGAGGCCGTTGAACCAGTAAGGCGAGGCTTCGCTATTCAACGACGAGAAATTAGTATACGTGACTTCTATGCATACCTGGTATACAACTCCACGTAGACACTCCAATTACACCACGAGTCTGTCTATATGCGTGAACCTACCTTAAGCCGGAATACTCCGTCGAACCCCCAATATACCTCGAATCGTGAACGAAACGATAGAAATCAAACATGTTCCCCGACAATCCCGCCGCCTCGAGCTCGAGCTGGTCTTTAAACCATCCCAGGGGTTTGACCGAGCCTAAGTCCAGCGGCTTATACACGGGCTGCACAACTAACGTAAAGACAGCCAAGTCAGCGCGACCATCTCCAACTTTTTACTGTAGCGCGCGCCCTTGGTAAGCATGCTTACGCGAAATCCCATCCTCGTGCGCCGATCTAGAAATCGCTGCTGCTCGAACACCGCCGGCTAATGCGGCCAAGCCCACACAGAATCGAAATATCGTCATGGTGAGTAAGGCTATAAAATATAGAGATGAGAGGGTATACTCCTAAAACAATACGTCTTTTCATAGCTACCTAACCTACTTTGTGAATGCTTTTCAACTTGATATATATACCTCCAGGTAACATATATTGCCTGCCGTAGAACCTCAGATCAACAAACCCCCCTCCCCCCCTCCCCCTCCTATCGCGGTCAGGCGCCCTGCCCTCGGTTTAGAACGATACGACAGATAAGGCGAGGAGAACAGATGAGAGAATATGCGGGCCTATCAGAATGGGACGTGACTATCAACCGCCGTCACCCTGCAAGGTTACAGTAAATTGCTAGACAGGGTTCACCACATGGCTAATGGCAAACTTGATAAGCCGTCTAGTTTACCGAGGACTATACTATACTACCACTTGAGGAATAAATCTCTATGGCATAAATTCCCGCCTATGATAGCGGCTTATGGTCACGGAATTACAACGCAGCATCGTTCAAATCACCAACAGTTCCCTACGGGTGTCATCCTAGTAAAGAGGTCATCATTATGCTATCTTATAAATACAGCCAGGTGTAATCCTCGTGGCAAACGTCCGACATAACAGAGGGGGTCCGAGTAGCAGATTTCGCGTTGCACTTGGCGCAAGCAATGCTGCCCTCTTGATAGCTCTTATAGTTCTGGTATCCACCAAGATCCTTTTCCGACAAAAGTCACATCGCAAAATCCACAACTTTTTCTATGACGAACTCCTAAAGATCCACCGCACCCGTCGTCCTCGATGCAAATCGAGTTACTAACGACATTAAGTAGAAAGCGTGTTAATGAGTCCTTCAGAATTTAGTTTGGGGGTGTCCGATGACACCCCCCAATAATTTGGTGGCATAGAACTTTACCCCAATATCCTTTAGAAGCCGAAGCCTGTAGGTTGAGGAGCAAAGCCGTTGGGTTGCATAAAAGGAACTGGGGAAACACTTCCACCGGTGGCAGCGGGCCCGGCAGTGATCATTAGACGGTTGCCGCCGAGGATAGGTGTCTCGTCTTCATGCTTCTCCTGGGCCGTCTCCTTAGCCTTTCGCGCTTCGTTGTCAGCTTTGAGCGTAGCGATTTCCTTGGTCTGGTTGCAGAGAAGGTTGATCATATACGGCATAGTGAAGTCGTTGAGACCATGGCGCCACGACAGCTCGAGTACCAGGTCTGGACGAATAAGGTCGTAGCATGCATAAAGCATACCGACGTAGCACTCGCGGCTGCCAATGTCGACGAACTAAGAAGATTGTTAGCATACCTACTAGATCAGTTGGAAGGGTAGAGGAAGGAAAACGTACGTAACGGAGAAGCTCCTCAACAACATCAGACTTGCCAGAAATGGCAGCTGTCTCGATAGCATCCTTATATAACTTGTCCTGCTTCGATAAAGCAATAGACTTCTCCCATCTCTTGGTCTTGCGGTAGATGTTAGCAGCGATTTGTCTGAAGAAGACAAGATCATGCTTCTCCAAACGAGAGGCAAGCTCAACCGCGTCGTAGTTGTCGTAGTTCTCTACTGAGTCCCGAAGAGTCTTGTAGTCCTCTTCCTCGATTAGGAGATCGTTAATGGCGTCATTCACCGTCCGCTTATTCTGGGTCTGTACGTTAAGCAGGAAGGGTTTAATCAAAGGTAGGTTATCAGACTTTTGGAACATGCGGACAACCCGGTTAACATCAATACGCGGGGTAAGGACCTGAAGAAGATCAGTCAACAGAGACGGATGTTGTTCAAGATAGAAGTTGATGGCCCGGTAATAAATCTCCAGATTGGCGACCTTGACAACTATATCCTTGAATTGCTGGTGCTCCCACGAATTTTGGGCACGCTCCATTACAGCAAGTGCGGCGTTGTCAAACTCGTCATAGTGGTAGTAGCAGAAGACCAACTCGGGCCAAAGATTGGCTTCCTCGCAAGCACGAATTAACTTGGGCAGGTTCATTCTGCTCCAGAATAGCTTGATATGTTCCATAAGCCTCTCAGGGTGGTACTTCGAAAGTGCAATACCCAACTCAGTGAACATCCCCATGTGGGCGCGTTCCAGGCCGAGCCCTTGCTCGAGGAGGTCAATAAGTTCATCGAAGAAGCCTTCAGATTCATATTGCTTGACAAGAGCTTGTAGCTGTTCTGCATCCACAATTAAGTTGAGACCGCAGATCTTCGCGAGTCGGAACTCCTTCTTGGCAACACACGCCGCGTGGACTTGGTTCCAGACCTTGATGTTATTGGCCTTGCGAGCACATTCAACAGCCGCCTGGTAATCTTCAAGGTGGACAAGTGTGGTGGCGAGCTTGGACCAGTTGGAAATGCTGGTGTAGAAGATCTTCGCAGCCTTGTGTAGACCCTCTTCAGCAGCTTTATCACCGGACTCTTCGATATTAGCGACGTTAGTGCCTCGGAGAAAGTCCTCTAGCTCGCCTAGCTGATCAAGTCGGGCATAGCAGAAGGCAAGACCGGTATCGATCGGGGGTTCGCGGAGAGTCTTGCGTGCCATCCTCAGATATTTGACCAGTTCCTCATCCTTTCCAGCATGGGTTGCAACCTCGATGACTTCAAGATAGTTGCGAGGATCACCAGCCCTGATATAAGACTCAATGGCATCTGCTACACGCAGACCATCAAGCTGGGCCTTCGCAACTCTGCTCCAAACCTCGGGCACATCGACATCTTCAGCAAATGCACTCGCGCGATCAATACTAACAACGTGCTCAATCAAGACTTCGACAGCTGCCGTCTTGTTATCAACCTTCTTGTAAATCTCGAAGGCCTCTTCATGAAGGCCGACGTCAATACATAGTTGAGCACACTCGTCAGGGTTGAACGCGTCAAGGCGGTGGATATAATCCATAACTCTGCTCTTGTCCGCTCTTGCAGCAGTAAGAATAAGAAGGTTTTGGAGACTGGGGTTGTCATTAAAGGGCGAAGGCTCCAGGACGATCTTCTCAAGGAGTTCGATAAGCTCGCCCGGAAGGTCGCATGCCAGGAAAGATGCGACAGCCTCAGAGACCTTGGCAGGGTCACTGCATTCAGGGACAGCCGTCGCGACGACCTGGTCAATAACTGACCTACGGTGAATGTTGTTTTCGCTCAGGACAAATGTCCATAGCTCACGATCAGAGCGGTCCAGTATGTAGCGAGCTTGGGCACGATACATAGAGTTTTCGTTTGTGATGTTGATTAACTCCAGATCGTTCTGGCCCTTCTGGTATGCGATAAACGCCAAGTTCGGGTCTCGCTTCTCGCAGTATTTACCAACAGTCAAAGTATCGTATTGGTCATTCTCTTTGAGGAACTTCTCTGGGTTGTTGTTCGAGTCGATATAGATCTTGGCCAAGGCATTGTAGACCGCCTGCTGTTGGTTACCAGCGGCCAACGTAGCCTCTAAGAATGGTAGCAATAGCTTCAGGCGATTACGGGTTTCTACCTCGTGCACTAGCGCATCAATGGGAATCGAGGCAGGGTTAATAGTGGTGAGGAGATTTTTGATCACAGACTCGTCGCAATCAACGTCAAGCAGGCCTCCAATGACTTCAGGAGTTCTGCCAGGGTTGACACGCTGCACGTAAACCTCGATCGCGTTGAATCGCTGGTTCTGATACAGGTAAAGGATTAAATCGTGGACAAAGTTGTGTCTGTCGCAGACGATAATCAACGGGAGCATCTCAGTGAGTCTCGCTTCCTTGAGGAAGTTCTTGACCTTTTCTGGGTTGTAGAAGTTGCTATCTCGGCAAATTCTCTCGACTTCGTTGAATTGGCCCATCTTGGTGGCTGCTTCGATATACTTGTAGTGAACATCCGGGTCCTGGGAGAGGTTGACGATACTTCCAAGGTAGAAGAAGAGACCTTCATGGGTCTTGTACTTCTCAAAGAGGTCGATCAAGTTGGTGGGACCAAGGAGTTCGGAATATTTGGTAGCAATTTGGACAACTGATTGAAGGTTTTGGCGAATGTTGACCTTCATCATCGCGTCAAGACAATCCAGGGACTGCTCTACTGAAAGCTGGCCAAAATAGTTGACCAGCCAGTCGGCGTTAAAGTTCGGTGTGCCTGGAATAGCAACGACAACTCGCTTGATAGCCGCCGGGTCTTCATAAAGTTCCAGCGCTTTTTGGTACAATCCGGTCTGCTCACACAAACTACCAATACGAGCCTTGTCGAAGTGTGAAAATAAATTGTTGCCCAAGATCGCATCTGCTACCTGAGGCGCGTTCATCAAGTTCATTTCAAGAAGCCTAGTTTGCAGGTGGCCGTGTTCGGGCTTGTTTTCCTTGAGCGCCTCCAGTAAGAATGCTGTAGCTTGCTGAACCATGCCTTGCGATTGGAAGACGTCAACCACACGCTCGATATCAATCAAAGATCCGCCTTGGTGACTGGCTAGGGAAGTTGCGAATTCTGCGCCACGTTCTGGGTTCACGCGAACAATATGCTGAAGGAGTGTGATCCAGTCCGGCTGGTAGCCAGTCTGGTCGCAGTAAGGCAAGATCTTGTCGAATTGGCCAAGCTCGGCAAAAGATGCGACGACCTTGTGAGGAGCATTGGCCTTGAGATACACGGCAAGAGCTAAATTGACATCATGCGGTCGAATCAGGTCACCAAGCTCCTCGGAAAAGTCCAGCTTGCCTTCCTTCGCCCACTTTTCGAGGAGATGCTTGCGGTTCTGAGATAGGACAGGCACAGCAAGTTCGAGGGTCTCGGTTTTATTCAGGGGAGTAGTCTTGTCAAGAAGCATGCCGAAATATTGAAGGATAAAGGACATTTTGCCTGGGGGCGTTGGGAGGTTCTTGAATTTGTTGATAGTCTCCGTAGTTCGCAAGAAACCCCGGGGAGAGTTGGCAGCAACCTTTGCAGCACCTTCGTAATCACCCCCGTTGAATAGCGTGTCAAACTGGCGCTGGTAGAGTTGATCCGCGCCAGGAAGTCCAGCCCTTGAAGCCATCTTGATAGCAATCTCCGTGTTGGCCGGGTTTTGAAGGAGATAGTCAATCATGGTCGATTCGTCAACTGACACGAATAGTACCTGGCCCTTCCTGTTAATACCGAGAATACCGGTAGATTCGGAATCGGCACACGTCGTGAAGATGGTTTCACTAGAAATTCGGTTCATGAAGATAGTGCTGCCCGTTTCTAGGTCGTAGAGGTGAATAAATCCGTATTTTGTTACCATGTAGACGATTCCATATTTCTGGGAAACTTGCATAGCAACAGGGAAATCATTGGTGGCCTCGGGAGGGAAGAATATGTCGACGGCCTTCTTCTGAAAGGGTCGATTGCCTTCGGGATGATCGATCTCGACGATGTGGAGCTTAGCACCGGTGGCGGTACGAACTGCGAAAGAGAAAACCTTGGTATCCGCGGGCTCGCCTTCTATTCTAAGGGTTCCAAATGTGGCTGCGTGACCTTCGATTGCTTGGCTGATGCCTCTGTCCTTAGAGTATAGTTGTAGACTGCCAACCACGCGCCCCGCTTGTTGAGAGATGCCGACGACAGCCATCCATTTACCGTCGCTGTTGGTTCGGTAGTTTATGATTTGGCATCCCTGATTTGATAGCAATTAGTCACTAAGCTCCCGAGGCTAGAAGATCTAAATCTGAGGATAACGTACGTTTAAGTTAGCATTACGCTTGAAGACTTCGACGGGAGCAGCCTGGGTACTATCATAGATATCCCAGTGGAACACCGCGGTGTCTGTGACCAAGCCTAAGGTCGATTCGCTAACCCACTTCCAGAAGACGACATCTTCGTTCATTGTGGCCGACTTCAACTTCGCTTTCTTCTCCAGGTCGAAAATCTGTAGGGTTCGCGCTTGTGCTCGGAGGGCGATGATCTGTTTCGACCAATGCATGATAGCACTGTCGGCCTTGATAGGCCGGCGTGTCACATTGTTTCCTTGTTTGAGGTCAATAATAACGACTTCGGGTTGCGCTGTGTCGCTCTTCTTTTCTCTTATGCAAATGAAGGCATCGGACTCTAAGGTCTAACGCAATGTAAGTTAGGTTTTGAAGGTATAAAAAGAGTAAAAAAACCAAGGCAAGGCAGGAGATACTTACACAGGAGTTAAATCCAATGGCGCTCTGATCGACGCCAACATTTCCGAGCGTCAACAGCTCCTGGAACTTGATAGGTAACGGAGCCATGATTCCAGATCATATGGGTTGGCCAGAATGACAATGGTAAAGCGCAAACGAAGTAATGGAAATAAGGAAATGGACGAAAGCCGGGAAGGTATCCCAGAAACTGTGCGCCTAGTTCAGTCCAGTAACGACGGTAGCGGAAGAATGCGATCGTTAATGAGCTGAGGCTAGGTAAAGGTAAAATGTGTATGTGTACAGGAAAGGGGTAGAAAAGGAAGGTATGAAGGTATTAGATTGCTAAATTAGCAGAAGAGACCTCCAGGGATTGATTATGTAGTGGAAGAGAGTAAATAGAGGGAAGCACGCGTGCAGACGTCAATGGCGACGCCTTTCAGGAAGGCACGGTGATAACGTCAAGTCAAGTATTGTACAAAATGTGGATGGAGTAAAGAAGGTGCAGGTGGTTTGGTCGGCGGTAGTAGCAGTAAGAATTTCCAGGAGGAAAGTGGACGTGTGTACGAAATATGGTGATCCCTTTCCAATCCAGATGTTACGGGTTACTTGTTCGGAAAGAGCACCTGAGGCTGCCAACCATGTACCTGACGTCGTGCACGAGCCACATTAGGTACAAGGTATGCTGTTACGTACCTCTCTTCTGGTCAGGGACTCATAAGTAACACAAATACCTTTATTGGTTTATGCTGGGGCCTGGTACGAAAGTGCGACTTTACTATGGAGAATGAACAGGACTTTGATCTACAATTACCTGTCTGCCTTGTTAATGTCAAAAAAATGGGTATTTGCAGATAATCACAGCAGTTCTGCTCCAGACCGGCCGTTGCTATTCGAAATGCTGTAAGAAAATCTTCAGGTGGCAAAATTTTGATATAGTTAACAGAAGTTATCAAATGATCGAATTTGGTTCCAGAGTTGTAGGCGATAATAGTATACGTTGACAAATCCATCCTACCATTGACATCGGAGCAATTTATGAATATTTGTAGACATTACAATCCTTGAATATTAAGGACTTGAGATGTCTGCGGCCATTGCAGAACATTACGATGACCGGGTCTTTACTCGGACACGATCTACAGCGATATCTTAAGTCGCTTGTAAGGGTCACAAGCCTAATAAATAAATCTACAAGATCAAATAATATGCATGTACGCTCAATCATTGCGATCCTCCCCATCGTCCTCGAAAGGACCGGAAGCACCGCACCCAAGATTGTTCGTTGGGAGTTAGTCTCCATTCTGTCCGAGAACTTCAGTGGTCCTGGGCCACTGCAAAAGAGAGGAAACCTCGCACCAAATATCGTGTCTCGAGAATGTGAATTTTTGCGTTGTTCATTTTGAATGAAGAAGAAAAAAAAGAAGAAGTTTTTTTCCCATCGTGAAATTTTCCAGAATTTGTAGTGGCTCAGCCACTCCTACCCTTGTCGAACAAGCCACATATGTATGCCAAGCCTGCTAGCCTGCCAAGGCTTGGATTGATTGATAGATAGGCCTACGATAAGCTTAGGTACATAGGTACACCCATACCTAGAGCTCCGAACATCGCGAGCTTCCGAGGTTGTTTCGTCCATCACATACCTATTCCCACTTTGTCCAGCGTTTACACAGCCTCTTCAAATTAGAACATTCATACCTGTAAATTTAGCATACCTATCTTGGTAGCTAACATGGCGGGAGTCACGGTAAATGCAGCCCAAACATTACCTAGATTTCTACTCCCGCGACTCAGCTGGGTAGGGTCTGGGTCTACTGGGTCTTCGCAGGTACTGCGAGCTGCGACTCTACCCGCGGAAAACCGACGGTCATGGCAAGGGTACGGGACAGCTCCGTTTCACTCGCTTCGGGAGAAGTCCCAATATTCCTCCTCGGGAAATGGGCGGACAAAGCCATCTATGCTACTTCAGAATCCGAGTTTACGGAGGTCATTCCACGCCACGGCGCCGCGGGGTAGAGACCACCACTTCGATACTCTGAAATTCGTCCAGCGGCTGCAGAGCGAAGGTTTCACGGAGGAGCAGTCGGTCGCGATGATGAAGGTTTTGAACGATGTGATCCAGGAGAGGCAAGCTTGACCAAACACTCGTGGGACGTTAGCTATCCACCGCTAATACGGCCGACTAGCATACAAAACCTGACTCGGACGATGGTCCTACGCGAAGATGCGGCCAAGGCGACATACACGCAGAAAGTCGATTTCGCGAAGCTCCGCTCCGAGCTGCTCTCTGCGGACAGCACTGAGTCGAACACAACGCGCGCCGCACACGAGCGATTGACGAACGACATCACCAAGTTGAATAACCGTCTGCGGGATGAGATCGGTCGGACGCAGGCGTCCGTACGGCTGGACTTGAACTTGGAAAAGGGGCGGATACGCGAAGAGGCCGTAAGCCAGGAGCTGAAGATCAAAGAGACGGAGACTAAGATCGAGCAAGAAGTTGCCGCCTTGAGAGAAAAGCTGGAGCAGGTCAAGTTCCAGACGTTACAGTGGTTGATGGGTGTCTGCACAGGTTTCGCGGCGTTGCTGCTCGGTGCTTGGAGATTGCTCATGTGAAGAAGGAGGAGATATCCACGCAAACTGCCAGTATCATAGGAGCGTGCTGGTCGTCCATATCACTTGGAGTATTACAATTAAAGCAATTCAAGACCCCCCAGTCCCAAGACGAATAAGATATCATATACGGCGGATAGCGAATTCACAAAAATAGATCCGACCGTCAAGTTCTCCGTATATTTCTTAGCAAGTTGATATATTCTTCAGAAGAATTTGCGTAAGTTCCCTGTGCGCTGCTAACCTCGCGTCTTATCAACACATGTTTCGCAGAACAAACGACAACCGGTACGGTCTGCCCCTAAGATAATGCTTCGAATCTAGATTGTATGCTTATCCTTCGTAGTTCTACCATAGCCAAAGCCTGAGACGTAGCTTGTTAGGCGTATACGACAAACTCGTGGCCTCATAGTGAGTTGTCAAAAAAAGAAAAAAAAAATACGCTCGTGCCATAGTCGTATTCCTCTGTCCCCAACGGCGCTTTCCGACGGATCTATTCGGAGAGTATACATTAGGTACCTAGGTATCATAGTCCAAGTATCCTGTTTTCATAGCTCAACACGAAACCGACCACGTCTGAGTCATCCGAGTCCCGAAAAAGAAATCGTAGCTCCTCAATCTGATTTTATTTTCGTGGGCTGGCAAACTTAGGAGACAAGCTGTCCACTTACTGCAACATGTAAGTACCACTTAGCAAGATATACAACTTGTTAACTGGTTAGGCATCAACTTTATTTGCCATCTCGTATACTAGTGCTGTCTACGTAAACTCGACGCCGCACCCCAAAGGGGTGCTGCGCTTTAATTAGGAAATCGGGCAGTAATTAAGCTAGCGTACCAAACTTCAGGCACCAGTAAGAGGTTATTCCGATCCCTGTTACCTGCTAAAAGCGGAAGAAGAATAATAATATTTTATGAAATTTTATGGATGTTGGAAAATACTTCAAAACGCGTAGGAACTACACTTGTTCGGAAGTACTTCGGATCGAGTCCCTAATCTTGCCCGTTTCCTAATTAAAGCGCAGCACCCCTTTGGGGTGCGCCGTCGAGTTTACGCAGACAGCACTAGTAATGGAACAACACTATAATAGTTCTCTTATCTCTAGGTTGCCTTGAGGTGAGACGATATAAGTTTTTGTAGTCCTTTGTTGTTCGAGCTGGTTGGCAATGTCTCATAGCCATGACATCGAAACTTGAGTGCTTATGTGCTTAAAGATAAGAGATATTCGAGACACTTAGAAGCCCGAGTTTAAAGGATGGCTACCTTGAGAAAGGAGAGTGTCGAGTCCATGCTCGACAAATCATCTTTTATAATTATAATCCGTTAAATCAAGTTCACGAATGCTTCCATGCAGGATTGTCGTTCTTGAGAGACATTAGTAGGGAGACCCTAACCTTGTATTCCACCAGTACCTATACTATTTACACTGGCAAGTTGAAGACGTTTTGTCTTTGAATCTCTATAATATATGGGATTGGTTCGTGACCTATTATGAACCCGAACATTTGAGACCTACGAAGAGGAGCACATGCCAATCTATGTACGCTACTTCTTTTCCTCAATCCTTAGGTGTCTTATGTCGTATATAAGGCTTCATTAATCGTACCCTCGTCAAAACATGAGTAGTGAGAGGTTGAGAGACGTTACAAATTCCTTGCTTGCAAGTGGAGTAGGGAATGTGGAAAGGCAGCGCTTCAGTACGCGTCAAGCTTGAAAGTGGGATGGGATGGCAAGGATGGATGCTTGAAATATGGAGCGACGTTGTGCTACGCGGCAGAGGAAATACGTACCGAGAAATCGAGATAAATCTTCATCGATATTTGTGGGGTGTTCTAGGTATTTCCATCTTTGCTCAGCCTCTTCCAGCGTTCGTCATCTCGCGTTGTTAGCTTCTTGGGACCGTGGTAGGGCTATTGGATGGTATAATATCCCCCGTATGTATTGTACGATACGGAGGTGCAACTTTGTGCTTGAAGGCAATTTATGTAGGCGCGTACCTAATACATGCACGAAGGGTACATGTAGATAAGATCATCTCCATGTATACCTGTAACCTAGGTACCTCATACTATCTAGGTAAGCCTGGTAAGGTTGTTAATAAGTAGGACTTGATGTCAGGCGACCTGACCTCTAACCGTTTAAGCTTATGCTGTGCACTGAATGCACCTGGAGCAAGTTCCCCAACATCCTCTACCTTTTAGGTAGGTCGTAAGGTTCCTAGGTGAGATCCATGCATCGTATTGTATTGTACGAAGTACACTGCCTAGATGCTAAGTACCTGTAGAGGTATTAGCCAATATAACAATACAAACAATACATATAAGTACATCATTGCCGCCCCGCAGTTTTAGCATTTCCCATCTTTTACAACCCATTTTTTACTTTCTGCTCTGCAACGTATTGTTCCAGTGCGTTGTCACTCTTCAACTATAAACACCAACGATTTCTTTTCCAGCCTCTTTTCTCTTTTCATTCCGAAAGAAGAATACGCAATTCTCCAACAATTACTTTTACCTATGTTACATACATAATAATCCTTCTCTTTCCGTCTGTATCCTTTGTTAGTATGCTGTTTCCCCGTTTCGCACCATAGCAGCACTAACTTAATACTTGAATCTCGGCTTTCGTCATTTCAGACCTTTTTTTCCCTTTTTCTTTTCTCTTTTTAGCGTTTCAGTAATTACCTACTTTAGGCTTCCCTTGGTAATTGGCAAGGAGGAATTCGTCTCGCAAGCATCAGCTTAGGTATCTTTCAAGAGCATCCCCGGCAAATACCTATATCTCAATATTGCGATATTGCGACGTTGAGACAGCGTTGCTCAACGAAAGAATTCCCTTGCTTGAATAGCATCACGACATCTACCTAAGCATATATCTAGAAAACCTAGGTACTAATCTACCATTCGCGACGATACACGTTCTCTCCCTTACCTACCCTAAATCTGACTCGTCTCGAATCGTATCGATCCTATCCACCCCACATCTTCTACGCGCATTCTCGTTCGCCGATCGCCTAAGACGCTTCACGCCCAAACCACCAAGCAATCTTTTACCCATTGACTTGTCGGACGAAGACGAACCGCTACTATAGTATCCCAAGAGGCTGTATTAATCACACGTCTTGCAAATGACGTTCCGCGACAGGTTTACTCGGCGGCTGAATGACAGCGTGAGCCCCCATCACAGAAGAAGTCCTTCCCGCCGACTGCGCTCAAGAAGATCTCAGTTTTCGCCTACACCTTCGCCCACGCAGCCGTACCTTTCATGTAAGAAATATATCCGATTTTACCCGTACGTCTTGACTAACGCGTTTAGATCACGATATTCTTCGTATGTTTTTTTGGTTTTATTTTCTACCTTTTCTCTCTCTCTCTCTCCCCGATAACACTAACTCTTAATGCTGGTCAGTAATGTACGAAGACATCAAGGCACTCAAGAATGACTGGTTGACCGACAACGTAAGCTCCTTCTTATTCTATTGTAAGCTGTGAAACTATCTGTAAGCGTTTATTAACATAAGTTTCCGCTGTAGAATATCGCCTTTTGGGAAGAGTTCTTAGAACGCGAAGTACTCTCGAAGTACCCGCAAGCGCATATCGTTTTGCTTCGACCCTCGATGACTTTTCTCCTCATGAAGAATAAGGATACTGATATGGTTCGATCCGCCCTGCCCGATTTCCGACAAATAACGCACATTTTCCTTCCTATCAATGATAACCGGAATGTTTCACAAGCCGAAGGTGGAAGCCATTGGTCCCTACTCCTTGTGAGTATTATTGATGGAGTCGCATTTCACTACGATTCTCTAGACGGTTCAAACAACGCCGAAGCTTGGGAGGCATCTAAGCGACTCTCCAGCGTACTCGGCAGATCCCTACGATTTCATTATCTCCCCGACTCTCCCCAGCAGGAAAACGGGAGTGATTGCGGCGTCTTTGTGTGCATCGTCATGCGACACCTGCTTGTTAAACGTCTCCTAGCCGTCAATGCGGGAGAGAAGATCTCGATGAGCATGGCCCATAAGGCTATCGATAGTGTTGGAGCTCGAAAGGAAATGCTTAAGATAATCGAGAATTTACGCAAGGAAGGAGAACGAAGACGTCTCACACATAGCAATACGCCGCCTCGAATCGAATAGAGTTCGGTGGGTATATTGGTTAACAGGTCCGCTGCTGGTTTATATTTTTAGGATGCCATCACCTCGAAGCCTCGAAGCCTTAGGCGTTGTTCCTGAACCTCGTGATTCATTACCAGGTAGGTATACCTGAGTACGACACCCTATAACGACACTCAACGACACTCGGGTTCGGTTGGATTTTTTTTTTCTCGAGGTATTTCTATGGAAATGTCATCCTGGGGTTGTGATATCCTCTGTTGCTGAAACCGCGTTTACAGCAAGTTTATGCACTATTTGGAAATGGTACCATTAGGAGGTTACGGGAAGTCAAGAGTGAGGAATCAGAGCCTCTTGCATTGTTTTACGTCTGCATATTACGGATCAGGAGGGGATTTGGAAACAGCGATTTGTGAATTTTTATGATTTTTACTTTTTTTTCTTGTGAGCATTAACGCAGGGCTGAATACCACGATGAGACAATATATCATTTTTTAAAGAGGTAGCAAAAAGCGCATGTTTGCAGTATACAGGCGATCATCAGGATATAGGGGGGTTATAGCGAAATACGTGACATTTTTGCAGACAGAGTTGCAGACAGAGTTGCTGCCTTCGAAAATTTCGACAGTGAATACAGTAGACGCGTCATTTCGTTCCGGTGAGAAACCATTGTGGTTACCTAGGTGCCAAGTACTACTCCGGACTCCAAAATAAAGTAGGTTTATAGTAACCGGGACAATGGCTTTGTGATACCATTGACCACCAGCCCTAGTGCCACCAGTTGCCTAAAGGTGGAACAACCTCGTAGAAATGCGGATAGGTCGTAGATAGCACGGTAATCTAATACGGCGGTCTCCACGGCGTAGCAGTACTCTATTCCCTCCCCTCCCCCTTTCCCCTTCCCTTTTCCTTTCCCTCTAGAAAGACCACCGAGGCTGCAGTAGACAGCCAGCTCTTCCTTGCTTCTCGTCGATTGCGTTGGCACAGAGACCTGAGCTTATATCGAACAAGCTACGGATAAAACAGTAAAAGTTCTACGCTCTTCATGTTGATTTTGTAGATGCTAAATATTCATGAGCAAAAGACCACGAAAACAAGTAGTGTAACAGTATAATAAACTTACCTCGAATTCACTCCACACACCCTCTCTCTCTCACCACAACCGTCTTACAGCATTTTTCATATTAATCATACCGTCGTAACGTCTTTCATTTCCCGTCCTGCTTCCCCACAAACGCCGGGTTCTGCTCCATAGTCGCCGAGATATATCCTCTCAGCGCCGCCCAGCGATTCGTAGTCGAGACCTGCGGCACCACCACCGCCGCCGCCGTTGTACTCGCACTCTGGCCCTCCGGCACTTCACCCTCCTTCTCCACGCCCGTGGTCACCGACACCTGCTTCTCCGGCACAGCGCTCAGCCTCGCAAGGCTAACGCCGAACCTCTCGACCTCGCCCTTGACAATCCGCTCCTTCCTCCTCAGCGCGCCGGGCCTGCTGCGCAGGCTCTTATGGCGGACCTTCCCCTCCCGCATCTGCCGCAGGCCCTCCTCCGTCTCCCCGTCCGCCAGCAGGTCCGGCAGCGCGTCGGCGAGCGAGTCCAGATTCGCCACGAGCTTGTTGCCTGGGCGGCGCCGCTTCGTGGAGGACGAGGAGGACTTGGAGTGCGCCTTTTCGATCCGCGATACGAACGACGCGTGCTTGATGCTGCGCTTGTCCCGCTTCGTGTTCGCGAACGAGTCGCTTGTCCCGACGGCGTCCGGGCGCGGCGCTTTGCGCGGCGCGTAGGGCTCCGGGCCCGAGCGGGCGGCGAGTTTGGCGCGGAGGGAGCGCCGCTTGGAGGGGATGACTGGGGCCTGTTTTGTTGGTGGAGGGGAGGCTTGTTAGCATGGGAATCTAGCGTGGTGGTAATGTGATGATGGTGGTGGTAGTGGTGGTGGTGGTAATATAGATGTAAAAACGTACCATTATTCTCCAAATTCAATTCTAGGCTTCTTTACAATGTGAAAGTTTACTAGATACCTACCTAGACAGGTAGTTGTATTGTAAGTAAAAAGTTGCTTGCTGAAGGTTTGAAAATCGACTGAATAGGTAACGACCTACTGATAGAAATTCTAGTGGGGTTGTTATGTAATCGTCTTCTCTTATCGGACTTGTCGGGAAACCTTCTATACCTTTTCCAATATGTGAATCGAGTACCTCTATCTAACACATTAAGAAACGCTCGCCTTAAGTTAATTCATTTAGTCAATCCATTAAAGTGTTAATATATCCTTTTCGGTTTTTAAGCAACACATCTCCTCCAATAGGCGCCTCGTAACGAATATTCCCACGACGATATAATACCCGAAATCTAAGTCAATTCTATATCGCCACACTCTAAAAGCCTTAAGCACTGAACTTGAAGCTTCCCAAACGCCTCGCCCATCTCAGTCTACAGCATTGAACACACCCTTTATCCCCTTTTATAAATTCTAATGCAAGATGAATTTTGCACCTCAACACCCGTATGGTTTTTCTAACGACCTCGTATTAAGACATGCGCTATTATAAATACTTAAGTTTTCTAGTGGCGAATACAGCCACCATTGCACTGCAAGCCCCAATAAATAGACATACGGAAATGGCGTTTGGCCCATCGGTACTATGTTTCTCATCGGGGTGTGCGTTGTGCGCTAACTCGGGACTCTTGCCTGGTTCGAGAATGCTGAAGATGACGGTGCTGAGAATAGTACCGATAAACTGTGGGATCGTCGTATAGATGTTCAGGATGCCGAAGTACACACCGGACAACTGTCCAGACGAACCTGATTTTGAAGTTGCGTGCAAACCTTCTGGATCGAGAACTGATGGACTAGCAGGGGTATTTAACTCTTCTAACTCTACGTTCGAGTCGTGCGACAGGCGACGATACGAAGCGTTAGAACCAGTAGCACCACTCAATTTATTAACCTCGACTCCGAGAAAAGCCGAAGGTGCCCACGATGCTATATTCCAAGGTCTAAGGAAAGTTAGATTTAGGTGCCAAGACATTACATCGACAGATATTTAAAGAACTTACAGTCCGCACAGGCAAACGAGTAACGTCGCAAACCTGAAGCTATGGGCGAACGGCGCGAAGAGCATTGCTCCTGCAAAGGTTGCATGGGCGCACATCCACGCAGTCAGAAGGTCAGGCTTGTACTTGTTAAACTTTTCCAAGACCCCCTGGAGACTCTGAGGAGGGCGTCGGGTATAACTCTCATCATCCGGCGACCTAATGACCATGGGTAGGATCCACGACCCGAAAAAGGTAATGAAGGAATAGATGATGAAAGCTTCACTTCCGACTCTACCTATCTCTCCGAGTGCGTCTCCCGAGTCCTTTGCGTCATGAGGTGAATCGTATCGAAAGTACGTTTCGCCTATCCATGTCGTGCTGTAGAAGAGGAAAGGAAACCACCCAATCCAGGCCCAAAATTGTGCCATACAGATTGCTCGTATGCGAGGTGGTAGATTTACGATAGTCGACCAAATTTGGCTGACGACCTTGAACCCCCCAGCATCCTTACGAGCGTCATGCTTCGGGGCGATCAGGATTCTCTCTGTCACGGCCCACGCGGTGACTCCACAAGTGAAAACAAGACCAAACGCAGCAATGACGGTCAGCTGCTTGAACTGAGTATCTCCTAGAGACGTTCCAAGGAGAGAGGGTAAATCAATGGCCCCAGTTGCATAAGCAATTCCATGGCCAATGGCTGACATCCGGCTACCTTTGAGGAGGTCAGTTATGCATCACCAAAATGGGCATTATATAGTTTCTTTACCCCAAGCAGATCCTGTTTGTTGTTTTTCGATCGGAAGAGTGTCAACGACGAGACTCCTTGCTGCTGACATCACTAATATCCCAGTTAGCACGTAACGACTCGGGGCGCATCCATGTTCAACAACGATTTACTAACCAGCATTGATTGAAAAGTCAACGGCATATATCGACAACACAGCGGCGGATATTGTGAAGGTTTGCGCCACCTTTTCGTCGGGGATGAAGTACCCTACTATCTCCTTTGTGAAACCCAAAGTGAGGAGACATAGAGACGAGAGTATAGAACCAATTATTATGAACGGCCTGCGTCGACCCCATTTCGATGTCGATTCGTCCGCTAACGCACCGACTATCGGCTGCACGATGAGTCCAGAGAGCGGCCCGGCGATCCAGACCAAGGACGTTTTGCTTTTCGTCAATCCGAGGGAAAGAAGGTAAGGGGTACAATCTAAACGCAGGAATCACCATTAGTCTTGATTTCTTGCATACCAGGGGCCATTGGGAAACTTGCATGTCTGCTCTACACCCCAAACGAACCTGCGCACAATGATGAAGTCAGTATCTACCGTCTTGGTCCTTATATATATGCGATATTTGCGACGTACGTAATACCGATGGTGTTGAGCGTCAGCAGGGCCATTCGCACTGCTTCAGTGCTGCCCTTGATAGAGGGCTGGCCCGACCATCTTGACATATTGCTCCGTCTTCAAGGGCTACGAAGCCCGACGATTGTTGTATTCGAATGTGCGCTGAAAGTTGTCTGTCAGCTGGCTTTGCGCGACGCCGATAGTAAAGCTAACTTGGTCTTTTGGAATTGCTACGGAATTTGGCTTTTCGTACACGTCCTTACTCGGCTAGGAATATTGCTGGATTATTGATACTAGAAGCTAATTTATATTAATTTTTTTATGTCTTTTTTATTAACTAGTCGTTGCTACGACCATGGTGAAGTGGGAAGAAAGCTTAGAAGAAAGCTGGCTTTCTCGGCCTTGTCTCGTGAGACTTTGCGAGGTGAATGCATATGTGAAGTTTAGGAGGTTTAGCTAATACATATGCACCTACCTTAGGTAGTTATTGCTGGCAGGGCCAAGATCGTAATGTCATGGAACAGGGATGTTGATGGATGATTGGGAGGGGACTTTCCCCACTGTGGCTTGGCACCACGATGGAAATCTGTACAATTCCTGTGAAACACGAGGATCTAACGTCTCTCGTTGGTAGGAAAGTGCGTTGGTATTGCATAGGTAGTACGTACGACGTAGAAGTATGCAGTGAGATGGTCAAGGATGCTTTGCGGAAGCACTTGAAGTTAGAGCAAACCGAACAAAATTCCTTGTTTTCCTCGTGTGACCCCTTTCGAGTATTACTACCTTTATTGAAAGAGGAAGGGTAATAAGCTATCTAGGTAGGTACAAGCTTTTATTATTATATTTCAAACTTCGACTAACTTCGTTTTTGAAACTGCCTCCGTGCCACCGATTACCTACATACACTACTATGTATACGCATGTAAGAGGGAGGTACTATGTAGTAATAGCAACACAATTCCCTAGCGGGTAAGCGGCAACAGCTCCCCTAATTTAGAATTACCTAACACCAAGAAGACCAAGGAGGTACTATCAGGTCGCTATGAAGCTGCCTACCTAACTCAGGTAGTTCTTAAGTTTAGGTACTTTCAGGTACCGTTGGAGGATCAACCACGGATCGCGGCAAGCGTCCCGGCTTGTTGGTTCGCTTAAGTAGGTACCTGTCTGGTACCTAGGTAGGTTGGGTAGTTTTTATCCACATGGTTTAATGCCGGTTTACATAATATAGCTCCCTTATATGAATAATTTGCGTTGCTATCAATTCAACCCATCTAAGTCGATAGAGCGCGCCGCTCAGATGCTTGGCCTCTTAGATAGGAGGTACCTACCAAATAAGTAGGTGGAATAATCTCACCGCGCTAAACATGTTTCCAATATAAATACCTAAATTTGCTGCAATAGAACATGCTAAGATGATGAGGTTAATGCATTATGGGACTTTGTCATCCTACCAGCATCGCGTACGGAGGCCACGTTGATATTCGAGGTGGCATTGTGGCGGTTAAGTGAATTAACGCTTATGCACGTACGAATCATTGCCCCGCCATTAGTAAGATGACAACGAAGTAAAAGCTCCGATTCGGGAACGTGGGGTTATAGAATTTAAGATTTTAACCAATTTTAAAAGCGCCATCCCGTTGCCTCTTTCGCTTAAGCAAGGGGAAATAAATCAGCTGCGAAGGGGGAAAAAACTCCATAGAAACGTCGTAGCAGTAAAGCACAACATCTGCCGGTAGACTGGATATAAAGCTCTTCAATTGGCCTGTCTAGAATTTCAGGGTCCGAGCGATTCTTCAGCCACATTCAGTTGCATCTGCTTGAATTCGTCCCCTGCCGCTCATCGCGCATCACTCATCACGCAATCATGGATCTAGTTAACCAGTTCGTTCCCCCCCACCGAGTATTTCAGGTTGTCTCTAAGGAGACAAGACGATTTCAACCTCTTCAGTATTCTACGTCACTATGGCTAACTCTCTGCCCATCGTTACCAGCCTAGAAGGCCGGCTGTTGTTTGCCGTTCCTAAGAGTAAGTTCTCTTCTCCCGGCCATGCCTAAATAGATCGGGCTAGACTTTTTATTTTGTTTTATGTTATTTCATTTTGGAGAATATAAGACTAATATCCTAAAAAGAGGGACGACTCAACCAAGCTACTCTCAACTTGTTAGAGGGTGCTGATATCCAGTTCAGACGAGAGAACCGACTTGATATAGCCTTGGTCAAAAATCTCCCTATCGCTCTCATCTTTCTCCCGGCGGCCGATATACCTACCTTCGTCGGCGAAGGCCAAGTCGACCTAGGAATAACGGGATATGACCAAGTGCAGGAGCACGATGCTGGCCTTCGCGCTCTGTATAAGGCACGGCGGTTCTCGGGAGAGATCACACCGGAGGAAGAAACTGAACGAAACTCGAAAGGATCAGGCATCGAAACTGTCCTAGATCTAGGGTTCGGAGGATGCAAGCTGCAGGTTCAAGTACCTGAGAAAGGCAACTACAACTCCCCGAAAGACCTGATTGGCAAGAACATTGGCACAAGCTTCGTCCACTTGGCGCAAAAGTACTTTGCCAACTTGGAATGGGAAGAAGAAGCAGCAAAGGAGGCTAATGGCGCTCCTATCCAGTTTTCTGATAAGATACAGACGAAGATTATCGAGCTGAGTGGTAGTGTCGAGGCAGCTTGCGCTCTTGGTGTGGCAGACGGAATCGTCGACCTTGTCGGTAAGTGTACTCACATAAGTTTTTTAGTGCTTGGTTTGGAATCCAAGGCTGACCATGGCAGAATCCGGGGAAACGATGAAGGCGGCGGGACTTAAGCCGATCGATACTGTTGTCGAGACGACAGCAATCCTGATCAAATCACGAAATCCTTCCAATCCCGCTCTCGTAGACCTAATTGCTGCTCGAATCCGCGGTGTTATCACGGCCCAAAAATACGTGCTATGTCAATACAATGTTGAGAGGTCAGGACTTACGGCGGCAACCAAGATCGCGCCAGGAAAACGAGCACCGACGGTAACATCTCTGGAAGAGGATGGCTGGGTTGCGGTCAGCGTTATGGTTGAGAAGAAGAAGATCGCGCCGATAATGGACGAGCTAACCAAGGTCGGAGCAACGGATATCTTGGTATTAAACATTGCAAACACTAGAAGTTAAAAAAAAAATCATAATCGAAATCGAAAATAAAAGTCAAAATAAAGGATGGGAAAATATGCTTACCTATCTACTTAGGTATTAAAAGGGATGATAGATATGCATGTCTTGGGGAAAGGCTATGCATATGAGGGGAAAGGAGAAGATGCATACCTATTGGGTTATGTACAATACTTCTTTACTTTATAGGTACATCATCTAATGGTTATCTCGCTTGAGCATTGCCCAAAAGATAAAACCACTAATGTAGACGTTATGATATAGCGTGAGGCTTTGCCAGGGACGGGTTGCAATGCGGGCAAGGCTGATGATTATACATATACCTAATGATTATGAAGTTCTGGTGGCTTTGTTCTTTTTAGCCAGTTTATTTAGTAGGTATTCTAGTGTACAGCCCAAATGCTGACGCAAGCCCGGAGCGGCGCGGGTCGCGCGGGAGAAAAAGAGAAGGGACGTTCGGGACTATGGTAGAACCAAGACCGAACAAGTCACGTTTGCGGTTCTTTCTAATCCAATGAAAATTCAAGTACGGAATTCGTACCCAGATTTAGGTAGTTTTTTTTTTTCGTACCTGGTCCCCACGTAAAGGAGGGATGAAGGGGATGCCGGAGCGGACCCGATCTGGAGCCCTTAAACACGACGAATGATGCGTAGGTACCTCCTATCTTATAACTAAGCCCTACTTATCCTCCTAAATTCAAGTTAATAAATTTTATTATTTCTTTTGAAGTTTGTCGCGTTGTGTCCATTTCGAAAGTATACCTAACCTAATTTCTGGAACTCTACATCAGCATGGAGCCAAAGAGAATGTCTCGAACTGAAGCGGGCGGAGCCAAGCCGTCGACCGTTTATCAGGTAAGTAAGTCCCAGCTGCTGAGTTACCTTGACTCGTCGAGACAGACGTGAAATCCGTTACCTGTGACCAACTACCAGGTACTTATATCATAATCATATTACATGTCATCTTAATATTATAAGACCTCTATACCTACCTACCTACTAGGTATATAACAGGCTTCATCAGAGTTCAGGTTGTTAACGGGTAACTAATACATACCGAATAACGCAGATAATACAAGCGATCATGACCCCGGTCCACTTCATCTCCTTCCTCCTATCGCTGTACCTCGTCGACTGCCGCTACCACGCCAAGCGCATCCAGGAGCACTCCGCGCGCTACAGCCGCCTGCCCACTTGGCTGCTGCCCTCGTGGCTCGACCGGCTGCTGTTCAGCCCGCACCCGTACGGATGGGTCGACAGGAAGAAGCAGGACGGCGCCGCCGCCGCGGGTAGTGGCGCCCCCGGCGGAGAGCGGTGGTACTATCACACCAAGCAGAAGAAGCTCATGAAGATGGAGACCGCGGACGCTTTCGAGATGCAGCGCTCGGTCCTGCTCGGGCTGGGCGTCGTGGCGCTTTTCGCGGTCTGGGTGTTTTGGCGGCTTGGTGCGGGGATAGTAGCTTGGTTTACGAGTTGATTTTTTTTTTCTTTTTCTTTTTTTCGATATGCGACATGCGTATGGATCTTGACGAAAGTACTATTTATTATGTATAGGTACCTAAGGTATGAAGAGACGGTGGAGGGGGCTTTCAACTTGGTGATTGATTATGGACAGCGAATGCGATGCATCGAGCGGGGAGCTAGGTATGTGCTTTGCTTTATTGGCGATGGTTTGGGGGATATGATGTACCTAATTATACCTGGTATATCTCTACGATTTATGAACATTTCGAGAATATAGGTATAAATGTTTCGGGAAATATCCGAGCAATCCCACGGATCTGGATTTTTGACGTCACCTTTGTTCGGGAGCTTAGAACATTGAAACTTAGCTCTAGCCGTTGAAGCCTTAGTGGCGCTGGTGGCTAAACCACTAGGCCTACAAAAACCACACATTCACCTATCATGTGTTAGTCGTAAGGGGTCCCCCCTTACACTTAGTACCTAGGTATACACTAACTTCACCGTACGACGGAATCGTCCTACGTCAATGAAATCTACCAAATTTGCTTTTTGCCTTTCTCTCGTGTGAATTAAATATCTTTGACCTTATTCTATCTTCTATATTATTTATATTTCACCATTTTTATATGTGACGATTAGCGGATCAAGTACCTCATAAACAGGTGCCTAACCCAACTTAAGTTTACGGGTTGGAGCAACACCAAGGTTTGGACGTCCCTTTATAGGAAAGCTACCCCTACCTACCTAATGCTTGCTTGCTGTCGAACAGAAGTTTAAATTTAAAAGACAAGGTTGTATTTTGCCGAGCCGCTAAGAGATGGCTCAGCAAGATACAGATTTAGATATAGCATCGGCTTATCGAGAGATCTACCGCGCAAAGTTTCAAGACGACGTTCGGACGGGAGTCAAAAAGCCTTTCTTGGTCCCCCTGTACTTGCTCAGCTACTGGGTTATACCGGTTGTCTATCTCGCTATACCGCATAAGAACCGACCGCGGTTATACCAAGCTAGATGGCTTTTTCTTGCTCTTACTGTGACCCTCAATGTCTATACCATACTTAACGTCTCGAGCCACAACTTCGCTTCTGCTTATGGTGCCGGCCTGATTGGTTCTTGGGGCATCGTGTGGAATTTCACCTTGCTTGTTTGGACGAAACCGCAGTGGGAAGCTAAGCGGGTGGATATTCGAAGGAAGGAAAAGCCACAAGATGCGGAGAGGACTCGAGATGACGAGTCAGGCGTTTCTGCACCTTTTCCACCAGAAAATGGCCATACTGCTCACTCTGCAAGTGCAACTGGCTTGGAATTAAACGGGAATGGATCCGCTCATAATCGTAAAGAAGGGAAAGCTCATGCTGTCAGCCCCAAACCAGCCTCGGAACAAACAGAGTTGTCGGATGAATTAAGGAAGATCCTCTTAGACGCAGTACCTTCGTTGCGTAAATGCGAAAGCGACGACGAAATACTCGTCGAGTTAAAGAAGCTAGCAGCAGAGCAGGAATTCGAATACTACTGGCAGGAATACCCAGCCGACGCTTCTCTCTGGACCAGGCTAGACTGGGCTTTCGATATCGCCAACGCGTTCCGCATGACAGGTAAGTAAAGTAACTCATATTCCTCTGGAGGGGGGAAAAAGGAGAGAAAAAAAATTCAACTGACATATCATCCATCTAAAGGCTGGAACTGGGCAATTCCCTGCCTACCGCCTTACCATCTCCCCCCAACCATCCACGGCTACCAATTACCCCTAAGCGCCACGGGCCCCCACCACAGCAAGCAGGGCTACACGCGGCAGGTCTCCCTCCGATCCTTCTTCCTCACGCGGCTGTTCCGCGACATCGTCCCGGCGTACCTCGTCGTGGACTTCTGCGCCGTCCACATGACCGCCGACCCGTACTTCGTCCTCGGGCCCGAGCACGCCGACCTCGCCCCCCTCCCCCCGCACCTATCCTCCCTGTCCCCCCTCACCCTCTCCGCCTACCGCACCGCCCTCTCTTTCCTTGGCACCCTCTCCGCCCTGCAGCTGGTCTTCTCCTTCGGCGCCCTGGCGCTGGCCTTCCTCCCCCCGCTCCCCCGCATCCTCCGCCTCCGCGCGCACCCCTGGCACCTCCCCTCCGCCGTCGGCTCCTTCGCCCAGGTCCTCGACCGCGGCCTGCCCGGCTTCTGGGGTAGCTGGTGGCACCAGACCTTCCGGTTCGGCTTCGCCGCGCCCTCGCGCTGGCTCGCCCGCCGCCGCCGCCTCCGCCCCGGCTCCCCCGCGCACCGCCTCCTCGCCTTCGCCCTCGCCTTCGTCCAGTCCGGCTTCCTGCACGCCTCGGGGAGCTACAGCACCGTGCCCCCACGCTCGAGGTGGTGGCTCCCCCCGCTGTTCTTCGCCCTCGCGGCCGTCGGGTCCGCGCTGCAGACCTGGCTGGCCCGCCGGGTCCTCGCGCCGCCGATACGGCGCATGCCGCGCTGGATCCGGAGGCTGGGGAACCTGGCCTTCGCGCTGGCGTGGATGTGGGCGACGGGCTGGGTGCTCGTGGACGATTTCGGCCGCTGCGGGCTGTGGCTCTTCGAGCCCGTGCCTGTGTCCGTCTTTCGGTGGCTGGGGTACGGGCCGACGCGGGACCGCCGTGTGTGGAGGTACGAGAGGGATTTCTGGCCGAAGTGGTACTGGGGGAAGCATTGGTGGGACAGCGGGCTTGGAATCTAAAATATTAGAGTTTGAAGAAAAAAAAATCATTTTGGTTGACATAGAATAACAGACAGAGCACGGCCCGATGCGCGCGTGTAGAACGGTTAACGGGGTAATAAGGGGCATCAAAAAAATTAGAATTTGTCCTGCTAATACTTGGAAAATTTAAGTCTGCGAATTAGAGAAATACATTAATTTAATCCCCTCAAGATGTATCAGAAACAACTTGGGTTACTCGTCCATGGCGGATATCCTTTTCCCCGCCAAGCCTCCTGGTTTCGGCCTTGAGCCAGTCCAGTACCATACCGTATCTTGATTGCTTCCGCTCCAGCACTTTTCGGAAGGCATGAAAAGCAAGCCTGCATTGACACGATTAATATTATACGCATCCTTTCCTAGAACGATAGAATGTTACTCACCAAGATACCTCAGGCTTCTTAATATCGCAAGTGTAACCCGGGTACCGAAGCTTACGCGTTTTGCTTTTCAGAAGCAAATAGGCAGTATCAACTAGTTTTGAAATAGTCTCTATGACATGGGTCAGCACATGTGAATAGTACGATAGTGGTTAAACTTACTTATGACAAGCGCTGGCGATGGTTGTTTCTGTGCTGGCAAGCAACGGGCATACGCCCACATCTTGGTAGCCGCCTCGCGAAAGGCATTGTAAATATTGTTCAGCATGGTATTGGCCGAGTTAAGCTCCGAATCAAAGAACATGAGATGACTCTGAATTCTGAAGGCATCTATGGCATGTGTTAACACATCGTATGGTTCAAAAACCGACTCTGTCTGTCGAGTTGGGGGATTCCTTACTAAGAACTTTCCGATGAAACGTTTGTCCTGGCGTACGCGAGAACTCGATCGTGAGGGAGTTGTATATAGCTAGGTGGCGTTAGCTGGGGAAACTTGACAAACAAACTCAATGCTTACCTGTCTCCTCCGTTTCTCGATTGCGAGATATATCGAGGGTCTTACAGTCAATCGTAGTGCCACAGTAAGGGAACCGCTGGCCAGGTTTTAGCTTTGCGATGGGCTTACCATTAAGCTCCAAGTCGAAGTTGACAAGAGTTTTCCGGTGATTCACAGTCACTCCGTATTCTGGAACACCGCGGTGCATAGTTTCTACGAAGCGTACAGCTTTCTGCTTGTCTATAGTAATTAGGAGAAAGTCGTCGATAAGCCGCAAGAGTAGGCAATCTTCCGAATCAAGGAAAGATAGCACATGAGCTTCAAGGTCGGCATAGAAGTAATTGCATAGAGTTGAGGATAATATAGATCCTTGTGGAATACCTTCCCTCTGCCGATAGAATTTCTTTCCAATCTTGACGAGATTTTGCTGGATGTGTGAAGCTACAAGTTGAAGTAACTCGCTGGTGTCGTAATACTTCTTCCATCTGTCGATGAACACTGTATTTCTTTTAGTAGTTGCCCACGTGGACTCAAGATGTTGCATGAATGTAGAACTATCGCGGTCGCTGATTGCTGCAGAAGGCCATCTCTTGACGGGATTTGATTTGGATTTAATACCCGCTTGGCTCATCAGATTGGATGCAATCTCAGCATAGGTTAATACTTGATATTGTCGTTGTTGAGGGATAGAGGCAAGCAAGCTGACGATGGCTGCTTGAGGGATGGTATCGAAAGCAGACTGAACATCAACTTTCGCAATATATAAATTTACGCCAGGCAAACAGATTCTTGATTTAAAGGGTTTCACACGTTTGTAAATATCTCCCACCGAAAACATAGTAGCTCCTAATTTCTGCGGGTTCATTGTCTGTCAAGGTCAGAGATTTGGGTATAGCAAATTGAATGAACTATCATACCTTTTCCAGTTGGAGTACTGCGTGCGCTGGGGCTAAGATTCTGTTGATTCCAGGACCTAATTCTTTTGACTTTCCCCGAGGAGCGACTCTTTTCCGCAAGTTCATAATGGGTCGCATACCAGTCTCTTTTGGCAACAAGCGAACCTGACTGAATCCGAGAGTGCGGGAATCAAGGATTTGGTGGGCACGAGAAAGGTTAACTTCGGAAAACATCTTGGCTTTCAAAGAGGCCATCGCAGGCTCTGCCACATAGCGCCACACGTCGTGGCGAAAGAAAAATAGCTTATACTTATGATTGTTTGAATCTGTGACGTAGAAGTGACTGCGAATAAGAGGTATTAAGAGAGAGTCGAATACGAAGTAGATAAATTCACTGAGCAGTTCGCGACGCTTCTGTATATCTGTCTGAGAGGTATTGTTTGACCTAAGAGCAGGGGGTGCGAGCCAGTCCATCTCAGTCAACTTTAGTTGTTAGATATATCAAATTTCGAACAAGGCGGGTTTATAATACTAACCTTCATACCCTGCATCACTTCATGAAGTGACATGCCTTCAAAGCGCCTCAAGAATATGAAATCGTTTATTTTCTTGAGAAATGTGCTCTCGTTGTGTTGAGCAGCATCCCCGCTACCCCAAAATCCATGAGGCAGGATTTTCTTCAAAACAGCCTGGCAAAAAGCAGAGACCTTTGCTGGTGGAGTTGCCAGATCGAAGATGGATGATACTGGATCTTTCTGCGCGGGTGTGGATTGGGTGGCCTTCCTTTTCTTCAATATAATCGCTTTGCGTGTAGATTGACCACCAGTGTTAAATTCGGTTGGCTCTAATTCCTGGTGACTAAGAGAAGTATGAAGCTTTGGGATAAATCAGCGCTATCCATGCTGGTTTTATTCCGTAGACTTACTGGGCAATGGTGTTGTAGGAGTTTCGAGTAAGAGCAACGCTGGTGTAATATCTGTAGCTTTTGTACTAATTCCGTCGCAGCACCTCTTAGCCTTTTGGGTATCTTGATCCGGGTACTAGACTCATTAAGTCGGCCGAACTTTTCAAAGATCTCCTCTTCTCGAAGAGTATAATCCTTAAGCCGCTGTGCGGTTTCTTTGAAATTGACTTTGGAAGTGAACACATTATGAAGCCCAAATTGACGAGGGAAGATATACATCATAACTCGTAGCGTGTGAGCTTCATTTTGTAGTGTCATTCGTTGTATGGCCTCAGCTGAGTTTGAGTGCTTTGCAACTTCATTGAGATGGTTATATAAAGACCGATTTAGTACATCTGCCACCGTTAGTAGTCTGCTAACTACCTACAGGGTAGCAAGTTTCTTACGAATATGTCTTAGACCGAAGTGTACAACCCCATGAGCGTTAAGCGAAGCTCGAGCGTACAACATACGGTTTCGAACGAAAATAATCTCCGACGGAGTCTTCACAACACAACTACTTTGCTGTTTCCCAAACTTCTCCTGGTTAAGCACTTCGACGTCTGACAGCGGTTTTCCTGGCTTTGGATTAACACGTAGACTTCGCCCTTACTGCGGAGTCATATCACTTACCGCTAATCTGACAGAGATTATTCGCTCCCGTTTTCACAGGCGTAAATATAGCACAATCCAGGAGTAGGGTTATCATAATACGTTCGCCCGAGTCGCCCATTAAGGCGAGGAGTTGTGGCCATGGCGGCTGTTTAAGGGTCTCGACATGAGGGTTAGGCCGAAATGCACGCAGCCCTAAGCCACGATTTCTACCGTAGCCGTCGCAGAGTAAATGCTTTGGCCACGTACTGGTCTTCTCTCTAGAGAATATCGTTCTCACGACATATTCTACAATCTTTCTAGCATTAGCTCATCTGCAAGACACGAATGGATAGGCTCATTCAACTGCCAGAAAAGAATTTTAGGTCGTACAAGTGCTTGTGTCTCGATAAACCCAGTCAGGCCATCAGATAGGGTGACATGGGACTCGTCCCCTTTCTGGGAGAAGGCCTTCCACCCCTCAAGATGGGTTTCCCCGGGGCTTTGTGGTTTGGCCTGTACGCCAATAAGGGTGTCATCAAGCAGAGCCCCTAAAGATCGCTCTACATCGGAAAGAGGTGAGTCTGGGATGTGATGGTCTATGCCGACAGTAGCAACTTTCTTTCTTCTAAGTCTAGACGTAGAAGGCAATCTCGATAAGACGTAATTACGCAAAGTGAGTACCTGTGGGTAAAATTGGTTGAGAACCGGGTGTTGAGCTTGCGGGGATGCTGGGGGTTGATTGCTCTCGGGATCTATTCTCCTCATCCTCCCTTTTTTCACGGGTGGCTCGTCATCTAAAGGAGCCTTACGGCCGCCTCCTCGCTTCCTTTTCCTTGGATGAGCCATCGCATGGACTCATAATGCCTTCAGAATACGCGTTGTGGCGTTCGTATTTAAGCTGTCTAACCAGCAGGGGACTCGGGAATAGTTGCAATTCGACTTCGGGTGCGTTTCATAGGGCGAATAGAGCAAACGCGTGTATGTAATCCATACCTCACACGCGATGGGAGAGCTAGTAGATGGGTATGCGAGTACATGCGTTAGTTGCATTGGTGTCATGTCATGAGTATACACCTAATGTGGCAGGTAATAAATGATTGATCCAATGGATTAATCTCACTGTGAATGTTATGTAGAAGTTCAAACCCACTGGACGCCCACTAAGACACACCCACTGGACAAACCCACACCACGGCGCGGCTCCGGGACGGAAGACTAACCGTGCGCTACCTTAGGAATTACTTAAGTCTACCTCTAAAAAAGGTGGATACTCCATGAGCCTAGGTACCTCTATTAATAAAGGTAGGTAGTAACCTGGTTCCAGCGTGACATTCAATAGTGCTATTGGGGGCATTTAACCATTCATATTGCACCTACCTTAGGTACCTGATATTGTATTATCATGGATTGTACGATTAGGTACCTATTATATCCCACCTTTATTTACTCACTTAAGACTTTTAAGTTGTTAAAATTCAAGTTTCATCCCGTAATGAGAAAACACGGCATCTCCCTCCCTTCAACATACCTTACCTCTAAGCAACGAAAAATTCCAGCAGTCGGCTTTCTTCCTCGTCTAGCTTGGCCGGATTTTAGGTTGGGCTCTGCTAGATGTGCATTAGACGTGGAGTGAAAAGGTGTGAAGGGTGTTTGGCTTTTCCCCTCGACATGTTGGCCGACATGTTGGTCCTATTGGTAGTTACAACTTGTAATTTAACTCGCATACTTCGTGATACCAGATTGGTTCGCTAATTCTGAGCGACCAGGTTCAGTCACGCCTAAGGTGTACATGCCAAACAACAACATATATTGATGGTAACGTTAGGTAGGAAAAAAAAAAAAGGTACAATACAGTGGCGCGAAGCATCGCCAGAACCACTCTGTATTATCCATTGGGTTGATCCGAAAGGTATGCCTCCATGCAAGATGAAAATGCCGGGGACGAATAAGGACCACCAATTCCAGAGTCGCAATAGGGGTTTAAGCCAATCTCGTCTTTGAAAGGGGTTCAGTCGACCTGATACATCAGTCCTCTGTACCTGCGGATGACAGCATCGACGCATATATCATGACCACGAGGCTTATAATCTCTCTTCATCAGACCATATACATAAGCCCATTATGGCCTTCGGACAAATTATAGATTGTGGCTTTCCTCCGCTGATTTACTTGTCCGATAATGCGAGCGAGCGAGTGGTTATGATGAAATCATGCAAACTGCATGCACTCCTGTCTAAGTTTATGTCGTATTCTACAGCGAGCTAAGTCGATTTCATCTTCGAACCTTTGGTTCCGAACAATAAGTTAAACATAAAAAAAAAAAAAAAAACATGTAACTATAGTGTATCGGACGACGGGATGTATCAAATGGTATCACTTGCGAAATATTTAAGATCATTTTAAGCTTAAAAAAGTGGTAGTTGTTCCACTTATAACATAGAGACGATCTATATAGGTCTCTAATTATACCTATATAGAATTGGTTCTACTTGATCTTGTAAATTGGATAAATATTTCATAAGTTAGATGCAACTATCATGATCAAAACAAAGCATGATTATGCGACGATTCGATCGTTGCACAGCCAGATGACCGACCCTACGGTCTTTAGACTTTTCCACCATTTAAATTGCAAGGTAGTTTGCCTTTTTTTAAGAGGCAATCGACGAGCTTGAAGAATTTCAAGGCTATGATCCAGATGAAAAATTGCACTTACCTATTAGATCCTTAAATTTTACATTTTCGTATCTCCGAGTTCACAATTCCCAATTCCCAGATTTATCAGATCCATGATCCTAGATAGGTACCTTTGTACTTGCCTACTTTGGTAGGTACATAAGGTAGAACATAGAAGGCCCACGCAAAACCTGAGTTTACTAGGCCAAGTCTAGCTAACGGAGCTAGAGAGCTAGGAAGGCTTAAGGTCCCAGCCGTAACAAAGATACGAAGTGTGGTGGAGAACCCTACACTAACCCGGGACTACCTAATCCCGTACCAAGATACGGGCACTCAGTAGGTACCTCCTAGGTAGGTTAGGTACCTGGGCTGCTGGGCCGGATAGCGACTCCCCCCTCCCCCCCAATAGTAAAAGCAGGTAGGTGAGTTACAACCTGGAAAGTGAGTTACAGGGTAACTACGTAAGCCTTTAGTGGGCAAGACAGGCAAGGCCTGGCAAGGGTAACCCTCAGCTTTTGCACCAAAAAATGCAGGTAGACCTGCCAGACACTAGCCAGACTCTAGCCAGATTCAATGCAGAGTCCAGACGCAGACATCAATGCAGCAAGAAGAAGCCGTCACCTTTTTTAGTCTTTTAATCTTTTAGTACCTGTTTACGGATCCGTAATCTAGACGCAATCTCTACAGCAATCGAAGCTTTGTACCGCTTTCTTGTCCCCCCCAAACTTGTTCTTACCAAATCATCTTGCATGTCAGGCTGCCAGCGCATCAACTCGAGAGACATTCCCACACGACCAAGCAGCTTGCAACCCTTTGCCAGGGGCGGGTCTTCTTGTCCTAGAATTATCGAATGGCTCTTTCGAAAATCCTGTCGAACCACCACGGCCGGCACGCTTGCACGCTTGCACGCTTGGAACGCCTGCCTTTTCCCCCACACTCCTTGTTGCTTGCTACCTGCTACCTCGCTACCTCACCACTAACCCATTGGTCTCCAATTGCTCGTAAGCTCGAAAACCCACGTCGCCTAGTCTAGAAACGTTCAAGGCAACCCCCCCAAGGTTATTCGACAACGTAGCCTTGGACAGAGAACCCTTGCTCGGCTCGACCTACCTACGCCCTCTATTTGTCTTGTATACCTACCTATATCTCTCAGCGCCTGAATGTCAGGGTGATGTCCAGAAGATGCAGGAAGAGGAGGAACCCCTTGGTGCGACGTTGGCAGCCCATAATTTTGAATCCCAGTCAAATCTAAGTCCAACCAGACACCAACAGCAACATAACTATTACCACCAATATAACCAGCAAGAACACCAGGAACAGCACCAATACTATGCTCATCTGAATTCTAATCCACCAGCCTTTGGCTCGTCCCACTACGACGATTACGATTACGACACCAGCCTCGGCCAGAACCCCGTGCTCCCTTCGTCAGAATTCGCGTCCTATGCCTCAAGTAACGTTCAAGCCGCCCATGCGAACGCGACGAATGTCGAGCCCGTGGCCGTCGTAGATCCGGACGATTTCTACAGAAATTATCGTGGCGCCCATACGTCTGTGCCAGATCCGGCCCACGACGAATTGATGGCGTCAACCTTGCCTCCCCCGAAGCAAGACCAAAATCTTCCGTTGCGATCAAACGGGAGTAGTACGGCTCCGAGGCACCCCGCTAATTCTTCGACACGGCCCCGTGTAAGACCCAATGTGCGCTCTGTATCGGCCCCCATCGAAGACAAACAATCTAGTGGTACTTCAAAATCGAGGACCGCAACCAACGCTACATTTGGAGGCCGTACCGGACACCAGCCCAGTGTAAAGGATTTAAAGAGAAGGTTTGACCAAAATGTGGCACAGCCAAGCAGTTCCGCTTCTTCTAAGACCGTACCGCATATTCCAGCTAGAGACACATCGTCATCTCCCAGGTATCGCCGAGTAAGTGGTCCTTCTTCGGCAAATGGACAGGCGTCGTATACGGCGTTGCGGTCGTCCGTGACGCGTGACTTCGACTCTGGAAAAGCATCCTCGGCAGGATCGCGAGCGACACAACGGAATAAATCGGTTCCTGAAGATCATGTATCCAGTAACCCGCAATCCTTTGCAAGCCGTATAGCGAAGCCTCGTGTTTCGACCGGATCTCACACTCAGGCATCAAAATCTGTAAATAGTCTTTCACCCATTTCGCCTAGCTCGATTCCGCCACTTTCCCAGTCTCATGGTCTTCTGTTCGGGGAGATAGCGCCCGGTGAGCTGGATACGGGGGCAGCAGGTTATGGTATCGAAGGTGTTCGGGCGAGACGAACTTCGGATTCGAATCTCCATAATCCGAAGGGTCTGCGCCAGCGAAGTTTTTCACACACTGATGCTGAACCACCCTCGCCTAGTGACTGGTATCGTAGTGCGAATGGAAGCCCTGCGATTCATGACAACGCGGCGACAAAAGATATAAAACCTGCTAAGGCCCACAGCCGGTCGCGAAGCGACGTCGTTGGGACCAGGCCGGGCCCAACGCCGTCGCAAAACGCTCAAGCTTCGAACTCAAGACTCCACAAAGATCGGGGCCCGCCATCGACGACTTCAAGATTGCCCGTTTCAGTGCGAAAACTCAATAGCCCTTCAGGTTCTTCTAGTCCAACATCGACACGATCGAATTCTCCGTCCACGTTGAGGCGCCCTGCTATTCAAGGGAAGTCGTCCAAGTCAATACCATCCTCACGAGCGAAGACCCCCAGCAGCAGCTCTAGTTCTACGACGAGGCGGCCAAACCGTTTAGGTTCCATAACTCCGAATAACAATACAAGACTTAACGCGTATATATCAGCTCCTACCCCGAAATTATCCCCCACATTACGAAGTTCCCGGCCGCGCCAACCGGTTTCCTCTGCAACTACGGCTAGCTCAAGAATGAAGGCCGTCGAAAGAGGCCGGTCACCGTCACATCGCGACACCCGAGGAGGCATAAGATTTAATGAGTCAAACACGAGAAGGCGGAAGATTTCGATAGGCCCGATCGACTTCGAGTCTCGAAGGGAACAGATTAAATTATCTTATACAAAGTCTATCCGGGAGAGCGAGGCCCGGATTGCGGCTAGGAAGGCTGCTGATGAGAAGAAACGGAAGGAAGAAGCTAAGGCCAAGGCTGAAGAAGAGGCTAAAGCTGCAGCTGAAGAAGAGGCTAAAGTTGAAGCTGAAGAAGAGGCTCGACTAGCTGTTGAAACACAGCGTACAAAGGAAAGGGTCCAAGAGGAACCACGCGAAGAGAATATCCAAAGCCCAGCTGACAGCGAGGTACCGGCTCCAGAACAAGCGACGTTAACAATTGCTACCAGTATTGCACAGCCTAGTCACGGTAGCATTACGGAAATTTTGGGGATAGGAGCAGTCGAGAAAGATTCGCCGACACTCGGTATACCCGGAAGTTTCCCAACTGCCGAAAACACAGAGGACCAAGATGAAGCACCACTTTCAGCTATCTCAAATACTACTGAATTTGATGTCGAACCACAAATAGACCCGCCAGTACAGGAAATCCCCCTTCTACTGGATGTCAACAAAGTCAGCGATGATATCGATTACTCTAAGTCAACGTACTCGAAAGCAGAATATCGATCTCCTTTCGAAGACGAATGTACTAGCAACGACCGCTTCTCAATCAATATTTCGTTAGATGCATCGACAGAGCCAAACTTATCACCTAAACAAATTCCACCTGCTCTGAGCGAAACTCAAAAGCACCATGGTATTCCAGGTTCATATCAGGACGACGATGATGAAGAAGAATATTCTTTACAGCCACTTCCATCTGAACCGTATCACACGAAGGTTACAATAATTGGTCGTGATTCGGACTTTCCACTTCCAGAGCATGGCCTAGGCGAGCCAGCATATCCCACCTTCCAAAGTAACCAAGATTCCAGTGACATTAGCTCGCAACTCAAACCACCTGATTTATCCCGCAAAATTTCCTACAATAGTGACCAGGGCGGCCCGAGTGTTGGACTGACAGAGATCGAAGAGTACTTCGTCGGCCCGCTCATAAAGGGTCCCACAGCAACTATCTCCCGAAGTTCTAGCCCCAAGGCAGTGGAAGAGAATGGTATAAATAGCCAGGAACAACAGACCATAGAAGATTCACGTTTCTCCACAGAGTCACGAAGGACTCTAGGCACAGCTCCAAGCCTTACAATACCGAGAACATCGGATTCGATGAATAGAGCGAGCCAAACCACGGTCTGGACTGACTACTCGATCAATAGCCATGAAGCATACTCCGACTACGAGCTGCGGAACCGAGACGTACAAAATCGTGACTCAACTTATCGTGATGACGGTTCAGTATCAGGGTCTAGTTCTTTGTCACATCATTATCAATACGGACAAGACCCAAGCGAGATGCCTCCTTGCAGTCCCGAGATGCCCTGCAATGAACCTCAAGACGCTGAGCCAGTGCATTGCATTCCACTCCAGCTTCCCAAACTGAACACTGGTGATGGATTTACAGTCGACTATGCCGAACATAAAGAGGGCACCATCCCCGTTATTCCAGACCACTCTCCGCCGCCGCCCCCTGATGAGGGATCGTTACGCGAGTTCCCTAGGTCTGAAGTGCAAAGCGAATACTTCGATAATACAAGACCTAATAGCTATGCCCAAGCTGGAAAGGATGACCGAAGTATCTTCTCCATTGATCCTTCAAGGCAGAGTGAAGACTACGACCCATCAGAATCGGGCTCACGGACGAACTATAAGGGCTCCCTTGAAATTACCGAAGGGTTTCCAGCTCGTACAGTTCTGTTAGATAGTCAACAAACGCTAGCCGAAAGTATTGATCAAGGCGAAGATAGCGTAGGACTTTCGACGGGAGAGAGAAAGCGATTATTCACTCGTCTTCAGACTATCAAGGAGCTAATCGACACTGAAGCATTTTTTATAAGAGATATGAATATTGCTGAGGAGATTTACAAGGGGACGGCCGAAGCTTGCCCCAGACTTGATGATCAGACGATCAAACTAATTTTTCGCAACACCGACGAGATAATTAGATTCCATTCTGGCTTTCTAGCCGAGCTTAAGGCGGGCGTCTCTAACATCTATACGCCCAAAGGCCACCGTACACAACTCCCGAAGGAATCTTCTACTCCTCCTGACAGCACATCTCCCTCGGTGACCACCACTGCTACAGGTCACCTGAACGACGAGAGAGACCGGCAATCATCTGTTGGGCCGATTTTCATTCGAAACATGGAGAAAATGAAAGAAGTGCATGAAACTTTCCTGAAAAATAGCGATCACGCTGCAAAACGGCTGATCCAGATTCAGGAGGACCCCACGGTAAAAGTGTGGTTGGACGAATGCAACGCGGTTGCCAGAGACCTAACTAAGGCGTGGAATCTGGACTCCCTCCTTATCAAACCAATGCAAAGAATTACGAAATACCCAACTCTCCTTATTCAGCTGCTTCACGAAACGCCAGCAGATCATCCGGACCGCCCATTCCTTGAATCCGCTAAAGTCGGTCTAGAACATGCAATAGAAGAAATCAATAAAACGAAGAAGAATTTCGAATTAGTCGGGCAGATAGTTAGTAGAAAACGCAAGGACTCTGATGTCAGAGCTGGCCTTGCTAGAGCTTTCGGCAAGAGGGTAGATAAGCTGCAAGCCACACATAAGCCTGCGGAAGACCCGGAATATCTGAAGCTTCATGAGAGATTTGGCGACGACTACCTTCGACTACAGGTTGTTTTACGAGATGTTGAGTTCTATACGAGACAGGTCACTGAATACGTCCACGAGTTTTTACAATACTTGTCTTCGATGGAGCTTGTTATGCGGCTTCAGCCGTCGCCTCACCCTGAGATCGAAAGCAAATGGGTCCGCTTCAATGTGTCTATGAGAGACATCGAAAAAGTTGCTCTAGAGGATCATGTTAGTTAACTCCTCCTCTTACAAATTGGCATTCCTTTTTACTAATTAGGCATTCCAGCTCTCCAAAGTGAGGAAACAAGTTATTGAGCCTTTCGAGCTTGTAATCAAGTCATACGGCAATCCGTTACTTGCTATGAAAAAGAGGGGCAAACGTCGAATAGACTATGAGAAATCAGTCCAACTGAAGAAGAGCGGTAAGAAAATTGACAAGCAGCTCTCCGAATGCGCCGAGCAATACGAGGCCTTGAACGAAGCATTGAAAAAGGAACTTCCTGTACTGTCTGCGTTGACAGAAAAGGTTGGCAAAATTTGTCTAGCCAACTTCGTCAATATACAAGCCCAATGGTTCGCTATTTGGAAGGAAAAGGTCAAGGTGGTGCTCGACAACCCCGAAGTGCCAGAAATCGTCGACATCGTATCTACATTCCAGCGCGATTACAGCTTTCAAGATGAGCAAATCAACACACTTGGCATTGTGAATCCGGCTTCGAAAGGCCGCCCTTCCCAGTCGACTAGCACCGACGAGTCCTTTGCGCGACTTCGCTTAAGGCCTGCTGACCTTTCACCTCGAGGCCGAGGATTGTCTTTGAACAATGGGGATATAGCTCCTACTTTGCCTACACCAGATTTCATGAAACGTCATAGCGGCCAATTTACCATCTCTCCGACTACTGCTTCCCTCCCAAGCCCTCATCAATACTATTACCGCGACTACTACGGCGGAATTAGCGCACAAGGACGTCCGGGGTCTGGCTCGCCTCATACCCCCGACTCTTCTGTGATTTCCCGTCCCTTGGGACAAATACCTGTACGACCTGGAACTGGTCAGAGTTACGACTCGACCAGTGCTCCAAGGCAAAGTCTGGAATCGGGTGCACATACGAGAGCTTACTCTAATTCGATACAACCGTCTCCACATCAATCAGCCGAGAACCACCGTTATTCGGGTCTCTTCCAGTCTGCACTTCCGCCATCCGACAGTCAAGAACGTCTCCCACGGCCATCTCAAGCGTCATCTCGAGCTTCTTCTCGGGAGCGGAAGCACATCAACGGATACAATGTCTTATGGCTAGCGGCTTCTCTATTTGAATTTAACATCGAAACCACCAAACACGAAGCTGGGTACCCTTATTTGACGTACCAGGCAGGAGAGGTATGTTATATTGTGACGTAGCAGTTGAGAGCCATTACTGATATAAGAATGTATAGATATTCGATGTCATAGCCGAGAAGGGCGAGTTATGGCTTGCCAAAAACCAGGACGACCCCAGCAACCTAGTTGGATGGCTATGGTCTAAGCATTTTGCCAAGCTAGCAGACGACTAGGCTTTTGTAGCCTCTTTATATCAGAATATCCCCACATCTGGTCGAACTTGGGTCGTATTGCCTTTGACGACATTGCGAATGCTGAATTCCTTAATTTCTAGGCCGACCTAAGTCTTTTTTTTAGGAACGGCGCCATACAAGTCTTTCAGATCAGACTTGTCATATCATGCTTTTTTTTATGTGTAACAAAACTCGGGCAACTATCTGGTAGTGAAGCGTCCTCCTGGCAAGACGCGGGATGAGCGTGGCGTTTCTTCATTTTGGTTCGGCATCATCTAAGGCACGACGCGATGGGATACGATATTATTCAAAGTACAGAAAGGGGCGAAGAAAGGGATCTCAGCAATGAAGATGGCAGAAAATATTGTGATTTTCTAGGCCTTATCACATGATCGTTTTCGGGGATGTTTAGACCTAGAGTGTAGTCTACATCAGAGCAATATACCCCCCCGCCTTCGTTCCAAAGTGGCGATCCTGAGGACCTCCGCTCCGGGCCTTTCCTATTTGTACTTTCTTGCTACTTAGAAATGGGAATTCTGTGGCGGATAGGACGTGGGCTGTCACGATATTTTAAGAAAACTGGGTGGTGATATCAAGTTGAGCTTTTTTTTTCTTTGGTGCGAGACCAGTTGAAGTTATAATCAAATCTTATAACAAACCTGAAATATGATCCGACTAAAACCGGATCCTGATTTCACTACAGTGATTAATTAGAGGAATACTACAAATTTATCACAACCCATCTTATCAGCCTATTTTATTAAAGTAATAAATTCCTGTGCATTTATGATACTTATACCTGTTATTTAGATCTGTATTTCTGTTTGATGTGCTCAGTCCTGATTATAGAATAACGAGGGGATATGATTTGTAGGTATGCGGATTAACTAGAGATGTAAGGAAGTATGTTAGCCAAGTAATTCTTCTATCCCTCGCCGTCTCGTAACATATTTTCCCCGTCTACTTGACCAGGTGTATGGTGTTTGCGTGTTCCTACATTAGTTAGGTAGGTACATTAGGTACTGATACGAGGAGGGGGAGTAGGTAGGTAATAATAAAGATTTTGTTTGCTTCACTCACCGCGTCGCCACGACGCAGAAAAGTCCACATTTACAACTTTTTTATTATTCCCCAGTCCCAATGGGACGGTGTCTTTTGCCGAAGTACCTAGGTTCCACAGAGTTGGGAAAACCCAGAAAAAAAACTAATCGGGCGTTCGTATTTTGTACAATACAGTTAGTTGTACGTCGTGCAACCCTAAAATTAGGTACCGTTTGCAACTTACATCAAAAGGTGCCCCTGGCCCCCCTGGGCCCTGACGAACCGAGCTGGCGGTGCAGGTACAATGTGCAAGTGCAAGTGCAAGTACTGTTGGCTTTATCCGATCACTCGGACACTGTGCAGCTATCTACTACCTACATACCTACATACTTACCAAGTATGCTAGGTAGGTAGGTACCTAATGTTTATAATATAATAACCTTGAAATATTATATACGGCTATTATAAACGGCCGGGTTCCTTAACGCGTCAGCCTTAACCCCCGGTGGCTTTGCCACTACATAGTACTAGCAGCAGCTGCTGCTATAAGATCGACAACCGGCACGGCGGAAGCTGGTCAGGGCTTGTTATAGCTCAGATTGCCGAGCCCACCTTATTTTTTTTTCTACTGCTACTTGTTTCGCCTTACTACTGCATACATGTAGGTCTGTAGTTAGGTCGGTATGTATTGTACAATATAGAAAAGATGCTCGTTGGGTAAAATACCGGGCGTGCATACGCGATGCAGATACCTAGCATAGGTACCTAGGACTTATTAATGTTAGGAGGTACGCAGCGGGAAAGCGTACACGCAAATTATCAGATCATCCAGGGCAAGGTAGGGCAAGGTAGGATATATAGATCCCAGTCCGACCGACACCGCGATTTGTCGGGCTGAGTCTTTTTTTTTTTTTTTCTACCCCTGGGTCAACGACGACGACAACGACTTACGTAGCTCAAGTACATACATGGTAGGAGGAGGATGGCATGGCATAGCATGGCCCGGATCTGAACCCTAGGTAAGGTGTGTATATGTGCCAAGACGCGAAAGCTCCCCTTGCAGACGGATCAGTTCCCGTGTAAGTCTAGACTAAAAGGCCAGCAAAGTCAGCAAAGCCGGGCAAGTCTAGCACGACACTACCTACCTGGTAGCACTACCTTAGGTATGAAAGCATTTGTAAGTTGTAAGTTAGGTATAGGCCAGCATATTACTATGTACCTTAGGTAGGTATTGTACGCTGGAGCTCTTACGTGCGAGTGACGGAGCACGCTTCCTATTCTACGGGGGAAGGACTATTATGCGTTGGCAACATTAGTCGTCGTTGTTCTTGTTGCTGTTCTTGTTGTCGTTATCGTCAATTTAACCAGTGTCGGGTGAAGAAAGGCGCGGTGAGATGGACGATCGCGTCCCCATCTTCTTTCGATCTAGGCATGGTATCCGAGGAGGGGGAGGGGGGGCTTTCTTAGGATTAAGTTACCGTCAACCTAACTTTAGTGTTCACTAGACTAGGTAACTTAGGTACGCTATACGCTATATAAGTAGGGGGATATAGGGACAGGGGGGTGGCCGAGTTTAGTCAGTTGCTTGTTGGAGATGGGGAGGGGGGACAGTTGTGTTTTTTGGGAACTGGGGTTTTTGTGACGAATTACCGCAATTGGGTTCGGTATGTGATTGTTTGGACCGTTCGAACGCCACAAAAGCCACTAGTTCGGCTTCGGCCCTACCGGTGTAACAGAGAACCAGACATTTGGAATAGACGAGCGGTAAGCGCCTTTTGCAACTTAGACGAAGGAGGTGGACGGGGGTTTAGTTAAGAAGGGAGAGGGTTCAGATGTGGGGGGAGGAAGTAGGGGATGAGGATAAGGATATGAATAATGATAATAGTAAGAGTATAAGAGAAAGAAATAAAATAAATATGGAAAAGTGAGATACGTAGACGAAAACAAAAGAAGAGAGGACATAGCCCGGTATATCGAATTCTCAACATAGGAGAGGTGACCCTTTTGCTTGCATATGGATAGGGATTTGGATACTATACGCATACGAATAGTTATACCTAAAGCTATATTATTTTCAGATTCAAAGCTGTAGGATTATAGATCATAGTTACCTCTTATGTATAGGTAGCGACCTAAATAAGTCCATATATGTAGTAGTATACCTTACACTAGGTTAGGTACACACATACCTAACCCTCAAGGTTTAAATCCAACGGCACGGCACGGCCGAGCTCTTTTTTTTTTGTTTTATTTTTTATGGGCAGGTAGATCATTACAGCACAGCGCTTGGCGCCAAAAGGTAACCCAAAGTCAGCCGCGGGTAACATCCTTGGGTCTATCATACCTACATAGTCACTCGTGAATGACAGATCTCCGCGGACTAAGAGAGAGAGATAACCGGCAGTTATATCTAGGTAGGTAGCTATGTATTTGGAAAGTCGATCCCAACAACACATGTTGTATATAATGACGAGTCTTATCAACAGTTTTTACGATGAGTAAGAAACGAACAATTGAGCCCTTTTTGTTGTCGATGGAGTCACCTACGAATGCGGTAAGGCAGATAGATATGGACCTACATAGATTCCAATACCTAACGCCAATAACCTTTTACATACGATTTAGTAACTAGCGTATATAGGTTAGGCTCGTCTTTGTTGGCGTCCGTGGATCCTTTAGCGCCTAGCATCATACCTACTTGGGTCTTGAGCCGTTAAGATAGTGTACCCTACCTTAGGTACCTACATAGTAGACACACTAGGTCGGGCCGTCCACCTAGCTGGAATCCTTTCAGTCCTATTCGATCAAGTCGTAGGGGGTAAAAACGGGAAAAGAGGACGCCAACGTGGTTCGAGCTAGGTGCGTGTAGGGACCCCAGCGTTATGGGACGGGGGGGCGGGAAATAGTGGAGTCCCCTAAGGGCAAATTGGGGGGTGGGAAAAGACAAGAAGAAGAGACCAAGGGGACCAAGGGGGGAGAGAGAGATCAACTCCCACTGTGGGCCTCAAATTTCGACAGCAGATGTGGTTTATTTTTTATTTTTTTCCTCCCTTTGCTTGGGGGCCTGATCTCCACCCGTTTGCCAATCACGGATCGTGACCTCAAGACGTTCGGGGCTGGTTCGGGATGCAATGCGATGCTACTACAGTCGAGCAAGAAAGTACTGTAACCTTGGCTGCTTGGGAGAAGTGTAGGTGAAGCAATTTAAGATCGCGTAATAATGAAGGTACTGCCCTGGTATACCCTGATATACATAAACGTGTATATGTATGCGTCTACTCAATGTAGGTACGAGTATAAGTGGTATCTATATAGATACAGTATATGAAGTCTTTCTTTTTGGATGATGATTCATATAAGTCCAGTATATTTCTGCCTTGGCCCTTATGAGATAACGACCTACGCAGCTAGGTAACGATGATGGTGATGGTGACGGTGATGGTGACGGTGACGGAAGACGTTATTCATCGAAGGGGCAGATTTGCGGGAAGGCGAGTCATGGAATAAAGACCAAAAAGAAAACTGACAGACGACAGGACCCCAGAATGCGGCACCCGGCAGACAAGGCCCGAGATAGCATGGTGACATGGACGCAACGGTGGGATGCTTAAGGGTGCTCGGGGAGCCGATCTGGAGCCCCGTGCTCAAAAAGCGACCCTTGACTATCCGCGACTGTCGAGGGGAGAAAGGCGATCCATCCCCCAGGTTCTGTCACGTCAACAAGTCCTTTTAGGGTTCCAAGAGGTCGGACAGCCTCGAGGTACCTAGGTAGTGCTGCCAATAACAATTAGCCGATGTCGTTAACGCCGACGACAAGGTGTTGATGCGGTCAGAAGCGAGGGGAGAAAGGAGGGTGAAGAACCCGTGTATGATGGCACGCTGCATGATATGTACAATGCATGCGGGGTTCAAGCGAGCCAAGGGAAGACAGAAAGAGGAAAAGGAAGAGGACCTTTTTCTTTTCCTTTTTTTTTTTTTTTTTTTCACTATTATGAAGTATTGGAAAAGGTAGGACTCCCCTACATGATACATGGGGGGCATACAGGCACGCGCGTATCTAGGTATGTAGGCAAGCTCCTACACGGATCGATCTGGTAAGCCGAATCTGAAAAGAGGTACCGAAAGGATGAGGGATGAGAGCAGGGACATGGGTTACTGCCCAGGTAGCTTGAAATACCTAAGATACCCTGACGCAATAAAAGAGAATAACCGAAATGTCAAGACGCGAATGCAACGTAGCGTCAACGGTATTTTCTCCGCGGCCCTGGTCTTGTGCATGCCATGTAGGTATGTACCTAATGCTATATGTAGGTACCTACTTTGTATGCCCTCGAGAGTCTGGGCCGTCGGATATTTTTATTAATCGAGTTATTGTCTGACCCCATCGTACGAGTTGCTGGCTTTTACAAACTAGGCGGGGAAGTAAAGAATACTACTATGTAAGAGGAAGTGAGTAGTCACTTTTTTTTTTCTTCTTATTTACACTTATAGCTACACGTAGTTAAGTGGTTGAAGTCGTATCTTTGCACATCATGGTTGTGGTTCTGGTTGTAGTTGTAATTGTACATGTAAATGTAGATGTAGATGCAGATGCAGATGAAGCGATTGACGCCCAATCTATAGGATTAAAGAGAAGCATATCGAGAAGCATATCTAATCAAATATAAGCCAATAATCTGATTGTCTAGAATCCCATGTAATCCAGTAGTTTCCCACGTTTCCCGTTTCCTTTTTTCTATTTCCCTTTTCTGTTTCCTAAATAGACCCGCTGCATCTTGCAGCTCTACCGTCCAGTTAAATAAAATAAGTTCCAAGGCTCTTATTATATTATTAGTATACCTATGTGGACTCTCTCACTTTCACGTTTACGCACATCATCTGCAGCCACGAGTCATGTATACTTAGCTGTCGTTCGATCAGTCGTCACTTTGTTCCGTGTCAGCGGGGCAAAGACGCAGAGCTGGTACGATTTATTTATTTATTTCTATTTATCTATTTATTTTCCTGCGTTCATCATGTCTGGGTTAAATCTAGAAGGTACAAAATAAAACTACCTAGACTAACTTGGGTAACTAGAAAAAAAAGACACTTTAACAACATCATCAGCCCCGAATATACGGCATCCAATCACCCCGCAAGCAGCTTTCTTTTGTTGCCGCGCCCTCGGCACTTATAGTCCATCTTACACAGTAGGTAGTATATCAGCTTATATGTACATATTGTAATACCTGAGAATTGTTTGTCTATCCCGCGCTATAGTAAGTACTACCACTACCTGATATATGTGCTATAGAAGGTATATACACTTGAAAATGTTTAAACTGGTCTACCCTTGCCTTAACCGTTCAAAACTTCCGATGCATAGGTACCTTCCTGGGGTCGCTAGGTCGTAGCACATTAGCATGGGTTAGCCGCCCTGCCGCTATATACACTAGTCCCTTATGGGTATCACAGTGTTCAAGAGAAAAGAGCATAACAGGTACCTAACCAAAGTATCCTTTCTTAAGTGGACATACCTAGGTACTTACATAGTACGGGACTAAACTCTCCCATGCAAATAAATGCCACCTGTAGCTCAGTAGAGTATTATATAAATTTAAGTAGGCAGACTGTATTTCACCTATTCTATGATACCTTACTCCAAGGTCGTTACCTATGTACCTAAGTAGTCTTTTTAGATCTTAACGTCCTCCCACGGCCCATGGTTGCCCGCCCCCACTACAGAGCAACTTCTCCCCACCACCCCCCCAAAAGCTGGTCAAACAGGAACGAGCTAGCTCCTAGAAACATAAGGTAGGTACATTAGAGGTATGTATGTATTGTACAAACGCTGCACTTACCTAGCACCTGGATTCTGCACTCTGAACACTGTAATGTGAATTGTATTATACACCATTGTACAATATAATACGATACCGGTCAGGTGTACCTACATAGGTACCATCATACAGGTAGGTACACTTCCAATAGACCCTTGCCTCTCCAATGGGCTGGTGGCGCTTCTTACTTTAATAAGGTTTGCGCCTCTCAGTCCGCCCCCCCAGTTGATCACAGCAGGTGTCCCTCAAGAGCTTGGGCGGGACTGTCTTACAATACATAGTTTTTATTTTATCTTTTATTTTCTCCAACCACGTTTCTCCATGTTCGATCGTCCCAAAGAAAAAGAAAAATAAAATAAAATAAAAAATCATCCCACCTTATTTCTACCGCACACATAGTAAACAAACTTTGACAGCATAACTACAGCATAAACCGTCCGATCTATACACATAACAGGTACATAACATAACTCTCGTTCTTCTCTCACTTCTCGCTTTCTCGCCCCTCCCCGCGAAGGTATCGTCTCGTTCCGTTGGAGAGGTAAACTAAAGCTGTGGGTTTCCCGCCAGACCCACCGCCGAGATACCCTTGATCGCATGAACCTAAGCAAGCTTAGCATCACCTGAATCTTTACCGCTGCTCCCTGTACATTACTGTACAATAAATACATTTACCTATATAGTGCTCACGTCCTTTCTAGAGGACAGACACTCCACCCTACATACTATACGTTTTTCGAACCCGGCATGATTCACGTTTAAGCCTGCCATTTCACCTCGATCCTAACCGACTTGATGAACCATCACCCTCCTTTCATCCTACCAATATAACCAATATACAATACAATTCTTACAAGACTTACGTCCCCAGCTTCACAGACGTAAGAGCACCACCACCGAAGTCGATAAAGAGAGAAGCCAAGCCGTTGCCGTAGAGTCTGAGGATAATAAGTTGTGTAGTAAATAAAGGGGGAGAGAGCAATAGATTGGAACAACATGAGTTCAGGATATCCAGCTCCGCCCGTACACCACTCGCAAGCCTATGCGCCCGAGATGTCAGGCCCTTCCGCCCACCACCCGGGCTATGCCCAGCTTCCTCCCCCAATGTCTTTTAATTATCAACAAGATCCTATAACCAACCCTCACCGTGCAAACATGCCTCCACCACGAACGAATATGGCTCCGCCCAATATGCCCGGTCCCAGAGATCGTGCAGGCGAACTCGGTGCTACAGAGAACGGCGTGAACAATTCCAGTTCTAATTCAGTTTCGTCTAAACCTGGACCCGAGGAAAAGGACAAACCGGCTCCCCAGCCAATCGAGGGTACCGACGCAACTAGGAAATACAGGTAATATCAGCTTCTGCTTCTTAAGACAAGCCTATATGGGGCTTTACTGGTTATGTTGTCTGGGCCGAGGCTAATAAGTAATATAGACTTGAGGTGGTCCAACAACCTTTGAGAGCGAGAATGTGCGGTTTTGGTGACAAGGTGAGCGCGGCCCTTTGCCTTCACCGTTTGTCTGTACCAATTGGGCGCTAATATCAACCAGGACCGACGGCCTATCACTCCCCCGCCCTGTATCAGACTAGTAGTGATGGATAAGATTACGGGTAAAGAAGTCGATTGCAAGTGTGTGAAGCTACAGCCTTGTCCCTCTATAGATCATAACTAACTTTAGGCCAGCGAGGTTGAACATCAACATTATGTGTTACACGTGGATCTTTGGTCCGAAAACGGAGACAAGGAAGTTAATCTTGTCAAGCACTCTCAGCAGTCGCCGTCTATTTCATCTACGCAAGCTTCATCTTTTCGGGAAGTGATCGAAGGAAGCCAAGCGGGAGGTTATGGATACCAGTCCATTGTGCCGTCAACCCGCGAATACGCACAACAGGCTAACCCGGCTTACCCTCACGCAATGCCTTCTTATCAACCAGATCCGTACGGTCAAGGTAGACAGACCCTCTTCCGTTTGAACTCACCTGGCTTTTTCATTTCTTACATGTTCTCTAGGTTATGCTTATCCACCGCAAGCCCAGGCATACGGTTACCCTGGAAGCGGTTACCGGAATGACATGGTGCCGGGCGTGCCTCAATTACCTTCTCAGCCAATGTTTGGAGCCCGTTTCTCGCAGGACATGGGACACCAGATAACGCACAACCGTCTGATGGGACCACAATCGCCAAACGGCATGTATACGAGGAATCTTATCGGCAGCCTCGCAGCGAGCGCTTCGCGTCTTACGGACCCTACAGATAAGATTGGGATTTGGTTCATTTTACAGGATTTGAGTGTCCGAACGGAAGGGTGGTTTAGGTAAGTCGCCAAGAGTAAGCAATATAACTACCATATATATAGGCTTACATGATTATGCAGATTACGGTTTTCATTTATCAACCTACGACGGCCAGATGCGATACCCAATGGTGGTAGCGACGCCGAACTCCTAAACAGAGGCAGGGCTCCAGTCCTAGCGCAGGTCTTCAGTGAAAAGTTCCAAGTATATTCAGCAAAGAAATTCCCAGGTGTATGCGAAAGTACCGCTCTCAGCAAATGCTTTGCCGTGCAGGGTGTTAAAATTCCGATCAGAAAGGATGGTCAGGATGGAAAGGGGAGCAAAAGCCGAGGATCAGATGACGAAGACGATAACTGAAAGCACTACACCACACCATGAATATTTTTTTAACCGGGTATAGAAGATGTCGGTTTCGTTGGATGATAAGACAGAGATTGTCATTGTCATGCCCGGTGACATCAAGCCCAGAACAGGAAAGCCTACCTCGTCACGACGTGCTCCTCACGGCACGTGCGTTCATATACTATTTAACTGTTAACAAAACAGGTATGTGGCAAGAAAGATATTGGATTACAACGCACAGAATAGAGAGGCCTATCTGATTGCCGGGGAAAAGACGAGATTAAGGAGACTCAAGGGGCAAGTTTTTTTTTAAAAAAAAAAAGATTTAGGTCGGCCCCTGCGCATGGTTGACTAGGTTTGTTTTTTTCTATTTTATGTTTTACATTTGCAAGCCCACAGTTTGGTTCTGCAATATACCCGCTATAGCACAGGTCATAAGACATGAAAGCGATGAATTATAAGATAATGTTGTCAGTATGCGCGTCATGAGTTGGTTGGGATTCGCAATAACTTTTCGCGTTTAAACCATGTTGAATACCTTATTATTCCTACCTAAGTTTGTGACTGTATTTAAGGTAACATGTTAACGAATACGTATAGGTACCTAACCCAACCTGACCGATCTAGATAATCGACTTGACGAAGCTTGTTGCCGTCGATTGATTAAATAAATAAATTGCGAGCGTTCGGGTCGATTAACGGTGGGAAATGATTCGTATCCAGGCCCATAAAGTTATGCAAAAGGCCGCTCAGACGTGCTTGGGTAATCTGGTAATCTGGTAATCTGGGTAATGCCTATAATGTATTCACATGCAGGGCCGTATCCAATGGAACGGCGTTGGGATGCCGCGTGGCATATATTGACAGCCCCGACAATTTGGTATGCTACAGAAATGTAGTGTAACTTTATCTTTTTTCATTTTTTCTTTTTTAAAAAAAAGCCTGGGATGATATGACAGGTGTGTGTGTGTGTGCTATATGCGCCACCGAACCGCTTTTTTGGGTTTTGGGCGTTTGACGTTGGTGGTTGCCGTTGGCGTTGGTGTTGGCTGAGACAAGAATGAACGAAACATGTTCAAGGTATGTAGTACCTTAGGTAGGTAGGTACCCGACTTACATAAATAATGAGACGGGAAATGGGAAACATCCCCGACTTTTTTAAATTCCTCTTGTGATTTAAAATGAAGCGAAGGCGGGAAGTAACCCAACAGACATACATCCATACATATATATTGGACCTGCTTACATACCTACATGTACCGACATATATACCTACATAAATCATACCTACCTCATTATTTATGTGGTTGGAAAAAGTCGTCTGATTTGATTGCGGGCGGAGATCAGATGAGCAAGGTTCGATTGACGTATCCTATTAAATAATGTGAGGCAAAACTTAATATTTGCTTGGAAAAAGCGAATTCGGACTATTACCATTTATATAGATTGATTAAGTAATATTTAGTACATGTGTGGATCCTTAGTAACGCTAAACCTTAAACCCATTTATGTAAAATATTATTTATATAATAATTTTTGTAATTATTTATAATTAAATAAATAAATAATAATAATAATAATAATAATTAAAAAATATAAATAATTATTTATATAAATAAATTATTAAAAATATAAATAAAATTTTTAAATTAATTATTTTTATTTATTAATATTAAAATTAAAAGTACTTTTATAAAATTATATTTAATTATATTTTATATATATAAAAGTAAAAAAAAAACATATGTAATTATATATTTTATATGTTACGAACTAACATCAAACGTAAGAAGGCACTAGTTTAGGATGCTTAAAAGCGGGGTTTTAAACACATAAGCAATCGGGTAAACCTCGGAAGGCATCGTTAACATCGATGGATCTGTTTGATCTGGCAGATTAACCAGATCAACTAGATCCACGAAGCCATATAGAACACATACGAAATAAGGGAGCCTACGGGTTTATTTAAACCATCATGTATCTAGTCATTCATTCAGGTTTCCTTAGATTGATAGCTGGCTTGTTGGTAGGTACGTACGTTTAGTATAAATCAATAAACAAGTAAATCAAATAACAATGGGGTGAGACTGGTGTATTGATGATGTCTAAGGAGGGAAGAATCTATCTGAGGCTAGCTAGCAGTGTGATGTCCTTTTATACAGTAATAGTGGGTATACTGTTCCTCCCTCCAGTATCGGCAACAAGGCACCTTATCCCCGATAAGGTGCCTACGCATCGATGTCACACAACCACCATGGCTACTGTAAATGAATGACTAGATACATGAGAAATGCTTTATAGGAAATCTCTTCTTACTGTTTCTTGCCCTATTTCCTAAGTAATCAGGTTGATCTTCTTGGATCTTATGGATCTTGACGAGATCCAGAAGATCCCTAAGATCCATTAATCTGACGTTTAACCGTATCGTTCATTAATCATAACCCCGCCTCCACGCTTTGGTTATGGTTTCATTAGCATGTTAATTTATAATAATAAATTTTTAATAATATTAAATTTTAAATAATATTAAATATTAAATTTATTTATATAAAATATTATTTATATAATAACTTTTATAATTATTTATAATTAATTAAATAATAATAATAATAAATTAAAATTTTTTATAAAATTTAAAATAATATAATAATTTTATTTTATTATATTATTACATATTAAAATAATTACGTAAATAATATTAATATTATATGTAAAAACGATTTTAATTAATTAATTAACTAATTTTTTAATTAAATTATTATATTAAATTAATTTAATAAATACTTTAAGTAATAAGTTTAATTACGATAATAAAGAAAAGAAATGTTACGAATTAACATCTATTAGAAAACGTACTAGTTTAGGCAACGGGAGTAGGGATGTCTTAAGGGAACGGATAAACCCTAATTACGAATTAGCTTTTATATGATTTGATTAATTTGATTAATTTAATTAATTTGATTAAATTAATTAAATCATTTAAATTAATTATATTATAATGCTTTTAAAACATTAAGCAGGAAGAAAGTTTATAAGATATTTAAAATTATTATATATTTAAATATTTATTTACGTTTTTTTAATTATTAATTTAAGTTTTATATTTAATTTATATAAGGGAAAGGATTTTAAGCTTTTTTAATGAATATTTTTAATATTTTATTAATATTTAACTTATATTATTACTATTTATTTAAAATTAAGACCTTTATTATTATATTTTAATAAATTTAAATATAAGTTTATTATATTTTAATAATTTTTTAATTAATATTGTTATTAATTAAGTATAGTATAAGTGTTAATAATAACGTTTTTTTATTTATATAGATTAATTATAACTTATTTATTTTAGAATATTTATTAAATAAATTCCTTAAAAATTAACTTTTAGTAAAAATTAATTAAGTAAAATAATATAACGAATTTAATATATTACTTTTTGATTACGTATTAGGATTAATTAATAATATAATCCCCGTTGAAACTAAGTTTTAAGTTAAATCTTTTAAAAAAGAGGTAAAGGAAATTATAGAAGTTATTAATAAGGGAAAGAAAAAACCTTTAACTTAGGGAAAGTAAATTAACTTTTTAAAGAACGGACTTTGGGAAGCATATAAAGATTATAAGAAATTTAAAGATAAGTTCGAAGTTTTTAAAAGGGAATTAACTAAATTTAAGATTAAGAAAAATAATGATTTAAATAATAATTTTAATAATAACTTTAATAAAGATCTTAACTTATAATTTATAAGATGATAAAAGCTTATAATTTTATTATTAATAAGTTAAGGATTTAAGCTTTTTTTATTATTTAAATATGATAATACTTTGGATATAAAGGCTTAATTTAATGTAATTAAATTTTATTTAACTTTTTATTAAAGTAATTTTACTAAGGACGAATATAAGGTTTTAATTATATGTTAATATTTAAAAAGTAGTGCTTTTAAATAGCTTTAATTTATTATGGATAATTATTTTAATAATATTTAAAAGGAAATAAAGGAATCTTAATATATTTTTAATAAGTATTTTAATTTTAAAGATAGGATGTAGTTAATATTTAGTAATTTATTTAAGAAAGAAGATATTTATAAGGTTATTTAAAACTTAAAATAGATTAAAAAAGCTTTAAAGTATGTTATTAAGTTTAAACGATTTGTAGTAATTGCTTAATTTTTTAAAGATATTTAGTTTAATTATTTTTACGAGGGATTGGTTATATAAATTAAAAACGAAATCTTTAAGGAAAAAAGATTTTAATATATTAATAAGTATATTAAATGAGTTATTATTTACGATAAAAGGTTATATAAAAGGTTTTAGGAAAAGAAAATTAAGAAGTTTATTTTTATGCGTATTAAAAAAAAGATTAAGGAGGTTAGCTTTAACGTAATTAAAATAAAGAAATTTAAAAAGGATATAATTAAAGTTAAGTGCTATAATTGTAATAAAATGGGCTATATATTTAAGAATTATAAGGTATTTTATAAGTAACTTAAGGTTTTAGAAGGACGGTTTAAGCTTTAAGTTATAAGAGTAGTATTTTTAAAAGCATTTAATATCCAAATTTCTTAAATTATTTTAAATATTAAGAATTATATTATTATTAATAATTATTATTTTTAGGAAAATATTTACAAGTGTAATAAATGGAACTGCTTATGCTATTTTAATAATAATAAGAAATAAATAAAAGATTAATTAATATTTTAATTATCCCCGTTAATTATTAAAGTAGAAAAAGGATAAGATATAAATAAAAATTGCTTATAAAGAATGTCTAATTATATTAAAGGGTAATATAATTATAATCTAAAGGAATAAATATTTATTATAATTATTAAGAACAACTTAAAGAATAAATTTTAAATAATAATTTATATTAATAATTATAATAAAGATAAATTTTACAAAATAGTAGAATTTATAAATGAATGGGAAATTATAATAAAGTGATAAGAATATAAATAGCCTTTTTATAAATTAAATAAAATGGAATAATGGGTTAT